TTAGAATTTTGATAAAAATCATATATATCACGGCATTTCAAAACATGTCAATCCGAACTTCGTTTAGAATAAAATTTCGTTAGCAATGATTCATCATTGTATGTACAGATATAAATTAAATAGCTTTATGTATCACACCTTTCTACCTACAATAACAGTGACACAGCCATTAGCAGTGTTCTCTGTTTTTTAATAATTTTAATAAAATATTAAAACGAGTTTTATTTGAATCAAATTTCAATGTTCTTAAAACAATAGTCTTGAAAATGTACAGTCAACAAAATGGAATATATAATAACCAGGGACATAAAGTTCATTAGGAATCTTAACTATCTACCCCATTTTCTCGCATAGAAAAATGTTACTTCTAACATAAAATAGTGTATTGTAGTACTTCTACGCATTTCGGACCAGCAGTGACGTGCGCAAGGATTGGATTCCCTCCATTTGACTAAAAAAAAAAATAACTACAGAGTGTCCCGCGAAATTATACCCAATGCAATATCTCTTGAGATAATTAAGTTAATCAAATTCTGCTTTTTTATTAGGAGTTATAATATAAAGTTTTTTACTAAAACAAAACAAATCAATTGAAATATTTGTAGTCGTTAATTTTGTCAGCAATAATAATAAAAAAAGAAAAGAAATAACAGAATTTGATCATTCATATTATGTCAGGAGTGAAATGACATCGGGACTCGCTGTATATGAGTATTTATTTAGTAATTTTATCGTTACATTTTATACGCTTTCGTCAAGTCATAACGAAAAGTTTGATTTATTGAATGGGCTTTTTTTTTATCCACTGCAGTATACCACTGCAGGTACCCGCAATACCAACTTCTAACACGTCTTCTTCTACACTATATAATAGACGGAGACGTTCTACGATTTGTTCGTAATTGTTGTTTACTATGTCCCCTCTCGTTGAAAATTTCTGGGCACGCCACAGTGTTCGTAGGGACGCGCCGCCGAGTGAAATGTTGTTTACTATTTTTTTTTTCTCACGACTACGACGGCGGTTAACGGCGCAAGGTCAACAGGATGTTTTATTTTTAGAATAATCGTATTTATGATCGCTAATATACGGCCGTCGCGCCGCCGTAACGGATTCCGGTCGGCCGCATAGGTAAGTGTACACTGTACACACACGTCCAAACGCATTGTGTAAATTTTTCTTTTCCCCCTTTTTTAATATTATACGGCCTAAACGTCCGGTATCTAATATCGCAATAAATCAGTGTTGATGGGCACAACCGAATACTACCCAGTTGATCATAGTTGGCTCTATCGAACTATCCGACGCATCGAAACCTATTCGAATCAGTTATCCGAAACATTCGATATTGCGTTCCGTAATAAAACTATACCGGTCGTGGACACAAAATATATTCCAACGAAACATTCGATAGTTGTTCCAAACTACTGAAAACTATCGATAGTACATCGTTTGTCTCGGGAAAGAAGTTTACAAGTCAATTGTTGTTGTCGTTGTTTTTTTTTTAACTTTGTCTAATGTTTATTTGTATCTATTGTTTTTTAGTCTGAATCGCCCGAGTGTTATGTATTTTCGATATTAACGTGTATGCCTACGTATAGTGGCGCCTAGTGTATTAGTTTATGTATATACACGTGTAGTAGGCATGTATTTAATTCGCTTGTGTTGAAAGCCCTACAAAAACGATTTGAGCCCTTTTCTTCCGGGACCAAAAAATTACAAACTGTTATGGAACCTTACCCATCAATAATAATAATTTAAAGCTAAGCGCCTACAGTTCAAACTATACAAACGATACCGGTGTTCTTGCACGAGAAAACGGTACAAACTGTTACTATAATGTGTACACGTCTTGTCCACAGCTTGTGCAATATAATATGCAGGCGATCTTATGAAAATTCGCCGTAAAATAACGTGCATACGTACATACTGGGACTTGTCCTATTTTCCCCGTTATAAATGGCCTTGTTCGACTTTCCTGCGGGTACAAGAAACGGGATCGTACACAATAATATAATACATATACGCGAGGGGTTAGTGATACGATATTGATATTAATTTTCGAGAGTGGGTAATAGGTATCCGCTGTTATACATTTGCAATATTATATCACTGTCGGTCAAATCGGTTTTAAAGATAAAACATCTATTGTTAACATTTCTAAGACAACCCATCATACGGCGATTATTAAAAATCCGAATTATTCATAAAAAAATTGGTTCTTTTTAAAACAAAAAAAGATAAATCATTGCTAACAGAGTACGACGCTGAGAGAAATTGTAAATTCCGTAAATTTGTAAGATTTTCGCAAAAAATTGATACCTATGAAAAAAAAGGGCTCACACTGCACTCAACTTTTCTTTTTTTTTTTACCACAAATTTAATCTTACAATGAACCTCGTGTTTAATTTCATAAATTTATGTTCGGGCGAACCAATCTTTTTATGCATATTAAATGAAAATCAAAATGCTTGAAAAATATGTAAAATGCCTCTATTGGTTTGCCCTTATTTGTTTGGAAGACGGTCGTGTTTTAAATTCCCCATAAGTTTTCGTAGTAATTGGGAAAAACTTAAAAAAACGTAGGAAATACGCGAAAGTTTATGGCATATTAATGGCTTCGTTATTTTCGATTTTGGTTTTTGTTGTAAATCGTTTGCAAACGACAGCGGAGAGTTAACATTTTCACAGAATACTCACGTCGTCCTTTTCTAGACGTAGTAAAATGTTTAAAGCATTTGTAATTTTGAGATATTCATAGGCAATAATAAAATAGCAGAATAAAAACAAAATTATTAAAATGATTAATACGCGTAAATAATTAAAGTAAATAAATATATAAATAAAATATGTTTGTATAAAAATAACATAAATAAATGAACGAATTGCGTCGGCTGGAGCATAATGATAAGTGTATTATACGACCTGTTTCGGATGAAAAATTCATCATTAGGTATATCGCAGTCAAAATTTAAGACGCGACTTCAGCCTTTTTGTTTGATTTATGTGAACACTCTTTTACAATATTTTCCTTTTAAGCCAGAACTGTTCTTCGTATACTACAGTCCGTGTGCTGCGTATGTTCATCGAGTCACGACGCGGATATCGTTTTACGGCGATTTTAATTTTGCGTGATCACAGCGAGTACCTATGTATGCACAATGCAAGTATATTAAATCGCAAAATAAGTGCTTCTATCTAGCGTCGAACATAGGCATATACATTATGTTTGCGCCTTTCGTCCATCGTAGTGCGTTACCACTCGGTTTACATAAATAAATTTATATCACTCAACGGTATATTTGTGTCCGATGTCGGTTTTTTTTATAAAATACATAAGGTAGCCGATAGGTACGTATTTTGATCAAGTATAAACATTGCGATAAATCCGCTGGCCCAATGATGACCTATATATTTAAAACAATTAAAGTCTTATCCAGAAAATACTCACAAATACATTATAATTATAGTGTACATTTTGAAGCTATTTATAATATTATTTTTCAGTAAAATTAAGTGAATTCCAAATTTCCAACACATATAAAAGACCAATCAAAAATATATTTTATAATTATTGGTACATTACTATAGTTTATAATAAATATTATTACTTGTTTAATTATTCGTTCATCAAGTGTTAGGTATAAGGACTTAGTATTGATTTTACAATGATGTCTATTCATTTAAAATTTTTTTTTCCTTCTATGAACAACTTTTCTACCAAAAATTTCGCTCCGATTTTCAATTGTAGCATTTTTTCTGAAAGGAAATCTAATTGCGGTGATACTTTATGAAGGTCATTCATTCCTAATGAATGGGAAAAACCGGAAAAATTACAAAATTTATCATTTTCAAATCGTAAATATTACGGTCTTTCAAAACATGTATACCCGAACTCCACATATAATCCTTTTTCGTTAGCAATGATTAATCTTTGCCGTACAGATATACCTAAATTAAATTTCCCCTCTACCTTTTCAACTTCTCACCTACAATAGTGGCTCACACATAGTGCAAAGTATGTCCGTTTGTTTTTTTATTATAACTTCATGATTTTAAGTCACCTCAGAGGGGCATATGACACTACGGGCTTAGCGAACCTCATACCCCGAGCTACTGGTGGAAAGCCCAGGTGGGTGATTCGATGAGGCATATTATGGTATTGTTTCTGTAGGGTAGAGGAATATTCTTTTTCTTTTTCTTTAGTTGACGATCCCATTCACCCTGAAGGAGGAGAACAAAATACTCCCACAGTATCTCTACCTGCCGCGAAGGCGAAAGAGAAGAAGAGGATAAAGTAGGTAAGTAAAACAAAATGTTAAGAGTAAATGTACCTTTTAGAATTAATTTTTTAATTATAAAATTACAGAATATTAGCCTCAAGTACAAATTTGGTACTTATAAAATAATATTACTTTGCATTTTTTTTTTTTATAAAGTGTGTAAATTATTATTAAAAAAAAAAAACACTTATATTTTAATGATACAATAAGCAGATGTATGCAAATGATTGCATAATTATTCACAAGTAAAAATGTATAAAAGTATGTAATGTATAAATGTATAAAATTGATATAGAATATAATTTTATAATTATAACGAATGTCATATAATAATTGAGTCATACAAATAATTTAATATGTGATATTGATATCCACATTAAACATATTTTATTTTATTCGAATATTAACGCCATAGGAGCGTAGAGTATAGTATACTATAGAATTACAATATAATATTACTATATATAATTACTATATAATAGTATGGATTACATATATTACCTAAAAAAAATATACAACAGAAAATGACTTAAATACATTTTTACTAACAAAATAAGAAAAAAAAAAGAGTTAAAAAATGTTTCAGCATTAGGCATATATTATTTATGATACGAAAAGTGCAATCTAAGTGAGATGCGTAACCATAATTAGTAATAAGATAAAGATAAAGATATATAAGATTATATAGAGGAATTAGGTACTTTGTGTAATCCTTTAAAGTGCTATTCAAAACTTACATTAAAATTTAAAATACCTATTAAATAAATAAAATATTTAAAATATATATTAATTATATTAAATAATTAATGGAATACATAATTCAAAATAAAAAACCCAAAACATTATCTAGGAAGCATAAAAAGATATTTTTATAAACAAAATCAGTATTCGTATATTATATTTAGGTTATTGAAACCAGTGAACTGTGAGTCAAGTTGATTCAGACACAGTAAATACATCCATTTCGATGTCGCTTTCACATTGAAGGAAGTAAATAAATAATTTTCTATTAAAAATTCAAATCAGACCCGAGAAGTCATTAATAATATTATTAGTTGCTACATATTATAATATCTAATGGCGTAACGCGCCTATCGCCCAACTCACTGTAAAGTATGTTAAAATAGTCCCACACTGACTATAACTCATTGGTGTGGACTAGACCTCCAGGTTTGAGATTAAGCGTAGGGTCAACTACGCTAAATGTAAAAAAAAAATGCGTACAGTACTCACACAACAAACCTTGGACTAGAGTATATTATGGTTAAACAATTGAAAACTGAAAAACGGAACAGCTAGGTGGTACACGGACTATGTGAACTATTTAAAAACCAGGTGCAGTTTGGATTTGATTAAGGTTTGAAAAGTTATAAAATGAAAATGCATGGCACTTCCAAAAACTGATATGGAAAAATGCAGGGACAACTAAAATGTCCCAAACAACTATCTTTAGGTAACGGAGAATGTGAAAATGTTCAAAGACTAGGAACTTGTTTTGTTGTACGTAAAGCGTTATATCGACTGGAAAAAGCAGCTCTGAAAGTTGGACTTCATATGAATAAAGACAAAATGGAATACAATGTAGTTGTAGGAAGACGTGATACCACGAACATTACCCAAATTTAAGTACAAACAACAAACTCAAAAAGGTGAAACGCTTTAAGTACCTAGGATCAATACTATGAATAAAAATGAAACTGAAAAAGAAATAACGGCGAGAATTCAATCTGGAAATAAATGTCTCTATGAGCTCGCAAAACTGTTGGGATAGCTATCACTGTCAAAGGATTTTAAAACACAATTATACAATATGGAGTTAACACGCTCTGTAATAACATATGAAGCTGATAAATTACCGATAAAGAAAAACGATGAAAGAAAGCTCGTAGTTCTGAAAAAGGAAAATATTACCGAGAATATTTCGGCCTGTAAATGGCACGCTAAGTGGTGAGTAGAGGATAAGGAAAAATAAAATTGGAGTCACTTTTCCACAGACCGAATATATTGGGAACGATAAGGGACAAATGCGTAGCGATGTTTAAACCAGCTTTACCGGTACAGTTTTACAGTTCTTGAAAAACCTAACCTAAGAAGAAGAAGACGTATTATAGTATCTATATAATATTGTGGTCGTTACATAAGCATCTATTATGTCAACCATAATAAAAAAAAAGACAATTGACATTAAATTTTTTATGTAGAACTAATTCAATCGCCCTGATTAAAAATGATATTAATTGGATTTAAGAGCAATTTAAGTATTATTCATGTTATTGATTTAATCATATAGATAATATATTAATTAAGCATTAGCGGTGAAAACTGGTCCTGTATTTCCATTGATTATAATACACGGAGGTAGCCCTCTAGTAATTGTTTCTAACCAACACATGAATGATATATTTACTTCCTCGTTAGTTCTGGGAGTTGATCTAAATTTACAAATATTGATTTTTACAATTAGTATTATTTACATAAGAAGTTTTTTTTGGTAGGTACTTACAAAATTATGAGATCAGATTTTAATGAATGTAATTCAATTAAATCTCTTAAAAACAATGTTTTAACCACATGATCTTGATTCAATTTGTAATCATTAAATTCATTTCCTAGAAAGTAAACAAAATATATATTTCAATATCATTATTATCATTTATCAATAATATGTAATTAATTTTCAATAACATTTAAAGCAACTACATTATTTTAATTGTATATGCCGGGAAATATTATAAAATTCTATATTATGTTTATGTGTACATACATTTTATTACATTTTATACTCATACAAAGTTATATTATTCTAGATGGTCATTGGTCATTTAAACTTAGAACTAATATAACACAGAAATAAAAATGTAGCAAGTTCACCAGGCATCAATATTCTAGCTAACATAATACACAATGGTTTTTTTTATAAGTTGCACATTATAAAATTGTACCTTTGTGGTTGGCATGTTCTAGTAAAGTAGTAAAATATGTCATTGTTGTAAGATCTGTGTCAGCCGATAAAATTATATCCAAATAATCGAAATGAAGTCGATACATGGTTAATAATTGTATTAATCTAAAAAAAAAATTGATTATTATTTTTGAGAGGCATTATTATTTGGTAGGCACTCTGTGGATAAAATTGTTAGACTAAACAAAAATGCTTGAAAATTTAGCAGGGGGTTCATTATGAATCGTTTTTAGTACGAAAAAAAAAATTGAGTATAATGCAGTATTTTTTTTATAAAGTTTTAAAATCAAATTTTAACGAAAATCGTAAATATTACGGCCTTTAAAAACTTATCTCTAAGTTAATCTTATAATAAATTTCAAACATTTCTGTTCGGCCAAACCATTTGATGCACATTAATTTAAAGCTTAAACTAAAAAATGTCAAATATTTATAAATAATTTAAAAGATAAATATGAAAATATGTATAAATATTCTGTGAAAATTTCAGCTTTCTATAATTATTTTTAACCTAATGACAACAACAAAAACCGAAATCGAAAATAATGAAACCATTAAATGTCGTAAACTTTCTCGTTTTTCCTTCCAATTATTATTAAATAAATCATACAGAAAATCAAAAACTAAATAAAAGATTCTTTAAGAAAATAAGCTAATCTAAAAATTTGAAACAAGATACCTATTTGGTAGATTAATACCAAGTATAAAAATCGAATAAATTTAAAATAATGAAATTGTATACTTCGTAAAGTTGTCAGTTTTTCTTATACGTTTTTTTTTTTTAGATTTTTATCAATTATTATGAAAACTGCAAGGAAAATCCGAAAATTACCGACTAGATCCAAAATTTACATTGTACCTATATTTTTCACTGCGATCAGAATCTAAACGTAAAACAAGTTGTGTGTATTATACAATTTGAACAGATAATTTTGTGTTTACGTTATTTTATATTTACTAAGTTGATTTTACATCTACCTAAAACATTAGTTATATTATAATTTATAAGACTTCTATGTAACCGTATCAGTGATATTGGTTGATACAAGTAGTGCAATGCATCTACATAAACCCTAACGATGAATAGAAAAAGAAAATGTAATTATAAATAAATTTATATATTTCAAATTAAAAATTATAATTGGATATACTTGTTTTTTTCTTTTAATAAACATTCTTCTTTGTCAGTCACGCCAAAAATTCGAAATTTACAATTTTTCCACGAAGAACTTGATTTTAATATGTGCGCAATGATTAACGCTAAACCTATGAAACATTTCAAATAGTTGTTTGATATTAACATAACAAATAGGTCGTAACTATTAGCATACATAATTATTTTAGCTTGAGAGGACACTATACATGAATTTGTTGTATTTGTCTTACAATCGCACGGTGTAGTAAATTGACATTCAGCAGACGAATTTTGTGCTGTTGGTTTTTGTATTTATGTGAATTTATCTATAGTGCCAAACTTGAATGTAATAATGTTATCTATGTTTTACGTTGGTTTTTAAGACATTTTAGTTTTATTGTGAGATATAACAATTTTTTAATTGTGGTATTTTGCAAACTCGTATCGGGCTTAAAAATTAAAATAACAAAAAACCCAACGCGCAAATACAGATAATGTTCTGAAATTCACTCTAATATTAAAATTAATAGTCGAAAATTGGTTTTGCTTTGATAGTAAATTCATGTGTAGCGTCTAATCTTATTATTTTATTTTATTGGTAGTTATTTATTATTAATCAATAAATATATTTTCAATCATAACACCAAGTCACACGTACCCTAACACCTACCTATAAATATGAATAAAGTAATTAGGTATTTATTAAATTAATAGCAAGTACTCAAATTGTTTTCTGTAAATTTTCTTAAAAAATAATGATTATAACATTAACTGAATACTAGAATATAGATAGGTATTATCATATTACACGACTATATTACATACAAGTATACGAGTAGGTAACCATAAAATATGTTTAAATTACAAACCTCCATCATTGTATAGCCACCACACATCAACTGTCCCGTGCATTTCTTTTTTCTTATTGATAAATGAAAAATCGTTGTCAGTTATTTTTAAAAAGCAATCGGATATCCTTACAAAAAATATAAAAATTTAACTATAATTCAGAAAACAATAATTTATTGCACACAATTTATTTATACTTTTGATGTTTTTGGTTCTTTGAATTTGATTTTTTTTTCAATGGGAATTCATCTTCTTGTTTTTTTGATTGCTTTAAGTCTTGAATGAAAAAGTTCTGATTTTCTATTGATGATACGCGAACCATAATTGTAACGATTCCGTTTTTTTTTGCGACACTAGCATACGATATTTATCATACATAATATAGGTATATTTATGTCTTAGTCACTACATGAAATTGATCTTTTCAAAAATTACACGATAATAAATTGGAGTGACCATTTTGTGAAATATTTTCGAATTTCACGAAGTGAAAAAAAGCCGTTTCTATTTTATGAAATAGAAATCTTGAAATATTTTCATGAAGTGGCTACGACATATATATGTAAATTGTTAAATTTATATATCTGTATATTTTAAATTACACCAATTATAAATAATTATAGCAAGTGCTTACTTAAAAATATTTAAAAAAATTTGAAGATCTTCAATTGGACAGTTTAACCAATCCGACTTAAATCCGACTAACACTATGTTTGATCTCAGTTGTCCATGGCCACAAGTGTATGCTATATCAGTTGCTACGTCCAATTCAATGTTATCGAGTACAATGTAAAGGGAATCAATTCCGGCATTTTTTAGCCATTGAATTCCTGTGTCAAGATGTTCTTTCCTTTCTTCATTTGTGAGCGATCTCTGATTTTAAAAATTAAACCATAACTTTACTTTGTTAATATTAAATAGATAATTAGTTGGTTAATAACATCATTGTTTGTTACAGTAAACCTTTTCGGCGTAGACACACATTTGTAAGCCATTTTTATTATCAGTGATTAAATGAGCTAAGGTAACTAATTTTTTCCTCGACTGAGGGTTTCCTGAAAGCACCGTGACATTAAGTAAATAGTTTTTGACGTGATATTGAACGGTGTTGGTCTTGTATGCATTTTTGATCATATTTTTTATTTGTTGCGTTTGTCTTGACGATCCCCAGTTTAATTCTATATATTTTATGTTTGCATTATATCAATATGAAATATTTTTGATGAGTTACTAAATGTCACAATTAATTTCAAATATTATAATACCAATAACATACCATATTTTTTTCTAGCTGCGATTTTGTATAAAACACATATAGTACAACCAATAATTACTGACATTTTCATGTTAATAAATACCATAACTATAATACAGATATTAGCCCCAAAAAGACTGAGCCATTTGTTAAAAAACTAGAAGCACAGACAGTTTATGTTATTTAAATGTATAACATAATATAATATATTGATAAGGGCCTACCTTATATGATGGCCTCCAACCCAGAGGCTTAAAATGTGCAACATGAAATGCGCACAAATTTAGTAAAGCATATGCAGATAAATAAACAGTTGCGACTAGTGAGCCAAATTCGTTTAATTCACCTGGAAAATAAATTATTGTTTCATTAATATATAAAACAAAATTGGTTAATTTTTACATACATATTATCAAGAAATGTTTTCTGTTTAAGTAATAGTATTAAATTTAAAACAACTATTTTTAAGCTAAAGACTTTTAAATCCCATATAAGTACCTATTACCTACCTGATTTTAAACATAATATTTAAATGAAAGTACGTATTTTAAACTTTATTGATTACTTATATATGTATATTATATACTTTATATTTATACTATCTATATATAAACTTTTGCAAAATAACAGTGAAAATGTATTTTACTTTTAGTAAGTAACTATTTATATTGTTATATTATAATAATAGTTTCACTTGTTTCCTATTAATTGATTTGCATAGTTATTATTGAAGAGTTTATTAATTATAATTAAATAAATACAAATAAGAGAATTAGAAATAGGTTACATAGGTAATCTCAAGGGCAGATACAGAGGTCTAAATCGGGTGGGGGCAATTTATTAGCTACGAGCGAAAAACAGGTCACCATCTAATTAAAAAATTCATTCATTTTTTATATAAGAAAGAACTGTAATAAAAATCATTACACTGATTACTATTTCGCTATAGTTTTTTTTAAAACCTAATTAATCTTCATAAAATATTATGAATAGGTATTAACTTAAAATTAAAAATATTAACTTAAAACAACTATTGTATCTATGGTCATAAAAAAAGTTTTTTTATGAATGGGAGAGAACTTCCCTCATTGCTCCCCCCTCAAATACACCCTTAGTCATACATAAGCAGTTCCAAATTGAACCGGTGAGCTACTGAGAAATTTTTGTGGGCCACGCAAAATTAAATTTGTTTTTTAATTTAGTTTATGTCAATTTGACCTATTTCGTATAATTTTCGACTGGTGAAAATCCTAAAATTCAGTTGGCAAATACATTCCCTATCCAATGCTACCCATGGGTAAGTATACTGAAAAAGTAAAAATAATTATAATATCTTCAACATTTTAAAAATAACTAAAAATACCTATTTTACCTATGACCAACTCATTTACCTATCACAAGCAATGAAGAAGATATTATCATGGCTAAAACATGAGCACGGTATGGTTCTTGGTTACTTCCATAGCTTTTTGCTAAATATTTAAGAAGTGGGTAAACTTCGTCTTGGCCCATGCGTTGTAAAAGTTTTGGAACAGATATTAAAGCTGTTAAAGCGGTACTAATAGTGGCTCCAAAACAACCAAAGTATATTGAAATTGGCCATAACGAAATCGACTGCATCAACTAAAAGCATTGAAAAAGAAAATCCAACGTAAGTGTAATAAATGAAGACATTACATGCAACAATATGGTATTCATAGTTAATTATAATTATGATTATAATATAGAATAATACAAAAATAAATAAACTAACGAGTTTTTTTGAAATCATTTTAACTTTAAGAATAATATTAAACATTTAAACCATTAATTAAATTAAAGGTAATCATTAATAAGTAGGTAATCACATTTTGGGTGTAAACTACTTTAGATTTAACCGAACTGTATAACCTTAGTTATCCTATCTTAATATTCCTCAAAACACGCGACAACTTGAAATTGTTTGATCTTTATTACTTCATAACATAATTATAATTATTTTTACATTTTCATCAGAGTACAATCCTTTGGTGCAATTTTTAATTGAACAGTTTAAATAAGTTCCATTTAAATAGTCATTTAGGTCACCGCTTGCTTCCCTTAACTGGACTGCTCCAGGAACTATTATTAACGCAATATACGAAATTATAGTAATGAGAATTGACAAGAGAGTTCCTTTTGGTATCGAAGAACTTGGGTCCTAAAAAATTTATCGAGTTAAGACACTAGCTTGATTAGTTTTTATTTTATAAACCTACTTTAAGATCTCCTGATATATTCGCTCCAGCTTGTATACCAGTGACAGATGGAAAAAATACAGCAAAAATTGTAAAAAACGATTGCTGGACGTCTTTTTGGGGCTTATATTCTGAATACCAGTTTTTTTTAAATGTTTCCACTGTAGACAAATATTGAAATTAATTTTAGTTACAAAAATAATTATTTTTGTAAATAAAAATAATTAGTTCAGAATATTATTTTACTGCTAAGTCCGGTGAAGCCAGATGCTCTTGCTTCTAAACTGGTAGGTCCAATAAATGATCCGATTATCACATTAAAAATGCCGATGATTATGCATACCAAAAGTGCATTTTGTATCTGAAACATGTATTTTATAAAACATCATAAGCATTTAAAAAATATGTTTCTATACAGACTTCTGCTTCTCTATCCATGCCGATACAACAAAGTATACTCTGTATCATTATACATACAATTCCGAAAATTCTAAATTCAACCTTTCCGTCTATTATATGAATTTTATTTGAATTCAGTAATGATTTTAAAGATGTAGCGAACCCAATTGTGTTCATAGCCGCTGAAATAGTGTTGGCGAATGCTAACAAAATGCCAATTGACGCTCCAAATCCTGGACCAATTGATCTGGAAATTATAAAATAAAGACCCCCTAAAGGAATCATAATATTATACGATAATATCGCAAAAAAAAAAAAAAACATTAGTAAATTTATAATTACAAAATATTGATGTTTATTTTAAAACAACTTGGCCTAAAAATAATGTAAATTTTAATAAAGGTCCACTATACATTCATAAAATAAATAAATACAATTTATTATAGTATTATTAGTTGAAAGAAATAATGGTATTATTTTAAGAAATCAAATTTTAATCGAATTATTTTACATTTATTTTTAAAACAAACAATTCTTCATCAATCAATGTGTATATTCATTGTTGATAAATAATCTAGACAATATTTATGTTTGAAATTTCTAAGCTTCATCTCGATTTCAATAATCTAGATGTATGATGATTTATCATTTAATGGACGGCGTGTGAGTGCCAAAAATTGTGATTTTTGGACACTCTTATTTTGAAAAGTATTTCATCTACACGTACGAAATATGAAATACTGCTTCTTTTAAGCTTCCTTAACCCCTCTAAAAAAATCAGTCCTATAGCATAACTTGCCTAGGATATAAAAGTGGGTTGAATAGGGTTCATATAAATATGCACAGTGAAAATTCAGATTTATATTATTATTATAAAATGAGGTTTTTAAATTGAATTTTCAGTATTGGGCATTATAATTCATTTCAATTTGGAATTATTACCTCCTTTTACTTTTCCATTTGTACTGATGGCGGACAACGAAAATGTGGTGATCAGAACGATGAATAACGAAATGAAAATAATTACTAATGAATCAAGTATCCCAGCTTGCCCTAAAATCCACGGCATCCGCAAGAAAAGCATCACACCCCATATACTGAGTAGACACGGAACTAGCACGCCTTTGATCCATCCTAGTTTTTTTCCGGAGGTCTTTTCTACTTTGATTTCTTCTTCGTGAACTAATTGATCGAACGACTGGATCTATAAGTATATCCGTAAATCATAATAAAATGTACTATAAATCAAATATTTCTTTAATTTTTAACGCATTATAATATAACTGAAAACAATAAACGGGCTAAAGCCCAAACTCTTTGAGCATGCTATAGAACGAGTAATAAGTTAAGTCAATTTCGATTTCAAAAGCTATTTTAATTATATTTTGGATAAGATTATATCTACCTGATTTATTCTGAAAATGTTGACATTTGAAATTTTTAATATAGAATATTGGATCTAAATATAGGCTATAGATGATATACGAGTAAATCACTAATAACACTATAATAATGTTTTTAAAAAAAGGTGTAAATACCTAAATTTAGATTTTAGCTTAGCGACGGTGTAAAAGAATTTTTACATAAGTAGGTAAACTGTACACATTTTTGTTAAATTTCAATTAATAATACATATTTCGTATCCTTAGAACAAGATCGTAACAACTCAAAATTTGACATTTTTGATATACATATTTTATATCAGTAGAATCGTAAACATTTTCTTCACAAAATGGTAGATTACCATATCGTATAATTTTATTCTCGTCTTCACTGTGTTGTGTCTGTTTTGTATTTTTTTTTTTTTTTATTCACACTGTTAATGAAAGCAACACCACCACATTTTTAAATATGGATGTATTGCTTTGTGATAAACTATATTTAAATAATATTTTGAAAATTGAATACTGTTATATATAACTGATATTTATGGTGGTTTACAATTTTTTTTTTGTACTAGTGTAATGATATGGTATTTAATTTATAATTAACTTACACGTGTGAATCAATTTTATATAATTAGGCTGGCCCGACCCGCCATATTTTTGAATTACAACACTAGTAGGTATTAAGACGAAATTGAAGACTGTCATATTTAGGTTCATAGCTGATTTATATATTTCTGTTTATGACTAACATTTTTTTCAAGTATAATGTAATACTATCACAAATCAAAGTATAACAGTGTTTAAAAAGAGTTTAAAACTAAAAAAAAAATTGTTATAAAATCTCAGAAATGAAAGATATCTTGATATTAAGCTGTACATAATTTTTAAATATTTTGTTTTTTAAATTTAATTCAATTTAAAATATTCGTAAATACATGAAATTCGTACAAAAAACTTATGTTTACCTTTTCTAAACGTGATAATTGTTCAAATATTTTAGCCATTCAAACAGAAATGCTTGAAAATTTAACAAGAGGTTCATTATAGGTTGTACTTAGTGGTCAATAAGAAAAAGTTGACTTTAATGAAGTATTTTTTTTTTTCATATGAATTTTAGTGTCAAATTCTGACGAAAATCATAAAAATTACAGTATTTTAAAACATATATAACCGAACTCCGCTCAGAAACATTTTTTTTTTACCAATGATTAATTGTTGCATACAAATTTCCATTGAATTATCCTCTATATCCTAACTTCCCAACTCCTCAACTGCAACAGTGATCCCCATCCATTGTGGTCCATTGTATATCCATCGTTTTGTTTAATTTTTTTTTTTCAAATGCGCCGAAAATACTCAACTAAGTAAGGCGTACAAGACTACAACAGCACTAATTTAAATAATTCAATAACGAAACATCATTTATTATGATTAATTACACTAGTAATAATTGTTTTCATCCTCCAGTAAATCTAAAAGCTCTCTAGATGTAGCGACTTCCTTGTCAATTTGTAAAACAGTTATTTGTATTAAAAAAAAAAAAACCACGAGCAAAACCAATTAAGCAGTTTAACTAGTTAGGTAGATTATATTATACTATTATACCTAATGGTTGTTTAACTATCAAACAATATACTATAGGTAAGTACTGCGAAATATTATTAAAACTATACATTGTTTAAAAATACATACGAGTAGGTACACACCACATACCTGTTCGGTCCACAAAGAATTGTTGCATTTCGTTCCAGTGAGTTCATTCATGTTTATCAACTGACAAATTTTCAACAACTACATTTACAGGTAAAAAATAAAGCCTTATATGATGGATAATAATTGAGTCATTAAAATGTAATTAATTATTAACTTAATAAAAAAAACCATTGAGAATAATATAGGTACAAATTTACAAGATTTTTACTAAAGATAAAAATAAAATTAAAATGGTATATTTAACTAGGTGAATATCTCTCTAGGGGATTGTATACAATATAATAACACCGTTTAAACACATCAGATGAACAATTTTATGACTATTATAATAATAATATATGTATAGGTAATTAATTAATTTTGTATGATAATTTAATGGTTCTGCTTACGAAATAATATAAATTTTATAAATTAAAGTTATAATACTTTGAATCATTCAAATTAAAATAATTTAAATTTTGTGTTAAACAAAACATCTAAAAAATCCAATCACATTTCTCTATAAATGAGTTTATGCCTGAATAAGAAAACAATATTATATAGTAGGGAAATATTTATTTATTTATTTTATTTTCAATGCAGGACGCGAGCCAAAGTAAAATAACAATTTAATATAAAAAATGTATAATACAAAAAGTTATAACGATCAAAATATAAAATAAACATTGCTTAATATATTATGTTAAATTTTAGAAAATAAAATTAAAGGACATGACTCAATGTATAGGTATGAGTAACAACTTTTTAACTATTGCTACGATTTTTTATTCCTATAAAAACATGAATTTAATTTTCAACACGAAACACAAATATACGAATTTAAAGGAAATACAATTTTTTTTGATTTATCAAGGTTTTTGACTTACTAAGGTTTTAGGGAAAAAAATTCTACTTTTTAAAACGTATTATATAGTTTTTAATTATTATAGAGTACATAATATGTACATATAATTGTAGTGTGTATTGAAATTATTATTATTTTAAAATTGTATTACTAAAAAATTATGATAAAATGTGATTAAATAATTAATATAAGTAAAAAAAAATATCACTGAACTAATATAATAAAACATGTGAATAATGTTGCAACTTTACAATCCATAATTTGTTATCTTACTTTAATTTAAAGTTTGAGAGCACATGCTATTATCAATAATATTTTTCATTACATTTAGAGCAGAGTACACTTTATCGTTCACATTACTTGATTGTTCGGTTAACAATACCGAATGTAGTGACAATAAACCAATTGAAAACACAATAAACGCGATTAGGTTAAATTATGGGACGCACAAGCCGATTAGACAAATTATTGTAAATGTATCCTTCTATATTCGGAACACAGAATGTTCGAGACTAGTACAAATTAAACTCGTGAATTAGCTATAACCACTGTTGTAGATTTAGAAATTTATTGGGTTCCTGATATTAGTTATTTATCGTAAAACTACTAATTAAATAGTAATAGTTTAGTTAAATAAGTATCTGCTTTTACTAATGCAATCACACAGTACACGCTACGGCAGTCTAGAAATAGATTAATTCGCATTTTTTGTAATATTATATCTACTGCAACTTATATTAACCAGGGGTTGTTTTGAAGTCCAAACCACCCACAAATTGACTTTATTTATTTTTAACCTTTTTATCTAAGTATACAAAAATTCTTGAAATCTTAATTATTTTTCCAGTATCAACTACGACAGCATAACGACCTTTTTCAAGTTTACTTCACATAAAAACATACTTGAGATTAATTACCGGTAAAAACCGACTCACAGGATTAGCTCTTCTATCAATCCATAATGACATACCAGTAGACCCAGATAAAGTAGTTTCATAATTTGCTTCATCTTCAAATAGGATGGACTTAATTTTATAATTTTTTTGTAACTCTGATTAATTCATTATTGTTATTTTATTTTTTTTTCATATATACATAATACATATTATAGTATAAACTATGAAACATTTTATGTAAAAATATTGGTTTCTAAAACTGTTTTTTTTTAATTATTATTCTTTACACTTCATACGTGCTAAATTTTATTATTTACAGTTTTAACTTTATAAAGTTAATTCTTAAAATTTGTTTATAATATTTAATAGTAATATAAAAATATTACGGTTTTTATGTATACCGGATGATCCATTTAAGTGGGTACACTAATTATTTCGGAAGTATTAATTTTTTCCAGAATTTGTTTTCTAGAACATTTAAGAAATAGTAAAGCTCTTCTAAAATTTTATATTTATGTTATTTGTTTCCCCCTTATTTTTGGGATTAAAACCACTATCTACTTTTTAGAGTATTAGTTAAAAAAAAATGTTGGTGTTGACATTTTTGATTTCTGTCAATCCATTGACGAGATATTCCACTTTTAAATTTGGATTGGAGAAGAGAAGTGGTGCATTATTAACACGCTGCGCGCCGTACTGCCACACAAATGATACTCCACTACTCTTCTCCAACCCAAACTTAAAAGTGGAATATCTCGTCAACGAATTGACGGAAATCAAAAATGTCAACATTTACATTTATTTTAACTAATACTCTATCTATTTATGGACTTTTTAATAAAGGTTACCATTTTAATGGATTACCTGGTACACTTATACAGATTTTTTAGATTTTTACCTACTTAGTTTTATAATGAAGTTACAAAATTTGATACTAACGTTGAAAAATAAAAACCACCCCTAAAATAATCACCAGCTTAATCACTTAACTATAATTAATTGTAATTGGTCAATAATTCGATTTTCCGTGTGATTAAGTCTTTACCTAAGCACCTTGCTTTTATCGCACTAAAATCTAGCCAGTTTTGATAACAACACGACAAGACTATAGTGTATAATTTCTATACCTATTACTCAACTATGCTTCAGAAACATTTATCTGAAATGGATTTTTTTTTGAAGGACGTCTCTGGGATCCCCTACCTTTGTATTATTTGTAAATAATTATGATATCACGAAAATATAATAAGATATTCCTTTATAAAATTTGTAAAAATTAATACATAATACAAGGCCGTGTAGAAAAACGCGGTAACTCCATTTTTCAAAAATTTTCAGGAAAAAAAATGTTTTAAAATTATTAAGTGAATGATAAAATAAATTCCAAGTATTATTTAAGTAGCTTAAATCATATTAAATATAATGAATAATATAAATTCTGATATAGTTTTTGTTTTATTTTATTTGTGCTAGTTAAAAATAATTCAATCTTTGAGTAGACTCCTGGTATTTTACCAAATATACCTCTAATAAACATCAATAATATTATTATTATTTTTTGAACTTTAATAAGTACCTTTTTATACTAATACGTTATACTGCATTACATTATACTACACTTAATAAAAATACAAATCTCGAATTGGAACTAAAGGAGAAGGGTCTTACCAGTTTTATATTAAGTTTAGGGGGCCACGTAACAAAAAAGTTTGAGAAGCAATGCCTTAAACGATTTATTAAAATGTAATTAGTTATTTAACTTATAAAACATGCACAAAATCATCGATAATATTATAAAAATTATTTACAATATCTATACGAAAGAAAATAAAAAAAAAAAATATTATTTAACTACTATTTTGAAAATTATGTAATTCTACTTATGTAAAATTTATAAAATACTAACAAAAAAATGTGATTAAAACAACTACTTACTACTTTTCTACCAAAAATCTTGCTCCGATTTTCAAGTATAGCATTTTTTCTGAAGTAAAATTTTATCTGGGTAGTTCTTTGAGCCATTCTCAGGTCATTTTTTTAATTTCCAAGAGGTTTTGATAAACAAAACAAGAAAATTTACGAAATGTATTATTTCAATTTTTGGATTCAGTTAAAAATATTCGTAGAGACTTGAAATTTGAACAAAAAACCTATATTTGCCTTTTACAGACGTGGTGAAATTTTCAAAACATATTAGCCATTTTTGAGCTATTCATAGATATTTTAATTTTGCACGATAGCCTTTCAGAAACATTCCAATCCTGTGTAGAACCAAACTCCGTTCAAAATCATTTTTCATTAACAATGATTAATCATTACGTACAGATATACATTAAATTCTCTATATCCTACCTTTTTAACTTCTCACCTTCATCTCACTCTCTCGTCTTTTAAATTATAACTTGTATACCAACATCATTTATAAGGGGAGGAGGAATTTATTAATCAATTCGTGCAGTGAGGTTTTTATCAAATTTAAAATACATTTACTAAATGAAATGACCCGATAAAAAAAAATCTGACAAATCTGGTGCATTTATTTTGCAATTGCTATTCTATAGGTACCATTAATATAAAAATACTACCATTCATTTTGTGTAGTTATAATAATATATTTTCAATTTTACTGATTATTATTTAAACTTAAGCACTAGCTGTAACAGTTTCAATTGTATTTCCTTGAATTATAATGCAAGGCGGTAGTTCTCTAGTAACAATTTCCATCCAATACATACTATGTATTTGGTTCGATTGCTCCTCAGTTTTTGGAGTCGAACTATAAATAAGTATAATTTTGATATATTTTTTGAATGATATCTTCAAAATATTATTATTTTTAAAAAAATTGTCATGTGTGTACTTACATAATGATTAAATCTGATCGCATTGAATATGTTTCTAATAAATCTCTTATAAACAATGTATCAATTATATATTTTTCATTGCCATCTGGTTGGCTTTCTAAATAAAAACATTTGCAGATATTAGTTATGTATCACTTCAGTCTGAACTAGGACTAAGAAAACAATAATATTTCATCTTATATATAATCATATAAAACTATAACTACATAGGTAGCTAATTAATTACCTACTAAATTTATTAAACACTGAATTTGGTCAGTTATTTTCATAAGGCCAAGGTAATCAATAAGAAATAGTTAATAATGACACCCATAGATACAGATGCAAGAACTTTTAGAGTAATAATTAATATTTTATGATTATTTTAACTTGTGATATTTTAATGAAAATGAAAAATATTACCTATTTAACAATTAATACAAATCATAAAATTAATTTTACCTGGTTAACACAAAATTGTATTTGTATATTTTTATATTGAACTTCCATAATACCTATTTATTATACATGATAATACAGTAAAACTTGCATATAACAGTCACCGAAAATAATGATCTCTATTTAGAGATGGCCGTCCTTTAGAAGTTTACTATGGAGGTATAACACTTGACGGGACTGAAAAAAATTACTGTTACACAGTCTTTCAGAGGTGACTATTAATGGAAGTTTTACTGTATACAGAGTATAACTGGACTATTTGTCAAATATCCTGTTACACTCTGTATATCATTAAAAAAAAAAGGTGTATTTGCTGTATCATAAAAAATAATTTTAAATAAACAAAAATCAATTAGTACCTTGATCAATGAACTGTTGGTTCCATAAAGTAGTGAACTGTTCTTTGGTTTTAAGACTAGTGGCCTTTGCTAACACAACGTCTATAAAATCAAATTGAATTCGATACATTGCTAACAATTGTTTTAATCTAAAAAATAAAAAAAATGTATTTCGTTTACATTTATTGGAATATGATAAATAAGTTTATTATTATTATTTATAGCACTATTAAATTCTAACATAATATAACAATAAATTCTCTGGTGACACAATTGAGATTTGAATTACCTTCTGAATAACTAATTGGTATATTAATTCCCCAGACGTGTTCGTGTTCTTTGTGCATGTAATATCACAATAGCTACGTTCTACATGGTAATAGGTAATAAAAATATAATATACTAACACTGCATGACATAGGTACTATTAAAATTACAGTTATACAAAATAGTTATACCTATACTTCAAAGTATCTAAATTATGGCCATAGTAGCTAAAATTGATTTCCGATAAAAACATAAATAAATAAGAAATAAAATATACAGCTTTATAAAATGTCCTAAACAATTTTTTTTAATTAGCAGTCTAGCTGACAGTAGAATATTTATATCAATATTAAAGTGGCTTTGACATGTTATTATTATTATTAATTGAGTAGACAAATAATTGACAGTGCAGCAAATAATTGTAAATATTTTATTGTCAGTACAAGACAAAATGTTAATTAAAATTTATTCTACTAATGTTTTTCATGAGTTTAAATAAAGGAACAATAACTCATCTTAGTGTCCACTAACATATTATACTACATACTTATTTTAAAGACAAGTGTCAATATTTAGTAACTATTTTATTTTACAAAACAGAATGAAGAACAAAATGATATATACTAAACAAATATATCATATATATACTTACACCATTAATTTGTATAATGTACCTACCTACCTATTATTAGGATAAACAACTAAAATCTTCCAAATAGAGTTGCAAATATAAATATTTTAAAAAGTCCAAATGAAAAATAAATTGTAACATTTATTTTATTTTATAAAATGATTAACCCACAAACAGTAAATTAATTAATATATTTGGTTTTTTTTTTAAATATACTTTTTGAAGGGTGTAGGGATGTATAATTTCCAATACATTTTTATTAAATTTAAAACCGAAAAAGCAATTATTCAACTGTTGTTTTTTTTTATTTACACACATTAAGCTTGAAATCCATTAAAGTATTTCAAAAATAAATAAAACAACCTGAGATTTACTTGTCTTTTTCCGTATTTAAATTTTCTTTTTTATCTGTGACACCAAATATTCTAAAAGTGCATTTTGCCCAAAGATCACATGACTTTAATATGTGTGCAATAATCAGTGCTAAACCTGGAAAGAATTTATGTAAGTGTAATATTTATCAAATTTTCATTGCTAACATTTTATTAGTTTAGGTACAATACATACCTCCGTCATTGAATAACCACCATACATCAATTATTCCATTTTTTCGTTTTTTAACAAATGAAAATTGTTTCTTAAACATTTTAACAGAACAACCAATATCCCTGTTTTAACAGTAGAAATATTTTAGATTACAACATTTAAAAATTATCTTGAAAAATATTACTTACTTCGGTTGATTTTTGTCTTCTTCATTAATTAACTCTTTATTACTTAACTTTTGATTTTTATTAAAACGAGATTTTTTATTTAAAACCAATTTTCTTTCTTCAATATGTTGAGTAGTTGTATCAGCTGGCGGTAAACGGACAATTATTATTGCGAGGCCATTCATGTTTGATAAACTAATCAAAATAAAATATTGTATTTATTTATTTATTTTTATGGTATACTTACTTTAAATATAATTTAAAAAGTATACTTTAATATGTTTAAATAACTTTTGATGTCTTTGTGAACACAGTTAAACCAGCCATGCTTATATCCAACAAGAATAATATTGGGCTTAAGAATTCCATGCCCAGAACAATCCATCATTATCCGAACACCAATATCTAAATCAATATTGTCAAGTACACTGTACAAAGATTTAATTCCCATTTTTTTCAACCACTTCACTCCATTTCTAAATATATCTTGTTTTAGTTTAGGTATTAATGCTTCCTATATAATAGATAGATATAATATTTATTTTATTATTTTATAATTTACATTACTGCAATGTTTTAAAGAAAATGACACACATAATATAATATAATTATCCTTCTTTATTATGGGTTTATGCCATCTCATTTAAAACATTGCAATTGGTAAAATGTTTAATATAGATATTAGATGTTGAATAAATAATTTGCCTTTATTATGTTAACGCACACTTGTAAACTATTATTTCTGGTTATTAAATAAGCTAAATAAACTAATTCTCTTCTTGATTCGGGCTCTCCAGAAAGCACCATAATATTTGGTGTATAGTTTTTAACATGATGTTGAATAGTTTCAGCCATATACATACACTTTAGGACTGTTTTAATTTGTTGTATTTGTTTTGAAGATCCCCAATTTTTGTCTTCATTCAGTAAAATAATAGTTTTACAATAACATAGAACATTAGTTAAATAAAATTCTCTTATAACTAATTACGATTTACAAATCACATACCATCTTTATTTGCAGACGCAAATGTGTATAAAATCCATAAAACACATAAAACAACTATTGACATTGTTTTGTCAATAAGTACCATTGTTGAAAAACAGATAATAGCCCCAACAAGACTTAACCATTTATTATAGAACTGAAAATAATATAAAACTATCTTAAATATAATTGTTTCATAATTAATTGAGGACAAGTAATTACCTTGTATGATGGTCTCCAACCCAAAGGTTTAAAATATGCAATATGAAATGTACATAAATTTAACAAAGCATACGCACACAAATAAATAGTAGATATAAAAGAAGCGACTACATTTAGTTCACCTGTAAAATAAATCATTTAGGTAGGTTATTATTTAAATTTTTATGAAATGTTGCGTATATTAGTTTTAGTTTTAATATCTTATTATAAATTTATTCTAGTAGGCATTTAAACAAGGCCTATAATAATATTTATATGATTGTGTTTTTAATTATTTTTCGTAATTATAATGAAAACTGACTACCTATCCTATTCATGAATAAATTAATTGTATAGGTATAATATTAAGAAAATTCTTCTACCCATTAATAGAAATAACGATGATATTAAAATGGCAATAAAATGAGCTCGATACGGTTCATTTGATTTTCCAAAACCTTTTGCCAAGTATTTAAGAAATGGATAAATTTCATCTTGACCCATTCTTTGTATTATTTTTGGTACAGCAATTAAAGCAGTTAAAGCAGTGCTCAATGTGGCTGCAAAACACCCAAGGTATATGAGATATGGCCATAAAGATATTGTCTGCATCAACTGAAAGTATAAAAAAAAAATTGTTTTCATTATACCTAATTAATAGATAAATTCACAAAAATATATTTTATTTTTATTTTTAAAATACCATGTACTTAAAGTTTTCTTATTGACATAATTTAAAATTGTTTATTTTCCAGAATAAAGAAATGTTTGAGAATTTACTTTAACCTTTAAAAGAATGATATTAAAAATATTATGAATAATAAATAATTCAATTTTGGTATACATATATTATTTGAGTTTTAGCCTAAGTACATGATTGTACAATTTCTGTTTTAGATCTTTATTTACTGCAAAAAAATCAACAATTTGTATCAAATATTATTATTTACATTTTCATCGTGGTATAATCCTTTGGTGCAATTTCTAAATGAACAATTTAAGTAAGTTCCATTTTGAATTTCATTTGGGTTACCACTTGCTTCCCTTAACTGAACCGCTCCAGGTATTACTATTAATAAAATATATGTAGTTATAGTGATGAGAATTGATAAAAGAGTTCCCTTTGGTATTGCATCACTTGGATCCTACAACATTGGAAATTACCATAATGATAACTAAACAATTTTTTCAAAAATAAATTTATTTTTTAGTAAGCACTTACCCTAAGATCGCCCGATATATTTGCTCCAGCTTGTATACCAGTGACAGAAGAAAAAAACACAGCAAAAATTGTAAAAAAAGATTGTTCAACATTGTCTTGGGATCTATAATTAGAATACCAGTTTTCTTTGAACGTTTCCACTAAAAAGTAGGTAATGCAATTCAATTTAGTTGTAAAGTATAACTGCCTTGAAAAACTAAAATTGAATTTACCTCTATATCCTGTGAATCCTGATGCAATTGCAATTTTAGTAGTTGGTCCAATGATTGATCCAATAATGATATCAAATATAGCACCAACAATGAACACGAGGAGTATATTTTGAATCTTGATAAATAACAATCAACAATTTCAAAAATATTATTTAGTATACTTAACTATAATTTAATTGTTCTGTACTAACTTTGGCTTCTTCGTCCATACCAATACAACATAGTATACCCATAATAAGTATTGTTATAAACCCCGCAAGTGTAAAACCAAAATTTGAATCCAATATTCCGATACCAAATGACTGTAGTAATGATTTTAATGATAAACAAAATCCAATTGTATTTAATGCAACTGAAATAGTATTAGCTAATGCCAAAAGAACGCCAATAGATGCACCAAATTCTGATCCAATCGATCTAGAAATAATAAAATACAGACCCCCTGAAAGGATTATAATATGTTAGTGGGAATATAAACATATATTTATTTTTATACAATTTTACTTTTTAATTATACATATACTTATTATACATTTAAAATTGTATACATGTATATAGCTATATAGTACCGGCGCTAGATAATGTGAGACTTAAATACATATGCACCTGGTGTTTGGAGGGGCATGTACCCCTTGGATTTTTAGAAGTAAATAAATGCATAAAAAAAGTAAGATAATAGAGACGGGTGCAGCCACTGGTGAAGGTGGGAAATTGGGAAGTTAGTATACTTTAGTTAAATAATTAAATAGGATCTATATATAATCTTTAATAATACTTGTATAATGTTGTACCGATTTATCCGGTTTTCCTACGTTTTTCCGGGTTTTCTCATTATTTTTATCAGTTTTTCAAATTTGCTGAAAAACTCCGGAGAATATCGAAAAACGACCTCTCTAAAAAGTACCTCCCTAGTGAAATTTTCTTTTAGAAAAATGTCCATCATTAAAAATCGGAGCAAAATTTCTGGTAGAAAAGTTGTCCACAGACAAAAAAAATATAAACATCTTTGCAAAACCATTAGCTTCTTCGTTGCACCATTTAAAAAGTGATTATACGAGAAAAAAAAAGGTTACTAAGTTGCCATACGCCACTCCTATTAAATTTCTTTGAGTGCTTATGTTTAAATGTTATATATTTTAAAGTTTTGGTCCTTATGAACCTTTTGAACGAACCTTGGTGAAATAATTAAGTAACTACCTATAAAGAACGAGGATATTTACAGATGAGGCGATGTCTAAATTGTTAAACTAATTTTTCTTTGTTTATTTATTACCTATTAATTATAAATAACTGGACTTTTAAAGTATTATTGTGTGAATTATTGAATAACAACGCTTAGCCGACCCCAAATATTTGGGATGCAGGCGAATTAGAAGAATAGCAGTGATGGATACCGATACTTCTATTTATAAATTATAAGATAAAACGCGAATACAAAATTTCAAATGTAACAAAATTGATCTAATTCGCAGGTAAATGCGAGCCTTATCGCAAAAAATAATATAAATTAACTGTTCGTTATTGTGCACTGATGCGTATGCATTTGAACGAGCTTTTTACATAAACTAAGAATTATAATATATGAGTTATTATTGACAGAAATTGGGGGGAGCTTTAATGGACTTAATTCTCTCAAAAGTATAAACAGAGAAATCAGCCACATCATATATACAAAGTGTAAAGTGGTTACTGGTTATTACTCTAAATAATATGAATCTAGGTAAAAATTTCCAAAAAAATAAATAAAAATATATAGGTACCTACGTGTAATATAATTATTGTGTAATTTATGTATTATATGTTTCGCATTATATAATTGTATACATAATGGCAAGAAGAAAATTACTAACAATAATTGTTCGTCCGGTTTGTACACTGTAATACCTACACTACAGATGATAAAAATAACCAATAAACGCGAGTTTAATTTTACGATCACACGTATAATTTCTACAGGTTTTATTTTTGATTAGATCCGATATTATGAAGATTTGTACAAATGTAAATTGTGTATATTTGTCTATTGTGATTCTTATTAGATTATCAGCACTCAGTGGTAATAAATAATAATTTTACGATTTTTACAACTTTACGATTTGTTGAATGTATTTTCCTGTGGATCGACTCATGATTTTTTTTTTCAATTTTCATTTTTATAAATAATATATTTCAATTTTTTTATATTTCGAGCATTTTTAATGGACATTTTTACTATATACCATTGTGAAAAGTGTTCGGGTACAACCCTTTTAATCTTAAATATTTCTGATAAAATGCATTAAATTAGGTAGGTACCTGAATAAATTTAAAATCACAAAAATACTTTGAAAATTGTACTATATTATCGAGAAAGGGCTAATATAAATATTCGATAAGTTTGTAACACACAAGAAAAAAATAAGTTCAGAAACTGAAAAAAAACACATATTAAAACCAAAAATAAAATTACATTAAGAGGTGCCTACCTACACATTTAACTTAGGATAAAACTCGTATCGAATTTTTAAACGTTTGACGGGGCCAAAACAATCCAAATTAAAACTAGACAATTACAAGTATATTTTATTTATACATTAGAATATACTTAAAGATTATTAGGTAATTTCAATTTTTAAACAACACCAGTAATCAAACATACTAAGATTTGGAACTTGTTGCACTAAATCTTATGACTATATATTATATATAGGTAATATATAGGTATAATATAAGTATATTACATTACTACGATAAATTAGAACACTATTACAAAAATGTGGAATGAAACTGGATAATACGATAAGAAAATGTCAGTAAATGTTTAATGTATGGTTTACTCAAGTATATTAATGTACGCCAGTAAATCATATAAGCATTCTCCTATTTTTTCTGACTAACTACTTGTGTTACTAGAAACATGCACGTGTATAACCATTGCTTAAATAACTATTGGCTGTTGCTATTAGCTTCTAGAAATACCAAACACCGAAAACGTTAGTCCTTAAAAAACAATATTGTGGTAAAATCTTAGTGTAATTCGTGTATTAAAATAAAAATGTAAAATAACAATATAACATTTTAGATGTATTCTTGATTGTGGTGGTTCTAGAGGATTGAGCGTACTTATTTAAAATCGAATTAATACTATAATTATATTATGTTGTGGCTAAAACCCAAAAATACCTATTCTACTGCCATAAGGGGTATTCTGGAGCGAAGCATTTCATGAAACGCGAGGCCTTGGGGGAAAATGTCCAGTCTGCCTTACCCTTCTGCCGGCGTTAGCCTTATAGGTACCTAATTAAATAAATATTATATTATATATATACCTCCTTTAATCCTTCCATTAGTGCTGATTGCTGATAGTGAAAAAGTTGTGATGACTATAATTATAAGTGATATGAAGATAATTACAACTGAATCAAATATGCCAGCTTGCCCTACAATCCAGGGTAGCCTTAGGAAGAGCATAACACCCCATATACTGAGTAGACATGGCGTTAGTACACCTTCAATCCATCCTAATTTTATACCTTGATCTGTATTTAATTTACTTTCTTCTTCGCGAAAAATTGTCTCGTAGGATTGAATCTGAAAAATAAATTATAAATTAAGTACAAGAAATGTTTTTTAAATAAAATCTAGTCAATTTTTTTAATAATTGATAGTTATTTTTTAATTTATGTGTTTGTATGATATTAATTAATATTGTTATAGGTATTTATATAAAAACAAAATTATATAATTTACGAGTATTTACCTGTCTTGTCGACAGAAATCTTTTTGGTTCAACATCATCTACTTGTTGTTCAATCATTATTATCTAAAAATATATATGTATATAGTCACATAGGTATATTTTCAATTAATAAAACAGACTTCATGGTAAAAAACTTAATTTTGTTATTATTACTTAATAATAGGTATATTGACATTCGATTTACCTATTTAAATAATATGATACATAAAATAATTTTCAATTATGAACCATTTGTTTTGACATTAATACCGCACTACTGTTTATTAAAATTAAATACAAATAATGATCAGTTATAACAAACTTTATGTGGATACTATTTTAAAAAAACATAACGAGTAGGTAGGTAAGTATTAGTAGCATTACATATTATCATCGGAAGCATGTAGCATGATAACTGAAACGTACAGTTCTAGTAGTTTTTAGACTTTCTACCGTAAATACCGAGTATTTTTTTTTGGGTGGGGTGAGGTACATAAAACAATGACGTAATAATTAAAGCAATATAGTTAATAAAAATAGTTAAGGCTTAACTATTTTAAATTAGAACCAACCTATACCTATATTTTATTTGAAGAAGTATTTCAAGCCAGTAATTTATGCCCTACGATAAATGCTGAATTTGCCGTAACTATCGAATTGTTACGATCTATCGTTGCGTGTAAGTGAACTGTTTACGAACTTTTACAACAATAATAATGGGTTTTCCGTTGGAAATGCGTACCTACACTGTTAATATAGCAAAATAATATATTATTATTAATGATTAATGAATAATAATATGTATTATTATTTTAATCTTTATAGTCAGACCATTGATGATAAAATAATGTTACCTGTGTATTTTTTAATCAATGATTAGACGTAGGTGGGTGGGTAGGTAGGTAGGTAAATACAACGTAGGTATAATATACACGACATGGTTGTTGCTATGGAAATATACTTAAATTTTGCGTGATCAATGATTAAATATATAATATTGTGTTGTGTTCTTTGACTAATGACAGTTAATGAAAATTACATTTTAAAATGAACGATTGAATATTTTTGTATGTTAATAGAAAAAGGTGCAATAACTGCGAGTTTTATAATTAATATAAAAATGATAAACTTCGATTCGGTTAACAACACGACTCATCGAGGACGTGATTTGGTAAGTGTTATTGAATATTATTATTTATATGTAGTCTATATAGTTGTCAATACACGTGTTGAAAAAACTAAATGTATAAAATATTCAAAACAAATAAGCTTATCTCTCAAATAAATGAAAAATAAATACATATAGGTATTAGGTAGTGTTTGAATTACACTTGATCAATTTAATCTGAATACCCACAGTAGTACCTATAGTACCTATAGGCTATACTAAATACTATATATAACATAATTTACTATCTAATATTACGTAAATAATTTACACAATTACATTACGTAAAAAAATGTGCTAGGTAACTATAATAAATTGATTTGAAATATAAAGGATCTTCCAAGTTTCATCATGTTACAGTCAAATTTTCCATGTAATATTAATTTTATCAAAAAATGACTTGTATAAAACCTTTTAGAATTATATATTCTAAAAATATTACATGTTCTTCTTATTTTCGGAGTTGAAACGGTTACCTATTTTTGATTTTCAAATATCAATTATAAATGCCATAAATATAAACTAATACTCAGTGTATTAGTTTAAAATAATTTGGTGTTGAAATTTTTGATTTTCATCTATACGCTAAATTTGGGTAAGGATATAGAGTAGTGGAGCATAATTTGTGAGGCAGCAGAGTACGTGGTAATACAACAGTGCTCCTCTACTTTCCGCGCACCTAAAACTTAAAAATGGAATATCTCGTTAATGGGTTGGCGGAAATCAAATATGTCAACTCCTAAATATATTCAAAGTAATACTCCGTCTATTTAAGGAATTTTTTAATGTAGCTTGCTATTTGAAAATCAAAATTAGATAATCGTTTTACACTTAAAAATAAAGACAATGTAGCATATTTTTAGAATATATGATTATAAAAAGTTTTTAAATAATTTATATATTGAAAAAATTAGAAATTCATTGAAAATTTAATAGTAACATGGAAGACCATGTATAATGTGTAATATATGTATAATAATCAAATCAATTGATCCAGCAGTATTTATTTGTTCTCTTAATTTTCTCTTTCACCTATTTTTAGTTATATGGACCTATTAGTTATAAAAAAAATGATAATAGATGGATACATTTATTATAATAAACATATTTTATTATATTATTACTTTATACAAAAAAATCATAAATTATTTTTGCCGGTTCTTTTTTTAAATATTGATTGTAGATTGATTCAGGTGCGATAGGTATTTGTTTTGTGAAATAATAATATTTATTTTTATTTTTATAACTTAATATAAATATTATATTTTCATTAAATATGTCATCACTATTAAGGTAATCATCACCAATCATTGAATGCAGAAAGGGCATATTTTCAAATTTCAAAATGTCTCAAAAAATTATTACTTACCTGCTTAATATCCGAAAATAAATGTAAAACAAATTTTATGTTAATAACTAATAATGGTATAGTATTAATTTCAAATAATGTCTATAAGTTTCTACAGTAATTTTATGGAATGTTATAAAACTAGATGCTTAAAGAGGTTTTTGATCTTCCTTGAAAAATGTTAAAATTTGAACATGTAAACTTTCTGCATTTAGCGATTTATATATCAGGTATGTGTGGCTTTATATAATATTTCTATATACCTATATAGAGTTTACCTAATCGCGGTTCGTTCTTTTGATCTTTATAAAACTTATACGTATTCAGAACACATGTGAAAATTAGCAATACACAGTGCATGTCTTGAAGTCTCATTTCGATGCAATACGGTATTGTATTATTCCTTGACAGGTGAAAGTCGGTACTTCTTAAGAATAAAATCACAAAGGAAAACGGTTTGACGAAAAAAAAAAATAAAACAAAAATATTGACACTGTCAAAAATTATAGTGTCGAAATAGTAGTGCTTTGAGCTAGGTAAATAAGGTAGGTAGGGATATAAGGTACCTATAATTACCTAAACATAGGTATACATATACAGACATTTAAGAATAGTTGTACTTCCCTAATTTGGTCTTCAGTTATTCATTTCGAAAATATTACAATAGGTTAATAGGTTTAATGAATTAGGTATTCCGACTTTAAATCCAAAACTTGAAATTGTTACAGAGAATACCTATCTATTTGTATAAAATAAAATAGATTGCTTACCGAATTTATAAAAATATTACAATTTAATAGTATGCATATTGATATAGGTACTATATAAATATTATAGTGTACTATAATATAACTAGTTATATTTTGATTTATAGGAAAAAAGGAAAAAACAAGAAAGAAAAAAGTCAATTCTCTATTTGATAGAAAATTATTTAAACACAGAAGGGTATGTTCCAGTTTTATATACATCGCACATTAGGATTAAATTCATATAAAATAAAATACATACATTATTCATTTATAATACTCCATTTTTTAAATATAATTTCATGTTCAATTCTTACCAAAAATATTGGTCAACTTACCTACTGTTTATATGCATTATTTTTTTTTATAAATCGAATACACTTTTAATGCAATAAAATAATGCACAAGAAACGTGAAAGTTATACATTTATTTTACGTATTGGGTTTACTTTATACATCGTACAATTTATAAACACGCACTAATATATTTAAATAGTAAGAAATTTATGATTGCTATTTTAGTCCTATAATAGGTTTTCTTAGTTCAAATAATGAAATGATGAAATTATAGTAAATGTACATGACAGTAAAAAAGAATGCACGAGACAGATTATGGTGATTTTAGTATTTAGTTTTTCTATTTAAACAAGACGAAGGAAGAAATACATTATTATGCACACATTTTAAAATTGTTCAAAGTTGTAGATATTAAATATCTTTTTTCACCTTGAGCATAATTTTTATTTTTAACAAATAACTGTTATAATTATCGTACTTTTGTGGTGTGTAATATTTTTAAGTTTCTTTTCTTATAATAATATTACTGAAGTGTTAATTTATTAAAAATTTTAGATTCTGAGTGGAGCGAAAAAACTTATGGTTTTTCAATGATGTTTATTAATATTACTTTTTTTTTTATCTGTGCGTAACTTTTCTACCAGAAATCTTGCTCCGATTTTTAAATGTAGCAACTTTTCTAAAATGAAATCGGACTGGGGAGGTACCAAGGAAGTATTTTTTCAATTTTTTCATCAAATGTGAAAAACCAGGAAAATCGGTATATTAAACAAATATTATTAAAGAAAATATATAATGCCTATTTAATTATTTTACCATTAAATGACATATATATATTATTGACAAAGCATCATACTATCAACTGAACTACGCTCAGAATCATTTTTTGTTAGCAATGGTTTATCGTTGCAGCTTACAGGTATAGGTACATTCAATTACTTATAACAGTGGCTGCCCCCGTATCCATTATCCTAGGACAGCATTTTAGTAATTGTTTATTCCCCCCCTCCTCCTGAAATTTTACCTATGGGAGCCCGTGACTTTGTATATAATATAATGTATTAATCCGAGAGGGAGGACACTAGATAAAACCCCTTGGGGGGGGGGATTTCTGGCTACATCGATGTATTCGTCGTTAATCGCATAGTATAATATATTATTATATATTTTTAGACACAAATAAATTGATTTTAAATTAGTTTTTATGACTTCGATATACTGCAATATAATAATATGTTATGTTAATTCGAAGTTATTATTACGCAGATACCAGAGATTGAAAAAGTAATCTTAATAATTAGAAAAGCATATGGGTAGGTACCATATTATACAATTTGTATTTGTAATTACACAATATATAATTTGCGTTACAAATAATGATTTGTGTAGTATGTAAAATGATTGTACCTGCATTTATAAGTGTTAGTGAAATTTAAATATTTAATATACAATATCCCGAAGGGGATATATTAATTATACACCAGTAATATTGACAACTAAACTGGTAATAAATATAAAATTTAACTATTTTAGCATTTCGTGTTTTTTTTTTTTTTACGCGCTTTATAAGCGATAAAATATATTTTAGGTTAGATATAGTACATATAGATATTTTCTCAATGATTACGAAACTTTTCAACCTATACAATTTTAAAGAAATATAACACCTTACAGTGATATCTTATATATTTTTTTTAATCCCAAATTATTATTATGAATGATAAAAGTCTTACAGTTTTTTTTTAAAACAATAAAACAAGTATCATATTATTAGAGTTATCTTTATATATTATATTAATTCGCTTTTAGCGTAGTTGAGTAGTTCGTATCATAATCGTAGGACAAAATCAATGATATAGTTTTTATAAAACAGGTATACGACAACTGCATCAACTTTAGTCGGAGAAGCTTGTTTAAATACATGTAATCATGTAGTTTGCGATAACATAGATTTAGATACTATTCTTATAGAATATGAAAATTATTATTATTTACGTTATCAAAAAAAACCAAAAATCATTAAACCATTGGATATTGTTAAAACTGACAACCATCATGCTACAAACAACAACAAAAACAAAAACAAAAACACAAAAAAATTAAACTCAATTAATCAACCCTCACGAGACGTTCAATCATTAGATACAAGTTTTATTACAGTAACTCCTATGAGTAATTTTTGCGATGAAACTTTAGAACAGGAATACGCAATCCCTTCAATCGATCTCAGTCATTGGAAAGACGAATGGCAAGTTTTTGCCGAAATTATATCGAAAGTAATCATTAAAAATAAATTTAAATTTATTTACACGCACGATCAAAATACTAACGTAGGTACAACTAATGAAGTATTATAATACATAGGAAATTTTAATGACCAATCCAAATGTGAAATGGTCAGATATTAAAGGACTTTCAACGCCGAAAAAACTATTACATGAAGCAATTGTATTACCAACAAAATATCCAGACTTATTTACTGGACTTTGCACCCCGTGGACTGCAATGCTGTTGTATGGTCCTCCCGGTACAGGTATACATAATAAATATTAGGTGGTATATCGATAAGCTTTATGATAAAGCTTATCAATATAGATCAATTTTATTTTTACTTTATCAATTATAAATAAAGCCTTTATCTATAATTGCGAAGATTTGATTAAGATTTTTTTCAAATATATCTACCCTTTTAACAGGAAAAACATTGCTTGCTAAGGCGGTGGCAACTGAATGCCAAACAACATTCTTCAACATTACACCAAGTACACTAGTTTCTAAATGGCGAGGAGATTCTGAAAAACTTATAAAAGTTATGTTTGAAATGGCAGAACATATGTCACCAAGTACAATATTTATTGACGAGTTGGACACAATAGCATCAAAACGTATTGATCACGAGGCTTCGCGTAGATTAACGTCTCAAATATTAATACATATGGATGGTCTTTTGAGTTTAGAAAAACGTATATTTTTGTTAGCAACATCAAATCACCCTTGGTAAAAATTTAATGTTATTCGTATTTAAGTTATAAAGTATTTCGAAAATTAATCCACAGTAGGTACCTAATTGCAGAGAATCCATAATTTTAGCCTAAAATTTGCTTGTGTACGTAACTACCTAATAAAATTGTAGAAATGTAGAATGGACTCCCAGAATTTAGTTTGTAACCGATAATTTGTATATTATAGGACATTGATAACAAAATATTCTTCTAAAAAGAGCTGATACTGCTGATGAGATGCAACTGTTGTATAGATGGAAAGTTGTGAGTAGGTAGAATACATAGTTACTCAATTTTTGTCGGTGCGCAACGATAAATTACGTATTACTACCGAAATACAATTCCAAGCGAAGTTCGACTGTACATATTTTGAAATACTGTAATGTCTACAATTTTCGTTAAAACTTGATCCTAAAAAGCTTATAAAAAAACTACTATTACTGCAACTACTACTTTACATTAAGCTCAACTTCATAACACCTAAAAATATATCCGTGTTGTTTACGTTTGTTCCAACTATATTACAAAAATCTGTTGGAAAATAAAAATTGATTATCTAACTTACTAATTAAAAATAAATCAGTAAAAATGACCATATCCCCAATGAATCAACTAAATCCAAAATGTAATAAAAAAATCTTTTGCAATTTTTTTGATTGGAGTAAGATTTCTTGTAGAAAATGTATTAACAGCAAAAATATACCCATGTTACAAAATCACACATTAAAACTAATACATTTCTACTATGCTCAGAATACTAAGCTTGGTACGTTTAATAATAAAACAGAAATTTATTTAAATTAATAAAAACTTATGTTAATTCGTACTTACTTGCATTATTCATATCTTCGTCAAACTAATCTGGAACTATTAGCCGTCAGGATGAATTTCCGAAAACGGTGTTAACTGCACAGGTATGTTCCACCAACTGATGGAAAATGAATAAAACTTAATAAAAGACCTTAAAACGTTAAAATCGCGCTATATTATTAATTAAATAATTAATTAAGCATACGTCGCACCAAGACATCTACGAACGAAATGGAAAGTAGTAGGCTAATTTAAATGGATAGCGTCCAAAATAATTTTAAATTAAAAAATCAGGAGTTCTTAAATTTTTAAGTTACATTTTCAATATAAGCAGCAACATATAGAATGTAGAACCGATCGATGCGTTCGTAACGAAATAAACATTACAGAAAAATTAGAAAAAAAGTAACATTTTTATTGATTACCATTCCACCTCACAGTATTCTGTTTTTCATTAGATAAATGTTACCGGGTGATAAACATTTAAAATGTTAGGTCAGCGTTATCCCTATTTTTTTTTTTTTGTAGGACAGGTTGTTGAAACTATTATACCCATTTTTGAGTTTTAAATAGCAATCTATATTATAAATTCCATAAGTAGACGAAGTTTTAAATTAAATACATTTTTATATTTTAATTTTCAATTTCTGTTAGCCCGTTGACGAGCTATTAAAAGTGAAATTTTGTTTACCATGTATTGTTGTTACGTGGAATGTATGTGGAACACTATTTAAACGCCGTGCGCCACGACTGCCGTACAAATTATGTTCTACCACTCTCTTCCGGCTCATACTTTAAAAGTGACATATAAGTATCTCGTAAAAGGGTTGACAGGAACATTTCAATATCAAAATTTATTTTAAACTAAAATTTTTATCTATTTATGATATTTAGAAAAACGGGTAATAGTTTCACACTCTAAAATAAGGAAGACAAAAAATAGCGGTTATATAACAATTTAGATCTGCGTTTATTCTTTTAAATGTTCCAAAAAACAGATTTCAATAAAAATTAATGCTTTCCAAGATAATGAGTGTCTTTAACGATAAATTGATATGCCTGTATAATACGTTTATGAATTTATTAAATAATATATTTTTTTGAAAGAATCAAACATTATTTAAACTGTTAAATATAAACCTACCTACCTGTTTAAAATTACTTTTAAACTTTTTTTCTGAGGTGTACTCTAATGTACCCTTTAATGTAATAGTTTGAGAACAACTCGCATCAATAACAAAATATGCAGTTTACTGAATAAAATATTTTTTAAGAAAAAACAAAAAAAACCTAAGCATAGACGTTTTACAATATTGTGCCAAGAACATTAAAAACTAAGGCTGGTACTATGATTAAATGAATCAAAACGCTCCATTAAAAGATTAATAATAATAATAATAATAATAATAATAATAAGCCAGTAATATACTGCGGGTGTTTTGTTGATCGTGCTTGTCCCTCATTCCTCTTTTAAGAATGTCTCATTTAAAATAGGGAATTTGTTTGTTCACAAAATATTATAGAAGCAACGGAATCACTCGATAAGAAGTATTATTATTTACATACATTTTTTTTATAACTATAAAGACATAAAATAATAAAAAGAGTGATTTTTCAAACACGATCATCCCATTTTTACGGTTAAACTATTTATAAATTTTAATTTTAATTCTTGAATTTATTTTAAAAAAAGAACTCTTATAAATTTCGGATAAAGTTGATTACAGACAGAACAAAATCGCACACAGCATAGTAAACCCAATAGGTTTCAAACGGAATTCTCATAGGGAATAAGAGAGATGTGTAAGATCAAGTGAACTAAAATTATTATAGTAGGGATATATATATATATACATATAAAAAAAAATAATTAATAATTTAAATGACTATAAGTACCTCAGAAATGGTTGGACGAAATAATGTAACATGCAATTGTATCATGTCTTTCAGGAGGTAATATAAATACCTATTCGATAAAATTTTTAAATCTCTACAATTTTTTAAAGCTTTTAGATTGTGGGTGGAGTAAAAAAAGCTTATGGTTTTAAAATAATGTTTTTTTTTGTCTTTAGATCTTTTAGAGAGGTCTTTATTTTTGATTTTCCTAACAAATGGGAAAAAACTAAAAAAAAAACTGAGAATAAATAAGAAAATATACGAAATGTATTAGTAAAATATTACGGTCTTTTTTCTAGTTTACTTTTCTACCAATAATTTTGCTCAGATTTACAATAATAGCACTTTTTCTAAAGGGAAATCTGACTGGGGAGGTCATTTTATGATATTTAACAGTAAATGGGAAAAACCAGGAAAAAATAGGAAAATAGGTACAATATTAAATAAATATTATTAAAGAAATTAAATAATAATTAATTATTTTACCATAATATGACATATATATTGATGCCAAAGCAACATTATCAACCGAACTCCACTCAGAATCGTGATTTCGTTAGCAATGGTTTTTGTGTATCGTTGCTTATATACATTAAATTTCCTCTATTACCTTCCCAACATCATACCTATAACAGTAACTGCACCCGTCCCCATTATCCTAGGACAGCTTTTTCTTTAACTTGCCTTTTGAGTCGTGTTACGATGAAATCCTGCAATCCATTTTTGATTCACTTTTCGAGGTCTAGTCGATTTGTACGTCAATACATTAATTAATCATATTTTCCGTTTTCACTTCCATTTTAAAAGGAAGTTTAAACACGTGTATGGTAACACACATACCTATAACTTTTTATAAAGTTGTATGTATTATGTACTCCATCGTCAAACCGTAACATCCCAACAAGCAATCAGAGGATTCGCAGAGAATGAAAGAGATGAAATAAGGAACATTGCAATTATTTCGTAAAAACCGCTTAGATTATGACCACGGAGTAAGATATAATGGGTTGGTTACGAGATGAAGTTTACCAATGATAATTGGCAACACATAAGTATGATACAAAAGATAAGTGTGGTGGTTTAAATCTAAAATCGTGATACACAAAATCTGTTGACTAAATTGGCATAAGTAACTGCTAATTTCCAAGCTAAATAACTAACTTTTGGTGGCTTAAATAAAGAAATTATAAAGAAATTACATTTACACTGGTGGATTATTTCACACTACAATTACGCATATTATTACTACAATTTATATCAACTAATTAAAAATTGTTTAATAATAAATGCCTCCATGTGAAAATGTAAGAATATGAATTATTTTTATAATAATAATAATAATAATGGTAATTAATACAAATGTGGTTCCAAATAAAACCACTGGCAACGCTAAAACCCGTTGGTCTACAATGCTGTTAAGAGAGGAAACTTTTGCGGCCAGTCCTCCGTCATCCGCCACTATGTGATCAACCCATTATATCTTAGTCCGTGATTATGACTAAAAAATTGGAAATAAATAAACAAATGGTTTTTCTTTAAAAAAAAATCGTAGTAAAAAGTAAAAGAAAATTTTTTCGAAAATAAACATTTTTATAATCATTATGAATGATTAAAACAGCGTATACTCAAAAACAATAATTTTATTATTTTCGACGTATTTAATATTATATTAAAGCGTTGTATCATTAACTCAGCGTTTCAATAATAGTAAAACCAATACATTTCTCTGTGCGGCCAGAATCTAAAATATTTGCACAGAAACACGTTTATTAATATTATTCATTTGAATTAACATATTATTTTGATAAATCATTTAAAAAAAGATTATTTTGTAGCTTCTTTGTTCATTATTGTTACGTACGTTATTTTAACATTTATACGTTTATCAGAATGATTCGCTTTTACCAATTTGCACATTTGTAATAACAAATTATTAACGATCATAATATCTTGTATCATTTTAAGGGAATTAGATTCTGCGATTCTTCGTCGTTTTGAGAAACGTATTTTAGTTGATTTGCCTGACGTTCAAGCCAGGAAAGATATGTTTCTATTTTATCTATCGGAAATGTTGGAAAAAAACAAGTACATCAAATGCGAAATAGATAGCGACAGTCTTGCTCAGGTAAATGTTTTAAATCATCACACATCTATCTGATATTTTGTTATTATTATGATTGTTTTTCTATTTATAGAAAACGAATAGTTATTCTGGTTCAGACATAAAACTCGTTTGTAAAGAAACAGCGATGCAAGCTATGCGTCTGGTATTCAACGGTTTAGAAAACAAAATTTGTTCGAGTAACAATCTCAACCTTACGATAACAACTAACGATGTTAACAATTCGATTTCAAAAACAAAACCATTGACGAGTGAAACGGATAATAACAAATATACAGTTTGGCAATCACAGTATGCGTCACATTAATAGTTCAGTTCGGTGAATTGGGTATTTTTTGTAATTATTACTATAACATTTGTGAAAAATGTTAGTACACATCATTAAACATTAATTGAAATGTATTTTTGTTTGATATATATATAATGAATTGTATCCAACCTAATATATTTTATGGCAACATAAATACATAGGAAATAGTATAATTAACATTTTTTTTTAATAACACGTAAATCAGTGATACACCTACCTAAAAGACATCGTGGTTTACCATTATTAATTATTATAGGTACGATTTTTATTCGAATTATACAGGGTGATTTTTTTATATCATGAACCAGTAATTATCTCAGAGGATTTTAAGTGAATTTGATTTTTTTTTCTAATCATCATGGAATCGTATAAGCTTTATTTTAAAATCATTTTTAACCTTTCACTTTACATACTATTTTACTATTTTACTATACACACCTATTTTCAAATAGGAACCCCCCCTTTTTTGAACACAGATTTGAATAGAAAATGTTTTTCTAGAAATGTTGATATGTATAACACTTTTGATGGTTAAACAGACTTACCATTCATGAGTTGTAACAGTTTTAAGTTTTGACCGAAGAAGTAGGGAAGTGTTATAGATAGACAATTTATTACAGATATGTACAAAAAAAAATTATCAACTATCGTGTACTGTGTCGTTGATAGTTGACCTGCGCAATTTCCAGTAGAAATTTTTTTTTTTCTAAAATCATTATTTAACAATATTAGTATTATGTTATAAATATATATATTAATGGCCCTGAGCCAGTGGCGACGCCAAAATATTTTTCCAGAGGGCCATCGCGATAGGAGAGAATAGGGGAATACCGGTCACTAACGTTTCTAAAAAAACTATCTTATTTGAAGTTATAATAACACTCTTGATTGTTAAATTATGATATTGTTACCCAAAATTTAACACTGCGTGTTTTTTTCCCGGCCAAAAATGCGATATTTCTCAGTTAGAAATCAAAAATATACACAAAAAATAATGTTTATTTAGGTACTCAAGCTAGTAATATAATAAATCATAATATTAATGTTATAGCTAGTTTTGGAAAACATATATAAAAGGGGTCAAAGCGTATGGGGTAATACCGGTCAATGATATTATTAGGTAGATAATTTATGTATTGTTCTAAGAACCCATAGTCTATTTAACTAGTCCAAAAGAGTTTTATACAGCATATACTTAATGAATAATGGTATAATGCACATAAACTCTTAGACGATTCAATAGATGCCCCTACTCTCCTTTCCAGTATTAACTTCCAAGTGCCACAATGTTCCTTTCCATCTGTTTCCATACCCCTTTCTCTGTGCCGAATTGTCCTACAAACTACGATCGCAACAACTCTATTTATTGTACGATGCGGATTGTTAATGAACAATCTACCTTTTTACCATAACCTAACCACTTTGTTATTGGTTTATCGTTATTTTTTTGTAAATTAAAAAATTATACTTATGTGTCATTGGGCTTGTCTGTAATGTTTTAAATAAATAATAGGGTATTTACTGCTTCAGTTATACGAATAAAATATTAATGACACAATATAAACATGACACTATGTATGCAGGAGCGGTCTAGTCAATCTAATAAATTTGTTTAGAATTTCACTGAAAATTGACTACTCAAAAAGAAAAAAAAAATCACAAGATAAACCAAACCAACGTCTTGAAAATTTTAAGATAATAAAACTATTTTCCCATTAATGGATAGGTACATTTTATTTTCATAAAGGATTGTAATATTTTAAACCTAAAGTTTTTGTCAGGTAGAGCTACCGATATCCGGCCATGTTGAATGATTATGTTTATCAACTGCTATTGTTTTTATATTGACAAGGAGGAACATAATCATTTTGTTCAGCTGAACCTTTGCAAATCCCTAAAATTTAAAATAAATATAATTTATAAATAAGACATTGTGTTGGCTCAGTACACCGGTCCGCTCTGACTTTACTCTTATATTAGAGAATGCGACAACTGTAGAATGGGCAAAATCCGAGTTATATGAGATAATACTCAGCGTGCCGAACAATTTACATCTAAAAATTACACAAATTTGCTAAGGATATGTATACGCAAATGATATTAAATCTACCAGTTTCTATCTAAAGAAAATTAAAATTAATAAAATGTGAATCTACACACGCAATTGCCATTTGCATCTCATAAAAAATAAAAATTAAAACTACAAGATCCCTATCCTTTAATATTTATTCTCAGTGGAAGAACAATTAAACACACATCTCATCCTTTAAATAATCTGCAGTAGTCACTAGCAGGAAGACCTTGATACCTTGGAACAAATTATATAAATATATTAGTAATGCTGCTACACTGAGATACGGCATTTTTGAGGGTTGTCGTGTATAGATACGTTGAATGAAATACTTAAGTAGAAGAAATAAAGCTGATAATATTTGGACCATTTAAGGTCAAAATTCATATTGTTGAAACTTATATACAGAAATGCACCTTTTTTTTTTTTTTTTTTTTTAAATTCGAGATAGTAATGTCTTGGGATAACATATCAGGATAAAAAAAATATTTAAATAGTTATTTAATACTTACAGTTAAATAATTCTTTTCTAATACAAATTTCGTGTTTTATTTTACATATTAGACAGAATACAAAACTAGAAGTTTAAAATTTGAATCTTAGATATAATATACCAAAGGCAAAAATATTAAAATTACTACTAATCATTGTTCTGATGGAATATTTTCTCTCATAACAGTATCTTCTTTTTTTATTAAACAAATTTAAAATAGAAACAAAAAAAAAAGTAACAGTCAGTAAATTATCAAATACAGTGCCATCAATAATTAAATAATTTATGAAATTTCCTACATTAGTATTTCTCAGTTTATTAATTAATAGATAAAGTTCAAATTTAGTTTTAGCAAATATCTAAACTATACTTGGAGATTTTACTTCTAATGTATTCATGTGTATGGGATAAACAGCATATTCTAGCACGGTTTTTTCTTCTTACACTAAGTAAAATTTTGTTTATAGTAAAAATGATAATTTATTTTTTTACCAAAAAAACTAGTCACTTTAGTCATAGCGAAATTTAGCAGCAAGTAAGTACTGTAAAATTAGCATTATTGATGTATAGCATAGAGTACCTATTCATAGTATAATATTAAATTATGATAAAATAAACATATGTGTATCAGTCTTAATAATAGCTTATATGCTATTTCTATACTAATTGTATAAAGGGCAGTAAAAAACAAGTCTCATTTTATAAATCAATCTTGGACCACTAATAAGGTAAGAATAATCTATCCATATCTCTATATTATCTATAATTTTAAATTGTGAGTATATCACCTGCAATTACTCAATATGACCAAAAAAAAAAAAAAAAAAATTGAAGAACAGTTAAGTAACATTTTAGAACTACGAGGGACAGTTAAAACGTTAGGTTACAACAGCTATATAAGATAAAAATAATTTTTCTTTAAGTTGATATCAGTAATGTATGGGGATGTTCCTAACAGTCAAAATAAACCATTGAACGCCTCAATCCATTACAAAATATTGTTGCAGCAATAAATCATCCTTTCGCCAAATTAAAAGTTTTTAGGGTTGATTGCCATTTTCTAATAACGAGGTATAGGCAGTAAAAGTGCTTCGAAAGGTTGAAAAAGGCATAAGACGAGGCTATACAAAGGTAATTGCCCAGACTTCAATAATGCATTGACCAAGACAATAATTATGTAGAGAATTGACATATTTCGGCATGTATCCTATAATTTACAATACATTATATTGTATTGTATTACATAATATATTTTTAAATTTTAACATGTGTTGTAACCTTACTTTTTGGATGTCCCTTGGACATATTTCTTAAATAATCTAAAAATCTAATTTTTATGTTAAATTGATTACCTGTATATTCCATTAAATACGTGTTTTCATAATATGTAGAATAATTTAATATTCAGAATTTACTTATTTTTAAGTAAGAGGGATGCTATTCTTCGGAACAATTAAAAGTCACACCTATTTATTTGATGTAATATTATAAAAACAAAGATATACTTAACATTTTAACTCATTGAAACAAAAGTTATTAAAAAATAATAGATTTAGATTTATTTATTTGGAATTTGGAGAATCCACTAGTTTCATAAATTACACATTAAAAACCTGATAATATCTTTCTTAATACTCAGATCTCATGATATTTAAATAAATTATAAATACTTACCAGTTAATTAATTTCACACAATAAAATATAAAATTAATATCATTTACCAATCTTATCAGTAGATTAAGTTATTATAAAACTTCATAAAGTATAATTTCTATTTTTATAATTAATTTTTAAATTAATTAAAATAATCTGTTTGTAGAACTAATATTTACAATAAAAATAAAAATTGACAAAACTGTGAATAAAAAGTATTATATTTTTTAAAATATTAAATTGTTGAATTACTATTGATAAACATTAATTTAAATTTAGTTAGTGACCAAAATAACCTATTAATAGGTTTTAACAAAAAATCAAATCTATGTACATCTTGCTTTAGGCGATATTCTATCACGATAAAAATTCAAGAAAAAAAATCTAAAATCACAAAGATATACTATCTATTTATAATTATTACATAATAATCAACATATAAGTTTAAAATGCTTATATGTCAATTGAATGTAATCAATTACTGTCTTACAAATAATCACAATCATATTGTGTATTTTTTAACTTATAAAAGTAAAGTTTATTATTAAAGAATGATTAGAAATAATACGAGGAGCATAAGCGAACAATGTCGCCAGTGATGGTCCAGTCATCAAATAATAATACGTTCAGTTGCGCCTGTAAGGATGGTATGGTTGTGCTTGGTTTGAATTATAATTATTCGCTCTGGTTGGTCCTGGGGCGTTATTGTAAGTCGCCGCCGGAACTCCGGCGGAAACGACTGGCGTCACTACTGGGGCCACTAAATTATAGAAAGTTGACAATTTAAAAACCTAATTTTTTAAATTTTCTTTTTTTCTTGTCAAAAAAAATTACATCAAATAAACAGAAAAGAATAGGCAACACTGCAAGTAGTGAAAAATTATGTATAAAAAATATATATAAATATTAAAAAAAAAAAAAAAAATGGCCGACTTTCATAACTGAATGACATATTTAACTTGATTCTTTTTCATTAATAAATAACTGAAGGTATACTTTCAGTTTAAATACTATGGGAACAAACACATTTACTTACAACTCGCAATGTCGCCCAAAAAATAGGAGGGGAATAAATTAACTCAACATTTTGTATTGTTTTTTTTTTTTTTTTAATATTTAAACAATTATTATTATTATTATTATATTATTTTGTTTTAAATCACGCCAAAAGCGACCTTCTACATCATTGAAAAAATACTAACTGACAATAAATAATAGGATTTTCTTTTCTCAAATAAAAATTGTTACAGGCTAAAGTATTAATAATAAAGCTCAAATTTGTTTTTCACAAAATAATTAAAACATTCATAAATTATAAATAAAACGAGAAATATATAAATAAATATCTATATAAATATTTCATAGCTTTTGTCACAGGTTAAAAAAGTTCTCAATCGTATCCTATTCGTCGAATATATAAAATGTCTTGATAAAAAAAAAAAAAAAAAAAAAAAATCAATAATTAAAAACAAATTCTTATTTAAGACCATAACAACTGTAAACCTAGACTTATTTTGTACAAAAAATATGCTTATAACTCATCACAATTAAGTCGTTAATTCTTTAAAAATATAGTTTTGGTAAAAATTATTTTTTGAGAAGAATGTTCTCAAAAAACAAAAATTATTACTAAGAAAATGTCATCCTATAAGTAAATACAGATAATATTACTTTAAACTTTTTAATTCTAATTGTGTAATCTTATGTTTATTATTTTATTTTAAAAATAGTGACTTTATAAAAAAAACCAGTAACTTACTAGGACGAGTTTGTGTATTAAACATATATATATATATATATATATATGTTTATATATATATATATATATCTTAGAAAAAAAAAGACAAATAGTCGGGACAAGATATTTAAAGTAACCTTGACTTATTCATTAAATAATTCAACTTCTACTTAAAAATGAAAACAACACTTATTTTTTAAACGATTCGAGAATCTTCCTTAAGCCTGTATGTACATTAAATTTTTTTTACCAATTAATCAGTCCAGTGGTTCTTTAGCTATCTATTACAATGTGATTTTTAAAAGTAATTTTATAAACCTAAGAGCTTGAAATTTACCCGAATTTTGTTAATATTATTTATATTCCTTAACCCGATTCCCTTCACACTAAGTTATAAAATAATTATATTCGAAATATTTTAGATGTACTGTCTAGTCTCACTTTTGGTTCACCTTAAAAAAACGTGGTGCCGTTACTTTTTTTTTTATACTTAAGACCAAAGAAAAATAAACAAACTATGATAACAATTGTCATATTATGTCTAAAAGAAAAAAAAACAGGCTAAATTAAATATATAATAATAATAAAAAAAATAAACCATTAGAATCTAGGGACATAATATCATTATGCTAATTTTTCATTTGTTATTCGAGTATAAGTTAAATATTATTATGTAGTAATTATAAATAGATTGTATTAATATAGATATTTAATATATAATTCTATTATATACGTAAGAATTACAAATATTAATCGATAATCTATAATATTCCTAATTTCTCTTTATATAAGTTATATTATTTTTAATTGTTTCGTTATTATAATAATTGTGTTACCCAAACCAGTGAATATTGAGAGAAGTGTTAATTGATTTCAATCAGTCATGAAGTGGGCCATTCTTTAAAGTCAAATGGCTTACCATACCCACCGCCAGACCCGAGACCAGCGGCTGTGCCGTCCGCCCCTCTATAAGTTTGGCCTGCACCATAGCTGGTCGAATCCTAAAAATATAATTTACTCCAATATAATCCCATAACAAGATTTAAAATAATGAATCTACAACTACTATTACTATTACTACTACTACTACTACTACTACAACTACTACTAATACTACTAATATTATTACTACTACTATTATTACTTATAACAAGGAATTATAAGTAAAATAAATAAATAATAATAACAATAATGATAGAAATAACAATAATAATAGTTGTAAACTATATTATAAAATCAAAATAAAACAAATATAAAATACAATATGAATCACAATAATATTTACGAAAAAGCTGCCTTACAAAACTAATAAATATATAATATATATCCAATATATTATGATATGAAAGTTATTTGTTTAATGTAATTATCAAGATGTTAATAGATATAAAATCAATAACATATTGTACTGATTTAAAATAATGTAAAGCCATAAAACATCTACTGGACATAGATTTTATTATGACCTGATTCAGTAGTCATAATAAGAAAATATTACCAAGAGGTTCTTAAAATTTTAAATAATATTAATGGCTTTGCATTTTTTAAAAATCATAAAATTATAATTTTTTTTTTACAATGAATATTAAATTTCCAAAATATAACTCTACTTTCTAATATATACGTATATATTATAAAAATATTTTGAAAGGCAGTATGAACTTAATAATATGGAACAAGTGCAAATTGTACGGCCTTTATTTTAACAAACATTTTTTTTAAAATATAATTTACACGACAATTATTGGAATTTATTAAACTACGTATTAATAATTCCAGATGCTTTATACAAACTCCAATATAAACTTATTAAAATGTAACTATAACACAAAGCTAATAAAATCCAACGGATAATATTTAAAAAAGTGTATGCTTTAAATTTAATTTAATATGTTTACTATTATCTGATATTGTTAAATTTATATATTTTAAGGATATGCTTTTATACTTCTAAAAAAAAAGTTTATCAAAATTAAATATTTTTATTTTTAAGTTTGATTTTATTCACAACATAAAACTTGATTATATTATTTTTTTTATTAGATATAAATTTAAATATACATATTAGGGTGGTCCAAATCTATGTAACTGGATTGAAATTTTCATGAGAAATTAAAAATGAATACTCCCCCTCCCTGTGCTGAAATAGGGTTGAATTATGACACAAGGGGTTATTTTTCAGTTCTTTCAATTATTTGAAAAACTATAATATTAAGTGAATTTTTTTAAATTATTATAGAAAATAAAAAATTCAAAAAAGAAAACCTAACACAAATTTTATTTTTTAAAAATTGGCTAAAGAAAATAGGTTTTATTTTGTTTATAAATGAATAAAATAACAATTTGAAATAATAAATAATACTAACTAAAAACAATACTTTTTTACCATAATTCAAACCTATTTCAGCACTTTAAGGGAATGAGGTTTTAAGTCAATACTTTTGCAAAATTATTTTTTCATATTTATTTTATAAATGGTAGAATGGGTACTCATAATGAATTTTTAAGCAAGTCTTTTTGGACCACCCTAACACACACGCACACGCACACACACACACATATATATTACCTTTCTCTTAATTATCAGGATATTTGTATTAATTTAAGATTACTGAGTTTTTATTAGGGCCCTTCAGAAAAATGGTTTTATCTACACACTTAAACTATACGCACCTAAGGTGTGGAATCGCGGGGGAGGGAGGGGGGGGAGATTGAAGAATGAAAGACCTAATACAAAACATATTAGATTTGTGTTCTAGGAAATTAACCATATTTTTTCGTTATAGGGAGTTTAATTAAATTAATAGCAAAAAATTTACTTTTAATTTAATTTTCTCTTTTTTTATTGATATATACAATCAACAAAAAGAAAGAAACAATGGTGAATTGCATGTGTTGCTGTCAGTAAAACAACTTAGAAAAAGCACAACAAATGAATGTGGCAGGAAATCATTTAAGTATAAATATATTCAACACACCAAGGTTGAAGGACTGTTGACATAGAAAACTCGCAATCTAATAATAATTGTTGGATAATTTATATTATCACACGTTGTTCCTAGCGCATTAATAAAAATTGATCATCTAAAGGGCCTTACTAGGTAAACAATACTGATCAACTAAAAAAACTGGAGAGATTATTTAGCTTCACAGTGGCTAACTAGAGAAATAAATTGTAGAAGATTGAAATTCAAAAACGTAACAGAGAGTAATAACACTCATATTATTCACTCTCACAATTTTAAGTAACTTTTATAAAAATAATAATTTTAGAATAAATTTGTTGGTAATCCACTCAATATTCAAGTTTTTATAAAATACATTATGTCAGACTAGAATTAGACACATAACCAAAATAAATATGTTAACAAATAACTAAAATTATATTTAGTCAACAAGTTACTCCTAGTACTAACATAATACACTAGTACACATTAAAACTATTATATAAAATATCAAGATTGATCTACAGAATCTTAATTTAAAACTATGAAAATTATTATTGCTATTGAATAAATATATGAAATTTCCTTATTTAGAACAATGTTTTAGTTAAATCAATAATTAAATAATATAGACATTTTTTATTAAATTTTACTTTTGTCATATTACAGAAGATTAAATGTAAAGATACATTTAACGAAGACAAAAGTAATGATTCTCAAATTTTAAGTTGCAATGCATTAAGGAATTTGTGTCTAACTTAAAAAAAAACACTAATAACAATAATAATATAAATAGTTTTTTTTTATTTAATAATTTTATTCTTAAAGTACTTTATTTTTAAAGATACAGTGTGTACTATGGTAGATGCAAAAATAATATTTCTCAAAGAGATAAGATATCACAGAGATAAAGCAGAACAAATAATGTATATATATATATATATATATATATATAAAAAAAAAACAGGAAAATATTTAAAAAAACTTGAAAATAAATAAATTTATATTATTATAAATATAATATACAATCTAATTTTTAATTTCATTTGCCACATTTAATTATAGAACTTATTGCTATAATAAATTTACATACTTTAACTTGATTATTATTTTGTAAAAATATGATTTCATTATCATACAACAATTAAAGTTTTCAATTTTCAACTTTTCATTTAAGACGAATCTAGGGAAAAAAAATGTATTAAAGATGTAAACTACAACACAAATTTCTCAAATCCTGTTGGATATATAAATGTATTTTTACGACAGAAATATTTGTATAGGAAAGTGTATTGTTCGGCGATTAAAAATATATGAACATTATGATAAAGCAATTTATTAATTGTATGAAAACTAAATAAATATCTTATACACTTTAATAATCAATAATTCAACTAATTGAACATTTTAATTTATTGTAATTTTATTTTATTAATTTTAACTGAAGATTTTAAAAGCAAATTTTGGTAACAACTTTAAATATAGTGGAATCACATGTGTTACATGTTTTAAAACCATACAATTTACATCGTTCTCTATATTTAAGTTTTTAAATATATTCTATCGATTTTTTTTTTAAATAAAAAATAAATATATAATATAATGAATTTAAAATAATATAAGGAACTAAAAGAACTTTTAAATTATTTAATAAGTCATACCTGTTGATAGCCAGTGTAATTTCCATAACCAGCATAATCACCAGCCTTTTGTGGGGCAGTTCCTGGCGGAGTTGGCCCTGTTGTTGGTGCTGCTCCAGCTGAGCGAGAATACATATCATCTTAAAATTTAAGTATTTGTTTATAACAGCAAAAACAAAATAACTATGTAACTTAAATACATTTATGTTATTTAATGTTTTGCAAATTTTATATAGAATGGCATAACTTACTTTGTGGTCCTGGTCCAGTTTGTCCTGGAGGTCCTGTAGCTGCTGCTGGTCCATTTTGTGGCATATTCCAGTTCCAATTATTTCCGTAACTTGACTGTGGAGGAGCTTGTGGCGCTTTGTTAAAGTATACAACACAAATTAATAAATATAAACTTTAAGGTAGGACATATAACAATTATTATTCTCATAAGTTAGACATTTTATTGTGATCACTTGAACTGTGTAAAATCTCCGATTTGTAAACAATTTACCTAACACTATTATCCAACAATATAATATTTTCAATAGGTATTTCTAGAAATTAATAAATTACCTCTTTTTGGTTAAAATCATTATTTAGTTTGGAAAATTGACTAATGTAAATTATATAAAATAAACATCTGTATATTTATTATATTAAATCATTATTACAGATGTTAACAGAAATGTATATTGATCCTTTTTATAGTGGATTAAAGAAGGCTATTTTAAATTTATCAACGAGATCTTATAAAGTTAAAATACTTTTCAGTAAATTATTTAATAAAATAAAGATTAAATATTCACCATATGATCCATATCCGGGTTGTTGTGGTGGTGCATAGTTTGAACCCCAAGTTGGAGGAGCCATTCCTTGACCTTGTGGTCCAGGTGGGGCCCCCCAACCTTGAAATCCACCTGGTCCAGATGGAGTACCATAACCAGGATACTGAGATTGAGGCGTAGAACTCCATCCTCCTTGATAACCTTGCATCATATTTCCCGGACCCATTGGTCCCATTCCACCCATAGGACCGCCCATTTGTCCACCTGGGCCACCCATGCCCATTCCCTAAAAACAGTACATATTTATACCTTAACTGTCTTTAATAACTATAAAATTATACAACATACACCCATAGCTAAGTGATTGTTTTGATTCATGCCCCACTGGTTGGCGCCAACATCATTCATTTTATTTGAATCTCTTGGTTCGGCCTTTTTAATTTCAACCTGAAACATACAAATATTAAACATAAATGAGATACAAGATATTAACATTAAATGATAAAACCATAATAATGTAAATATAAATATTTATATTTATTATTTAGTATTAACTGAAAATATGTACAATTATAATTATAAAATAAATTAAATAAAATAAATATATATTGCAATACTGTTCTTTATATTATAACATTAACTTAGACTAATATCTAGAAGTATTATTATACATAATATTAAGAATATCCTTAATAGAAGAATTAATATAAGTTCTTTTTCTAACAAAATAGTATTACGCACTAATAGTTGCTTAGTTTATGATTTCACATTAAAATATATTAAATAGAAGGAATAATATTTTAACTTTTCTTTTATGTAAATTAATAGGTATAAAAATCAAAGAAATTTAACAGAAATCATAACACAATGTGAAAAAATACATTAATGATAATTTTTTTATGTACTAGGTTTGTTGAACATCATCATTTAGATAAAATATTTGTTTGTATTATCATGTATAGATTTTACAATATTCCGTCAAAAGAAAACAATTTTAGAATTATATTAATAATTTAAAAAATATCAATATAAAATAGGTAACTTTGAATATAATAATTATTAACACTAAATGTTATATCTAAGAGAAAAAAAAAGTACACTGCAAGTGTTTTGTACATCAATGCTATGTTCACAGTACAGGATACTGTTCATGGGAACTATTGTAGGGAAGAAGTTGGGATACATAGATAAGATAATATAATTTATGCATAAATCATTGGAAAAAATAAATTCTGAGGAAAGTTTAGTAAAGCATAATTTAAAATTAATTTATAAGAATTTTATTCAAGTTTGAATATTAAATGCTTATAAAAAAAAACCACTACTATATATAGCGCATTTCTTATTTTTTATCACCAAATACTACTTTATGTCACCAAACTATTCTTGTTAGGCTAAAATAGTTTTATTTATATAATGGCCAAAAAGTTTTAAAAGAAATCTCAAGAATGTTTTGAAAATTCTATCATGTTTTGGCCACCATGAGTATTTAATAAAAATGTCCGGTTTCTGAAATAATTAAATTAACTGTGTATATGTATATATATATATATGAAAAAAAATGTAAAATTAAAAATAAAGAGTAGTTTTTCAATTACTGAAAAAACCTCCCCTCCCATTGTACAAATTGGACAAAATTTGCTACCAGAAACTGCCTTTGAAATTGACGATTAAAGTATGATGTTAGATTTTCTTCAGGTAGTGAAATAAAAATAGGAAAGGAGTAGTATAAAGCATTAAGAAATATTCAAAATTACCTAATTTGATATTGTTGCATTATTTACTAAAATATTAATACCTGTTTGCCACTAAGGTTGACAAAATGCTCAGCTACACATCTGTCAACTGCATCATCATCTTCAAACGACAAAAATCCAAACCCTAAAAACACCATTGGTTATGTTATGGTGAAAAATTAACACCATATTGACACTGCTGCCTAGCTTTCAATGAAAGTACTACTAAAATATATTTTAACTCGTATTAAATATTTAAGTTACTATAACATTTTTTGAATAATAAAGAAGTTAATCTTTTAATTAGATTCTATTTATATAGAAAATTGTCCTACCTAATAAACCATCTGCCTAAACTTTGTTAATATGGCTTTTTATCAGCTTTGAAAAAAATGTACTTTGTGTTAAAGGGGATTGGGAGCGAAAAGTTTGTCTTTGTCTTACACACGTTAAATATAAGTTTTTTGAGGTGTTTCAATTCCTAAGTACCGATTAATATAGTGAATCAATAAAAATTGAGGAAACAGATTTATAAGTTTTTGTGAAGTCTACTTAAGATAGACATTTCCACTTCTTTTTAAATTAATCTTCTTAAATTTTTAAAAAAAAGCCATATTAATAAATGAGTAATTGAAAAAATGGAAAATTTTAATTTTTTAAAAAATTGGAATCAAAAATCAAAAAATTGGGAAAGTCAATCTTAAGACTTCACAAAATCAATCAGTGTGTTGGACATAAAACATGTCTAAATCCCTATATTTCACATGTGTAAGACACTTCCAATCCCCTTAAAATATACTCTTTATACACATGAATTATAACTATTTTGAAATAATTGAAAAGGGTTACTTTATATTTAGATGTTCTTTTTTTAAAAATAAAAAAAAAGGGCTGATAAATCTAAATGAATTATTAACTTTCTCTAATCCAACCTAAATAAAAAACAAATAACTAACCTGTCCTCAATACATGTTTAGTTTTAAAAGTTTGAATAAATTGTTCTATAATTCTAATATTATTAAATGATGAATATGTAATGTCAAAATAACTTAACATATTTATATATATATATATATCTAAAATAAATTGTGATTAAGAATTGGTCTAGCTACAAAAACCAACCAGATAAAATAGGTAACTACAAACACTTTATTAAATCATTATTATAAGTGAAAAAATATTTATTAGCTGTACAATGGGTTGGACCTTAATCTAAAGAACTAAAACCACTAAAATTGTTTATTTAATGCCTGAAAAGTATTTTAATATTATCCAATAATTAATTGTACAAAACATCAATTTATTTAGGGTCCTGACTCAAGATGATAGCTTTTAGTAAGAACTCAAATAGTTTTTTTCTCAGAACTATTATTTACATGCTTATATACATATATAGATATCTAATAGAACATAATATCATTGATATAAGTTATTATTAAAATTTGAATAATTAGGATATACATACAGTATATAATAAAATTAAAAATTTATTATAAAAAACCTAAATTTGATTTAATTAAAAAAAAAAAAAAAAACCTAAATGATAATTTTAATTTATCAAGATATTTATATAATCTCATAAAATTGTTTAATAAAGTATAAAGAAATCAAAATTAAGAAATTGGCAGCAGTGTTAGAAAAATAACTTGTAATTTAAAATAATTTAAGTAGAAAAAGTTACATAAATAGGTACATAAACAAACATAAATGATAAAATCACATTTTTAACATCTAAGTATAATAAAGGTTATAAAACAATAAGACATTTAATTCAGAAAACAAAGAGTGTAAAAAATTAAGAAAAATCAGAAAAACGATTTAAATATGTAATACATTTTAAATACCTACTTAATAGTTCTAAATATCTGATAAATTGTAGTCATACGTTTATATTATATATTCAATAAAATAAATATAATCTATTATACAAAAATAAAATTTGAGAAATGTAATATATTACTTTTTTAAGTCCCTACATTAAACATATAAATAAAACAAATAAATGTTTTTTTTTTTTAAATTTAAACTATAAATTAAATTCCATGTATGTCTAATTTAAACTTAAATCAGACTTAGATTCTAAAATAAATGTATCCATATCTATTTTGAAATCTTACGTATCTTGAGAATAAAACCATATAATAATATTACAAGACAACTTATGAATGAATTAATATAGTATACTAATTATAGTTAACCATAGAACTTTAAATTAAATTTTCGATAATAATTTTTATGTTTGTTTAGAAACCTAAAATAGTTTATATTAAAAAAATAATATTTATATATTACCTCTTGATTTTTTCTTTTCTTGATCATACATGATTACAACTTCCATAACTTTTCCATATCGTGAAAAGAAAGTTCTTAAATCAGTTTCAGTTACATTAGAGGGCAAACCACCCAGAAATACTTTAGGGTAACTGGAACTCCTTTTTGGTTTTTGTAAAGTTCTAGGATTACAAGGTTTTGGGTCAATCTGAAAATTGTACAATTTGACCATATAAAAAAAAACTAATAATAAAAATTGTTATGAAATTATTTCAACTTACAGTACGACCATCCAAAACATGTGGTCCATTTTGTAGTACCACGTTTACATTATTTGGATCCGCAAACGTGACAAAACCAAAACCTCTCGACCGTCCACTTTCACTATTCTTCATAACAACACAATCAATCACTTCACCATATCGATTAAAATATCTTTGAAGACTTTCTAAAGAAATATAAATACAATTAAATAACTTTTCATAATCAATAATAGATATATATCATATTTTATTTATTTATTAGTTTACCTTGTTGGGTTTCCCAGCTAAGTCCACCAACGAATAATTTCCTGTAATCATGATTTCGTATAGATATAAATATTTAATAAATCATTTTTTTTTCCTAGGTAGTCTTTTTTATAATATTAGACAAATAAAGCACATAAAAACAAATACTAAGACACAGATTTAAACATTTATCAGTATTATAAATTATACTACTGTTTTTCATTATCTATAATTGAGTATTTGAGTGAACTAAGAAAAAATAAAGTTAAATAATTGTGTATGTAATGCATACAGCATATTTGATATTTTTAATAAAATTTGCAATAGATTTATACAATTGACACAGATTATTTCTTATCTTTATTATCAATCAAGACATTGGATTTTTTGGACATTAACACATTGAATTTTCAAATATATATTATTTTTGACAATATGGTGCCAGTGTTAAATTACTTAATGTAACTTAAGTATTATGTAATGTAGTGTAAGCCTTAAGGTTGAATTTATTTGTTTTTAAAGTTGTTCTAAGATAATTTTTTACTGCCAAATTTATGAAAAAAAAATTAAAATTTGAAAGGGTTTATGTATTGACATGCATATATTATTTTAAATTAATAATATTTAAAAAAAAAAAAACATTACTTAAAATGAAATAAAACATAAATACTAGAAGAGTACTATGAATGTTAATACAAGAAATATTAAAGATAGGTAAATATACCACAAGAATATTAAATTGATTAATTTATTTAAAAGGATTTCATTTCTCAGTGATGTAAGAAACTTACATTTTATTATTTGGTTAAGATAAAACTTAGAGATTATAAATATTAATTTGTTTACTTTGTACTTCTTAGAAAAAAAAAACTAGTCGATACCTACACCTAAAACAATTTTAATTACTTATCAAAAATCTTAATTGTTTATATCAAATTACTTTTGTACAAGAACCAGATACCATCATTTTATGTTCCTAGTCTAAACATACAAGTTAACATTTAATATCTATGAAGTAGATATTATAAAACAATAAGTAGGTAAAATGAGAAAATATAAAATTTTGGGCCGATTTTTTTTAAATTGAAATACAAAATGAAAAAATAAAATAAATAGGTAGGTATGATAGGTGCATAGAATATTTCATAAATACTAATGATTATTATAATTGCAAGTATAAAACATGAAAAATCTTGATTCTGAAATTCGATATCATGAACTTATGTAAAAATGTCTGCTTTAATGTTAAATAACATGCCATATAACCCATTATTTGCAAAAAATGCAGTCAGCCTCAACAAATATGAATCTTTGTTAAGCTGATGAAACTGTTATTGATAGTTAATTTCAATCGCAATATTCAGATAGAAAATCTCGAGTGTCACAATATATTTCCTCAGAGAATAACAACAAAATATTAAAAATAGGAAAAAATAAAATAAAAATGCTAATATGCAAAACAGTATGGCATAGAAATTATGTCTATACACTCTAAATTACAGTAAAAGTAGTATACTGTACATTTATAAAACGAAATAAGTGATTTGAAATTTGTGAAAACGCGTTTTTGTAATATGTAAAACGCGGCGGTATCGAATTGAGCCGGTCGTGCTTATTATGCCACAAATATTAGTGACTAGAAACCAATTTTGTAAACCATACAAACAAATAACATTTGTCAAGTGCCGCGAGCCGACAGTTAAAAAGAAGACAAATTTTAATGGATAAAATATCAAAAATGCCTAGAAGAGACCAATTATTAAACTTACCCTTGTTCATCTTCTTCTAATTCAGATTTGCCTCGCATCTTGTCGCGTACTTATTATATTATACAAAAATATAAAACCAAATGAGTAAAAAAAAATTATAAAAGTAAATAAACGGTCGTAAAGGACGTGCAATAATTATGAAAAATTTACAAAATTATTAACGAATGACTAAGGTCTAATTGTCCGGTTGTCGGACATTAAACATATCGAATCGACACAAAAACACGACACGTCCGATGTAAAATGGCGTCCGCATATTTTCTCTCTCCTAAAATTTCGGCATTTCACGAACGCGACGTTGTCACGCCTATATGTCAACCGATTGATCCTTTATATCCAATATCTTTGAGTAACCGCACGGATGTTTACGGTTTTAAAATTTTGTTTTTTTAAAATTGTCAATCGACCAAATAGATAAAGAAGACAAATTTAAAATTTTAGAACTAAAGAATTTTTCATTTCTGGATGATAATATATTAATTTTGAAAATCTTTAAAATAATTATAACAATCCTCATGTTTATGATAAATGATAATCTACACCAATGTTCAAATGGCAACGTCGCGGACTGTTGCAACACGCTCTGCCGGCGGCTTTGTATAAACACATCACAAACCTTAACAAGAAAAAAGTACATTTTTATTGCCTGCCATTTTTACACGTTTTTTTTTGTTTTCCGGCTCTACTGTGTGTTACAGTGCAAGTATTCAAATATTCTTAATTTTCAGTTTCACTGTTTTTTATTGTACCGAAGAAACGTTTGGATTTCCGAGAAGTGTTACTGTTACTCCCTGTACAACCTTTAAATTGACTTATCGGGTTATTCCTTTTTATAAATTTCACCGATTTTATTTTGTCAATCGAAGAAACATTTCGAATTCTAAGAAGTGCTATATAACTGTTTCCTTTAGGTGCAACGTTTAATTGACTCCAATCGGTTAATTGGCAATGTCTTCATCAAACGTCGAATTGATCGACGACGACTCTGGGTAACGTTTTTTTCCGTAATAACTTACGTTATTAATGTTATTTTTATAATTTATAATTATTATAATTATACGGTAATGTCAACGGTGTATTAAGGTTGTTGAAACACGTGAACGGTTTTTCCTACATTCTTGTCTGGTTTCAATTTTTCTTATGTGGGAATGGATACATAATTAGTCGATACTATTAAAAATTATTAAGCAATTATCTATTAGATATAATAAATATGTACATAATAGAAAAAATAAATGTATATTTTGAGGTGGATTATTTGGTCCCCGCAATAATATCTCAACAATAAGTTTTCAATTTTTTTTTCAACGTGCCTACCTTTGGTTTTTATTATAAATACATACTAAGAAACAAAATTGTGTTGCCATATAAAGTTGTTATCGTTAATCATAATTTGAAAATCGGGGTCTTATGGAGTTGAAATGATTAAAAAAAAAATTTGGGACTTATGGTCAATCGAGTTAACTGAATATGAAATAATTGGGGAGACCAATTATCTTATTATGTGGAGCCAACCTACAAGACTTCACAGAACTAATTGTTTAAGATCTAAATGACTTAATACAAATTTTGATGGGTTAACATGAAGTGAAACACTTAGGGTACCTACTTGTATATTATCATCCGCCAGCACAATATAAGAAATTTATCTCCACGTAACTCATGTTTGTTGTCGTTGGTAAGTGTGTTGTCTTGTAATAATTTTCACTTTAAAACCATTTGATATTGTTATTGATTTTGAAATTGCAAAAAAAAACATTTAACTTGATTAATAATTGCTATAATAATAGTCGTAATTAAGACTGGCACAACCGTAGAAATTTGTTTGAGCCAATAGGTGACCTCACCATAGTTCCCCTTATTGTGATTACTACTCTTAGCCTATTTATTGTTTTCCGAATAGTCCAAGATAGGTTTCCACTTACTTGTAATTATTCAATAGGCGGAACAGGCATGTTAGTTTGCATTGACTTATTCCATTTTCTTAGTTTGAGCTGGGTTTTTAATACTAGCCCTCTCACAAATTTTTTTTTTTTTTAAAAAACGTGTATTTCAACCCATATTTTGAACATATTTAATTTTTTACGTAAACCATTATTAAAAAAATGATGTCAAAAGGCTGGAATATCAACATTAATTTCAATTTAAAGTTGTTAAGCCAATTTATAAAGGACATTGATGGTCTAGTTTCTTATTGTTGATTTTTCTTTTTTTTTTATTATCTATGAGTAATATTAAATTTAAAAAAAAAATGTAACATGTATTATTTATAACTACAAACCTACAGTCTTGCAGTGTTGTAGGATAAAGAGATTAGATAGGATTTGAGAGGATAAATCGCCCCTCCTCATCAATTAATTTGTGTAGGTATTTGCTATATATATATATACATAAATTGAATACTGTTAGAAAAGTGTTATCAGTCACAAAAATAAAAATAAAAACACTTCATGGTAAATAGGGTAGAATATAACATTGTGTATAATAATTTTAGTGCCCCCCCCCCCCTTAAACTAAATCAAATATGCCACTACAGTCTTCAAATCACCAAAAATTCTAAAATAATAGTTTAGAAAAATATCCCATTATCTTCAACATTAAAAAACTCATATTAATTAAAATTAAAAGAAAATTGTTTTTGAAGTTGAAGTATAGAATTTTAAGTTTTTTTTTTTTACTTTAATACAAATTTCTTCAAAGAAATTAATACGTGTACAAAATCGGTCAAAATTTGTGAGGGCCTAGGCAAAGTGCACTTTGGCCCTGAGTTTGTCTGATGGGTTCCAGGTAGTCACATTGAATTGGCAATGAAACTTCTTCTTGATTTACGTTTCTTTTGGATTACTAAACAACCATGCGTAGTTGTCTTTGTTCCATGGTTTGTTTAATTTTTCCTATACACATGGCCTTGTGTCTTCGTATTCTTGTTAAACGGTAAATATATTTTAATGATGTTTGTTACGGAATTCAGTTTTTTCTCTAAAAGTTATATTGAGTACTGTGTCTGAATGTTTTGTATGTTTTAATTGTCTGTGGACTGGTGGAATTAATTATTTTAATTTTGATATTCTTGCCCTAAAAAACTCATGTTATCTGTTTTACCTACCTAATAGTTTGTTGAATTTTAAGTTACAAATAAAAATTAATTTTATGAATTTGACATATTTTAATTTTATACTCAACTAATGAAAAGAGTTGCCCTGAATTTGGAAAGGTTAAAATCTTTACATACCTATTATAAAATAGTAGGTAAAATAAATAACATGTTCATAGACAATTAACTGATATTGTTGATTTATTTTATTTCATTAGTTTTTACACTAAATAAGAATAAGTATCAAATTATTAGATGTGTCAGATTATCATATAGCCAGATAACTAAGACTACTGTACTTTCTAAGAAATTTTTAACCTGTTATCAAATAAACATTGGGTGTAAAACATTTGATATATATGTATAAACATTAATTTTTGTTTTAGTATAGTTCTGGTTAGGAACAATTTAGAATAAGAATACAAACAGGTATATAATTAATACTTTGGAGGTGTTTTCATAAAATATAATATTACTAATTTATCATAATACTGATAAAAGTAATTTTTCTAATATATTATATGAGTAGCCAAATAAAGAATTATTTTAACTTATGAAAACCCTCTTTGCATTTTCTACATAAAAACTCCATTCTCCTTCATTTGGTTAATAAAACCATTTTAGAATTATGTATACTGAAGAGCCAAAATATAAACGAATACGTTCAGAAGATGACGAATCCCGCAAAATAAATTTGACAAAAAAATCATTCAACCCAAATTGGTTGAACTTTACAATGTTCAAAGATTGGTTGTTGCCTCATAAACTGACAGATAAGGCTGTATGCAAGGTCTGTCATTGTGTATTGGTTGCTGGGAAAAGTGAGCTTGAAAAACATTTAGCTACACGCAAACATGAAAGAAATATGGAAAAAATCAATGGTTCTGCTGAGCATGCAGATGATATTGAAACATATACAATCATGTCAGGTAGAGTATCCTACACGGTATTTGGTGTGTAGTAAATTGTGTATTCTAAACTGTCCTTCAACATGCGTAAATGTTATTTATCAACCTAATGAATAGGGTCAGAAAATCTTAAGCATCAAAAACAGTCAACCTAATTTTTGAGTATCTAAATCAAATTGTATTGTACCTAAATGTTTGAAGTAAGTACTTTTCAAACAAATACAATTGCTTATTTGTAGCTGTTTGAATTATTTGTTTTTAATAATATGTACTACATTTAGCAAGATAATTTATATTTATTGTCTTGTTGGTCTTAGATCAATTAGGTCTTGTGCCTGTGATAAATAATTCAATCTAAATTATGAAATTTATTTTATTTTAGGGTCATTCAATTATTTTCTGTAATGAGTATACATATTTTTGTTGAACTTAATTTTTTTTTTTAATGATAAGAATGTTTTAAATTTCAATTGTTTATAATTATTAATCTAATAAGAAAAATTACAATTATTTTGTATTTAATGGACAATTATTTAAAAAATCAAGTTAACCTAATACTCAAGTTTATGTTTATGCAATTATTTTTTTTGGTAATAAATTTATTGTAAAAATTAAAAAAGATATATATATATATATACCCTTAACTGCTATATGTTTTAGATTTTAATAATTAAGGTTTTATATCTCATTTAGTTATGTTAACTAAAAGGCTCTATTATTAAGATATTTTAAAGTAATTCGATCACTCAATCAATTTATAAAGGGAAACAAAGTAATAGGTTAGTTAAATAGTTTATATGTTATTATTTTTTGCAGCAGATGAAATTCAGTAACCTGCAGTACTTAGGGAATTTCATGGTATTTGAAGCGGAAAGAAATCAAAATAAATTTTAATTTACTTTTTATTAAGTAATTACAACTATTTGATGTTGCATTATACTAATGTCTAACAATCATCAACACGAAGAATATACAATATTAACAACAGGCTCAACCAATAGAAGCCAAATGTCTCAACCTCATCTTACATTTACACCACCTACTCAAGTTTTTCGTACCGAGTGGCAGCGTTTTCCAGAATTCCATGCTTGGTTACGACCTATTGATGGGGATGTAACTAAAGCTTGGTGCATTGCTTGTGAACGTATGTTTCGTGCAGATTTAAAGTCTTTAAGAGTACATGGTGTAAGCAAAGCTCATGTGCGTATGGTACGTGCCCGTTGTCCTAATGCTGATGATAATCCTGTACCACCAATAGAATATAATGTGGTGACTGACAAAAAGGGTACTTATGGCATAGCTGTAGTAACTAATAAAGAAGATAAATCTTTACTTGGGTCAAGAGCATTATACATGAATCAAACAAATCCTACTGAAGAAATAATTACTTCTGAAATGGCAGCACAGTCGCAACGTGACAAATATGTTGTGGTATCGTTACCCAATGAAGATGATGATGATAATGAAGGTCCACATGCTTCTAGCTCAAATACTCAATACATACAAAAAGAAGTAAATGTAATCGACGAGACTGGTAATTTGGTGTCTGTGGTTACTGAACATCATGTACAGAAAAATAAAGGTAAAATTTAGGTGTCCTGGTCAGAGTTGCAATAATTTTAATTTTTAAAAGAAATTAGGTATTAATTAAGTTAGAAATATTAATTTTAAAAAAGATGTAGATCAAATGAGCAAATTGTTAAGTAGGTGAATTTTAAATCTATACTAACTATTGAGATAAAATGTTAACAATAAGCTTCCCAAAGAGGGTTTTCATTTCAAGTTCTAAGGTCAAAGTATTAACATAATGTTTTAGTGCATGTGTGTTGTACATTATAGCCGTACTTGTCATGTAAAATTATAAATTCATTAAATTCCTCAGAAAGCAGAACACCCAGGTTGAATCTGAGACCAAATCAGATAATGCTGAAACACAAAAACAATCTGCTGATGATGAAGATGACATAGCAATTGAAGAAGTGTTGACACCACTACGGATGAAACAAGAGTCAGCAACAAATCGTGCACATATGATGAAACGAAAACGAGGCCTTCAAAAGTATCGTACAGATTGGGAAAAATTAGCTGAATTCAAAGGGTGGTTGTCACCAGAACCAAAGAGCTGCTATAAAGCTCGATGTGAAGCCTGTGATAAAAGTCTTGTTGCTGATATAACTGTCTTACGAAATCATTCACAGGCTAAAAAACATGTGATGAAAACTGGAGGTACTGTTTACGAAGGTCCAATCGTTAGAAACAAATCAAAAGTTAAGTCAGAAGATGATGATGAAGATTCTCCTGATGACTTACAAATGAAATCTTTGAGCATTAAAGGTTTGGATATTGGGTATTATTTGTATGTCTCCTTAAGTTTATAGCTTTTGATTTTGAGTTTAATAATGAAAATTGTTAATGTTTTTAGTAAATGAAATACTTCATTGTTTTTATATTAATTAAAGTAAATTCCTAAAGCTATAAACTTTATCATCATACATTAATTATAAAATTACAATTGAAGATCATCATTGTATTTAAACAATTTAGATTTTTTTGTATTTTTATAATTAAGTAATAAAAATGTTTTTTTTCGGAGTTCGTTTTGGGTCTTCAGTTGTGAAATAAAAACCGTGTTTTGGCCTATTTATTATAATTGGTCAGAGCTTACGCGTTTAATGTTGTATTTTCTATAAAATATATTTGTAAACTAGGTAAATTATAAACCCAAATATTAGTTTTGAGACCGTATGTTTGAAGGACAGTTTTAGTCAACAAGCCCTGAAAAAGTTGGTCAGAGCTTTTACCGTGTATATTTCTTTTTGTATTATACAACAATGATTCATTATGTTAATACTTGTGACCTAAATAAACTATTTGTTATTAAAAAAAATATATACATATATATATATACATATATATATATATATATATATATATTAAATCTACAACAGACACTATACCACTGTTAATTCAATTATTATTAAGTTAAATATATTTGAACTAATTTTAAGAGAAAATTAAATTTATATATATATGTATATATATGACCGAAAAATTGCAGCTCTGACCGATTTTAATAAATGGTTGTTTTATTTAAACATCTATTTTTTATTTTTAACCTAATTGTAATTGTAATTTGTATTTATTTATTATAATTTTTATTCATAGACAATGATGATGATTTTGAAGTTGGTCTTCAATCAAATGAATATCATAGCTCATCTAATTATGAAAAAATGGATCAAAAACATGAAGATATCCAGTGCAAAGCCATTGGTATAATAAAAACAAAAATTGCCTTGCCTATTAAAGTTACATATATTTTTTGTTTATTTATAGTTTCGAAACCTGCTCCATTTTGGAAAGCTACGGCTGTTGTGAATGGCCATGTAACAGAGTTAAAACTTAGCGACTACCATGGCCGTTATTTGGTCCTATTCTTTTATCCTCAAGATTTGTATGTTATATTTTACATTAAATTTAAATTTGTTTATTTTGATTTTTTTATATAAGCCATAAATAGAGTGGAAAAATAAATTCATTGTATGGAAATTTTCAAGATTTAATAGTCTTTAAGGGGGGAAAAAATGTATAGTATATCGGATATTCCATATCACATTTCTACTAGTAATCAATTTTGTCTGGGTTTCCTAAAATGTCATCATACATCCAGAAAATCTTTAAGATTTAGCATTTTGAATCTTTGAAATTCGTGTGAACCTCAAATTATGAGTATCAACTAATAAATATTTCAATCAAAATTATATACATAAATTTATAGGCTATACCTAATTATCTTTATATTATATTAATACTATGGATTATTTTAAGAACACTTGCGATGAAACTTGAAAAAATAGTTCACGTTTTATCCCCCTGTTGGATGTTTAATGTGCATTTCTGTAAAAAAAAAAAAAAAAAAATTGCACGTCAACTGGATTAATAATGAGCATTATAATATGCTTAAAAACACTGTTTTATCCGATATACTTATTTTCTTTATCAACTCTTATATACTTTATGTAAACAAAATTTAAAATAAATAGAAAAAAAACATGTATTTTTAATGGGAACTTAACCTTGTTATTGATAGACTTAAGAATTGTCTTAAGAAACTTAAAATAAATAGAGCTCAATCCTCTTTTTGTTATAATATGGTTAGGGGGGAAATTAAAAACCATTTTAGTGCCCATACTAATACCGTGTTTGTCTATAATTGAATTCACGGCTTCGCTTTTGGGAAATATAAATTAGCTCTACGTGTATTAGATTTGCATTCATATGTATTGATCACTCTGTTAAAGCTAAACATATTACTTTTATATTATTTAATAAGTTAACAATTGGACATTACTAGTCTATAATATTTGCCCATACTAATACCGTGTTCATTTATAATTGAATTCACGGCTTCGCTTTTGGGAAATATAAATTAGCTTTATGTGTATTAGATTTGCATTCATATGTATTGATCACTCCGTTAAGGCTAAATATATTACATTTATACATAGAAAAATTTATAATTGGATAATACTAATATATAATATCTGCCCATACTAATACCGTGTTAACTATAATTAAGTTCACGGTTTCGCATTTGGGCTACATAAAATAAAATATTACTATTTCTATTAAAATTCCTCAATCTAAAATTTAAGTGAATATTAATATGAATTGAACAACTAAATTCGTTTTTCATATAGGATTTATAAATCTTTATATAGTAATAATAACGCTCTTATAATGTTTTATATTTGTATAAATAGTTCTAGAATTTGTCCGAGTGAACTAATTGCCCTGAGTGATAGAGTATCTGAATTTAGAGCATTAAACACTGAAGTAGTTGCATGTTCTGTGGATTCATACCTATCACACCAAGCATGGTCCCGTACATTAAGATCTGATGGAGGGATCGCCATACCTAAAATGCCACTTTTATCAGATCCAACTCATGCCATCAGTAAAAGTTATGGATGTTATTTATCTGAACTTGGCCATTCTCTCAGGTAATTAAAATTTAATTTAAAGTTTAATTCATTGCATCAAATTCTCATCTAATCTATTTTTTAGAGCTCATTATATAATTGATATGAGAGGTATTTTAAGACATGTGACAATTAATGATCTGCCTGTGGGTCGCAATATCAGTGAAATATTAAGACTGTTGGAAGCTTTTCAATATACAGACGAAACGGAAACGTTATGCCCTGCTGATTGGAAACCAGGCGAACCAACTTTATCATAATTAGTATTAGTTGTATAATTTTAATTGCATTTTTTTCATATTTATATATATGTATTGTTCAATTAAATCCTACTTAGTAAGCTTGGCAAAATTGTATATTGTAATTTGTATGTTAATCTGTTATATAATTAGTTTATATACTTTAAACAATGTAATAAACATTCTTCAAAGTTCACCAAAATGATGTATACCTCAATGATAAATTTAAAAATAAAAAATAAAACAACAATTTTTTTCATTTAATTTTTTTTAATAATGTCAACCATTTATTTTTAACTTAATTCATGCCTGACATCTACAAATTACGAATTGTTGTATGTAGTCTTCAGTTTTTGTACAAAAAGAAAATACTTAACTGTACATGACAAAAATATTCACGCAAGATAATTATTTACAACATGTCAATTCAATTGCAATACACTAAAAACATATATATACATGTATGTATATATTTATATAAATATACCATAATCTAAATAAAACAAAAAAATTGTTTTCTTTGTAAAAAAAAAGTATATATATTATTTATTTATATATATATTATATATATATATATATGTATGTATGTATATGCATTTATATTAAATAATAATAACAATTATCATTATTTTATAATAAAATGTTTAATATTACATTATTTATTAGTAGTCTACTTACAATTCATTTTGAGGCAACTTAACATTCTTATTTCAGGTCGAGATAAATTAAAAAATAAATAAAAATAAACACACTTACAACATTATCAATATTAATATTATTCTCTATATATACATAGTACAAAGTATAAAATATTTTTTTTTTTTTTTTTTTGAAATATTAAAAAAAAAATAATAAATAAAAATCAATGTTACATTTTTTAAGTATCAGTTTTGACTAATTAATAATAACCCCCACAATATTTTATTTGGGATATAATGTACAATTCTTTTAAAAAAAAAAAGTGTTAATTTACAACACAATGTTTAACACGGAAATGTTAACTATTTATAGGCTATAATATAAATAATATTAACAAAACCTCATAATTAAGGAATTAACATTATTGATTAGCTTGAAAAAAATTCTAAAAACAATCACACGGTCAGTCTCTTTGTTTGATTTGTCTAAGGATTTTAATTAAATTTTTTTATATAATTATATAGTTCATATTTTGTAGATTTTTTTTTTATCCAACTGATTCAAAACATAAGATCCTGAAATTTTTAGTTTGTGTAAAATAGTCTAAAACTATTTTAATCGATGATTCAATAATAAATAAATAATAATAAAAAAAATAGTTTGTAGTAAATAATAAAAGAACTGTTATAACGTAAAACGAGAAAGTCTGGAAGAAAAAAAAGATCGCATTCGTTATAATAGTTACTGGGAGAGAGGAGACGGTGTATTTCTGGAACATTGGAATAGGACACGTGATATGAGAGCTGCTACTTGCTGGTCGAGTATCTGACTCATAACTAATGACAACAGTCTCTGCTCTTGTTGCAGGAACAACGGTCGGTTATCAGGATGTCTGGATAACAGCAACAGAATGCGTGCTGCTCTCCTTAACATATCCAGACTAGTTCCCATTGAATCTGGGTTATCACGAAGAGCATTCAGCCCATGAGTGTTGACCACACTCAATGCGTTCTGTTCAGTCTGTTCAATAAACGCCACTAGTAATGAAACGCACGGGCTTTGAAGAGCTATTGTACGAGCCATACTGCTGTCTGCAGCTGCTAAGTAGTGCAACAAATTGACTGCAAATTCCCTTAGTACCTAAAACATCAGTAATTTAAAAAACTGTTAAATTTATATTTTGATTGGTTGATGGAGTTTAGAGGGTCTAGTGGTTATTTTTTATGCACCCAATTCATTAAATGCTACACGAATATTATAATAATTTGTAATTCAGTTGAATGGCACAAGGAAAGAAAGAAAGAGTATGCTTTTTTGAAAATTAGCAAAGCAAAACTTGTCTTCAGCTGTATAAACTACATTATTTTTTAACCAGTACTTCCAATTATTATCTAAAATATTAACTAACTAAAACATCTTTTTTCACTATATGGAACTTATCTATATCAAATGATACCATTATTTCAAAATTAGAAAAAAGAATTACCTTTCTATCCTTATACCATTTAAATGTATTTTTAAAATGTAAATAAATTATTGATTCGCTAAATTTTTAAAAATGATAGTCAACTATTGTATAATATTTCACGATTAGTTTAAAATTAAAATATAGGATGCGGATCAAATTATATGTTTTTCAATTTACTATAGTGATAAAAAAAAAAAATAACTTTAAACTTACTTGTTCTTCAGTTCTACATAATAATCGGGTTAGAACGTTGGACAGCTTTTCAAGACGTGAATATGGTGGAGTAGCTATGACCAGGTCTACATTACTGTCGGTAACACATAGTTTGCACAAACACTCTAGCGCTAGTCGTTGAGGTGATAAAGGCGCTGAAGGAAATGGATCTTGGCCAGCGGCTGCTGGACAAATAGCCCAATGTAACAGACCGTCAAGAATTGGACGGGAAATATCTTCGTTGAAAGTGCTCAAATCGACATAACCGGCAATGTTAGCCAAAGAAACTAGCAAGTTTTCCCTGACAACGTCTAAATAATCCCACCACCATTTGACGTCATTGCCTGGCTCAATTGTATCAGCATCTGTTGTTGTAGTACAATTGAACAAAGACTCTGTGTCATCGTCCGCTTTATCATAATTCCTAGTTTTAGATGAGCGCAGCGGATGTTCATGATGAGTCAGTAGTAGCTTGCCAACCAAACCAAGAAATGGGCCACTTTTTGCAAACTCTAATTCATTACCAGGTACAAAAGAAAGATTTCTTAAGATGTTCGATATGCAAATACATCGTTTGCCAATTGAATCTTGGCTTTCACTTATTAACGACAAACTTGACTCGTCTTTGGAATAACTTTCGTCTTCATAATCCATTATACTTTTACGTTTTAACACACCTACTGGATCACGTACCTTAATATTTTTAATATTTACAATATCGTCAATACTGTTATTTTGTACTAACTCATTATCATCTAATTCTTTTTTTATACATGTCTTATCGTCTAATACTTCAACTTTAGGTTTATCACTCTTCAACAGTTTGACAAAAGGAACAAGACCAAATTCGGAACGAAAACAAGGCACAAGAAAACTAGTATCTGTTTCAGCAATGTTATATCCCATGTCATAATTGTCGATTACATCCCACGATCTCTTGCCGTTTTTAATAAATAGTTCTTTAGACCCATCAATAATTGCAGAACTCTTAATTGGTCGTTGATTGGTGAAGGATGGGTCTGGAAAAAATGCTTTTTCGTTTGGATTTATATTATCTACAGCACCAACATCAGGTATATCTTCAATGACTTTAGATTTTTCATACCAGCAGTACGACTTAATGTCGGTTTCTAACATATCAACTAATGACTGTCGAAAATGTTCTAAAAGTATATCTAACAATCCAGGCATGTGTGATAGCCCAAAATAAGGTATTGATACGTCATCGAATAACAATATATTAAGCACATCTAAGGCCCAAGTGGATTCGGCTAAAAGACCTGAGCGTAAAGACATCATCAATCGCCATGCATCCACTGGTGCAACATCATGTCTCATCATTCGACGGCGTTTGTAAAGAATTGGTGTTACTGCTTCTATACTATCTGGGGGGAAAATTACTTCACGCTTCAGTAAATTGTTCCCTTGAAATATTGGTTGACCTGGCATTCCAGTCTGTATAAAAAACAAAGAAATAATATTTTAAATATCTATATAATTTTTAAGAGTAAAAATATAAAAATTATTTTCAATTATTTATTTTACCTTTATATGAGGTGGTGGAGCCATTTGACCATGTGGTCCATAAGGTTTACTTCCATCGGGACGATAACTGTGTCTTGGCATTCTCATTGGTGTTTGTCCCATTGAAGCCCAATGAGTCTAGATTTTTTTAAAAAAAATTTACTAGAGAATATAACTTTAAAATTTTTAAAAATAAATTCATGAAAATCACTTACTTGTGCACCATAGGGTTGCCCTTGTGGTGGATATCTATGTTGTTCCCATTGGGTAGGAGGTTGTCCTGGATGTGATGGAGGCATAGAACGTGGACCCTGTGACCAATTTTGTGGGGGTTGGGATCCAGGTGGGTACCCAGGTCGTGGATACTGATTAGCAGCATTTGGTGTACCTGTCCATCCTAGAATTTATGTGTAATTATTATACTTCAGTAACAATAATGTAAAAATATATTCCAATAGCTACCTGGATACATAGGTCGTTGAGGACCATAGCCACCAGGATAACCAGCTGGTTGTGGAGGACCTGGTGGTTGATCTTTGGCGAAATCTGGATGGCGCCTTGGTTGAGGTGGTGGCATAACTTTTCCAGGATAAGGACCAGGAGCACTAGTTGGTGGATATCCAGGACTCTACAAGAAATAATTGAAAGATGTCATGTGCATTCACAAAATAAGGCAAACTAAAAATCTATAAATATTTACTGCAGGGGGTTCTTGTCGATAATAATCTTGTTGAGGCTGCTGACCAGGTGGATAACCGGGGGTGGAAACTGATCCTCCTTGTGTTTGATTAACAGTGGCCGGAGAAGAATTCTGTGATGGTGGAGGTCCGGGGAACCTAGGTGGTTGTTGGAAACTAGATGGTGGTGGGACTGGTCCACGGCCATATGGGTCTTGACCATTGCCAGGTCCTTGTGGAGTATTCGGTGGACCTTGTGGAGGAACTGAACTACCATAATTCCTTTATATAAAAAAACTCAGTTAGAAATAATTTTTAAAATATCAAATCATGTTTTTAAATATTTGTTTACCTATCAGCAGATTCATTTGAATAAGGTGGATATAAAGGTGGTCTCACCGGACCACTTGGGTAACCAACTGGAGTATTAGCTGGTGGATAGTGTTGTCCGTATTGTTCATTATTGCCTGGATACTGATTATATCCACCTTGTCCTTGGTAACTTCCTTGGGCCCCTATCATAATAATATTATAAGATGTCAATTGACAGTAATAATTGTATTGCATATCATTATGTTTAAGCATAACTAGTCTTTAATTTATAAATAACAGGATAGTATTGTAAAATAATTATAAATTCAAATATAAAATATATGAATAATAATAATTATAAATATTACAAATGATTATTAATCTAATAACCGTTAAACATTGAGCATATCACTTGTGACATGTGAATATTTGATTGAAATAAAATTACATAATTGTACTTTAACATTTTTCATAAACTCTTATCAGTTGATCATCGAAGTAAATAATAGGAATATTGTATTTATTTATATGCAGCCTAATTAAAAACATTTGATAACAATAACGCTATTTTGAGTAAAAATATCAGTATAATTACATTTACAGAAACAAAAAGATAACTGAACAACCAAATGTCACTGATTATGCATAAAAATATTTGAGTATGAAAATATTATAAAACATGTGTTTACTAAACAAGTAAATCAAAATTAAATGTAAGCCTATATTTTTCATTTTTTTGCCATAACAATTAATTTGATAACTTCTCTTCAAAGCACCATCCATTATTGTCTAAAAAAGTTATCAGTTTTTTTAAACAATTATTTAGTAACCAATAAAGTGTTTTCTGAGCAACCAGAAAAACCACACTCATAGTTTTAAAATTAAAAATTTCCTGAAACGTCCTCAAAAACTTAGTGAAAGCAGCATAAGTATTTTATTATTATTTTTTCAATTTTAAATTTAAAACAACATTTTAATAAGTATACTATTTGTTTTTTATACCATTATTATCGTTACAAAATGTTGTGGTTAAGATACTTTAATAATGGCACATTAGACTTTTTGAATACTATATAAACAGATATCAATATCTGAGAATCTAAACATAAATAATAATATTAAATGGAAGTTGATCATGATTAGACCTGGATATGTCTATGATAAATAGTTCAAACAAATTCAAATTTTGATTTACTAATGAAAAGATACATAATTAAATGTATTAAATGTCCATGCCTTGACAATTATTTTAATTTAAAGTAAAAAAATTAACATAAACATTTAATTTAAAGTAAAAAAAATTAACATAAACAAATAATGAAATTTAAAATATATAAGCTACAATTGTTTAATTATAATCTGAATACATAAAAGTGAAACAAAATTAAATTTTTAAATCTAAAAATTTCAGATTTAAAGAAAATGTATAATGTTATATTTAAAAGAATTGCAAAAATAAAACATATTATTCCAATAATAACAATCATAATTATTAAACTCTCAATCATTTAAATAAAGATAATATTTGTCTACAAATTATGCGCAGAAACAATAAGTAAGAGTAGGTCTAAGATGCATGATGTTTGATGATATAGCTTTGATAGGAGAAAATCTGGAATAAGTTAATAAGCTGGAGGAATGGAAAGTAGAACTTGAAGGAAAGGGACTAAGGATAAGTATAAGTAAAACAGAGTATGAGTTTGGAGGACAAGACAACAACACAAGACAGCTAACAACAATAAACAGTTATAGGCGAGATTGAGAGTTTTAAGTACCTAGGATCTTTTGTACAAAAGAATAGCAGCTTTTATGAGGATGTAAAATATAAGAGTAAGTATGATATAATGGATAATGTGGAGAGAAGCGTTAGGTATTTTATGTGAAAAGAAAATTCCAACGAGACTTAAAGTTAAGTTCTATAAAAGTATGACTATATTGTATGGTTTAGTGTTAGGTAATAGTCAGCAAAATAGAATAGAGAATGAGTATAGCAGAGATGAGAATGCTTATGACACTTAAATGAATGAGAAGTAACAAGAAAAGATAGGATAAGGAATGAACACATAAGAGGTAGCTATAGAGGTAGATTCGATGGTAGACTATAATAATGATTTGGGTGAGAGAGAGGAGAAAGGAATCTTAAACAGTAAGAATTGTAATAAAAATAAACTTAGGAGAAAAGAGGTGGAGAGGAAAACTGAAAAAAGATGGTTGATGCAATTGAAAATTAAATGAAGACAGATGGTGTATGCGAGGTGGAAGATTGGGTTAAGTGGAAATTTAGAACAAAACTGGCAGACCCCGATCCCAAATAGTTGGGATAAAGGCAAAGAAGTAGAACAAATTTATATTTCAATCATTTCTCTTTAGATACCACCAAATTGAAATACTTAAAAAAGTAATTATTTTTATATGTACCTACCATACATATATTTTTAGACATATTTCTGTCCTGGGAGGGGGAGTTTTCTTACAGTAAAACAAGTGAAATAGCAACAATAATTCTTTAAAGGTATTAGTTTATTGTTATCACTATTAATTAAGTTTCATGTATCTTGTCATAGAATAAATTAATTTACTAATGAGTACTGACCTGAGTACACGACCTACTGAAATAATTTATTTTCCTAAACACCTAAAAACCTAAGCATGAAATTAAAACTAGTATAATTGTAATGAATAAAATCATACAATTTAAATAAAAAAAAAATAAGTAATAAGTAAGGTTGGAAACCTATAACACTATAGCAAATGCTACAAGTCCAAATTGCTGGTAATAAATAATAAGTATGATCATCTATAATTCATGTTCACAACATTAAAACAAAATATAATTTACAATTGAATTTTACTATTTTTAATATTTAATCAGAATAATCTTACCATGGGGAGGGTGTGGAGGTCTTTGAGGTGAATTATAATCTTGTGGACCACTATAACCTCCATATCCTGGGTAACCATCAACATGACCTGGTCCTGGGGCAGTTGGTGCAGACGGCAAAGAGTCTTGTGAATTAGATCCTGCAGAACCTAATTGTAATTATTCACTTGAAAATCCCACCTACTCAATGCACTGAATGCATTGGACAAGATAACTTACCAGGAGAAGGCACAGACGTTGCTTTAGAGCTTTTCTTTTTTGTAGAAGACTCCACTTGATTGATAATTGGTATAGGATCAATGCCTCCGCGGTCAAATTGACATTCATATGGTAACAAATTTTTGGTGTAGTGCTTCCTGAGAGTGTAAGCTGCACTCGACGATGCTCCTATTCCTAATAATCCAGCTACATCTTTCCATATTTTATTTTTTGTTACCTAAAAATGTATCAAATAAAATATTAAACTAAGTGTAATGTATGGTAATTATTAAGAAATTTAAAACAACAACAATGTTTTTACATACCTTGCAAACCTCTATAAAACCACCTCGTTCTTTAACAGATATATACAAACGGAACAAGTCAAGTGGATTTTTAGAGATAGTAGGACATGTGGAGATTGGTGTTCCTCTATCTTCCATAAAATGGAGTAATTTGTCTAACCAAATGCGTCGTTCTGGATTATCATCCATTTCATAAAGCTTACTTAAACTATCATGTTTCTAGAAAAAAATTAGTTTATTAGTTTTAGACTATACAATTTAGAGTACTACAGTATAATATAATGTTTCTACTATAATATATTATAGTACATACAGCTCTAATAAATATACATATTATTTTAATAAAATTTTACCTTTGGTCGATATATATGTTCACTTTGAGGAGGCATATGGTTATTAAATACAGGATTATGAGGTGGAGGTCCTCTAGACCAAGCAGGTGCCATTGGATCTGCATTAGAATACTCATCGTGAGCAGGAGAACAAGGTGGACCCATTATGCCACCCATTCCTTGTGGGTACATCATACTACCACTCATATTGTCTCTTCTTTTTGGTGTTGTACAATTTGAGTCTTCACCAGAAGCTTAAAAATACAATTATTAATGAAAGTTTTAAAATATAATATTTAATAATAAAAAATTAAACAAAAAAAAAACAAACTTATATATAATAATTTACCTGCTGAAGCATTCGACAGAGTTGATTGCTGACTAGCATCATCAATGGCAGTTCCATCAGGTCCAGTGGTAACAACAGAAGTAACAACACCACTAAGATTTTGCTGTTGTTGCGACACTTCATGATCCACAGTCATCATTGAAGGATTTGGTGGTGCCATTGAAGGAGCAGTGTTTGATTGAACAGGTGCTGGTGGACCCATACTATGAGGAGGCATTGAATTTAAATAATTTCCTGGACCAGGACTAGGTGGTATTGGACCTGATGTCTGATAGCCTCCAGGACCTTTGTGTTGTTGCTAAAATTTTAAATAAATAATATATAATTAAAACAAATTTTATAATACAAATTTAAAAACAAAAAACAAAAAAAAATAACTTAAGCGAAACATTTTGAGCAACACATAAGCATTATTCTTGTGTTTGGTTGAGTGATCACCTGTAATTGTTGTTTGAGGTAGTGTGGATGAGGCGGTGTATGAGGCCTAGGACCAGGCGAAACTGGTAGTGGCGGTCCAGGAGAAGGACCTTGCTGCATCGAATGCATTTGATGGGCATGTGGGTGCATATGTGGTCCTGGAGGAGGTGGGTGATGAGAGTGGTGATGGTGTAAAGGGGATTGTGCAGGAGGAGGATGTTGAATTGGTGATTGTTGGTGTTGTGATTGGGAGGGTAGTTGCTGCTGCTGCTGTTGTTGTTGTTGTTGTTGTTGTTGTTGCTGCTGCTGCTGCTGCTGTTGTTGTTGCTGCTGCTGCTGCTGTTGCTGCTGCTGATGTTGTTGGTGCTGATGCTGTTGTTGTTGCTGCTGCTGTTGATGCTGCTGTTGAGGGGAAGATGATGGGGGAGGTACTTTGGTAGGTGTAGGTGGTTGAACAGGACCACTATGGTGACTATTACTTAATGGAGGTGGTGCTTGTGGTGGACCACTACCTGGCCATCCCTGCAAAGCACATTTTGTGTCACAAAAAGCATGTCATGGAATGTAAAAGAAGAAGCAAACACAAAACAAAAGTACAAAATATTTTTGTAACTGGTTGAATTTTTAATGAGCATATTATTGCAAAACATGTAATGTAAAAAACACTATGATAATTGCTTGAATAACTAACAGTTTACCCAATAAAATGTTAATGTTAGTAATGATATCTTTAAATACACAAAAAAGAAATACCCAATCTCTAACTTACTTGATAAGGAGGAAATTGGTGAGGTGGTCCATGATGCATTTGCATACCTCTAGGAGAGTATTGTTGTGGAGGTCCATTACTGTTAGGTGGTGGATACCCTTGATAAGGTAAACCAGGAGGTCTAGCACCATAATTACCTACAAAATGAAAATTATATTTAATATATATACATATATACATATATTAAAATAAACTGTGCGAAAACATTAAAAAAATACAATATTTATCAATAACTAATATTTTACCAGGAGGTAGTTGAGAATAATTTCCCATTGGTGGAGGAGGTTGTTGTTGTCCTGGATAACCACTATGTGTAGATCCAGGTGGAGGAGGACCATAAGGATTTGGTCCAGGCATTTTATATGGATTTCCCGGTGTACCAGGCGAAGGTGCTGCCATGCTATGGGGCATACCGCCTTGTGGTTGCGGGGAAGGTTGTTGCTGATACCCTTGTTGTGGCCCCATAGGCGAATGGCTCATTCTGTTATTCGGAGTAGGTTGCCCCGAATCTGGTTGTTGTTGGCTACTGGGTGGTCTGGGAGGCATTGGAATGTTTTGTTGTTGTTGTTGTTGTTGTTGTTGCTGTTGCTGCTGAGGGGGCCCGCCTGGTGGAGCTGTTACTGCAGGCGACATAGAACGTGAACCAGTAGATCCTGTTGGCGACGGTGATGGCCGCAAGGGTGTGCCACCATTGCCAGCTACGGCACCACAATTGCTGTCGTTACTGTTTTGACTTGTCAAATCCTGTGCAAAAAACCGTTAGCGTTATTGACGCGAAAATAATATATAAATACAAATAGAATCAACAGGTCGTTTTTAGACTGTAAAAAGATGCAAAAGGATCATATGGTTGGCAGGCAGGGTGTAAATAAAGACGAGAAGGGAAGGGAAGGGGGTCAATAAAACATGTGGAGGTTTCGGGGAAGACCTACCGTCTGGCCCAGGAAAAATACGAACGAAAGAGACGGAACGAGGAAGACAGAGAGACAGAGAAAGAGAAAACATGGTTTGTAGTACTATATACACATAAAAGGTATTCCTTCTATATTGCGGTAATTGGAAAGAGAGATGATTGAGCGGAGGGCTGGCGGGTTGGAAAGCGCGGGGACAACAAAGTTGTATACGACGAGAAGCGGAGGGTTAGGACCTTTCCGATGACTGCGGGCAGAGGCGGAGAGAAGGGCGAGAGAGAACGACAGAGAGTAAGGAAAGTAGCTGAAGGGTGGAGGGAACACGCTATTCTACAACCAACACACACACACACACAACAGTATATATACATGTATGTATATATATATATATATATATATATATATATATGCATGTATGTATATAAAACGCGTGCACACAAACGGATGATAAGGACATCGGCAAGGGGATCGGTAGTAGAGGGGAAGAGGCACGTGTGATGCCATTCATAACACGGACAGACCACACCAGTTATTTCACCATCATCGCCAGTTTTCAATATAAATCAAATAGGTTGTATTATACGATGTTACATCTTCGCAATGTGTAAACGGTTGTGGCTTCCCTTTTTTTTTTTTTTTCTCAATGGAATGAGGTCAAAAAACGACCATGACCTTTCGGAACTTATCAATCACTATGCATTTTTAGTAGTAAAAACAACGGAAAGGGAAAGTAACAATCGTATTGTCAAGAACGATTGTTTAAATTCTAATGCACCGTACGACACTATGATTTAAAATAATTATCAGAGAGAAGGAAACGCTTTACACGTCAAAAACAATAATCGATTTCTAGGAAAAACACAACGACTCTATTATTATATTGCATAGGTAACTATTTATATATACGTCCTGCGAGAAAAACGTTAAATACATTCTATCCAAAATAATAGAATTTAAAAAGTTACGAAAAAAAAATTAAGTTAAAACACTTATTTTTTTTGTTTATTAGTATATATATTACAATCGTACGGTACCTGTATTGTATACGATTATTTATAAAAATAATAAATACGGGATATTGTTAGGATAAAGATTAATATTATATAGATACTATTTATGGATATATATAAGTAGTAAGAAACTTTAGTATGGACAGGATTTCCTATACAAGTGAGAAAAGGCAATAATTCAAAATCGGACCGGTATTATACTATTAATAATAACAATACCTACTACCTACTAATAATTAGTAATTGCAACATGATTTGATCGATTAGAATTTAAAACACTGTTTTATTATAATTCGAACAAAAACCCGTATTAAATAATAAAATTAAAAGATATACCGGAGGAAGGGGGGGGGGGGTTTAAAATGATAGTGTAACGTTGTGTATTATAATATAATAATACCATTGATACATAAAACGCTAAAATCCGTGATAATATCTATTCGTTTGTCCGATTTTTCTTCCACGAAAAAAAAAAAACTGAACATTAAACAACAATTCAAATATGAAATATAAATAATATATTATAATAAAAGCGAGCAGGGCGAATTGAACACAACACGTAACTGCCTCGTCAGGTGACGCCAACGAAAACAAATTATAATTACATTAAAACTTTCAGCGATAAAATAATATTAAAACGACCGACAATGAAAAAACCGATTTAGCGTACGTTAAAATATTTCACGAATCGAGATTAATCACCCGCTATCCGCTATAATACAACTCGTCGTCTCGCATAATATTATACGATAATAAATTGTAATATTCTCTACAAGCATTTTTTTTTTTTTTTTTTTTTTTTTTTTTTTTTTTTATATATATATATATATATATATATATATATATATATATATAATAATAATAAAGAACTGCTAGGAACATATTTTTTTCTTTGAAAAAAAAAAAATATATATAAAATTATTATTATTATTTCGTTTATACCTAATAAACGAAATAAACATACTAAGTGTACAAATAATAAAACTAAAACGTACAGTTAATCGATGTTTTTCGTCGGACTTTCATTAAGAATGTATTAATATAAAATATAACTTTATTGTAAATTAAAATATACCAGGCATAAAATTGGCACCGTAATATATTCCGTTGAATCGTATTTTACTAGATAAACGGACAACCGCACAAATGGTCTAATAAGATACAAGTTATCGGCAATCATAATTTACCACCTTAGATCGCGTACAATGGATAGAGAGAGTGCTATACTATAAGCAATAAAACATGTGGCAGAAGTAATAATATCAAGAGGGCATATTTTCACTTTCGCGTATGCACAAAGTACTGTTATCAGTCTATCAAAACTTACCTAATGCAATATCATCGAATTGTAATATAATGTCTCTGTGTAAAATATACATCCGAAAATCCAATACAATTTATAATGGGATTACGACGAAGAGGGCGACGCGTGCGCAGTAGCTACATACCTTCTTGATAATATTTGACTGATTTCACACGAGGTATAGCCCCGTAGCTCTATCCATTGTATAATATGATCTAAGTTTACCGTGCTTATTGCACAAAAATATACTATTCGAACAGAAGGAGATCGACATTGAAATCGCCTGCGATCTGTCGGTCGACCGCCGTCCCCGTACGAAATTTCGTCGTTTAAAAAATGCGAAAACAATATCGCGAGGATCATACGATAATAATGGCCCGGCAATATTCCCGCCGTTTGACTAAATTCCTATTAAATTCGACTAAAACAGCGAGTACCGGCGATTTAACAATCAATTGCGATCTCCAGTCGTGGAAATAATTATTATGGGGCGACAGAGGAGTTTTCGTCACGGCACCCGGACGATGTAAAAATCGTAAGAAATTTGTCGAGTAGAAAATACCGTAGACCGTTAACGATAATATCGGCCGTAATCGTATTTCTGGTTCTTCCCGATAATTTCCAAATGAAAAAAAAAACCCGTCTAGTTCATCAATAAAAATGTATTTTTGTGTACCCGAAGTACCTAATAAAAATGTTCGTAAAAGAACGATAATAGACAAGTATACAATGAAATGGATGACACGAAGACGTAAAGTCGATAGCAGCATATTGTTGTATTATATTGATAATATAATATTACGTCCTTTATTGATCCCGACACTGCCATCGAAAGATTAGACATGGGTGCTGAAGGCCACAGGCAGCCAAAGTTCAAGTCGAGACTTTTCGTTTCGAGTCGAACACGATTTTGTTATTTTTAACTGGTTTTTGAACGAAAATTCATCAAATAATTTAGTTGGTACGCCAAAACATGTTTCAAAAAAAAAAAAAAAAAAGGCTATATAATTACAAATACCTACGCATTACAAAGGGGCCCGCAGAAATAAACCAGGGGGGGAGCCAAAGTCAAAAGTATAAGACTTTTTTTTACAACTTACAAGTAATTATGGAAAACATAATTATAAGTAAAACAATAAATACTTACTTTATTATTATTATTATTATTATATATTTATTTATTTATTTATTTAATATCAACTAAAATAGCGGGGGAGCATAGCCCCACCGACACCCCCTTGCGGACGTCCTAGGTACGCAAAATTCGAACGCATTCGGTACCTGATTCCGTACCGTTAAAATTACAACAATCATAATATTATATGATCATTGTGCAAAAAATTGGAATTTGTCCAGAGCATTAACGTCATAACGATAATAATTGTTATCAAATTATTGATCGAGATTATGATAGTGGATAAATTATTAAATTCGTCGGTTAATAGTTATATAATTCGTATTTTATGTAGCATACGCGGTATACAATAATATTCTTAATTCGAAATAATATTATAATTATTTAAATTGTTCTTCTATTACGTTATAATAATATTGTTCTAAAATGCCAACGCCTCGAACCAGTTGAGACTGCCCTTTCGATGATAAACAATAATCTGTAAACGGGTAATTATTCCAACTTGTGATTATTTACAGTATAATATTATTGTGGAAATAAAACTGTTTTTTTTTTTCATTCGTTTTAATAAATCACGTATCTCTCAATTAAACCCTAAATGATATTGTCCGAATACAATATAAAATTATTGTCAATATTGCGGATTGATTGCGATCCCGGAATAAAAATAGCCCCAGGGAGCGATATACGGGGGAGAGGGGGAACCCAGCCCTATTACCAAATCTAAGTATTTAGGTTCGAAACATAATATCTTCGATCGCCAAATTTATCGTCATTTATTGAGAAACTTTATTATTATGACCCAATAATATTCCAAAATAATAGGAACTATTTTAATAGGCTTCTGGCCAACGTGTATAGCGAATTCTACAATGAAATATTAACAATAAGTATGAAATAAGCTGATATCATTACTGGATTGCACTCTGTTCGCCGTTATCGTAGTATAATTTGGAGTATTCGAGAAATCGAGGAAATACCAAACTAATTTTATCGGTACACGGCAATTAACGGTTTTGGTTTCCAACAATAAATTATATTTGTAGAATAATATTGTTATTATGATAATATATGCCCGAAGGCAGCTTTCCTCGCTTAAACTCGTCCGAGTCGGACTTCCGTTTTTAACATTAAAATGGGCCGACAGTATCGACAATCGACCGCACGAGTGAAAACAAAATTAAAATAATAACAAATATAATAATATTACGGGTCGGGGATTTTTTTGTTTGCTTTTTGCCGGGAATTTACACGTGGAAAATCCGTTAAAGCGGACGGAAACGATCGCGAGTCGGCGCGGTCAGAAAAAAAAAAAAAGTCGAATTAATGCACGTGCACCGAACGCGTCTCACATTCGCATACATTAACGCAGCACACCGCGTCAATAACGCGTAGCTGATGACACGTTATTTTCGTTGGTAGGTAGAACACACAAAAAAAAAAATCGTACATAACGCGCGGACACACGACGACGGCACATCGTTAGTACACACGACCCATTAAAAATAAAGACATTATTTGGCAAAAAGTATTCTCCTATTCGTATATTATGCTGTTACCACCGGTCAAAGTCGCATTGACACTAGTGATAGTAATGGCAATAATTATTGTAACATTTGTAACCGTAGTAGTAAATAGCATTTAGTACGAGCAATAGTAATGTTAAATGGATCTTTGCTAATATAATGGCCATCGACACGGGGTCGTGAACGACGACCGGGTGTACGAGGGTCGGTAAAGGGAAAAACGATAAAAAGGGTTAGGCTGAGAACGAGATGACCTCACCCTTAAAACTACAACAGAGCGGATGGGAAGCAGGCGGCGGCGGCGGTGTCGACGGACGGGGAGGCGTTGGGTGGGTATGCGGATACTATGACAAAGCGGAGGGGCAACCTGTCGGATGAAAGGCTGGGAAAGTGATTACGCGAGTATAGACCACCGCCGCAGTTCCAACCGAAATGTGCGCGTTTCTATGGGATTGCGGCGGCGTGCCGTCCAGTCATTATACAGATTTGTATACAATATCATTGTAGTCGCTGCGGACATCGGCTCGGCTACGCGGTCGTCCGCCGAAAAGAAACGAAATTAAGAAGACAAAAAAAAAACCACGACGACGACGGATGAGCGCATCGAGTTAGGGACGCCGTCAGGGAGTAGGGGTTATTATTCGGAGAGTCGAGCGTGTTGGAAAAAAAAAACCGACGTGCAGATAAGCACGTATACAACACACGGTGGTAAAACAATATTCACATTATCATGGCCGGTTCGGCTCTACCGATCCTCCGAAATTACAACAGCAACGGTTACACACGCTCGAGACGCCTCCGCAGTGTTGCCAACCAACGGGCGGTCAAAACCGAAAATGGTGCCGTGTTAAATAACGGCGAGCGCTGGAATACGGCCGACGCGCGTTATACGCGGCGCGAACGACGGCGATGGGGGAACGAAGCTAGGCGGTGGCGCGATCGACGGGCGCGGAAAATCGAAATTTTAGTTCCGGCCGCTCGCGACGGCCACGTAGTGGCGTCGTTCCCGGGCGGCTGTGGACGCGAGGTGAAACGCTACTCGTGCGCCCGCCACGCCGACGACCGACCGACCAGCCAGCCAGCCAGCCAGCCAGCCGAACAAAATCCCCTACTGTATAATAAATAATATGTGTGTGTGCGAGTCGTCGTCGTCGTCGTCGTTATATGTATAATATTAAACAACCGCGCACAGCGCGGTGTATTCCGCGCGATTTGCCGCCCCACTCGCCGTCACAGAAAAAACAGGACTGCGGCGGCGATGACGAAGACGACGACTACAACGACGACTCCGACTACTACTACTACAACTACTATTACTATCACTACTATTACTACTACTACTACTACCATACGATACGATACGATACGATACGATACTATACTACTATACTACGACGTCGCCGCGGCCCGTATCGGCCAACGCGCGGGCGCGCAAGACACCAGAGCCCGAATAGAACGGCGGCGGCGGCGGGCCCGTAATAAACAACAACGTTGAACGCACGGATAAAACGCGCGCCGCTGCTGTTAAGGCGGCGGCGGCCCACAGTTACGGCGGTCGTGGAAGAGGTGGTAGGGGGGAGGGCGCAGGGGAGTGACGGGCCGGCTCGGCGCGGCGTCGACGGTGTAGAAATGACGGCGGCGGCGGCGGAGGGGCAGCGCGCGCGGACTGGAACTCGAGTCGAGTGTACTGCTAGCAGCGGCGTTCGTGCTCGGGGACAACGACGTGGCGGGGTATTGGGGTAACGGCGCAAATAATGGATGCTCGGGACGCCGGGCCGACCGCCGACCGAGCCGAACGTACGGCTATACTACACGGTCGACGGCGACTACACGTTCGTAGTATCGAGTATACGCATTCTTTGCACATGATATAATAATATTGCCCGTGTGTATTCGTCGTCGTTGCGGCGGCGAGCGCACCCAACCCGACTGCGAAGACCGTGCCGGGGACTGTAAATATATATCTATATATATATATATATTATATTATATACTTATACGTGTGTGCATTCATCGCGGGAACAATTATTGTTATTATTATTATTATTGTATAGATAAATATAATATATACATATTACATATAAAATACACATATGTATATATATATATATATATTATTTATTTCATACATTCTGGCGTGCACCAACGGTAGAAACCGGATTGCCGACGGCTTACAAATGTGTATCGTGTGTGTGTAAGACTTACAATCATAATAATAATACGAACATAACTGTTTCGACCCCGAAGACTGGGCGCGAACCCGCGTAAAAAATGCCTTTTTTCATACCGTGGCAACCTCCTATTCATATTTCCCCGGTTACTTTTACTACTGCTGCTGAGAGGTGACGCCTCCGGTTTTTTTTTTTTTTTTGATTATTATTTCGATTTTATACCCCGTATTATTACAGAGTCGCCAGTGTCGAAAATCGTTATACTCGTAAAAAAAGTTGTTACGTTATTATTATTATTATTATTATCGAAAACTTTATCGTTACGGATACGGGCCGTTTTCACCACTAAATGAAAATTTAAAAAACACGTGTATATTTTCAATCTTTTACTGCCAAATCGGGGGATTCGTAATTAATTTCACATTATTTTCGCTAGGCTAGATAACAATATTAATATCTAAAAAAATTACTTACTATATTAATATTTTAATCGACTAAATCCTTTGACGTTTAGCGTAAATACTACCAATCTATATTAACTTTGGCACCGTTTATTTTGTACAGTTTGGCGTCCTTCATTTTAGGTATTTAGAAAGCCGGGTTGAAAAAAACGCGTTTACATGGAAATAATATATATTTAAATGTAACGTGTTTGATATCGATAAAAAATATTCACCATACACAATGGATTAAATTATATTATTACCGTTTAATGTAAATCAAATGCAACGGTCAAATACGAATACTTTCAGCATTTGTGACCGGAGAATGCCAGTAAATATATTCCGCGCTATAATATATACTAAGGTCTAAAACACGAGAATAATTTGACGAAGAAAAAAATGTATGAAACCTGTCACATTGTAAGATAAATACTATACTTCCAAACCAGTTACTATTATGTTTTAAAAAAGCCAAGACCTCGCACGGTAAAATTTTTTCCATGACTATCTAAAAGGGTATTGGTTTAATAAATTTGTATAATTTGAGTTTGACTGAAATAATTTATCTCGGAATAATTGCTAATACATCATATAAAAAAATATATACACAGAATGTCCCATGATGATCTGACATTTGAAATAAATTTTGTTGTATTCAATATTTTTAATACATATTTTTGAAAACAATTAGTTCTCTACACCACATACATTTTTCATACATTGAATACTATTTTTTTTTTTTTTTTTGAGGAAGGGTTACTTAAAATAAAAAATTTAAAATTTGTCTATAATTGTTTTTAAAAAAACATTTTAGAAAATGTATAGTGGTAGAAGCTTTTGTTTAGCTGTGAAATTTTATTTTCTACAATTTTCTCAAGTTTTTGACAAAGTAAATATAACTGTGGTTTTAATCTATTATAATATTTTTTTAACAGTAGACAGGCAGTCTATGATAATATCATTGTGATATTAGCTCATGGAAAAGAAAATCCTTGTCATTAGATGTGCTCTGATTACTGATGAAATATTATAAACCACAATAATGTTCACATATCTTTAGACAATATTGTAGAAAATAAAATACCATACCTAAAAAGATTCCAACCATCAAACATTTTTTAAAAATTTTAATTACAAAATGGTTTTTAAAATTTAAAATGTTTTATTTTAAGTTCCTATACAAAAAAAAATATATGTATATTATCTTTACGTGGAGACATATTAATTGTTAAATTATGTAAATTAAAAATATTAACTAGAACAAAAGTTATTTCAAGTATCAAATCAACGTGAGCCACTCTAAATATATAAATCGTTTAGTATTTGAATATTTAGGTAGATAGTGAATGTCGACTATTAATGAACCTACTTTTTTTTTGTTTTAATAGAAAAATATAACTAAATACAACACGAAAAATAAAAGAAATATAAACAATTTCAACATTCATAAATAAAAAAATACGGTATGATAATCTACATCCATAAAAAAAAAAAAATTATAATTATAATCTGTTCTACTAGATAGATGTTAACTGTTTACAACGAAATAATTTCACGTGACTTTTCAGCATCATAAAATGAAGCATCAACCAATCATCACTGTGAAAGTAGTAGTATAATATTCTAGTATTAGCATTTATTAAACAAAAGAAAGTATTATATTCCAAGAAAATAATACCATGGGCTCGGTTATTAAGATGTACGCGTATCTAAAAAATGTGTTCCACAAAATAATAACATTATATTACAAACAAACCAGGAATATTTTACTGAGGAAGCGTTTTTTAACAGTAGTCGCATTATTAACAAACTGGTCTCTATTTATTTTTAACCATTTTGAATACGTATAATAGAATACAATTAATAAGGTCTAATAAACATTTGGAACTAACAGCTGACGAGACCTAATAAAGAATTAAATTCGTGCCTACGTGATTTTTAGACGATATTTATATTCCGAAATAAAAATGTGTATTTTACCAATATTTATTATTCAAGTGTTCAGCTTTCATTGTGTTAAATGACTTCATAACAATTCAAATGATTTTATTATGTTACGTGTGATGTGACCTTACATTTGCATTTGCACACCGAGATTGAACTTTGTCCAGTGGCGAACGTCGGTATAACCCCCGAAATATAAAGTATACATTAACTCGAATAATGTTGTGTGTATACAAATAATAGTATGATTACTAGTCTAATAATTTATTTACAGCGACAAAAATGTGGCAATGTCCCCCAACAGACGAGCGTTTTTTCCAGCGTTCGCCATTAACATTGTTCATATATTTTCAGATAAGCAGCTCCAAGCGATACCCCGTATGTTTAATATGTTAAAAAAACGGCGAATTGGGTAAACATTCATAAAGAATTGTACATTATCGCTAAACGCCCAGGTATACCTCCTGCGCCGTTGTTAAAAATATTATTTTCCCGGAAAAAAAAAAGAAAAATCTCAAATCATAACTCACCGGATGAATTTGTGGCGGTGATTGATGAGGTGGCTGTTGCTGTTGTGACTGCGGAGGCGGCGAAGAGTGTTGCTGCGCATTTTGGGCATTTTGCGACACGGGAGGTACGGACGGCGGACTAGCCGACGCCGACGACGACGTCGTCTGCCCCGGACCGGCGTGGGGTTGTTGAGGCGGTTGAGAAGGAATTTGGGGCTGCTGTTGCTGAGAATGTTGTTGACGGTCGACAGGCGGTTGCTGGTTATAGCTGCCATAGGGTGCCTGCGTAAAAAACCGGTGGCGGTTAACACACGATATGCATTTACCATCGATACCATTGTACGTGTAAACATTAATATCAATAGGTAGGTACTATGTGTGTAAATATCGTAACGGCGATAGAAATAATTATCTGTTGTGCTGGTAGTACGGACACGAGTAGTAAGAGCGGTAATGATTCGTAGTAATACGTAGTAGGTAGTAGTAGTACTATAGTAAACACAGAAAACGCCAAACGCCATAATATGAGCAGCAGCACCCGCAGTAATAGTAATAATATACTTGTACAATAATTATAACGAACGCCGCCGCCGCAGCCGCCGGTTGCCGGGTCGTGTATTAAAAGTAAGAGTGGACGGCGATGATCCCGAGGGTTTTGGGGTTTTGCCGTTTATTGCGGTGTATCATTTCGGGGCCGACGGGAAACATTTCACGGAAGTCAAGGTCGTGATGGGTGGCGGCTACCGGGACTAAGCGGCAAGGAGAGGATCAGCTGTGTGAGTGATAATGCCGCGGTACCGCCGCCGCCCGCCCGCCCTCCGCTGACGCGTACGACCATTACCATTCTATTTGAAGTCGACCGGGCGACATAAAACTATAACGTACAGGTCAATGACGTTTACTCGTAAACAGCGGTTTTTATTTGTATTTTATAAATAGCCCGGAAATGCTATAAATCTCCGTTGTTGCATTATTATTGTTATTATTGCCGGGATAATTGTGTACCGTGTCTTGGTTGATTTGGCCCGTTCCCAGAATACATCTCGAATCGGAGGGAAATATTTTTTCGCGCCCGAAAACAACAACTATAATAATATGGTTCTAGGTCAATCCCTCCCGGCGACGACGACGTCTACGATGTTTATACACGTTTTAACACGATTAACATTAATAATTACCTGTTGCTGTGGCGGAGGCTGCGGTTGCTGCTGCTGCTGCTGCTGCTGTTGTTGCTGCTGCGACGGTGGCCCGGGCGGTCCCGGCGGATACTGATGGTGCAGCGGTGGTACCCGATGGTGCTGCTGGTATCCGGTGGGCGAAGACGGCGGCGGTGGATAATGCGTCTGGTGGCCCGGCGACGGAGGTGGTGTCGGTCCTCTGGGATTAGCCTGCGGAGCAAAAGCAAAACTTTTAGAAGTACCGCGGTGGCGTGGCGAAAAGGATCGACGGATCGGAAGGAAACTACTGTTGTGGCGACCTTGAAGAAGGTATCGGGGTCAACGGCCGACAATAAACACAAAGAGAGCGAGATAGAATGAGCGTGAATGGTGGAAAAAGGGATTTGTATGCAGGTAGGCACGCGGACTATTTTATATGCATATAGTAGTATATGTATATACATATATATAGACACACACACACACACATATATATATTATGTATATAAATAAACGTATTATACTACTACTATATACACAACAAACGCGACGGTAGTGACGGCGGAGCGGAGGGAGTGGGTGGGTGGTGTTAAAAAGTTTTGCACAATGCATGTTTGTGGTGAACGCGAAACCTGTAATGGACAGGGCGGAGAACGCGGCGGCGGCAACGTTTGTAGTAGTCGCGAGAGAGACGCGGGTGAGGGGTAGACCGACGACGTAATAGTTGTGGATAACACATCGATCGCGGGGTGGGGTGGGGGGCTGAGAACATTTAAGGGTTGTAAAATTACGAAGCCGCAAAACTGTGGATTCTGTCCGCGATAATGACGTTCCTTCATTCATGAATCACGAGCACGTATAGTCGTCGCGCGCTAGACGATGCGGAAAAGGTGACCCTAATGGGTCCAATGTAAAATAATTAATGACCCATTATCGTGTCTCTCTGTATTATACGAGCGTGTGCATACTATATATATATTTTTTTTGTCTACGCGCTCGCGCACACCTAACACAATTATGAAAACAGACCACGTGGTGTAAATACTACTATAAATCCGATAATTACCGGGTCGAACAATAAAAATAAACACAACCGTTTTTTTTTCATCAATAAATAATCCTTCCACCTCTCGTTCGTATCACGTTGCCGAGCGGAACGGGTACGCGCGATACCAATAACCATAATATACAACACACGCGACACGGTTAAATGAAAACGATATTTTTTTCAAAATGCGAAACAATCAACACGTTGAAAATCATTCTGGGAAAAATAATCGTGTTTTCGCGAAATAAATAAATTATAGCTGGTTGTCTAATTTTGCGAAACAACGATCACCACGGAACAGAATGGAAAACGTGGTGTAATGGGAAAAAAAAAATGCACACCTAAAAATACCTACCTAATGTACGAATTTCGAGATAAGGTTTTAGAAATTAAATTTAACTTTATTTTATTTTTGTTTTATCAAATAGTTTAAAACAGTATTCGAACAGTTTTCTTCATTAAAACAAACTACAAAACATTCTTTGCAAACATACAGTATTATATATTATATGAATAAAACAAACATATTTTATTTTAAGCTTAATAATTGTAATATTTAAACGAGTTTATATTATTAATGTAAACATATTCATCGTCTATATTTACGTATATTATTAATTTACATAGGAATATCTTCGTTAACAAAACTACCAAAACGTATGAAATTCACCATTCAAGAATACGGTTTTTAAAAGTAAACATTATCGGGAAGTAACACAAAGTTTGGAAAATTATGCAAGTAAAATATACGATTTAGGAGCATTTGCAGGCCGTGTTAATTCAAAGTTAGTGGGAGTAAAGGAATTCTTTATTTACCGTGCAATAGCCTGGCGATGATGTAAAACCACTGAAAAAAATTGAAATTGAAATGTTAATAAATAAAAAGTTAATACTATTTACGGATGTGCTACTGTTGAAAAGGTAGGATATAACGCATTGTATGTAACGATAAACTGCTAGTTACTACAAATAAAAAACGATTTTGAGTAGTGTTAGTTGTGTTTTCTCCATTATTATCGAGGTAACCCAGGAACAAAAAAAAAAATAAGACGTGGAATGTGAATTGATAAAATAATAAATTGATATCTATAAGTAAAATACAGTAGAGATACAGTAGATACTGTTGATGGGCGTGTCACTGTTTAAAGAGGGAAGTTGGGGGGGCATTGTAGTTAATGTACTACATATAGTAGTAACTCTATGTATAAATATATACAGATATATAGAGTAGGTAATTTAATTTTTATATGTACGCAACGATAAATCATTGCTGACGAAAAACGATTCTGAACAGAGTATTTGGGATAGTTAAAATCGTAGATTTTCCATTTGTTGTCAAGGTGATCCAGAAATCAATAAAAATTATACAACCAATTGCCAGCTTTTTCCATTTATTAAGGAAACTACAAGGGAAATCAAAAAATGGCCCAACCACCAATGCACCAAAAGTTGATAAACATAATATGATACAAGAAAGCTCCAAATATATTTTTGATCGGAACACTATTTCTGGTAGAATAGTTGTTTACAGACACACAAAAAAAAAAAAAAAACGACAACATAATATCATAAGGAAAACCAATACATTCCTCGCTTTACTCAGAATCTAAAAATAGTATAATAATAATAATAAAACGTAGAATAACAAACAATCGAAATGTTTTTATCTATTCGGTAAACATTCTACTAGGATGTTGTACAATACGTTACACGATAAAATACATGTATTGTTGTTTGCCGGTCTTTAGACCGTAGCTCGCACACATGTGGCTTAGAACATCGAATAAACAGCCGCACCACGCAGGTAATGGACAATAATTATTATCAATGGCGTTACGATAACTGTCAATAATAGACGCGACGGCAATATTGTGTACAAAAGCGAAAAATACACGTATTGTAATAACACGTGCGTTATTCGTATTGTTTTCGACGAGACGACTGTCAATTGACGACGTCGTCGTTCGGCACCCGGGAGTCAAATGAAACCGTCGACGTCGACGATACACGGACCTACCTTCGGCGGCACGGCGTTCTCGAATTATAAAAATATAATAATAATGATAATATAGTTGTCGCGAACGTGACGGACTTTTTGCGCGGTAAAATTTATCGACTTCCGCGACCGGGACGGCGTCCGCCGCCGTGATCCCGCGACCGTTTCGCTCTCCGAAGCGAGAAAACAACAAAAAAAAGAACGTTACGACGCGGAATAACCGCAGCAAACGCACGGGGTCCCAGGGCGGGGGTGAAAGTAACTGTTTTATCGACATGGTGCACATCGCGACCCGTTCGTGTCGCCGTATAATAATAATAATAATAACAACAATAATGTGTTTTACGTTGCACCGGTCACCAACTCAGTGTCAAGGAGATAATAATAATACAGTTTTTACGACGAAACAACAACAAACGACACATCACGGGGTGGGTCATACGTACCTGTAGGTGAAGTATTTAGATGGAAAACAACGCTGCGGCTCATTTTGAGAAATTTTACATTTGGTACCATCTACCACTTTAAACTTATATATTATCAATTAATATTCATAATAGTGTAAGGTATAACGATAATATTTTTAAGTTTTGATAACGGTTCTTTATCAGTAACCAGATTGAGTAATCGTACAACAATAATTATTCCGATTAATATACCAAAACCCAAGCATATAGCATTTAGCTACCATTTCAAATGAAAAAATGTCTGTGCATTTTACCTATTTCATGTACTCGAGATATTTAGTTTCATAATTAGTTTTTAAATGATGTGAAAAATGTTACCTTATATTTAAATAATTGTATTTTGTATACACAAATCTTGACTACTGTTTGTAATTCTTGTAATTTGCATGTATAAATTATCTATTTCCGCCACAAGCATGCTTATTGGATATAGATAAATCGCTAGAACTGTTAAATACATTTTTAATTGATATGTACATCTGTTTTTCGATTTCAATTTAAAAAAATAAAGTTTGATGATTTTCAATTTATCACTCTAAACATTTTTCATTTAAATGTTTCACTTCACCATACATAATAGCATTCCTTACTCTATGGACACGCATACACCGGCCGCGGTACACGAATTGGGCATTTTTATCGGTACGGTGTTCAAAAGCCGCAGAACGTTTGACGATATCCCTAAAAAGATACCACGTTCTAGCGTTAAAATGCAAAACATATATACAAAATAATATGTGTGTTAAGTCTGGTTTTGTATGATAATTACATCGTGTTTCCTTGATCCGAATTCCGATAATTTTGAAATAGCGAACTAATAATGTGTAACGTGCCCTTTTTTTTCCACAAGCATTTCAGTTATTTGTGATAATATGGCACTCGGTTTCAAGTGCGGACTATGTTCTAACACGTAATTGAATATTGATTCGTTTCGACAGTATTTTATTTCGAACACGGTTTCTGTCCGAATGTTAATCAAAAACGTCAACTGCACGGTGTATGTTCGGGATTGTGGACGGACGATAAAATAGCGGACAGCGGACTGTGATTACGGTGCGACACAAATGAGAAACGTAGAGAAAAATAAGTAAAAATATTAATAACTTTGGAAATTACTGATGGATTTTCGATATATCGGCCGTCTCCGTCTACGATGTGTCGCAGTCTAATATATCACAGCGATATTATATTAGGGCGCGGTGTTTTTTTTTTTCCCCCCTAGAAAAAAAGTTAGCGAAATATACTCTACGCGTAATAAAAACCTATCGGTACGTAATGCGCGTAATGTTGTGTTTATCAGGCATCTGTATCATTGAATTACAGAGCCGGTGGACGGAACAAAATCAGCATCCGGACGTATTTATAATTGTTTAGCGCCCGAACGTGTCAAGAGGACCGGGAAGAAACGTCCACCACACCACGCACACACCCCGACGGCACCACGCCGATTGCCGACCATTCGAAAATACGATGTCACCGCGGCGGACCGTGGAGAAGAGGAGGTCGGCACGCGTTCTTTCGCGTTCGATTTTTACGTGGATTTTTTTTTTTTTGTTATATTAGATCCGTTTTACTTTCGAATACTATACTACACTACACCGGCACCGCACCGTCACAATGTTATAAGGTACGCGCGCGTACCGATGATGATAATAATAATAACGATTATGTTATTATTATCTAAAAATAAAACGTGGGTTCGAAAAGTATTCGCCGTGTGACGCGTTGTTTTTTTTTATTTTTATTTTTTTTTAATCTAATAAAACGTAGTAGTTACACTCTCGTCAATACGTGTGGATATTCGTATATATATATATATATATATGTGTGTGTGTGTGTATATATATATATATAATTATTATGTGTTTGCGGCGGCGGCGGCGTGTTGTTGGGTAAGGGCATGGGCGCGTACATAATGCGTGTGCGGCGTACAATAAACAAACGCCGTTCCCTCCTCTTTCTTCTCCGCCGCGGCAGTTGTGCACGCACACACACACACATTTGTATAATCGTATAATCATAATACTATTATATATATATATATATATATATATATATATATGTATACACAAACATATACTCATTCGCTCGTACATATATATATGTACATAAATCTGGGTTAATAAACTATGTAGGATCGCGACTGGATACACACCGAGAATCGGAAACGATAGCCGACGTGCATTTCCGCGGTCGTTATAAACAACGCCGCGCGCGCGAATGTTAAAAGGCCGCAGGGGACTGTACTACTACTACTAATACTACTACTACTACTACTACTACTACAACTAGCCAACTGTACCGTCGACTCCACGACCTATATATTATTATACGCGCGTTTTACAAATGTGTACACTATAATAATGTCGTCGGTTACCCGGCAAGTCGATTTTGACAAATTCTCTACAACAATAAACTACAACGTACGAACGACATCGACAATGCGTTCCGATTCTCCGAATCGCCTGCGCGACGATGCACCGACCCCGGAACGAAAACCCCACGACCAAGTTCCTCTACAAAGTTTTCGATCGGAGTGAGATTTTCGGTCGACAAATTTCGCGTTTTTACACGCACACGCAAAAAATGTTTCAACAAAACGAGTAAAATAGTTTACGAGATTTTCGGTACGACAGGTGGGGTCGGTGGTAGAAAGTTCAAACATTCTAAAGGCAAATCCTTCGCAACAATTCTATTTGCGTATACACATTTCAACAGAGTTATTTAATATTACGAGTCTGTAAGGGTATTTGGCCTGTAAAAACGTGAAATCTGAACACAAAAATGGCCGGGGATGTGGATGAAACCTCTAAAAGGTACATTCTTGATACTTACACGATGCATACACACAAAATGTTATCCCCTGACTTTATTTTGATATAGGCTAGGATATAGGAGAGTGCAAAGCTAAAAAAACACTTTTTTCTCCAGGAATCCAACGTGGTGAAATTCAACCAAAATTGTACTATTTCAATCCGCCTATAAAAAATACCTGCAATTCCCGAGTCCTTTTGGTCCAGAGGGAACCACCAAAAGTATGTTCAAAATACATATACCAGACATAATATATTATTTTGGCTGACCATATAATACGTACCTATATTGGTACGTATTTTGTTCCCAAAGTTTTGATATTGGAATGAATTAGCCAACTATGGTCTCTATTAACGGTAAGAACATTGCTCATATAAAAATATATCAGTAGATTTAAGATCGTTTCTCGCTAAAAAGCTAAAATATCGAGAAAAAAACCAACCGACACAGATAATATTCTTACTTTTTAGTTTGATAATAGGCTGCGATTCACTCGACAATATTATTATTAATCAACGGCCGGATATTCGACATACTGACCGAAAATCTGACATTATCTGATTGTCGAACATTAATCGTAACACGTGACATTATGTGTTGCGGAACGACAACAATTAAGTGTCGGACATCGTCTCGAGGGGCACAAACCATAACGATAATACAGATAGTAGGTACACGGAGTATTATTATCATCACAGAGGGTAAATCACTAATGGAAATCGATGTACAAATAATCCATGTGTTCCTTCTGTGATGATATCGACGGTGGTTATTTGTGAAAAACATTTTCGGAATGACCTAATAATAAGATCAATTGATATTATTGATAAATTAGGAAATGTTATTTGCTCAGTAAATATATTTGACGTGCAAGTGTAGGATAGGTCCATATGAAAAAAGCTATCTATAAACCAAAGAAGTCAAATTTAGTTGAAAACTTAAAAGTACAAAATTAATACAATAATTAAAGGGAAAAGTTAGGAATTTAATGAAGATGTTGTGAATACAATTATAGAAAGGCTAAAGTAATAGATTTTCTAACATATTATTTAACTGGTATGTAACAAAATATTGAGATACATTTACCATTAATTACTTTTATAGGGTATCTAAACAAATGTTGAAATGCATTGGTGATTGCAATACTTGTAAGTCAGTTTTTGTAACATCACAAGTTTATTCTGAACAAATGTGTTATTCATTGGTTAATATGAAAACGAAGGGACGTTTGATACACTCAAACATTTTCTTTTTTGATTTCATGAAAAAAAAAACTGTATATAGTTTCATAAAACATTTTTCATTCAGGCATGCATTTGAACTAATCATCACAGATTTGATGTCTAAAAAATTTCGTTAAATTTCCTATGTCCAAGTCGTGGTGGGGATGTAATGTCATTGACTGTGATGTATTATATTATAATGGGAATGAGGAAATTGTCGCAACAAAAAGATAAGAAAAAAAAATAAAGATAACAGAGATTAAAAAAAATGTCCAGATTTTCAAAAACTTAAAATACCTATGTATAAAAAAAAAACCTTGTTAAAATACAAAAATACACATAGGTACTTGTTAAAATACAATTCTGGATGAATCTTTTAATAATTCACTCGAAAAAATATACAAAACTATTTAATTGGAATAATTGGAAACATGAGAATTGTGAATACCCTATAGGTAGACAAATCCTATAGGTATTTCCAAAGAAAAGTATATTTTAACAAACATTAACCTATTTGCAAATGGCAACTGACGTCATATCTAAGCATACAATAATATACGGAGTCGAGTATCTAGTATAATGTACATATTTGTGGTTCGAGGTTATTTTAAAGTAGTATAATGTCATAATTTCAAAATAAGTCTGCGGTGCAGCGCTCAATTGTGCAGTGGTACAATTTGGAAATTAATTCGCCTCACTAGGCGGAATGCTGATAAGGGATGGTTGTCCGACCTTATCTTCGGAAACCGTGGATAAAGCCATCCATCTTCGATGCCATCAGAGATTTTCGGATTTCAAAAAGAACAACACCGATGCCATCGCAGATGAATTAAGAAACAACACATGGAATGGTGTTTGGTAGTCGTATGGAAGAAATCGTTGATAATCTTACGGGGAATTTTAAAGAAAAGCTCGTCAACCGTTATGGACAAATCACGGTATTCTGGAATCCGGGGTACGCCGCGATATTAATCAGCGGTTTACCCTGCGATTGTTATTGTTTAGTGGGCGCGTTGATCGCGCGGGCGGCGGACTCTGTTGATAATAATATTATTATTATTATTAGAAAACACGATTTGATCGCCGTCGATTACTACGTTTCCTATGTAAGGTATTCTTCGATAATCGACACGCGCACGCGTCAACGACTACCCGCCGTACGACCGCACCGCGGCAGAAAGTAAAAAAAAAAATTGAGAAAAAAAAAAAAACCACTGCCTACGGACACCGCCGACGACCGAACGACACGGTGGTGTGATTTTTACTACCCGTGTACCTGCTGCCTGCACGACCCACTAACGGTCACGACTCCTGAATAATAACATAATTATTATTATTATTATTATTGTTATTATGTAAAACTCGTGAACATTATAACACGTCATTATTCGTTGTCGTCGTTTTGCGCGGCGTTATTCGTTTCGTAACAATCCGCAGAAGAATAAATAATAATTACTTCCCTTACCGATAAAAACGACAATAATTATTATTTGTAAAACGCGAACTAATATAATAATAATATTATAAAACGCGGTTCGGACTAATCGCCGGGGCATCGATGACATCATAGCCGCCGCCGATGATAACAGTGACGTATCTCGGGCGCACTTTAATTGGGTAAATCACAGTAATATTATACGGCGTTCCCGTACATTAAAGCACAATATTTATTTACTATACGATCGTTATACACATCGCATTATTACGATTATTATGTTCTGCACAGAACGCATTGTTATCATTATTATTGTGCCAACAACCTATCGATGCAATACTCAAGGTCCGACGCCGCCCACTGCACCGAGACGAGTGCCTATGTTATTATTTTTACGATATCGTTATGACGACGACACGTCAACGCCGATAACGATATTATCACAACGTTATACCGTAATACCGGCGTGACGGGGAAGGAAGAGGGGGGGGGGAATGTGCGATCGCGGAATATTTCGACAAAAACCCGATTTCGAATAATTGATTAAACGGACGGGATTACGCCGAAATCATTATTATTATTATTATTATTATTATTATCATCGTGTTGATTGAACACCACGATTTATACCGATCGACGATAAAACACAAGTGCCGGCGGCACGGCGCTGCGAACGATAGTATTCCGTAAACAGTATGAATTACACATTGATGGTATTACTATCATCGTTATCACACGCACAAGCACGAAACATTATAGAACCATTATCGCGTTCTTCGCATGTTACAGAAAAAAAAAATACCAAGATTTAGGTATGCGAAATTAACCGCGGACTGACGCGTACAATTAAAAAAAAAAAAATTCCCGAGAATTCGAGTGCGAATATTCCGGTTTATCTATAATTATCGTAATTTAAAACTTTAAATAAATTCAAGGCGAAGGATATTGCAATTAATACGAATTATATTAAATGGCACACAATTGCAATTATACACGAATAATTACTATAAAACAAATTTAAAAAAATTTTTCAACGATTATTTGCTTCACACAAATATGATAACCCCCCCCCCATTGGCCGTACCGGGTAAATATTATTACACCCGAGTACACAATTTTACTAAATAATTTAATAGTGATATTATAAAATACAAATTGTATATTAACTATGACCCATATAGATGGGTCTTTACTAAAATAGCTAAAATATCGTTCACTCGAAAAATACGAACAAACCAGAGAACAAACAATAATACAATTTTATTTTCGATTTGAAAACACCGGAAATCTCTGGAAACCGTGGGAAATCTTTTGAAATACGCAGATGGTCATTATTTATCCAATTTTTTTTTATTTTTTATTTTCATTCGAATTTTATCTGACAATATTTGCATTCATTTTGGGTAAAATACTAATAATTTTTTTTTGTTTCGTTCGGAATTTTTATTCTTAAAATGGTTAGAAAAATGATTTAGTTTTAAATAATTTGGATTGTCTGAGGACTTATTGGAGGACAGCCTTTACCCGCGGTGCGAAGGTATTATGTCAGTTTTTTAAAAAATAAATCACATAGCATATCTCAAGCCCTCCCCCGCCCCACACACACATACACATTGTAATAAAATACGACGGTTTTTCATCGTCACAATAAAACCGTCGCGTTTAAATAAAATCAATTCGACAGATATAAAAACTGCAGTAGCGTTTCACCGTCGGTTTTTGCCCGTAAACTTCTCTCGGTTTTGGCCGACGTGTTTCACCGTGATCCGTTTAAATCGCGATGTTTGTTTGTTTGTTTTTTTTTTTTTTTGTTTTTTTTTCTAAACAAGAATTTCGATTGTCGTGGAGACAAAGTTAAAATCGAATAAATTGCTTAAATTGTCGCGCGTTTTATTCGTTTCGAACGGGTCGTATTTATAGTTTACGTTATAGTATAATAAATTTCGGTTATACGTCTAATCTGGAAGTGACTTGATAATATCATTTACAAGAATATAAGATCACTTTATTCAGCCCGCAGCTGTAGCCACAGTGGCCTATCCGCGGTGGGAATTTTAGGCCGCGCGTCCTCGCCCAGTTTTCGATTTTGTTTTTTTTCGGTTTCGGTCGGAACACACCGCCCAGCGCCGAGAGTATTCGCGTAAACATTAAATACGCGCGATTAGTGTGCATAATAATGTACGTCACGATTATTCTTATCGGTCATAATTGGATCACTCGGATGCGAAAAATTTAACAGGCCCATTAAAAACACACGTATTATTATTGTTTTTTTTTTTCAACGTTCATCATATTGTAGGCACATTTGTAAAATACACGATAGTACTTACAAACTTAAATTTGACACTATTATAATAATAATATCAAATAAGAATAATAATCACTCGAGCGAAGATTTTAACAATGAAATAAACATCTAAATACTTAAATGTACTCAAAATGCAAAATATAAGAATATATATATATTCATAAGTATGATAATTTACAGAGTAATTTATCACGTAATTTATATCACTTGGTAACTTATTTTTAAAGAAAAATAAAAAACAATAATGTTGTAATATCTTTTTGGCCGCTAATAAATGTTGTACTTGCAAACATAATTCACTTAATTAGAATACTCTTGTTGGAACATCTATTTTATTTTTAACAAATAGTATATTTTAACGTATAGCTTCAGATGAATATTTGTCAAGTAGTAGGTATCTATACGTATCTTTAAAAATTATTACGTGTTTATAAACACACAAAAAATTATTATAATAATAATAACAATTTTTTTTTTCAATAGTTATCTACCACAACAAAATCATTAAATACATTATATACACACTAGTGATAATATGTAATCTGTATACCAAGTTATATAAGATATACGTCGCTTATATCATCGTATAGGATACAATTTCAAAAGTTTGTCAAGTTAAAATTGTATAAGTATATATATAAATATAACCCAGGAATATGAAATCGACCATTGGGATTTCTATTTGTTTTTCGAAGTTTAAAATATATTGATCAAAACTCTAGTGTTTCGGAAATATTATAATACCTAGGTTTGTATTTGTACCAATGGCGTACCGACGGTGGGAGGGGAGGAGTGTTAGGGGTATAACCCCCATAAGTAAAATTTAATTGTGACATGGCCTTAAATACCAAAAAAAGAATACAATTTTATAAACATTTGTATATTATACAATATATAAATAATAACCCCCCCCCCATAAACGCATTCTACATACGCCACTGACATATTCGATTTACAGGCGAATAATAATAATTTGTATAGACGTTAAAAAAAACATAATAGCAAGAATAGTTTACGGTAATTATTTGAATCTAATTTATCAACAAATCGTGTTGAACATAATAAACGAATAGAATGTGTCACATTACCTAAATCTGTAATCACGCATTTTATTTACAACAGCACCGTGGAATTTTATCAGATTTTATACGATTAACGTGCGGTTAAAAATCTCAACAATTTTATTAATGCCGATTAGATAATATTATTCACAGATAACAGAATTCGGAGATAAGTCTCGTGTTGTTTTTTTTTATTTTTTAAATTCTCGAGTTTTGAATTTCCAGCGTTAAAAGAAAATGTACAACGACAAAAATACGGAAATATGCGTGCAGCGTTCCGCGTAAGAAATTATAGTATAGAAAATATGCTATAAAACCCCCGAAATGTATTTGATATGTATTATTTTAAACAAAACACGACTGAATAATTTTTCGTGCACGTGTTTCCCGAACTAGGTATTTTAAAATTATTTTTTTACAAGCACTGGATTTAGTTTCCACAGAATATATTATTTATTATTGCACACAACGAAAGCGTAAATTGGTAGTACAAATAGTAAATCACTAGGAACACACATCCTCTATATTATGATAGTGTTGTTATGATATCATCAGTTGAATTACATAATAATAGATCATTTAACACAGTTAACGGTGTAGCGTATTATTGTTATAATAATAAAATACTACAGGCATTTGACTGTCGTCGAATGAAAAGAACCTCCAACTGGGCATTTACAAAGAACCACTTTATTAAACAGCGGAATGAGACACGGAATTTAGAGAACCGTAAGACGAATCGTAAAAACGCTGCATTTAGATCAGAGTATTCGAATTTAATACACGCTTATCCAACGAAAACGATAAAATTACAAAGCTGACGACAAATTTTCGAACGAATTAATAACGTAATAATTACACGAATCCGAAATTATTATTTTTATTTCTTTTTTTTTTTTTTTTTTTGTTATAAATTCGTAAATAATAGATTTCTTTTACGAACATTTCCGCCGGAATTTTTCGATAGAAACACGTGTATAGTAAATTATAACGGAAAATATATTATATATTGCAAAAAAAAAAAAAAAACAAATTGATCAAGTAATAGCACCTAACTTAATTGCGAACAAATTGTAATAACCTGGGCGGTATTTTTTTTTTTTAAATAAAATATCGAACCGTTCTCGTTAAAGAACGAATTTATATTAAAACTTATAAAGTTATAATAGTGTGTACCGGCGGCGTTTAATATAATTTCGAACGCCGGAGAATTCCGACAACGGAAACCGTTGGAAATTATTTCGTAAGATTTTTATTTCGTTTTTTTTTTTCCCCCGTACAAAAAAAAAAACCGCCGTCGTTGTTCATCGCGTCGGCTACTGGCTGCTACTCTGTTGCAGTGGAGTTTTGAACGTGAACGAAATTCGCATTGCCGTTCGCGTTACCTTACCGAATAAATAATACCGATATTATGCTGTCCGTGTAAAAATAATAACATTTTATCGGTACGCCTGCGCGCGCATTGTGGAAAACGGAAAAGGTTTTAGTTTTATTTTTTTTTATTTTTTTTTTTTTTTTTTTTTTTTTTTTTTGGAAAGCGATTTTTTTTCGCTCGAAATATGACGTATTGAAAAAAAAACGTATAATATATATATATAATAATAATAATATTATAAGAAACAAGAAGTAGAACGAGAATGGAAAAAAAAAGAAGAAAATTTCCCAGCGCAACGCCGCGGCGTTGGCCCCCCGCGATAATATACGATTTTCCTTCCCGACTCAAGGTTGCCGTTCGGGCAGCCGTAGTGTCATTATATAACGCGAACGCGGCACCGGTGCACAACGTGGCAACGGGGCAATGCTGTGGGCGTGGCGTCGAGAAACGAGCGGCGTACACTAGGAATAAAAAAAAAAAATATATATATATATTATATACACGCGCACTGTACGACCGACGTATACATCCTATATATCCAACACGCAGCTGCCGCGCGATAGGAAAACGAAACGAAGTGAATGCCGCGCGGCTGCCGCTTCGCCGTCGCTGTTGCGAAGCGTAGAGCGTAGCCCGTTTCCAACAAAGCCCGGCGTGCGCGCTACACACACACACACACACACACACACACACACTCTAAAGCGACCGAAAGAGAAACGGAGAAATATACAGCGGAGAGAAACGGGAATAAAAAATTAAAAAAAAAACCCATTGACGAGGACTGTAAAGGCTATGGCGCGCGCGTCATGATAATTTTTTTACTTTTTTTTTTTGTTTGTTTATACTATATTATAATATTCGTAATACGATTTTTTTATTCTGTTCATTTGTTGTCGTCGGCCCTTCTTCCCCCCGGAGAGATAGAAAACGACAATAATAATTGTTACCGATTTCCCCTCCCCCCCCCCCGTACAATATAATATTATTTTTAGGAGCCGCGTCACGCCGGGTAGGTAATATAGTGTTATTATAACGTGCGTACGCGAAAAAAATTGAGTTATCGATTTTACCGACGGCGGGACGGGGCGGATTTCGATTAAAGAGATCTGCGCTGCGGTAGGATACGCAATGACGATAAGAAATATTCACGATAAAAAAAGAAGAAAAAAATACACTCAACAACAATAGCGGTGGTGGTGGGTAGGTATAGTGTGTTGTATGTGTATTATGTACACGATAATAAAATAATAATAATAATAATAACTTACCCGCCGCCGTCGCCGCCGCCGCCGACGACGACGACGAGGACGTTTATAAATTAACGCGCGATTATCGGGACGCGGAGAGGCGCGGGGACGCGACACCAGTCACGGGGACGACGAACGCGTCTCTACTAAAAATAAATATTTGGGCGCATTCCGCGGGCTAATGAATGAATCAATTACCGTCTCTAATTTATATAAATACGTTATAATGTATACGGCGTGCGCGTATATTATTGTTATTATTATTATTAAACACGTTCGCGGGATAGGTATACAATATTAATTTATACGGAGGCCGCGGCGGCTGGTTTTTGTCGTAAAACAACCCAACGATACCCGCGGCGGGCGGACGGACGGACGGACGGACGAGCGGGCGGACGGGCGAGAGGCGTACGGACGTCGTGCCGTCGAATGCACACACACACACACGCACGCACACACACACACACACACACACACACATAATAATAGAATAATAATCGTTTTATCGCGCGCGCTCGCGTATTAATATAATAATAATAATCGTTTTATTATTGTTTCCACCGGCGTGCGGATACCGCGTCGAAAATGTGTCATCGCCGTAATTGTAATAATATAAATAATAATACGTTTCGCCCGCTCCCCCCGTCCCCCGGTTTTTGTATATCCGATTAAGAAATTAACGTGTATTTTTTTTTTTTTTTTTTTATAATCATTTCTTTATCGACGCGAGTATATCCGCGCGCGTACCTTCTACGACACGCCTCGGACGCGATCGAATAATACTCGCGCGTATTATCATCGCGCGCGCCGCATCGCACCGGCACACGCACGCACACACGACACACACGATCGTTAGCGGCGGCGTCGACGGCGGCGGCGGCGACCGCCGATGCCGCCGCCGCCGCCGCCGCGGTTATCAAAATAATATCCTCCTCCGACCGACTTGCGAACGACGCGGACGGGCGGTTAAAAAACGATCGTCGTACGGCGGGCACCGCGATACACGAGTAATATATCGCGGGTTTTATTGTCTCCGGTCCGCGAAAACGATCGCAACGATATTACATTGTGGACCGCGCGAGACACCCGCGGATCGTTTGTGCCCGACGTAATTAAAAACGACGCGGCGGCGGCGGCGCATATGTATATACGACAACCGCGTGTGTAAAAAAATATAATAATAATATGCAGTTGCGCACGCACAGGAGGACAATTACCGCGTAAAATATATCGTATTATTATTATCGCGGTGTGTCGGCGGCAAGCGCGGCGTGTATCGTGTGACCGACTCCATTCCGCCGCGGCGGCCGCCAGCCAGTCCAACCGTGCGGCGAATAGATTCGACGGGCCGACGACGAGAAGACCGCGTGTGACACGACGGCGATAACGACAATACAATATTTTTATCGCCACACACGCGGGGCCGGCGTCGGTCGTCTCGTGCCGGTTGCCGGCTGCTCGGGATTCGGACATCCCCCGATAATATTAATAAATAACTTTACAACGCCCGATTTATTAATAACGCGCGGAAATTCCCGTAACGCTGCCGCTGCTGCCGCCGCCGCCCAGGCGATATCCGGCCGGAATTAATTTTTAACGTTTCGAAAATATAGGTATTTACGCACGGATCCTCGGCCGAACGACGGAGGTGAACTCGCGCGGCGGCGGCAAATCCGAGTACTCTCGGAATCGCCGTCGATTACCCGCCGTTTGTTTTATTCATTCCGCGCGTAATTATCACTATCAAACGGAGATGGTCCGCGGGTGGGTGGGGGGNGGGGGGGGGGGGGGGGGGGGGGGGGGGGGGGGGGGAGCCTACGATTTACTATTTTATTGATATAGGTCGTTGTCCATCGTCGTCGCCACGCGGGCGCGTCACGAATTCGTACAACACCCGGGGTATAATAATCGTAATAGTATGCAGAAAAGAAAAAAAAACCAATATTGTACTGGGTACCGCGATAAAACGTTATCGACGTTCGGCACACGATATCACGCGTTATAGGTACGCGCGCCCACAACATTGTCGGCGGGACGTTTCCGAAACGGATTTTACGAAATTTCCGCGGTTATTCCAGTCGTCGTTTTTATCGCGAATAATTTCTAACGTATAAATTACCACCGGCAAATATATTCCGGCGATTCTATAACACACACACACACACACACACACACACACACACACACACACACACACACACACACACCGATATCTATCCGTTGTCAATTTCTCAATCAAAATGTTCTCGCAACACGGAATGTACAACGATAATTACCGTCATTAATGGCTACTGCGGGGGGTCTCTAATTTGAAAGCCGGTCCGATACAGACGCGACGCATACGTAGCCGTTTATTGTGTACGGAATACCTTTGAAAAACGGTCGTTCTCGAATCAATATCGTATTATTTATATCTTTACAAAAAAAATATAATAATAATTATCTAAATGACACCGATTTAATATCTAATATTATACGTTATGCAATTAATATTATAACATACGAAAATTCGGCTCGCGAGAAAACGTAAACGGACATGAAAATTACTACGAAAAACACAAAATTCGCGTAAAACCAACAACAGTATCGAATGTGGTATTTTTTTTTTTAAAATTTAAAAAAACGATCGTTCAAAGTTACTCATTATAATTTATTTATACTAAATCTCGTAAATATTAATAACTAGGGAAAAGGACTTTTTTTTTAAACTCACGTTTTCTCGATCGATTTCTACCTCGGTTTTCATCAGTCTTTGGAAGTCTTTTTTTTTTTTTTTTTTTTATAATTTCGACGACGCGACAGACGAGGAAAATTATTTCAATAAACGCGTCCCGTTAGAGAAACATAATAATTAGAATTGTTTGAAAAAAACGGTAATTGAATTGATTTCGTTTTACGAGTTATTAAATGGTTATTACCGAACGGTCGATAATTAAATACCTAGGTAACATGGTAAGGTGATACCTAATGTTCAAACTTTAATTACCTATTAATTCGTTAACATTTATTGTGGTTTTTAAAATGATATAAAAAACAATTTTCGAAGAACCAACTAGTTAGTGATAAATTTTATTACTTCATTAAACAAAACATTTACTACATTTTTTTTTTTTTTTATGTCTGGAAATGACTAATGATAATATTGTTGGAGATAATGAATAACACATTATTTCGAGATTAAAAATTATTGCTTTTATATTTCGAGGGCATAAAAGTGAGGGTGATTTTTTTTACATTTTTAAACAATTATAATAATCCAAATTATAGTTCCACATATATAAATGGGCAATAAAATTTAATACTATTAAAAATATTTAACGGAAATAGGACTGGGAATAGGCCATGGTGCGTTACCCTCTTCTCCCACCTCGTTTGACCGCTTCTGCATTATATAGTTACAATTAATTTTTAACGAATAATTCTCTAGTGAAAATATGAAGGCACAAATATAAGATGAAAGCAACTAAAATATCGCTATTTTTAAAAAAGTACGTACAAATTTTTTAAAAAAAAGTAAGTACAAACAATTGATTATTGATTAAATTGAAAATTTGTTTCAAATAATATAATTGATTTGTAACGTGTATTTGTATACAAAATCGAATTTATTTGAGATTTTAATTGTTTATGGATTTAATTTATATACAAGTAAAGTGCTTAGCACTTATAAAGAAAAATGAAAATATTTCAACATATTCTCAACGCAAGTCAACATATTAGACAGGTATGTCTATTATGTATTGGCAGCAGTCACTATTAGTCACATTGAATTTACATAACATGTATGATGACTTGATTTTGTTTGATTTGTTCTCATTCGAAAATTAGAGTTGAATTGATATTTTTAAGTGAAAATTAATAAGTTGCAGGGTAATACAAAGAAATTGAACTGCCAACTTTAATTCAAGATTTTCAATATTTGGAACACTTATTACCAAAATCAATTTTCAAATCTATTACCAATTTAGATTACCTAGTTCAATAATACCAATAATGGTCTATGTAGGTGTTTATGAGATCCCTAATTATTACTGAATACAATCCATTGGAGAAAACAATTTTTTTACATGGCGAGTTCTCAAAGCTATTTAGGATGGATTTAACAGAGACTGCAGGTTAAGGTGTAAACTTTGCAAAGCCATAATTGTCTAGTTGATAAAATGTAACTTACCGATGGTGGCATATTTCTGTAAGGCATGCCATGTTGAGGAGGAAAGGGTGGCATGTTATGTCGTTGAGGTGGTGGCCAATTTTGGTTGTAATGTTGTTGGTTTTGAACAGGCGGTGGTTGAGAACCATCATTGCCATAGTTGTTCTGATACCGTGTAGCTGGATTAGATGACTGTAGCAGCTGGTTGAGCGTAGGTGTTGGTCCGGTTGGCTGCGATATACTCTGACCAGACATGACATGATATCGATGCTGGGGAAACATTGCACCCGGGGGTCCCGTCGGCACGCGCATCATTGACTTGGGATAAGAGTGCCTGAATTGGTTGAAACTGTTAGTTTCCGCATTGCTGTTGGCGTGATGCTGCTCCGAGGGTGGCGGATGGTGACCGAAATTGTTTCGGTAACCACCGGGAGGTGGCGGATAGCCATCTTTATCGGGCGGTGCTTGTTCAAAATTGTTAGCTTTCGACATGTCACCGTCGATGACCGGCTGATCGCCATGCTCCGGTCGACTGTATGGCGGGCCGCCATTGCCACTGCTCATATTATCGTAATTGTGGTGATTGACTGGCACCTGCTGTTGTTTACCTTTGGGCGATTCGGGCGCCAGGCTACTCATGGGCGTCCTGCGTTCGTGGCTGCCGTTCTGGAAACCGGGCACATCCAGCGGCCTGTCTTGGTCGCGATTGTTCACGTCACCGCCCGGCTGATTTTCCGCGTGCGTAGCAGCCATGTTAGACGTTACAGGCAGCAGAACGTTTGCCAACACCCCGCCGCCGCCACCCGTCAACGCCAGCGTACATAATAATACGAGTCAGCTACGTTATGCCCGCGCCATTCGCACTCGGCAAACCGAATATTGAACATAATAAACGCGCCGCGTACATAATCACTTTTAACTGCTACATAATATTCTGGTGTACGCGACGGTGTCCGCACCGGTATCGGACATGGCCAGCGAACACTGCGTGCGCGGTTGCGACAATCGGCGGTTCGATAACGGGAAAAAACGGATGAAAACGCGAAACGAGGTTAGGACGGCAAAAGGTTACGACGCACCTCTCGGTCGAATCTATCCCGGGAATCGGCACACGGAGAGAATAAAATAAAATTTAACTAAAAAAATAACAAATATCACAAAATTCGCGTTCACGCACACGCACACGCGCATACACAATCGTCGTATACGAAAAATAATAACAACACTAGAAAATCATACGTGCCCGTATATATGCAATACCCTTTTTCCAATAAATTTCGGTCGAGTAATACGCCGCGCACACTCACCGATTATCTCCCGTAGACTCTGAACAGAACAAAAATGTACGGCGACCGTACAGTGTGGACGCACTAGTCGGCCTCACTCGCGCGTCCCGTGGCCACTCTGTAGAACGCGTATAGACGCCGCCGCCGCCGCGCCAATTCATCGATAGTTTTGTTTCTTTATTTTCGAAACACAACGAAAAAATTCAACGTGTACGCCGCCGAAGTACGACTGTACCAGAATATGGACAATTTAATTTAATTTAATCGTCCGCAGCGCATTAATTTGTAATGTAAAAAACATTAAAATTTTGTTTCTACTGGTTCACTATTGTTCCGATTGTTTCGATCGTTACGCGCGTCGATTACGAGCGTTTTATTTCACCGACCAATACGATGAGCGCCATCTACACGATTACATTGGTGACACCGGCCACGACGTCTACAAGTTACGTTTCAATTTTTTGGCTCGAAATATTCATTTGTTTTACGTGGTCGCCGCGTTTTTTGCACCTCTCGCCACCACACACACACACATACACACACACACACACACACAAACTACCACAATTGTATGTCCCGGCATCCCGCCCGTGTAATATTATACGCATTGTAAGCACACTGTGTTGTTGCCATTTTTATTTTAGCTTTTGAAATGATGTCTTGAATATGAATTTGTAATAACTAAAAATAAAGCCTGGATGATACTAACAATGAATTAAAAAAAAAAAAATATATGTATATAGGTGTATAGATAATTTCGATTTTATATTAATGCAGTGCATCAAATAGATATAGATGTTACTGCTGTATTGGTACCTACTATACATACATAAATTAATACAAAATAACTTTGTGAAGTTCAATTAAGAATAACCAGGAATTAATTTTGTAATTGGGAATTAAATTTTAGTTCCGCATCACAGTATTGAACAAACAATACAGTCCCACACAAAATCATCCATTGTATCTATATAGTTTCCCATATAACTAAACCTTTTTTTAATAAGTATTTCAAATGCCCCCCATAAACACAATACACAGACTTCCAATTACAAGATATTTTAAATCATTATTGTTCACTCAGTAACAACTATTATTAAATTTATCTTGATATCAGTCTTCAACCTGCATTATAAGAGAAAAAAATATATGTATAATTTAATTTAATTTTAATTATACATATATTTTTTTTATTTTATTGTATATGGTCAAACGTGTAACAAAAACATAAACATTTCATATTTTGTAATAGTTTATAACATAATAATTTTGTATAAATATTCAAAAATAAATACAACTTTCAAATTCACAATTACTAATTGATTGGTAATACGCACAAAAAAAAATAATTGTACCTAAAAACTGAATACTCTGTGCCATTTAAATTATACTTAACATGTACATTATATTTTATTATCATTACAAAGTGCATATTATAACAACACTGTTGACTCATTTTAACAAAATATTGAAACCTCGCTATTATAATAAGGTAATATATAAATGCAAAATAAATAAATTATAAATTAAATATTACCAGTCAATATTATTTTAACTTAATAGTCATTACTTATTATCTGTATTTAAGTAGTGATTGAATGCATTTGAAATTTTGTATTATGCCATTTAAACAAATACTGTTATGGATCCAAAAAACATATTTAGAAATCTATTAATACAGTAGATAACAAGAACAAGAACTTCAATTTGATGCTTAATTGAATTATAAACTCTATAGAATATTACAAATTGATTAACTCGATTTAAAAAAAATATTGACTGCAAACTGATATATTTTTAATTATTATTAAAAATTTTAATTTTAACAGTTATTCTGTTCATATAAACTTTGCGTTTGATTGTTTCTATGAATATAAAAATATATTTTGAACTGAAAAAATAGTTAAGAGCTATAAAATGATTTAACAGATTATTAAAGTTTTTCCAATTTTGTTAACAAATTTAAAAGTTTGCAATATATGAACTATATAAACTATACTATCTATATAAAATTTAATGAATATATAATTATGGTAAAAATAAATAATTTTCTATATTCATAATTTATAAATTAAGTACTTTTTAAAAATTCTTAACTTTGTGACTGAGTGAATGAGAAAACAAATCAACTAACTCAAACAAATTTTTAAAATATATAATTTTATATCAATACCTATTTAACTAAAAAAATTCAGTTCCAATTGACACATAATGCAGTTCTTATAGTTTGTATAATGTAAACATTTAAAAAATATATTGTACACTTGATGGCCCATAGCATTTACACTATTCCAGATCACCACAAATTTTCAAAGCAACAAATTTATTTCTTTTTTTGAGCTGTACCCCTTGCAGTCCAAGCATTTTTCAAATTTAAAGCAAAATATATTGAGAATCCGTGAATTTGAACTGCTACAGCAATAAATATATACCACAGTATACCGTATGGAAAATTCTGAAATTAAAAAATATAATATTAAAGATACACAAGATACATATTATTTTAATAGCACGATACTCACCCGCCACAACTGAACCGATTCAGCGGGACTTTCTGTGATAAATGTATAGACATCTGTCAGATAACTAAAAAAACCATAAATCACTGGCATAACACCTAATAAAATAATCCACTTGATATAAAAGGAAATATTTTTTACACAATTATGTTTAATTGCACGTAATGCCAGAAATGAAGCTGGCAAACTCAGGCACCATAAATACTCCCAAAGCAATGGCTGAAATAATAAATTATAATTATTTTTAAAATGTTAAGTAGCCAAGTTTTACTCAGCTATAATAATAAATTTAATACTTCCTACTATTATTATAGTTTATTAAATTATTTTAATATTAGATTTTATAATGTACCTTCGGAATTTCAAGTTCTTCAATTTCTAATACAAATATATCCAATCTATCCAAAACATCTGGGCATAATTTTGCAACCATAAGAAAGAATAGTAAATAGTGAAATAGTATACAATACTTAAGGCGACTTTTGTTTTGTACACTAAAAATCAAAATTGAATTTTTACTAATGATTGGAATATAAATATTTGCCTACAACAAAATTGATGAATTGTAAGGCATGTCATTTACAATTAATAATGTAGAATTTTAACTATTTATGCAGAATAAAATATATTTGTATAAATATTAAGTACCTGATTTTGTAATGGTCAGCAATTTTTTGACGATGAGAAAAGTCTGAACCATCTGAGCCAGCAACTGTTGGGCCCTTTGATGACATTATACTAATTTGTACAGTTTTTAATGAAAAAGCAAGAAGATATCAGAAATATGGTTACATACACATATTATGAAACAATTATACAAATAATACACCTTTCTAAATACATTGAGCTACATTCTCAAAAATAAAACTGCCAAAGTGGTCGGGTCCCTGCTTAGTGATAACAGCAAATTCTTAACCTAAATTTAATCTGCATAAGCAGCTGTTTGGTAGTATTGATAAAGACAACTATGTTTATTTTTCGCAGTTACAGTCACTTAATTTTTCTGACAATTATATAGGTATTTATATTTGAAGAGTTGAGGTACATAAAATACATGCCCATTGCCCACTACACATCATTATAATAGATATGATGCATTTGTCATAATTTGGCACCAACATCCAAACTACTTAACATTTTTCGTCTTGTCTTATTTCTAATACAATTAAGTAGGTATCTACTTGACCATTACTCATAACAGCCAAATTATTAGCTATCTACCTAATTCAAATTATTATTAATTTTTCTTATATGGATATAGACAAGACTAGTTGTTTTAGTTGTATCATTTATATTTTAATATTATAAAGAGAAAAGATTTGTTTGTATGTTTGTAATGGATAAGTTCAATTAAAGTTATTTTACCGTTTTTAAAAAGTCTTCGCCTATAAAAAGCTACATTATCAGTGAGTATCATGGGGAATTTTATTTTCAAAAGAAATTAGAGATCCCTACAAAAATTGCAATAATGTAACCCAAGATGTTAAAATTAACGACCGAATAATGAACTGTATGTTTATAGTACTCATGTTTATTCATAGGTTATCTTGATGATACCGATGATAATTTGGTTGTCAAGGACAAGAAAACTATTATCATTGATTATATCATTTATTACGGTTCATCTTGTAAAATCGGTGAATCGGTCGTTATATTTATACTTTTTAGATATAAAAACCGATTTTGTGCTGTTAGTTTTAATACTAGAATGTATGAGTCTATTATCAAACTCCTAAGGTACCTAAGAACATTGTCTGTTTTTATACGTCGGTTTTTTCTCGGTATTTTAATTTTTAAACGAGTTAAAAACATGTGAAATATTACAATTTAAAATCTTCGAATTTATATTAAAAATTAAAATATCAATAAAAAACCATCTACGTACAAACACAAACAATATGCTTACCCTTAAGATAGTTAATAGGCTAATATATTCCAATATAAAAACGAACAGCACAAAATAGGTTTAAGTGTAATTATAACGACTAACCGATTTTACAACATTCACCGTAACATATATATAATATATAATCAATACTATTATCTATATAAGAAGGTATATAAAAAAAATCCGGCAACTTCGCACGTGAATGGGTCACTGTTGTAGGTAAGAAGTTGGGAAGGTAGTAGTGGGGAAATTTAATGTATATCTGTAACCAACGATGAACATTGAGCGGAGTTCAATTCATCGTATTGCTTTGTCAATAATATATATGTCATATTATGATAAAATAATTATATAGGCATTTTAAATTTTCTTTAATATGATTTGTTTAATATTGTAACTATTTTCCCATTTTTCCGACGTGTTTTCCATTTATTAGGAAAAATCCTGGGAAAATCAGAAAATGAACACTTTAAAGTAGCTCCCAAGTCCGATTTCCTTTCAGAAAAGGCGCTATACTTAAATATAATATAAATGTAAAAAAAATAAACATCATTGTAAAACCAATACATTCCTTGCTCCACTCAAAATCTAAAATGGATGTCTGTTTGTCTTAAAATCTTAGACTCAAAATCTACTGAAGCAATTTTAACACGGATTTTTATTAAGTGTTTCGCGTTTTCCGGAGAAGGATTATAGTAACTGTCAGTCGGTAGATCTGCTAGAAGAGCTAGACGCGTGACGTGAAGCTGATCGGACCAGAGCCTATATATTTCAAAAGTGAAAATCAATCTCAAAAATATTGACGTTCAATTATTACGATAAAGAGTACGATTATAGAATGCATTAACATTTTCTAACTGACCGATTAATTATTACCTAGCCCACATCACTGAACGGATTGAACTGAAATTCAGCATACAGATAGCTATTTTGGAATAGGAATTTTTTAAGAAAGGATTTTTGAAAATTCTTCTCCTATAGGATAAAATAGGGGTTTTAGGTGTTTTTGGTACGAATATATAATAATTGTTTATTTATGTTCGTTTATTCGTGGGTTATCTTGATGACAATTTGATTGTTATGAACAAGAAAACTATTATTATTATTATTGTTATTATGATTATTATTACTATTGGGTACTTACACTATTATCTAGTAGTAGCAAAGCATTGCCGGGTCATCTAGTAACTTATTAGATAAGTAGGTACTTAATAATTTTGTGTCCTAGAGGCCAGCGGTTATCAACTTTTTTATATCCACGTACCATTTACACATTCTGAAATTTTCACTTACCACTTAATAGGGTTATTAAGATTTTTATTTTGTTTACCTATCAACAAATAAAGTGTGTACGTTATTTTACATGTAAACTTCGTAGGCCATATGGAAAATTAGTCTTTTCGCAAAAAGACTAGTGCTTTTTGCAGTGGAGTAACCCGTTAGCGAAATACTTATTATATTTCCAAACGGCCTACTGTTTTTCAGGCTTATTGTATATAAACTAACAGCAGTTAGGCCTTTTAGAAACTATAATTATTATATAGCAATTTTATTGTAATTTATTACTTGCACAATAATTGTAATATAGTAATAATTATTAAATTTATTTTATTTTAAGGGTAAACACTAAATTGAATAGTCTAACTACAATTATTATATAGCAATTTTATTGGCATGAAGTAATGTTGTTTATAATTTAAATAAATATAAATTTTTATTTATCTAAATTACAACTGGTTATCTTAAGGATTTATATACGGATTGAATATAATAAATCTGCGAGATTATAACTAATTAATAGATAAGATTGTAAGGTTTTACTATAGACATTTCTGTCAGCATATTGTATATAATAGACGTTAGTACATCTCTACGTTATCGTTAAAACGTTCGAATTCGTTTGTATTTTATCGATTGTGTTAATATTTCCGAATCCGTAATGTACTCTCATTTATTATTTTTAATTTCATAATTTATTAATCATGGAAAATGTAACAGTAGAAAACAATTTAACAATGAATTCACTGCTTATTATAGAAATAAAATTAGCGTATTAAAACAACCATTGACAATAGCTATAATATCCGATGCTATTTCTGAAATAGTAGCTGCTAAAGTATTAGGAGCAAAAAAAAAAAAAAAACAGTAAGCAATATAGAATGATTCAAATATATGATATTATGGAAATTGGTGATTCAAAATATTTGGTAAAAAAAGAAAAAATCGTAATGAAGCAATTGTTCAACTAGTAGCACTCGAGAATTTTTTTGAAATTTTAAATACAATTCATAATAATACTGGACACGGTGGTCATCTATATGCAATAAGCCTGAAAAACAGTAGGCCGTTTGGAAAAATAATAAGTAGTTCGCAAACGAGCTACCCCATTGCAAAGAGCTTAGTCTTTTCGCGAAGACTAATTTTCCATATGGCCTACGACATATATATTATTAAATCTACGTAATTATAAACATTTAATGTAAAAAGGTAAAATTAAATATGTAGAGTTTTTATTTTTATTATTATTTATGGACTAATGATCTAGAATCTACATTATAACAAATAACTTCAAATAACTTTTATTTTTGTTTACCCATTAAAAAATTGCTTCGCGTACCATAGGTTAAGAACCACTGCTATGGGCCACAATATTACAACATAAGTCAATGTATCTTGTATCAACATTTTTATTTATACGATAATAATGATTTTTATTAAATTTAAATAACTTAATACATTTAAAATTCCTCAGTTTTTTATTTTAAAAATGTAAACAAACTAAAAATTATTTAATAAAATCTAAAACTTAAATGTTACCCCTGAAAATAATTTATATAGGCAATATTTATTCTTATATGTATTTTAAGTTATATAGGCACTAAGGTCTAGGGATACATTTTTAAAGGGAAACATCAATTAAAAATAATAGTTATAAATACACTATATAGATTAATAATAGTCGTCCTGCACGGATTTGCCCGAGTCAGTAACGACTAAAAATTATTAAAAAAAGAACAGACATACTTCGTACTTGGGTAAAGACACTGTTGTAAGTGGGAAGTTTGGAAGGTAAGATATACACGGGAATTTAATGTGTATCTCTAACCAACGATAAACCATTGCTAATGAAAAAACGATTCTGAGCGGAGTTCATTTGATAGATGATTACAACGTGCGTTTCCATGACAACAATGATTGTTTAAAAAAGATTAAAATAATAAAAACTTAATAATAATAAAAAATTAATAAAAATGGTTGCCGATGACAACCTTATTTTTAATCTTTCAATCTTTTTTAAAATAAAGAACTAGGTTTTATTCTTTATCTCGAATATTAATGAGACTTTCAAAAAGTTACATCTTTAAAGTGCCATCCAGAGAACATTTCCTTTCGGAAGAGGGGCATAATTGATAATCGGAATAAGCTTTCTAGTAGAAAGCTATTTTTTTATAAAAAAAAAAAATTAAAAATAAACATTTTTGTAAAATTCATATATTCTTCATTAAACTCAGAATATAAAATAATAAAAACGTGTTTTACCGTGATTTTCTATCTCCATCTCCGGTTTTATTATTTTGATTTTTAAAGTTTTAAATTGTAAACATTTAGAAAATTAAAAACTGATTAGCCTATAACCATCGCGGTAACGTCGTAGGCAATCTAAAGAAAAATATTTTGAAAATCGATTCAGCGATTTAGGATGGAAAGGTAACAAATGATTTTTCGCATTTATTATTATAATATTTTATAGCTGCTATATACGGTCTTGCCCATGACTAAATTTGTGGAGCGAAAAATGTGTCAGTTTTTTTGTAATGTGTGATTTTTAAATTCTGAGCGGAGCGAGTTTTACCATGATGTTTTTTTTTTTTTATGTGAACCCTTTTTCTACCAGAAAACTTACTTCGATTATCAAGTATAGCACCTTTTCTGAAAGGAAATATTCTCTGGGAGGTACTTTAAAGAGGTCATTTTTGAAATTCTCATTAATATTCTATATAATGAGGAAAACCTGGTACTTAACGTTAAAAAATATTGAAAGATTAAAAATAAGGTTGGAAACCGTTTTTATTTATTTTTTATTATTTTAAAATATTTTTTAAACAATCATTTTTGTCATGGAAATGTACATTGTTGAAAAAGCAATACTATAGACCAAACTATATTAAAATAAAATAAACTTCATCTAAATATATTCTTTTAACTATTCATTTTTACATTTTTATTTTATACTTAAGTATCACTATCAACTAGATTCCTCTCAGAATCGTCTTTTCGTTAGCAGTGGTTTATCGTTGTTTACAGATATACATTAAATTTCCTTTTGTATTCTACCTTCCTTACTTCCCTTTTACAACAGTTTTTTTTTTTTTATTTATTACATTTATAATTTTGTTAGTGTTTTAGACGTTAGAGCTTCTCTATGTTTGATGTCTTTTTCTATGTTATATGTCTTTTTTATTTATATTTATGTCTTATTATGTCTTATTATTATTTTTTATTTTTTATTAGAAAATAGTACGCTGTCCTAAGATGTCTTTTTTTTTATTTCATGGTTTTTACAAATGGAATGACGCCCATTAGTGATTTTTAAATAACGCAACAGTGAAACATTGTAATATTGAAAAAAAAAATTAAACAATAATACAACAAATAACTACAAATATATAGAATAAACTATATTATATATATCTGTGATATAAACAAAATAATATTTATAATATTATCACATTAGTGATGGTGATAAAATTATTAATCAAAAAATTAACCTCAGTTGGTAACCATTGGCGTATAAAGCAGTTTTGTATACCTTCTCTCTAGAAAAGCGGCACCTTTCGTTGAAACCTCGATTAGAGATATACTAGTTGCCAAACGGGCTATGTTCTAAACGTTATCCATAGAGTAATATAGGGGAACCTTTACATATATCCTCTGTGTTGTAGTTGTGGAGCCAAAAGTCTGGTCGTTGACCCCTATCAAAAGTTCACTTGCTCTTTACTTGTCCGCTAGATCGCACAGTTATTAACAAATTGATGCTATGCATTTGTTATTATTAGAAGTCTGATTTTGATGATTTTTCATAATATTTGTATAATTGTATGCAATAAAAATTGTAATGTCCACGATTGAAGGGAAATTAGCTTTAGATGCTGTAAGAGATTTGAGAAATATTAAAACCCATTAGGACAAACTCAAACCTTGTTAGATAAAAAATGAAATAGAAAAAATGTCTATACAATTTATGTATACTAATACAAGCAGGCAAAATCGATTTGTTAGATTTTTAACATCCATAAGTGTTAATATTAGAATGAGATGTGATTAAAAAAATTATTTTCTTAATTGCATGATTTTAATAGTTACCATTGTGTTTTAAAATCGTTTTAAAAGTGGTCGTAATTTAAATACTACATTTTTTTAATTAAACATTATTAATAACAACCTACACTATTAAGAATGTTAATGACCTTAATTCACTAAAAAAAATATCCATTATCAATACATTTCTATTTAGTATAAATATACAAACATAAAAGTTTAATTAATTAATTATTACTAGTAGAAGTGAATATAATAATTATTTTCTTCTAAAAGTGGCTAGCTTGCCGAGAGTCCACTTGCGCTTTACTATACAATTTAACGGCGTTTCTATGTCATAAGTGTTATCCCATGGTAATTATATTATTGAAATTGCTCTCAGGAACAGCTGCTTAATTAACTTAGTGCGCTCTCTGTCTGTGAAAATAATGTAATTTTACAATATTATGTGAAATTATTATATTCCCGGCTAATTTAAAAGTACACAACCATTACAATCACGACTAAAGATGCAACGATATGTGAACCTTGGGTGTAATTATTATTTTTATAGTATTTGGAAAAAAATATTTATGCACGTTCAAAATTTTTTTTACATTAAAGTAGGTGTTGTGTTTTACATGAAAAATCATATTGTGATGTTTATCTGTCTGTTCTTATAAAAGTTTAAAAACCAGTGCCTTTAGAGTATCAAAGAAAATTCCTTTAAATGTTGAATGGGAGAAAGCTTTAGGCCTTCAGGTGTTAAATTAGGAGAAAACTCTATTCAATATGTCAATACCATTTTAAAAATGAAGACATTTTAAACACATGGGTATCAAGGAATCAACAAATATACAGTAATTATTTTATTGGTTTATTATTTTGTATTAATCACAGAAAATTGGATTTTCTTTAATTTTATAATAATAAAGTTAAATATTGTGAAAAAAAAAAATCAGATATATTTTGAGCGTCCAAAGTGTAGTCGCAGTTCTAATTAAGTCTGAGTTCCTTGAGATCACACATATGTACATCGTACATCATCAATATTAATAGCAATGATTATTTTGAATGAAATATAATAATTTAATATACATATTTAATGTATTAATTTTGTATTTTAGTTTGTTAGTTGTGACTGAACTACTGAAGTTTTAGTCATACATCTAATCGTAAATAGCAATCACTAATGATTTAAAATTTCACATTCACAAACATATTTTGTAAATTGCGGTCATAGATAATATAAGAATGGATAGGCCACTCCTATATTAATATAATAAGGGGTCGCGTTCCGAAATGTAAATGAGAGACATACTGCTTATACCACGCTCACTAACACAGCAAGGGGTTTTATCATTAATTATATTTCACAATGATAACAACTCAATTAACGTAACGTATATGTTCTCATTGGCAGAAACTACTTTTGACTCTATAAAAAATTTACTTTATTTAAAACTTTCATGAAATTTCGGGGGGGGGGGGAAGGGATTAACTTAACGAGTTTCGGTAGGTACACGACCGTACAGTAAAAAAAATAGTGATCGGATATTTTGTCCTCGACAGTAAAACATTATTCAGTCGACGGATAATATCCTAATCCAGAGGTATGCAATAGGTAGCTCGTGGGTCAAATCCAGCCCAATGGAGAGGAAATAAACGGACCGCTAAAATTGTTTTACTTTAATGCTGGTTTTTATTTTCATTATTCGTCTCTATGTAGATCCAATATCCGACCGTAATATATACCTATTTTTGATGTATTTGGAATACATGGTGTCTTGGTGTATTGGTGTATTGTTATAAAATTGAAAATATATGTGTATTCTATTCTACTAAATAATTACATAATATTATATAGTAGTTGTGTTTTCATTACTAAAATAAATAAATTTATTAACTAATAAATTTGTATTTTTTGTGGGTATTAAATAAGACGGAACACCAAATAACATACGTTAAATTTTGTTTTTTCGCTCAACTCCAAAAATATATGGCCCTTAAAAGTTTGTTTTCAAATTATCTAGCCCTCCAAAAGAAATTAATTGCAGGCCTCTGCACTAACCTAACATAATTTATGGTTAAAAACATTGCGTTTTTGTTCTCTAGTATTCATGACAGAAACCAAATAAATAATACTGGTGTTAGTGATGGTCTTATGATATAGTTGAAAGATCATAGCTAGACTGCGTCTACTCTCGAATAGTTTTTAAAAAATGCGTTATAATAATATATTATTATTATTGGCCATTTCGCGTGAATTGAATTACGATTCGCTGATTGTGGAATATGATAAACGTGTACAAAATACCTTTTAGATAACAACTAAAAACATATGGATTGCCTACTTAACACATTTACGGCGTCATATTAACAGCCAAACTAACAGGAACTTATTTTTAATCGTGATAATAACTAATAGGATAATTGGAATCCGGAAAGCGAAATTTACTTTTTGGAGGTTAATCTAAAACAATGTTTTCTAAGTACATAATTCGGTTTATGTAACAAATATTTCAAAAGTAAAATTTGAGTAAGTATTTTCCGTTTTTAGATTATTTTGATAGTGTTAAGTGCATATTTTTATTTATTATGTGGATTAAATTTAGACAATTCAAAATATTATCTTAAGACATTTTATTTTTATCGAATTTGCTTCAAAATATTTTGGGTATTCATCAATACAGATTGACAATCATTTTATTTATAATTTTGATAACGTCCATATATTCTTTCTTTATCCTTATTATCTTTATTAACGGCTGTGTTACGTTTTTTGTATGTCGAAAAAGTTTAAATAAATACACTTTATTGTAGTCGTAGTCGTAAACGTCCGGTTTGTAAAGTTTGGCGTTACATATTGTGTATTCTAAAATGGTCTTTATTATTGTATGCGTACACATTTATTTTTGTATGTAGAACATTTTTCTACCAGAAATTATACTCCAAATGTCTGTGTAAATGTGCGGTTTTTATATCAAAAAGTATTGCCAGTGTGATTATGTTGATCAAATTGTTTTCCTCTATTTCATTAAACTAATATGATAAGGATTTTTAAAACTACAACGAAATAAAAATACTATTTTAAAGTGATGAAGGACAATTTCCATAAGATTTCTAATTTGAATTAAATATTGTAGGTAGTATTATGTTTCTGATTTAATGTCAAGATGATAGGTATACAAATGGTACAATTATTTTGCATTCATTTTTATTACAAATGAGATACTGGAATTCGAGAATTTAATGGTATTTGTAGAAGGTATCATATTTAAAACACAGCTGCACGAATATACGATACGTTATCGAGCGAAATTATATTTTATACAAATAATAGTCTTTTAAATGAATAATTTATAATAAATAGTTATGTACAAAAACAAAATACAATGGGTCAAAAATAACAAAAAAATAATTACAAATAAATAAGTAGAGAAGATTATATATATACAGGTAAATGATGTATACAAATATTTTTACAAGCAAAGTAATGTATAGTATATATATATAATAAGTTTGTGATCTGCTCGATAAGAAAAACTTCACATTTCGAAGCGATCAAAGATAATTAATATGGTATAAAATACAAACTAAATCTAAAAAACTACATCGCGAATAGATTTTTATAAATATAATAATATAATATAGCCTATTCGTATCACAGAAAAAAACCATAAAACTAAAAAGAAATTGATTTTATGAAGACAATCATACAATTTTCAATATATTATATATTATAAATATTGTTTTAATAAAAATCGGTTTTTGTGCAATGAATTACATTTTATTAAAAAATACGAGAAAAAGTCTGAAAAAATAAACAAAATTAGACATTATTTTCAGAATAATAATAATAATAATACAATATGATATTAAAATTACTAATAAAATAAATAATATAGACCGATGAAGATTTATATAGATTATTGATGTCTATCATCTTGGTAGTATCTTATATAGGACACTAAAAGTCTTAAACAAATAACATAAATAATTTATTTTATGTAGATATTTTTATTACTATATGAAGAAAATGAACGTTTCAATTTAACAGCAGAGTGATTTTTTTTATAATGAACTAGCAAGTATCTCGGAGGATTTTAAGTGAATTTGATTTCGGTTTATTAATCAATGTGAAATCGTATAAGTTTTATATTAAAACCGTTTTTAATTTTCATCCCTACTCCATATACAGTCGAATCCGCTTAATAGAGACACCGGTTAATAAGGACAACCGCTTAATAGGGACAATTCTTCAATTACGAAAACAAATGTATACTTGTAGGGTAAACGTTCACCGCTTATCTAGGCCACGAATTCGGATAATTGGGATATTTTTATCGAGTATATTAATAGATCAGTAGTTCGAAAATCGCGACCGACTCGCGTAATCGTTTATTAGATTAAATTTTATCTTATCGTATGTTCACAAAGGAAATTTTTCCTCTTCATTGAATTCGTTGAATGTTATTTGGTGCATCAGTCGTGTTTGTCGCGTGTATTAACGATGTTTCGTGTACGTAAAGATTTATCGCTCGCGCAAAAATTAGAAATTATCGACAATATTAAATTACAGCCACTAGGCTGTAGTACTCGTTGTCTTTCGGAAATTTTAGGAATACCGAAATCAACAATCGCACGAATTCAACTTCAAGAACAGGTTTCGCGAGAACAAGCTCATAGCCAAGTGACAACACGGAAAAGGAAACGAGAGGGTAAAGATTCAGATGTAGATGAGGCACTGACTCAGTGGTTTACACTGGCTACTAGCCGGGGCGTTCAAGTGTCAGGTCCAATATTAAAAGCTAAATCCGAAGACCTTGCTAGAAAAGTTGGTAACGACGAATTCAAAGCCACCGAAGGTTGGTTATCTAGGTGGAAAGTAAAGCACGACATAAAATTTAAAAGAGCACATGGCGAAAAAGCTAGTGCAAATTCTGATGGGGCCGATGAATGGAAACTTACAAAACTTCCACAGATTCTTGCAAAAATTTCTCTCGAAGATATTTATAATGCAGATGAAACCGGATTATACTATCGTGCAACACCAGATGGTTCTCTATGTTTTAAACACGAATTGATAGCTGGATCAAAAAAAGCTATGGAGAGAATAACTGTACTGTGTTGTGTGAACGTAAGTGGGACTGACAAAAAAAAGCTCTTAGTGATCGGAAAAAGTAAAAAACCACGTTGTTTTCAACAAATTTCTTTACAAAAATTACCAGTTGAGTATCACTCAAATAAAAATGCATGGATGACTTCGGCCATTTTTATCGAATTGGGACAAAATAAAATGCAACCGATGTGTCCCAATAAAGCGGATTCGACTGTACTTTAAATAAATATATAATAATGTTTTTCAAACAGAATCCTCCCTTTTTGGACACAGATTCAATTATGGAATATTTTTTTTGAAATTTTGGTGTACATAACATTAATATCAGATTTATCTTCTATGAGTTAAAACCATTTAAAGTTTAGACTGGAGATTTCGGAAAGTGTAATAAATTGTATAATATCTATTTTTAAATATGAAGTTCCTATTTGAAAGACAAAAATTGTGTACTTATTTAAAGTATTTGAAGTAGGAGTAAAAAATTAAAATAAAACTTAAACGATTCCACAATAATGATCAAAAAAAAAAAAAACAGAAATCAAATTCATTTAAAATTTTCCGAGTTAATTATTGGTGGTTCATGATAAAAAAAATTGCCATGTTTAAGTCAATATACGTTGGAAAACAATTAAATTGTTATTTCTTCAATATTTTCAATAAACTCAACTGTAAAGCGATTTTTAATTGAAAATTAAATTTAAAAATAAAAGCTTTGATACACACAATGTTCTCATTTTGAAATTTCCGTAAATGATGTATGGACGGTTTATGTTTTTCTGTAAGGAGGGCTTATCGTATCGATTTTACTGATTAGGTTAGGTTAGGATTTTACTGTAACTATATAATATTCTATACAACAGGATTGTCGGATTGTTTGTCTTTTATGAATACTTATTAGTTTATAGGTTGAAATTAAATAATTTCATTTGATTTTCGGGGACAATATTTGTTTTTTTTTTTTGCGCTTCGTTAACATTAACAATATTTGTCCCATGGAAAATGATTTCCTATACCCAGTGTTCGAATTGTAAAACGTAAAGTTTCTTACAATTATAAGACAATTATTACAAATATTATTATTATAATACTCCCGCAGCCTTTGATTTTGGTTATATATTTATTTATTTTATTTGTATTAATATGTTTCAAAAAGAAAATAAATGATAAAAAAAATAATATGATTTAAATTTACAATATGTATCAATTTTTTATTTAAAAATTGTTTCGTATTTTCGTTAAAAAAAGAGAAATGATTATGTTAGATTTTAGTTAAATTACTTACTTTATTGTCACACAGGGTAATAGTGCAATACAGAAAATATAATATTTAATTATAGTAGTTTAAGGCTGAAGAATAATATTAGTAAATTTGTTTATCATTTGATATTTAATTCTAAAAAAGGTAATATTTACCCATTTTTACTTGAGTTAATAATATATGTTTTTTTGTAAAAAATCAAGGAGCTCCGTTCACCTACGCCCCCCTCCAATTCGAACACTGCGTATAGTTACCCAGTCTTGTAATGAATATTTTTGTATTCGGAATAAATAATCGAATAAATGGATAAAACAATTTAGAATACGCATTAGAATCCTTTTCGAATTTGTGTTTATTTTTAGTTGGTTCTTGTTGTTCACTATTTTACTATTTATCCGAAGATTTTTTCGGAAAATGTAAAAAATAAAATATAAAAAGAAATATTCAGGTACATGTATTCGAGCACATGTATTCAAAATATCTAGAACAGTATTAAAAAACAAGACTGTCTGTACCATTAGTGTGTATCTAAAGTATTTCGTCATCGTATAAGCGCGTTTTAACGCGGAAAAACCAACACAAAAATTATTTGACGGGACTTTAACTCGGTTACTAACCGAAAATATCGGGCGTTTACTAAAACTTCCTTCCAAATAAAATCCAAAAAACCGTCCAGTTTTGCGATAGAACAGACCACGAGGCGTCTACCCGGGAATCGGGACGCGGGTTGGCAGTTCTTTCGTGTACCGTTTCGAATCACGGACCAGGTTCACTGGTTCAACAGAGTGTTGGTTACCTCCGAGATGGACAACAGAGGACTGCAGTCCTGTGATTTAACCTGGACTGAGATGGACTCGGGTATTGCGCTGGCGCCGGCATTACAGCGGTTTGATGGTGAGCAGAGTGATTGTATAGATGATGATAGTTGTTGTGGTAGTACGGATCGTGATGATAGGCATCGACCATGCTGCTGCTGCTGCTGCTGTTGCTGCTGCTGCTGCTGCTGTTGTTGTTGTTGCTGTTGTTGTTGTTGTTGCTGGTGGAGGTGGTGATGGTGTTGCTGTTGCTGTTGCTGTATAGAAAAAAAAAAAAGAAAAAAAGACTATTGTTACGATCGTAAACGAGACGCTTCGCGATGTGTAATGCGAAATATTATATTTTCACGTGCTTCGTTTTATTTTATACGTGTTTTAAGGCACACTCATGTAATATAATATTATCGTTAATTTTTATTCGTCAACCAAAACGTATAAATTGATCGATTTATAAAAATTATTTACGCTTATTGACGTAACTCTAGAGTGCTATTGAATTTGATTGTTTTATTTGTACTTAAGTAGGTGCTTAATACCTACTACCAAAATATTTTTACCTATTTATGCGTTACTAGTTGCAAAAAAAAAAAAAAAAATGTAACTAATCTATGAATAGCATGGCACGAATTCATAAAAAAAAAAAAACATGTTAGGCAGGTTCAACTTTGTATTTTAGTAATAATATATTACGAGTTTTGTATTTTTGATCTTGGTCATGATATTTTCTAATAAACCTCTACATATCCCTTATAATAAGAACCATTTGCTAAAACGTTGTCGACTCTACGAATATAAGCAGTTTTATAACGATTTATTTTGATCATCTAATAGATTTATACATTATAATTGATAATTCGTTTAAAATCAATCGACATTTATATTTACAGTTTTAAAATGTTTGTATTTTTTAATAATAACCGTACAACATAAAATATACGCACAGCGTGATCGAATTAGAAACAAATTAATAATTGTATACAAGTTATGGTTGAACAATGCACGTAAAAAATATAGTCCCATTGTTATATAGCAAACTGCAGATTGCATTACATTATAACGATTCGAAATTTTGATACTCGATCGCACTGCGCACGATTGTGCTCGAAAATAAAAACACTCACTGGTGGTGGTGATAAGCATAGAAGTGGTGCGGTGGAGGTTGTGGTGGTGGTGGAGGGTGCGCGTGCGGGGGTGTCCATACCTCAGGGCCCCCGGTTAGATGATGCTGCTGATGATGATGATGGTGATGATACTGGTTGTGGTGATGGTAATGATGGTGGTTGGCGTAAGCGACGGCCGCCGCCGCCGCCGCCACCGCCGCTGTCGGACTGGGTGGTGTGTCGGGCATGTCCGTCTGTAAATGAGACTTGCAGAGCGGATCGGAAGGACCGGAAGTCGGTGGCTGTGGCGGCGCGGGTGGCGACATTTTCTTCTGCTGCATGTACGGTGACGGGGGGTGGCCGTTTGTCTGCGGTGACGTCCTTGAATCCCCACCAGCACCGTCGGCACCGGTACAACCACTACCACCAATCTGCACGCCATCACCATCAACACCGTTAGCATCACCACCACCACCACTACTACCACCACCACCACCACTTCCTCCTCCTGATCCACCGCCACTGCCGTTAACACCGCCGCCGATGCCGCCGCTGCCGCCGTTACTATTATTACCACCGTTACCGCCGCCGCCGCCACCCGGCGATTGGTTGGGCGGCGACGACGACGACGAGTCCCCTACACACGTGCCCCACATGAGTACCGTTTGCCTAGGGACGTCCGAATCGGACGATTGCATTCCGTACTCGGTTTTTGTGTCTTCGATTTTCAGTCCGTTCGACACCGGCGGCGACGAACTCTTCGTGCGGAACTGAACGTCGCACAACGGTGCCAGGTACGGTAGACCAGCGGCGGCAGCCACCGTGGCAACATCCATGTGACATTTGTCCATGTTGTCCTCTCCGCTCTGCTGATGCTGTTGGTGATGTTGTTGTTGTTGTTGTTGTTGGTGATGGTGGTGATGGTGTTGTTGTTGCTGATGGTGGTGTTCCATAGAAATTACTGGCGGAGAACCGTACAACTTTTCCACGCATTCCCTGCCGCTTACCGTCGCCGACGTTACAGCGGTCAGTTGATCATACGTTGGCAGACCGCATTGTACCGGCGGCGCTCTCGGACTTATGTCCAAGAAACCATTTCCCATGTACGGCGTAGTGGTAGGCGTGTGGTACTCGGTGTAATAGTTACCCAAAGGCCTGTAAACGTAAAACCATTGTTATCGTCGTATAGTAAATACGAACACAGTAATTTATGCGCGTATTCTTAGTAAAGTTGAAAAATGTTTGGTTTTAAAACAACGCGTTGAACGCGTATTTTGTTTTGGACGAGTGACACAATTTACTGTAAACATCAACTAAAAATTGTATGTTGTGTAAACAATTTAAAACAATCGTGTTAATAGCATTATTGTTCGGGACAAATCGTTTACATTAACCGAACATTACAACGTGATAATGATAATTACCTATACTGGAACAGATTGTCGGTGGCTGTCAGATACGGTATTCGAGTATCGTATAGGGACTGGTGGAAATTCGTTTGGTGGTATCCGCCGTTATCGGCGGCCACAGTCCCGTTGTACGGACCCGCCGAGTACAACGCCGCCGTATTGAGGTTCGTGTAAAGCACGTCGGCCGTCGGCGGTGGTGCGACCGGCACGGGCGGTGCCTGTACCGCCGTCGGGTACTCAACCGTATTGGTCGTGGCCACGGTGGCGGCCGGCGGCGCGGTGCTCGCCGACAGTTTCCGTTTCGTTCGGCACGTGGATAGAAAGTCCCGTAGGTGCGTTTTGTACCGGCGTCTGGGCTGCGATGGTTGTGTTTGACCCGTAGGCCCGGCGGTACCGGAGCCGGTGGACGACGCGCCAGTGACGGCGGTCGAAAGCGTGCCCGGGAGTTGTTCCGAGTCGCTGAAGTAGCTATTCGACAGGCCCGCGTCCAAGTAACTGACCTTAAAGTCCATAGTTCGCTTGCCCAAAAGATCGCGGCCTTCTTCTTCCCTGTGCATATAATATAACACACACACACACACACACACATCAATAACAATAAGATGAATGTTTGGTAACTATTGCTCTTTATCAAACGTTCGATTATTATTGTTTGGTATAATAGCTCTTATACAGGATGGTATTCAGATGTTTTGTTAAACGTATCATATATTGAATTCGATTAATTATATTCGCATGGAGATAAAAACGTCCTTATTTATATTGTCAGCTTCCCGCCGACGAAAGTGATGCGGAAAACCACGTCGAGAATTCGGCGGTTAGGTCGTTCTACCGTTCCTTAAAATTTCGATTCAAATTTCCACACGACCTAGTACCTCACCTATTCATATAATTTGTACAATGTGTATAATGTGAAATAGGTACTATTATATACATGAATTACCCATTTTCAAACTATCAATATATTCTAATTAGTTTTTACTTAGTCTGGTAGGTACTTTGGTTTATATAGTTTCGAGAACTGTACTTCTATATTATGTACTCACATTAAAGGTCTATGCGTGCCAATTACGAAATCGGGTTTTGAATTCTTGTAAACCAGTCGCGAACTTGTCTGTAGCCATTGCCAGGTGCCTTGTTTGGTCTGCACCCTGTAGGCAATCATTCCCGATGCTCCAGTTTTCAACACTATAATATCAAAACAATAATAGTCGTATTTATATATTTGTTGATTTTGAAGAGAGCTAATAATGTATAGCTATCGGTTTTAGAAGGTCGGGCGCATGATAATAACGTACTTGAACATGTATTTTAAATTTGATCGAAAAAAAAAAATTCAATTAGTTGGTAAAGATGTAGTGGAACACATGTATATACTAATATTCAGTATAGGTATTTACGCAATGTTCATTAAATATAGACTATACAGGTATACGTTTTAATATATCATGTGGTTTATATAGATACGGTTATACAATTTTAAATGAAAAAATACCTAAAACTATATTAGGTTAGAAAAAACGTGAACTGTAATTTTTTTGTATATCATTGAAACATAAGTCGGCGAAAGAAAATATAATATTAACAAGACCAGTACTACTTATATTACCACTTTGAGTGCCTAATCACAAGATGTATTTCGTATAGAACGCGTCTAAACCGAAAAACACGAATTATTTCGTGAGAAAATAATAAATGCAATTACATATTATAAGTTGTTTGGAAATGATTATATTATAGGTGGGAAATAGATATTTTAATAGATAAGTGTGTATGCTATTAACTGCAATTGCATGTATCAAACATCCAATGAAATGTACTCACGTTCTTGGTGGGCGCTGGCTACGTACGCTAAATCATCGTAATGGACCAAGTCGTATCCTCCCATATTAGCGAGTTCAGAATCGCAGTAACCCAATAAAAGCTTGCCTCTAAAAAAAAAAAAAAATTATTCATTTGTTTTTTGGTTATATAGATGTAATTAAATAAATAAAATTCTCGTTCCAGTAGCGTATTCATAACTTTATTTTTTGGGCGGGGGGGTTTATTAGTATAATTTATTACAGAAATTACTTAAATCATACCAAACCCACTAATATTATAGAAGTTGTGTAGGCATCCATCATCATAATACGCTATAGCTACGCTCAGAATCTTAAAAAAAAAGAACAAAGAATTTACATTATTCTTAACCGAATTTAATTAACTGGTTAAATAAGAAGATTCTATTAAAATATGGAATCGAACTGATGGTTATATGCCTTATATGGTAGATAAAAACACTATTGAAAACAATATAAATTCTACATTTACGCTGAAAAAGTATTTTCGTATCGTCGAGCAATTCAAATAGATGGCCATTTACACAAAAATATTAAGTGTTCAATTGGTATCACTCGGCATATCATATTATTAAATTATTATTCTAAATTTTATCTTGTATCTCAATTATACAATATAAATATATAAATAAATAATTTTATTTTATATTATATTAATGTATAATTTAATATTATATTAATACATGGACTATAAAAGAAGTAGGTATTATAATTTTTTCTTAATAGGATTGTTCTTCTTCTTTTTTTTCTGCTTCCACTTTATCAAACTACATTTAGTTTTACGTTTTACAATCTCATAATTTCGAAATAAAATTGTTTATATGAAAATTTGATAAAAATTACTAACTATAAAATTATTAGTAATACCGTATTATAGAATTCCATACGTCGGGTTTTTGTCAATTTTTGTATATTAAAGTAAAATATTTATCATTAAAAACAAATATTAGTTTTCTGGGTTTTGAAGGGGGATATACATAAATATACAGAAACAGACCTTTGGTCCATGGACACCAGGCTGAGATCGAGCTTGTGTTTACTCTTGAACATGACTTCCTTGTGCGGTATTTCAAGTAAAGACGGCGGCCCGAACGGCGTGCACAGAGCGAACAGGCCCAACGGCGGCGGTTCGTCCGATTTACGATTTTGGCCATGAATTACTTTTATTCGCCCGCGGACGTCCAGTCTCTGCGTCAAATGAAAACCAATTTTATTATTAGTTTTTTTTTTTTTTTAAATTGCATAATTAATATATAAATTAATTTTAGCAAAATGACAAACAAATAACAATATTGCAGTAAAATACCTAATTATAATCGTATATTATACGTATGACGTATACATTTGTTATTCGTTATTATTAAATACTATTATATTATATAGGTATACAGTCGTGTATTACCAAAAAACCGGAAGTGTTATCCAACAGACACCGGAAACGGATGGTGAAACTCCGCTGCAGCAAACGGCCGTTATCCGGGTGCAAAGCCTCGTGCAACGTGATGGACGGAGACGGCGACCCCGGCTCCGTGGGTATTGCCGAGTTCCACATGAGTTGTCTCTGCAACTCTTCTCGGTCCTCGGAATGCACCAGCTCGTAGACAGACTGGTGCACGATGTCGGACTATAGTAAAAAAAAAAGAAAAAAACAAACCCGTTGATAACACAAATATTACCATAAGACAACGACGACAACACGCAGATACATAAGTACTTGTTATAGTAAATACTATCGCTTTCGAATCGGATTCTAAGCCGTTTAGAGTCAACGTTAAATACGCATTACGTGTGCATAATGTTATAATATATCCAGTTATACTTTAAATGCGACTTTAATACCAACAGCAATAATTATATGGCAATATGAAAGTATATACTTTCAACTTAGCATCGAAATAATTAGAATTTGTTTTTAATTGTGGCGTGAATTGGCAGTTAGAGTACTTACACGAATACACGATATTATTTGACAGTTAGTAGACAATTATTGTTTTTAAGTTTTCTCATTGTACGGTTTTGTTTAGATCATAGTTTGACGTTAGCCTTTACAAAACATAGGTACTTATACACATAGGTATATACAGACATTTTTCGAATCGATCGGATAATGTCGGGGGACCAACTCCACGGAAATATATTCACCAGGCTTGATTTACAGATTTACAAAATAAACATGTATTTAGTAAATAATAAAGTATTAGAGGATTCTTTTCTTCCGGAAGGCACTGCAATAAATAAAATGAAAATATGAGAGATCTATCATAGTAATATAATAGAGGACAGGTGATTATTCAAAATATAGTCCCGTGGATACTCGCCTAAATGAGGTTCTAATACATACAGCTGGCTACTACACATTTTGGTGGGTGTGAGGGTAATAAAAGTTATAAATTATAATTATAATATACGTTTATTTTTTTTTTTTTTATAGAGTGCAGTTTGTTCATTTTCGCGTAAAGTATATAGGTAATAACCGCAGCTATTTTATACAGCATAATAATATACTTTTAATATTTTAATTTTTAGCAACATTTTCGTTTTTTTATACAATTGTACCGCATGTTAGCCTATTATTCCCGAACCTTTTCAAAATATATAGGTAACATAAAATTATATTACGTATGCGGTACATTTACATAATAATAATATATATTTTTAATATACGGCCGCCATGCATATTCATTTTATTTAACGCTGAATGTTTATTCACTTAAGATATCAAATTTATTAAAAAATAAAACCGATTTTTTTTTACCTACCTTTTATATTTGTAAAAAAAGTAAAAAGTATATATTAACATTGAAACTGCGAGCAATATTATAATTACCGGGTTAATATTAAAATACGCGCACGCGGCTGCAGGAAACGCAGTTCACTGACCACCAGGTTACCTAGTTTCCCTTCGGTTACTCCCACCTTTTACCTAAAATAGAGGAAAAATAAGATACAGATCAGTAAATGATATGCAAAATTAGAATTATTTTAAAACGAAAAAATCAATATTACAGTTTACACAAATTTATTGACGTGTACTCATGTGTTGTTGACTACCTATAGACCAACACCATTAAATTTGTAGGTATTTATACGTATAGACCCTGTATGGTTCATACGATTAAAAATTTATGTTACAGCCATTTTATTGTGTAAATAATCAAAATAGAAAAAAATGTATAACACAAAAGTTTGATTTATTAAACATTTAAAATGCTATTCAAAAGTTACGCGCCATGCCGTATCACCACATAGGCGCATAATGTACCACTACTTTTCTCCAATCGAAATTAAAAGTGGAATACCTGGTCAACGGGTTGATGAAAATCAAATAGCCAACGCTAAAATGTATTTAAACTAACACTCCATATATTTATGGAATTTTGAATTTAGGTTCCCGTTTAAATTTTAAAATTTTAACCTTTAACCCTTTCTAAAAAGACAATAATGAAAACGAAATTTACGAACTATTATAGATGTTTATAAATCTAAAAACTTTTTTACTATACAATCTTCTATACTTTGAATATTCACATAATAAAATGATTGTAACGTACATTTTTAATCATCCTATATAAAAGTTACTTTCAATTTGCATTGAAAGAGTGTAGATCAACAGTTATAAAAAAAAAAAAAAAATGCAATAAAATGTCTTAGAATATTGTTTTTAACTATTTTATGACACGAACATATTAATAATATATTAATATAACCAAATACGTTTTATATTATAAGCGTTATCATTAAAATAATTATTTATTTCGTAACCAGTATAAGTATAGGGAAATAATTCGGTTTACTAAAGAATAAGAATCATCAATCTACGTATTAGGTTACTACTAGGTTAGTAACCTATGTGATGTTTACATAAAGATTAAAAACCATTACATTAATTTTTCATTAAAAATAATAATTTACATGGGCGCATACCTATATATATATACATAAATTACAATATGTTTTAAAATCGCTACACATAATTTCATTTCAAATAAAACCTATGTACATTTCGAGGTTAACTCCCAAATGGGAGTCGGCGATCTGGAAGACAAGCCTAAAATACCTGCGTTTTATTGTTTTGCACTGAAACTTTTACGTCGTATCTACGTTAAAAGATACGAATTATCTACTAGAAGGTATTTTATTTGAAACATTTTTCTAAATTCTTGACAATAAAAAAATGGAAAACCTGACAATGAATACGCTGTTTTTAGACTAGAAAAGACGTCTGACATTTAACCAAGGCAGATATATAAGGGTTAAATTTCAATTATTATACATTGGCTTAGAACTCGAATTTTTGTATTTATTATTATTATTATTTTTTTTGTTGGTTTCTGGGTTCCCTTGGTTACAGAAAATACTACTTTAATACCTGTCTAACCTAACCAATTAACCGAGGTCCCCCTTTAGAATAGATTTTTTGTTTACAATGATTTATCGCTGCTTTCAGAATATAAACTAAATTATTATTCTATCTCCTATTACCTAACCAAATCGCTACCTGCACAGCGGTCTACACAGTGGCTCTTTTTATGTAAATATATATATAGATCTTTATTATTTGTTAAAATAACTATTTTACTATCGTATTCAGCTTCGAAAAATCTATATTACAAGTATTATAACTATACCTGTATATTATTATATTAGTATATTTAAATTCATTATTCATGTTAAATGTATAATATAAACGAGTTTCATACTCTGAAATAAAGCTGTTAATTTGTAATTTATTATACTATGGCATACTATCACAATAATTTATAATACAACATAATATTATATTATTATATTTATACAAACATTAATATAACCATCAAGTTATTGGATGTAGTTGAGAAATCTTAATCATTTTAGTTGATATACTCGTAAAATCAAACACATGTCTACATCTATTTTTATCGTACGAAATCCGAATGATAAAATATTGAAATTTAAATTAAACATCATGACAAATTTGTTTCAGTGCAATATTCGTATATATTTATGTTTCAGACTTTTAGAAATTACTTTTATGTACGCATATTCGGTATATTGTATGCAGAATAGGTAATACAAATATCTACGAGTTTATAATATAATGACACATAATATAAGATTATTATTTTAATTACTATATTGGAAACACTTCTGTATTCTTTTTCGTGTACGGTTATTATCTCTATTGCGCAATAAATCGCGGTGATAAAATTTGTTGAATATTCAAAGTCCGTTTATTCGATGTACGCTTTGTATACGCATAAATATTTTTTTTAGCGTAAAACAGTCCTAAATAATAATTTAACCTGCGAACATATCAATGGGTAGACTATCTAAACGTATAGTTAATATTTAATAGTATTATGATATTATTTAATTGTGTACACCTGAGGTTCTCTCGCGGTGTGGCGACAGTTATGGTTTTATAATATCGTACCGTGTACAAATGTTGCCTACAGATGTGGTGCTATAAAAATGTTCAATTAATTTGTTGGCGAGAAAATTAGTATCATAATAAAACACATAATTAAAAAAATAATAATAATAACAACGAAAGTGTCTTTATAATAATAATGTGTGTTTATAATATATATGTATATATTTTTATATGTTAGAATACATCTGCATTTGGTACCCATTAAATATCCCACGTGTATATGCCGCGACAGACGCAGCTGTTAAAATGTTACTATACCATATTGTAATAGATATCCATGTAATATACTTACCTACCTATGTTCGCCCGAACGTTTATATCATTAATGATCGATTATCGAGGCTTTTATCATAACAATCAATAATATGATTTCAATTCGCGAGTTAATTACAATTTCAAAACTAAATATAGGTAAATACTTATTTCAGTTGAAACAATTTCGTGTTAAATAGTTTTTATAACATACGTGTATAGACGTAGTTACAAATGTGCAATGTATATAATTACCTGATGGAAGCCAAGATAATTTTCTATGGTATGCGTCGCGAAGAAAACCTCGCCGTCACAGGTGAGCATCACCAAAAAACCGTTTAACGCCTGCGTTGTACAAAACAAAACGAATTTCTAATTAGGTACACGAATGTTACGTCCACCGTTTCGTTAAATTGTACGTTTCGCATTGAGAAGACGCCATCAAATATAGTAGTGGGACACATTTTTTTCAAAAATAATGATAGAATCGTGTATATGATAACTGATAAGCGTATTCAAATATTTACAATCATCAACGTACCCATAAATCAATAATAATAATTCGATTTTCGTACCAGAAATACTAATAACGACCCTGTCTCGGCGCTCTTTTGAGGGTAGAATTTTGGGATAGAAAACAATCTATATGTCATTTCCGGTCAAGAATTACATCTATGCGAAGTTTCAGCTCAATCCGGTAAATGGTTTTGGCGTGAACCATAAATTGATATAGCAAACATCCAAACAAACTTACGCATTTATAATATTAAGTAGAGTATTTTAGATTTCGTCGGTATTCGTACTTTTACCGTAACATACATATAAATATTTTTACTGTACTATATGTTTTGATACAATTTTTTAGTGGCTTCTCGTGACTTTTCGCCTTTTTAAAAATGTGTCCCACTGTGTGCCACACCCGTATAGGTTTTTTTTTTTTTTATTGTCGTTTAAATTGAAATTAGAGTTTAAATACGAATAATGAAATGTAAAGAAGAGAATATTGTCGAGGGCTGTACGTAGTTCTTATTTTTTTTTTAATTGTCATACCCAAAAACATTACAGCTATTTAAACGAAACCGAAAACTAACAAGGTTATGATAAATTTTTTTGTGTCACAGATGCGGGTGTAGCGTGCTCCTAGGGATGCCTATATGGGTAGGTACGTATTATATTCACCTGTAGGAACATGTCTCCGTCCAAATATAAGTGATGTGGCTCCGGGCACGTCCTGGAACGTTGGTATTGGGAGCCGGTAACGTTAGCCTGTTCTTCTTTGGACTTGTGCATAGTAACTGCGAACAAACGTTAACAAAAAAATTAATAAAACCGAACATTAAAATACCATTAATCACGCCGTGAGTATAGAGAAAATTGTGTTAGTCATTCGTGTAACGGGCCGCCAACTACACTTTACAACGTTATTGATATATAATATAATCATATAAGTATATAGGGTACACCCTCGTGTGATGATTCAATTATTTGGAACTGATGTTTATCTAATATGCCTATACTCCACGTACGTGTAGTACACCGGCTACCAACACTCGGGTCTACGCGGGTCACGTGCATCACGACCGAAATCGCTGGCCGCGTGGTCGCGTTAACGTTTTTACACGGAATTTTTAAATGGGCCCTGGACACTGGATAATATACACGAAAATACGATTTTCAAAAAAATTCGTATATTTATATTCGTATATGTGTAAAGATCAAGCTATGTTATTGCGGATCGCGTAATAATTACGGGGCCTTGATATATATATATATATACACAATAACACCGCGCATAACACATTTCGGATTATCGTCGCTTTACATCGCGAATTACACGAAATGTTAATTGAAACCATTATTAAACGGTATATTTGGCGAATTGCCCGATATACAAAGTTATCGCGATTTATTTTGTATAAATAATGTACGGGCATAGTTATATATTATAATATACAGCAGGAATAGGATATTCGAGGGTAATAAAACCGGTATTCAATATGCGGTATAGGTGCGAGCGCGTACGCAGCGTTTAATCAGATTTTACTATGATTTTTTTTTTTTTTTCAATCCCAATAAAATCGAAACCAGTGTTAAGTCCTGGGCGCTCTTTGTTATGGGTTTTTTTTTTTTTTCTAAAGTCAACTGCCCATATGTATAGGTATCGCTATTATACAGTCGATAATTTGCATACCAATGTCAAAATTATCCAGATTACTTGAGGCATGACGTTAAAAACGTTTCCAGGACCGCGTATTACTATGATAATATAACGTAGCACGTATAACATGTGTGCGGTTTTTATAGTTTTATATTTCTATTTAGGCTCGTGTGATATTTACTTAACCGAAATTGCTATACATGGAATAACGCGTATTATATAATGGCGGTTAATCTCTGTAATCGGATTATTGGAAATGAATTTAAAAAACATACAGTTTTCTAATACCTATTTAACTACACGAGTATAGATACAATTCAATGATATGATAGTACATTATATACGGAATTTTAATATCTAAAATACTGTATAATATATTAATAAACGGTAAACGCGCCGTGTAAAGAATAAAGATAAACTTTTATATTATACAATATATGTATAGAATATCGAATGTAATTTTCAAAAAAAAAAAAATAATAATAATAATAATAATACCTAATAAAATCACCGGAATTCGGCGTGGGAATAATATGTTAATTTTTTTTTATTATTATTATTATACACATATTATACGGAGAGAAAAAAAAAAGTGATCTATAGTAGTTTTTTCCGTTTGACTCCGTCTGAGCGCCATGTTCGTTACAAAGAAAAAAAACCCTGAAAAAAAAGCGAATCGCACGGTGTGTGCTTCGCGCAATAAATCCATATAGTAAATAAATAACGAAAAGACAAATAAATAAATAATGATAAAAATTATCGGCCGCCCGCTGGTGATGGCTTATTTACATCCCAAACAAATCGTAACCCATCGGCGCCCCACCTCAAAACGACAGCTAACGAGCCTAGTTTATTACCTCTCTTCGGCCTCTGTGTGTCTGTGTGTAAGTGTGTGTGTGAGTGTGTGTGTGTAAGTGTACCCTTTTTGCCCCGGTCGTCGTCTCGCTCTCTTATACGCGTTATATTTGTATAACAGTGTGTTTTTATTTTTTTTTTTTTTTTTTTTTTTATCCGACCGTCGTCTTTCAGTGGTTTCGCTTTAATTAACTGGATGAAAATTATTTATTATTGTGTACACAGCGGTCTTCGGGGCCCGGATCGCATGAACGTTTTTATTATTTATGAATTATCAGTCGTCCGTGTATATAAAATAATATTAATATATACGTATATACGAAATAAATAAATAATAATAATAATAATAAAAAAACACCACAGTTTTCTGTCTGTTGTAATAATAAAACCGGATTCATAAACTTTTTTCACTCGTGACTTACGGTTTTTTTTTTTTTTTTTATTATTATTATTAAACTTACTGCAGCGCGGTATATCTACCTATGTATATATATATATATATATACGCACATAATATATTATTATTGTACGTATATATTTTGTACGCGCGCGTGGCAAAGTTTCTCGGCGCATATACCCAACCCACACCTATATACGGATATACTTGACGTACAAAGTTTAGCGTGCGCGCGAAAGCGGATGCGGGGTGGCGACGGAATTGTTTTGCTCCCCGGTAACCCGTTCGCCGCGAGTGACATAAATATATCACATGTCAGATTTTCGTATAAAAAAAAAAAAATTAAAAAGAACACACAAGAGACTGCCGGCAGGTATAGGTATATAATGTACCCCATACCCCGGGCCGATGCGGCGCACGTGCTCGGCTTTCACGTGTTCCGTTCTGTTCGCCGCACTTCCGCAAGTGTTCGTACGTGTGTACGCACACGCGCGCACACCGCGCCACATACACGGTGTATCATTGGCCGTCCGAACGGGCCGGAGGGGTTGTCGACGGGCGCGAGTTCCGGGTAGGGGAGCCGAAAAACCGTCGGTCGCACGCGATCCCGCCGCCGTGGCCGTTTATGTAATCCGGTTACCATGGGCACCTGGCGTCAAAACAAATCATCCCCTACGAACCCTGCGCGGCCCGCGCCCCGGCCGCGGTCACAAATAAACGATTTGTGTCTCCCTCGTTTCGACCCGCGCGTACGCTCGCCGCTAAATTACATTAGAACCGTGTATGTGTGTGTGTGTGTGTGCATATATATATAAGTATAAATAGTATCCCGTCACAACCGCGGCGCCCTCGCCGGGATCGCCGTCACCGATTACATTATTATAATACGTCTAATTTCGCGCACACGTATACAGGTACCTACTGTACGGTGGGCATTTTACAATACAGTATGCGGCTCATAAATAATACGAGTGCGCCGGCGGCGAGTATAATACGGGATTATCGTTATGTATTTAATTTCACGGGCGAGGCCGTTTTTAACATAAACGCGCGCAGGCACCGCGATGACGACTATAATAAATAAACGAACAATAGAAAGCTTAATATGCGCGCGGTTAATTAACGAAGACGGGCGCTAACGAAATATGTTAATAACGATAGAAGACTTATGCGTGTGAATGATCGGACACCCGAACAGAAAAAAAAAAAAAAATAAATAAATAAATAAAGTGTCAATATTTGGGTCCGCGCATTGCGACGTTCGTCGTTGACCTCTTCTCAGCTCCTCAGTTTGCTTACTGAATTTGCGGTGGCGAGGACGCAAAATAAGGAGCAGTGGAACTGCAGGTGAAACGCCGGGGTAGGCACCTTAAAGCGGGTGCTCGAAACGAGTTTGTAGATAGACGGCGTGATAACCTATACAGATGGTGTACGGGTACGTGGTACGGCTATACGGTTAATTTCGAGAATCGGATAGTTTCGGATCATCCGTGTTTGTACGTAGGTTGTTTTTTCGACGGGCCTTAAGAGGACGCCTCGCCGACATCTACTGTCTCCGTCTTACGGACGCGAGACACGCGGTAATAAAAAATACGCGTTCTTTCGGACACATTTTGCGCCGTTAGTTTCAATATTAAAACGAATTGACCTATTACCAAAATCAAAGTTAAGAATATTACGTATGCTCCGGCGTTGATGATTTTTCGTTATTTTTATTTTCAAATGAAATATGTTAAATATCACGCTATTTAAATATGATTATAACTCGCTTATTGTACGGATGGTGACGGTGATGAAGGCGTGTATACGGCGTGCTCGAAAAATACAACACTCCTTGACGAAAAATATCGGTCGCGCGCGTAAACTGGATTCCGTCCCCCCCTCGGAGCCTCGTATATGTTATGTCTTGTATAGCCTTAGCCCGCCGTCGTCGTCGTCGTCGTCGCCGGATACTGAGTCCCAGATACATCGAGGGTGAAGACGTATTATGTTGTAAAAAATTATCGTGGTCATTTCGAACACGACGTTATCCAGCTGCGATCACGGCGTGTTTATTGTAATAAAAATAATATCATATATCTTTTTATGACTTTCGAGATGTATTTTCCCCTCCGCGGTGCATTCCCCCGTCCCGTCCCGTCGCGCGCGCGCGTCTCATTTTTATTCTTATATACGCGCGTTATCGACGTGTGGGAACTGCACGGTGAATTATAATATGCAGTCTATAACAATATTTACTAGATATCTGATATAAATATTATAATATATTACACCTATGCGTGTGTGTGTGTGTGTTTAGCCCACACGAAAACAATATTCAAATGCCAAAGTGAGTTTAATAATCATATTGTAACGTCTGGAATTCGCACCCGGCACCCCGATGATAATATCGCAGTTATATTTTCATCGTAATATATATGTATTTTTTTTTTTTTTTTTATGATTCTGAACGTAGTGAGAAATGTATAGGTTTTACTACGATGTGTGCGGTTTTTTTCCGTTTCTGTCCGTAAACAAGTTTCATACCAGAAATCTTGATCCGATCAAAAACCGAAAGGATAATGATGCTTTTTCATAGTACGTATTAGATCTAATATTGGTGCGTTAACACGGCGGTTTTCGATTTTCTTTGGGTTTTCATTCAAATCGGGGAAAACTGGGGAAAAATTCAAACAGGAAAATTTTGATGAAGTTTAATTATTTTCGATTTAGTGTTTTTGTTGCAATTCGGACGAAAATGATATCGTGACGTTCAATATATTCTGGCGAGGTTATCGTTATTTATAGACATTTGATATTTTCGAATTTTTTTTAGTTTTTATTGGGTTTTATGGGGATACAATTGTTAAACTAAACAAAAAAAGCTTTAAAATTGAACACAAGGATCATTGATTATAAGCTGTACTTAGAAAAAACCAATGTAAACAATTTTTATAAAAGCGTTTTAAGTTTTATAGTTTTGACGAGAATCGAAAAAATTAAGGAATTTCAAAACAAGTTTAACCGAACTTTTCTCAGGATCGGTTTTCGTTGGTAATAGTTTATCGTTGCATAGGTACAGATATAAATTAAATTATTCTCTGTATCCTATATTCACAACTTTCCATCTTCACCTGTAGTGGCACACTCATCAGTAATATCAGCTTTTTTAAACTTTATATGTATACAGATATATGCGGTTATACATTTTTGATTATACCGGTTACAATACGATTTTATTATAGGTATTATAGTCTATATAGGTACCGATAAACGGAAAAATAAAAACTTATAATTATACACTTAAAGTTCTATGGTAATATAACTTTCGTTCTAAGAAAGAAGGTCTTAATTTTTGGGGTCAATGTTTGTTATTTTGTTTTACATACTTTTGTTTTTAGTAATTTTGCACTTTTATAATGTATGTATATTCTAACAAATATTGTATTGAAAATTAAAAAGGCTCGAATCACTATAATATTTAGCTTATTTTATATTTGGACATTTAGAACACGATTTAGGTTAGGCTATTTAATAATTTAGCCATTTAAAGACTTTAATTTAATGACACAATAATATTTTTTCATTATCAACTCAATTCTCAAACTATAACTCGTATTACTTATATTTATGTAATTATTGTTTTCCGTAAAAAAAAATTATTTTGAACACAGTATTGCATACATATTTGTATAAATTACGTGTTAGATTTTCGAGCATTTTTGGTGGTCCAAAACAGTTTAATCCACAAAAAACGAAATACAAGCTAAACAACTTTGAAAATTTCAATTGGCTATAATAAAATAATTAAAAAATAGCTAGAATAATCTGATAATGTTACACGATTTTTATTAAACTGAATTACAACAAAAAAAATCAATTAAAAATTGTAGAATTCATTTTTGAGTATAAATATTCCAGTTTTTTCAAATTATTAAGAAAACCATAAGAAATACGAAGTCCAACTAGACATAATTTGGTACCAGAAACTATCCCTGATGTTATTGGTTGTAATAGTTATAGGCTGGAAAAGTTATTTACAGAAAAACAGAAAAAACAATTAGTAAAACAACATATACATTCCTCACTTATTCTCAAAATCTAAAAATATACAAAAAAGCCGTGTTATCTCACGAAACAAATAACGAACTAGTTTAATAATTATTTGCTTAACTGCATTGTATAGTCCTGATAAATAGAATGCAAATTTACAATTTAAATATAAACTCCAAGTACTCTCTATCTACTTGGGTAAATATATTAGTTGTAATTAGTTCTTATTATTAATTTTAGGTTCCCTTATAAGTCATGACATCCTTTAGAGAAGACAGAATATATCTTAGGATCAGTATGTACTATCAACTCGAGTCCAAATATAAACAGTAAGTAAAATAAGCCTTATCCAAAATAGTCGAAAATAAAAAGTCGTGACGAAAGGGTTTACTATATAATCTGACTTTTATAATATTTTTAACGTGGTGACTAATTTATTGCTGTAGGTACATAACATATTATATTCTATACATTGCTATATTTATGACTAAAAATGTATTGCGACTGTTGCGGTAAGATACGACTTATTCAAGAGTGATTAGTGATTGCTTAACAAATTTTAACATTAACCTACATATATATCATAGGCTTATCCGTTTTTAAATTCGAGTATTTCGATTATATTTAGTATATGTATATTTGAATGGGTAGGTATATATTATTTAAATTGAATAATGAAACTGTATAAAAATTATATATAAAAAAAAAAAAAATTAAACGTGTATACTATGCATAATGCATATGTTCATATAGTAGTGAATGCACAAAAAAAAAAAACAAAACAAAAATTATTATTTCCGATACGAGCTCACGAGCAAAAAAAAAAAAAAAATCATAATAATAATATAGTAATACTATAATTATTAAAAATTGAATATGATTTTTATTTTTAGCATAATATAAAAACTAGATGAATAAATGTAATAATTATTATGCGGACTGTACATAGTATATACTTGAAAAATAAAACTGACAGCTGCCGGTTTTTATAGTTTAATGTCCTGCGCCGTAATAGGTGTATAGGTATACACGTGGGTAGAATATTTGAATGCGCCCAATCTTACCGCGATATAATTATATACGCATAATCACACGGTGCGTGATGGTTATCAAAAATGCTCTAATATTATTTTATGAATATGAAAATAATGAAAAGTACCTATATTGTATAAAACCGTTAAAACATTACGGGTTACAATTATAATAGGTGTATCGAGTTTAAAATAAACGAGCACGTAGTCGATTCGAATGAAACACGACGCGTTTGACGGCAAACAATTAAAATAAACAAAATAAAAAATAATCGAATTTCGAAAAAAAATTAAAAAATTAAAATTACGTGTTACACAATATATGTAGTATAATGCAGGCACGATCGTATCGCACTGCGAGAGTTCACGAAATTAAACAAATACGTTATTTTACTAAAAAAAAAATATATATAGATATATATTACCCGAGAACACGATTACAATATAAACACGTAAAAAAAAAAAAAAAATAAAAAAATATTCGAACAAAATCAATGACTTATACGAGACCGCATACAGTTTTAAACGACCATAAATACAATGTAAAGTAGCTGTTGAGGTAGAATATAAACTCGTGTAAATTATATATTTGATCGGCGATGTTATTGCTGTATTATAGTGTAGCGTTCCGTTTTCTCGTTGCGAAGGGGGAACGCAATAATAAGACGATGTGATACATTACGCGATAATAGTGGCCAAGTGGATATTATTATGTATATGGGTAATAATTTATGGCCTTATAGACATTACGGGCATTTTAGTTAAACCGTACAGGTAGGTAATGCAGTAACTGTACGGTTACGGTAACTGCAAGCGTACACAATCGATAGAATTTTATGGGTTTTTTTTTTTGTATGTTTTCGTTATGTATTTTCTAACGATCGACATTATCGAATATAATACATAGTTACAACTGTCGAACGATTGTTACAGATCGCGAACTGTATTCGAACGGTCACACAATCATCGTTCGGTTATACGGTGGGGTGGAGAAACTGTTCGAATAGTTTTTCGAAATATTCTACACAGTTAGATTGTATTTACGCACAGTTATATTCTATATGAACTAATGGAGCGGCGTTTTGATTTTAATCTTCCGAACGCTGGAAATGAACTGTTATTCCGTTCCACCGAATATTTCTGAACGCATTTTGATATCTGCCGCTAATACCGCTATACTGTAAGCGATTTTGACTTATTTTTTTCTTTCCATTCAATCCTCATTGAACTAACCCCAAATATATTCCGGATGATTCGCGATTGTTTATACGCATTATTCGTTTCTGTATCAATTCCCGACTGTAATTTTTATTTTTTATTTATTTCTGTGTTAATCGGAATGCGATATTATTGTAATTGTTATCCGGAAATTCCCGTCGCTGTGGTACTTCCTTGTGCTTCTTACGCGTATAAAATGCCATTAAAACGCGCGATATTAAATTTATGTAGCGGCGGCGACGGCGCTTAAACAAAACGAATGCGATTCTAGTTTCTATTCCCATGTTTTTGTACGGTTTCCGATAATTTTTCTCTATTTTTTTTTTTTTTTGGCGTGTATTACACGACCGCAAGATAATTCGATTTTAACCGAAACATAACTCGTGTGTGTGTGTGTCCATGTTATAGTATTATACGCATGTATACTTAATACGTTCTCCGTTTGTATAGGTCCGCGTATATTATTATAATAAGAACTATAATACATACACGAATACCTTTAAGTTGTATCGTACCGACAACGCGTTGACTAATGTGCGCGAAATCAATACAGAAAAACAACACCTGTATAATATTTCTACTATAAAAAAAAAAAAGTCTAAAATCTGTGTGTACGCTCGCAAGAAAATAATATACGTTACAATATATAGCGTGTATGCGAATAATATTTATATTGCGTCCGCCGTGTATATTATACATACAGCAGGTACCATAATATTATATTATTATAATACGATGTCATAATGCGTATTGTACGTTGTATACGATAAGTCACCGTTATATATACACATACATAATAGAAGTTAATATTATGTTGTTCGACTTACATAACTTACATAATGGACCCTCCAACAGTACGGTGGTGGTGGTGTTGGGGCGGGGGGGAAAACAATTACCATTTAAAGTAATTAATTTCGAAGCGGCGGCGGCGGGAAAAAAGGCGTATACCGCGCACAGAAAGGCGGCGGGAGGGGGCAGTAGGGGTTACAGAACGAGAGGGGCGGGCGATGACATCATCGCGGGGAAGGCAAAGTGTAAGGGGCTGCGGGGGAGGGGGGTCGCCCGCCGCCGAAACATCTGGTCGTTTGATTTATATCTGTCATTAGGACACGTATAGGTAATAATAATATTATACCCATACGTACACATACGCAGTACGGTTTATACCTATAGGTGTAATTACTGCGCCAGCGCTATCATGTCCCAAACGGTCACACGTCAGCTGCGGCCGTCGCAGCGGCAGCAGCAGGGCCAGTCTACCGCCGCCGCCGCCGCTTGTCTCGCTCACTCTCTCTCTCTCTCTCTCTCTCTCTCTCTCTTTTTCGTTTTTTTTTTTTTTTTTTTTTTTTTGTTTTTTTCCCCCCCGTCCGTTTGACTGTATAACAATAATTAATTCGTACGTATAATATATATATATATATATATATATATATATACATACGCACGCAATATACGCGACTGCGGTATTATTTTATGTACGAGTATAATGTGCGTACATCACATATTATATACGCGTATAATAACTCGGGCCGCACGCCGACCGGTTTCCGGTGGACATAACTCACGGTAGCGTTTCTGCACCTAGTCGACGACGCCGTAAAACGTAAACGGATCTCGACCGCTGTTCGCCGTCCGGGTCTAATAAGGCACGATTATATTATACTTTGTTTTTGGTTTTTTATTTTATTTTATTTTTTTTTCGTTTTCTTCTGACGTTACCCGAGGGGGTCATTTCGCACGGGACACTGTATACGCTGCGACGACGACGACGAAAAAAAAAAAAAAAAAATAAAACTACGTAATTTTACTCGGTTTTTAATTTTTTCTCTTTTTGTTTTTTTTTTTTTCATTTTATTAATCTCGTACGATATAATAATATTATTATTATTATTATTCTACACTCATATAATATGTTACGCGGGGTCATAAAACATTTTTGTCCCAAGCGTATTTATACAAAAAAAAAAAGTAAAAAAAAATCCATAATCAACATAATTCATATATTATACGCTTTTATTATTATTACCGTACATACGGCATAGCAATAGCACTTAAAGTCCAAGTTCGCGACGCACGGTATTGCATGGTACGAAATTCGTTTATTTTATAAATATTTATACCTACCGTTATATTATAGGTGCATAATATATTACATGTATACCTCCTAGTCTTATATTTTAATTAGTATTATCCCCCCCCCTCCAAATATAATTCGCCCTCGATATAATATTTTTTATATATAGTCACGGTCCGAAAACTTTTACGAGGGTGCCCTCGTACATATTATACATATACTAACCCTAAAAATTACACACCATATTATAATAATTGACAGGGTCAGCTTGCGAGAATAATTGTCGGCCATTATCTACGTATGTATAGGTACTATTTATTATTATTATTATTATTTTAATAATATTATATACCTAATAATTTACCGTTTGTGACGATAAACCTGCGCTAAAAAGACCTACGTATTGTGTTATGCGTATACATTGTATTATATTCGTATTCTGATTTGCGCTTATTTCAGTTGAACGCCGGAACCCAATTTTCAATGCAAGTTATCGGCCGTTTCAAATACTCGAGTAGTCAAGGAAGATCTGCTGCGGACGTAAGAAGTATAATATATTACATGCAAATAAGCAGGGAATCGGACAAGCTAGGGCGGCTTTCAACGCGGTAAAGAGTATTTTGCTCTTAAAAAGTATTAATAGCGTAATTCTCTATTAATAAAATAAAACATTTGCGTGTTCGTGTATGTTTGGTTGCGAGACGTGGGTTATTAGAAAATTAGAAAAAAATCCCTTGTAGTATTCGGATTGTGCAAGGGTTGAAGACGAAAGGTAAAAATAAGCTGGACAGTAAGAGTAACGGATGAAGATGTACGTATTAACTGAAGTTGAAGAAACAAAAACCACGATGAATGTCATAACGCGGCGACGAAGTGATATAATTGGATACCGATCTATAGTCTATAATAAATTATGGAGAACTTCACTACGTTGTCGTAATAGTAGGTGCAATATTGAAGGACGTAAAGCACATGCATATTTCAACTGACGAAAAAAAAGGTAAGGATAGACACTTAATATACTGGATTAAAGAGAATTCCTGAAGACCACGAGATATGGTGAATGTGGTGTGTGTAAACCTGCAAACCAACCTGAAACGGTTGAAAAAAAAAAGTGTTAACTTAAATTACTTTGATTGGTATGAGCGTAGATAGGAATTCGACGACGCGATTTATCGGTTTATCTACACGATGTATGAGTATATAACACTTGTAATTTAATTATTTTGTCCGGGGGAAGAAGAGCTTAAGTAAATTTTGTACAGTTTTCAATACAATAAGCAAATTAAATTTTGAAAATAATGAAATACATATACTTGCTACTTGCATACAAAAACTAATATTACTACGTAGAATAATTTTGAAAATACATACACATGCGCAATTTAGGCCGAAAAACAAAGGGAACAAATCATACGAGACAAAATTACCTATATAAAAAAAAACCAAAAATTAATTTAAGCCCATCTTCATTGGAAGACGAAGAAGAATTTCAATATTGAAAAATCGCGAACAACGATTAGAATATACCATTATGTAGCTAACCTGTGTTAAACTAAAAAAAAAAAACAATGGTTCAAGAAATATATTTCATAACATCGAAACAATATACCAGCTGGATATTAAAGTGCGAATTATTATTATTATGTTCTGATATTTAACATACAGCATTATTATTGTGCTGAATGTCATTTGTACCCACCGATATTCAGTATATTATGCCTTATACCTTTACGTATACGGTTTTACTCTCACACCGAAGGACATGTAAATATTATTACAGTTACGGTACCGTATGCCATATTTATAACATTGTTATAGACAATATAATATAGGTATATGCTGCACACCGACATTACGTATATGAGTAAAGTTTCATAAAATTGTTTTTAATAGGTATATTATCTCGACGAGAATATAATAATGTATATAGGTATACGTTATTATATTCTCGTCGAGATAATATATAACAGATATCTGCACGTGCGTTCATACATAGCATAGGCACCTATTTGTACCTACGCATATATACTTGAGAAAGACTCCATCGTGGATGTTAAATAGTTATATGTATATCATACGGATGGCAAAAAACAAGCCGTCATTTGCTATACAGAAAACATAACACAACTGCTGAATTGTCATTATTTGTGTTAGGTTATATACCTATATATATATATATATATATATATATATATATCTGTATAAATGGCGTATATGAAAACCGTATAAGAATTATCAGGTTGCATATTAAAATACGCAATACTCGTCAGTCTCGACGAAAACGTATCGAGCTTAAGGTTATTTGAAAAAAAAAAATTAAAAAAATCACGTGACTTTTTATTATATAGGATTAAATCTGTTAAACGCAATTTTAATATTATAAATATTTAATATTTAAAATATTAAAAATATTAAAAATATTAAAAGATTAAAATAATACAAATTTAATAATAACAAAAAATAAATAAAAACGATTGCCAATGATAAACTAATTTTTAATCTTTTAATATTTTTTAATCTAAAGAATCAGTTTTTCCTTGTTATCACAAATATTAATGTGAATTATAAAAAATATTCTGTCCAAAGTACCAATTAGAGCCGAAATGCAACAAAAACGGTCTCTTGTCATGTTTTGATTTGGAACAAGATTTCTGGGAGAAATTAAGTACAAAGTGTAAAAAATAAACTTCATTGTAAATCCAATATTTTCCTAACCCCTCCCTTCACTCAAAATCCAAAAAAAAAATATATATTTCTAACGCGTTAAAATAATATATAAATATTTATTTCTGTTAATGTTTTATTATACAATACAATAATAATTAAAATTTATATTGTCCTTTAGAATAAGACATTTCTGCATGTTACCTTTCTCCGAAGGCTAATTATGTGCACCGCAGACGCATTGTGTAAAAATTATATTTACAGTTTTTTAGTGCTTAATTTGTACATTTTTCGGCCAAGGACTTTAGAAGAAAAGAGGGTTTATTGCATTATTTACAGTGCGATATTTTATATCATATAGAATTTTTTTATCAATTAAATACAAATACGAGGCCGCTGAAATCCGGAGACCGGGTGACTATATTCTATAATATATTAACATTTAGGTAGCTATATCGCTATATAGCGTTAATTTACAGAAATATTTTTAAATTTTAACACTGGCATTTTTAAGAAGGTTTTCTGTGTTCAAATGGATAAACATTGAAGTCGATTGAAAACCCAGTAGAGTGAGATTTCTCTTACCGTGGGTCCGACATAGAATATAATTGGTAAATTATCGAATTAGTAGATTTTCGGAACAATATATTATATTTAGGCAACTATCTCTTTAGGGGGAAAGGTAGCTGGGGAAATTTCAAAAGTTAAAGAGACGGTTGGATCTATCCGCCCGAGGCAATTTGTTAAAGAAGGGGGAGTGGATACTCTACGATGGATGTTTACTAAAATGTCCCGGTTTTAACCGTATTATTATAATAAAAGCTGCAATATTATACTAGTAAGAATATAAAAATACATAAATATGTATGTACATGTAAAGTTTTTAAAATTTGTTTTCAACGCGGTACGTTATAGATTAAATTTATGTACACTATCTATACGCCGTGTATAAATAGTGCACAGTATGCGTCATAAATCTGCTCACGCTCTGGTATTAAAAATGCAAACTGTATTTCTATTTAACGAAATACCATACGAGACAATTATAATATTTATTATTATATACTTAGGGATCCAGACGTTTGTAGATGTGGTAAAAAAAAAATTGGTTGCTACAGTGAATGCATTCAAAAATATCACGAAAATATATTAGGTGTAAATTATTATTATTATTAAAACATGCCTATGTGTATAACTGTAGCAAAGACATTCCGCATCACTTTAATAACGATTGCGACTCTCTGGTTGATCTGAGGATAATCTGAGGATTATAAATTTTATACAGTAAACTATTTTCTTCGGTTTGGACAAATTGTTATTGTTATTTCAAAAATTTTCATGGTTGAAATATCAATTAGATAATTAGTAAAATGATTTATTAGAATAATTATACCGATATGATTTTGACGTTTATTATGATTTAGATTTTATTTTTTTCTTTAAACAAAACAGTAGATAACTCGGGGAAAATCCGAGGAATACTGTCGCGTATAAAAAAAAAAAAAAAAAAACCGTGTGAGAATTTTTCCAAAGTCCGTCCGGCGCGTTGTGTTTGCACAGGATTTAGGTCGGATGAGTATACACACGCACGGAACGGGTATTATTATAGGCAATACAAATAATGGTATAATGGGACCGAGTCAACAGAATCGCCCTGTATGCGAACGTATACATTATTATAAAGTCGTGTGTGTGTGTGTGTGTGTGTGTGTGTGTGTGTGTGTAAATTATATCGAAACATTCGAAACGGTTGCCGCCGTCTGTCGCGGGACTCCCGGAATACCGTCGTTGTACCGTGGGACACGGCGATACATTATTGGCTACACGGTCGGAACAAAATTATGTTAGCCACTGTTCGCCTACTCAACCTGTTGTGCGTTCAGAATTGTGTTCCGTTTGTTCATTAATAATTAGCGATATATGCGCTCGGCCGGCGGACCCCTCGCGGCGGTACACTACCCATTGATACACATATTTTATAAAATTATTACACTACGACGACGACGAACAATAATAATAATAATACGATCGTGTTTTTTTTTTTTTATTTTACCGTCGACTATCGTCGTATTACCGCCCGTATACGCCCCGCCGCTCGTTTCGTATATAAAAGGCACGGGGTTCTTTTCCGCCAAAAAAAAAACAAAACAAAACACAAGACCGGTTTTCTGATTTATTACGCGTTCGACCCAAACGTTTTCGCGCCGAAAATCAAAAAACTTTCCGCCTGTAACGCAAATTTATATAATATAATTGTGTGTTAAGGTATATTTTTATGTATTTTTACGAATTTAGACGTTTCCGCCAATAATATTATAATTGATGGGAATTAATGTAAAACAGTCATACCTACCTACGGAGTCGTGCCGCATTATATATAGTCATTCGAGTGCGTATTTATTTTGAAATAAAATCATCTTATCCCGCTGTGCAATCTAAGTGAGATACACAACGTCGCTGTGATGTGTTGAATTTGGGTATAATAAAAATATTTGCGAACCGTTATAAACGAATGCGAACGCGAAATTCCCGGATTGTTTCACAAATCAACATGAATAACGTTGTTCAAAACGTACAATCTGTACTGTTGATTTCAGACTACAAACATGCAAGCATGATGTACAACACTTATAAATGTATAATATAATATATTATGTTACGACTAATGTTAAAAATTAGAACTCAAAAATGGCTAAAATGTTTTTAAAATTTGACCACGTCTAGAAAAGACAAATATAATTTTCTATTCAAATTTCAAGTCTCTAAGAATATTTTTAACTGAATTACAACAAAATACAAAATTTAAAATAATGAATTTCGTAAATTTTCCCGTATTTCAAAATTATTTTGAAAAACTACTTGGAAAATCAAAAAATAACCCGCCTAAAGTACCACACCCAGATAAATTTCCCTTTCAGAAAAGATGCTATACTTGACAAATCGGAGCATGATTTTTAGCAGAAAAGTCGTTTACAGATAAAAATAAACAAACATCATTGTACAACCGGTACATTTCTCGCTTCGCTCAGAATCTAAAACGTCAAAATTTAATCTGGTTTTTTCAACAAGAGACGTAACATTGCAGTTGTCCCCTTCGCCTTTCGGTCGCAAGCCTCTTCCCCTCCTGAATACAGCCCCCTGTTGTCTATACTTGGTGTGCAGGTACTTGATGAGGACTTGATTTGGGTGGAGGGAGGAGAATTATACTCCCCCTATTCGCGCCAACGAAAGAGAATGCATCCGTGGGTTTGAAATCTACGTGTAATATACCATCGTTCAATTCACCAGGCATGATATTCACAATACGTGATATTATTATTATTATTATTGTTATTATTACGACAACGACGTTGGTTTATTGCGATTAAAACTCATATTTTTTCCCGTATAATAATAATACGATATTATATCCAGCCGCGGCACCGTATCATCGGACTGTATAATACCGTTGATATACTTTATGGCTTTTTGTTAATTGTGACTTTCTTCGTTATAATATTACCCCCGCGGCGTTAATAATAATAACAGCAACCACAACCGCGGTACTACACCATCGCGGTATAGTCAGATAGATTGTTGGGTATATAAACAAAAAGCGAACCGACTGAATTACGGTTTATTAGGTTATAATAATTTACCACAAATTGTATCGTAATTGACACAACCGCATGTTGTTCGATGTATAATATTTAATAATAATATTCTTCTGTTGAAAGGTTTTTTTTTTTTTTTTAATCCATTGTATGTACGACGCGCCAGCTATTGTACAATATAAAAACGACTTCGGGTATTTACAGCGATGTTTATAAGTACACCGGTATAAATAGTACTACTACGTATATACTATATTATTATAATTTTGATTAGGTATCTTATTTAATTTTTAAGAATCAAATTATAATTTAATACTAAACCAAATGAATAAATATTTAAATATCAATTTGATTTTGAATAATATCATCTGTATACGCCACGAAAAGCTAACAATACTAACGATAACGATTCTGAGCGGCGAAACTGTGAAACGTATTTTGAGTATTATTTTAGATTCTGAGCGCGGCGAGGTATGTATTGTTGGTTTTGCAACAATATACATTGTTTGGGGTCACTATGTGTACGCAGTCAATTGGAAGCGACTGTTTGGACGCGAGAGACACAGAGAATAATTGGACTCAAAAAAAAAAAATAATAATAATAATACTAAAAATAATATATTACGAATAAATAAACAACTACTACTACTCATTATAATACCGGATAGGAAAAAAAATCGATAAATCTACAAAAAGAAGACAGGTAAGCATGTTTTCAGTATCAAAGTTTATGACGTTTTAAGTAGTTCCTCTAAAAATACAAGCGTGCCGAAATTTTTATGTACGATCGAGCAGGAAAGATCGCGCCTGACAAATTTAAAAATGTTAACACGAGGGGATTTTCAATGCCAGAGAGAAACTTGATCGTATTTTGAAAGGGATAGCCCAAAATATTTAAATATAACATTGTAGATTTTCTTCAATCGTAAATAAGTACAATTATCAATGTATATAATATTTGTTGTCGGGCGTGTTGAATCCCGGACGAAAATTCCGGGGACAAAAGGTCCACGGACAACAAGTCCGTTTTGAAAAAAAGTTGGACAAAAAGTCCTAGTACGTTTTTACTTCCTACAATAATAATAATAATACGAAATAAGTTACGTTTTGAAAAACAATCGATTTATCGGATAATGGGGATTTATCTACACCGCGGGTAAAAGTCGTAATATAATAAGAAGATGTATTTTTTTTTATGTTTTTCGGATTTTTGTTGTGCGACGATAAAAACGAGTCCGGACTTTTGTGGGATTTTTTTTTTTTATTTTTTATTTCAATTTTTCCGTCCGTTGCACGTAATCGATTCGCGATAATAACGAAAATATTATCGTACCGTGACCATTGAAAAGACGACGGCTCGGACGTGATACACGGACGTACACGGGCCGAGTCACTTAGCGCGCGCGGTGGCCTACCCCAATATTTACACCGCCGTAAAAGGATTACAATCGGAAACCTTGTAAATCCGATTGACAGAAACCAAATGCATGCCGGCGGCGGCGGCGCGGCGTATAATAATAATAATATAACATTCACATATTATTGTAATGTAATAATATTATTATTGTGATTTGCCCGGTTCGCTGTGCGCGTAGATTATCGATTTTTACCATTGCCGTTAATAATGGACAATGCACATTCGTATCGTTTCCCGCGACGGCGTCGACGATCGGGGCCTATCGCGCGAAAACCGATCGCGGATGAGGGGATCGCCGCCGCTGCCGGTCAACCGCGGGACGGCGTCGCGTCAATATTATTGTCACCGGTCTCGCGCGTACAACGACAACAATACTTATCGCACGGTGTCGTATACGCAAACGTCAAAACACGCGGACAAAAGATCGTTTTGACCGCCGCGCCCGTTTAAACGCGCGACGTCCGTCCCGGGTCGTATAACAGCGGCCGCGTACGCGCGCATAATATACACTTCGGGGCTCGATGGGCGGGGGAGGGGGGTAGGGGGCTATAATAATGATAATAATAACAATAATAGTAATAATAATAATAATAATATCAAACGTCGGCGTGCGCCGAGGTGCCGGGTCCGCGGTGACGGTACAATAACAACAATAACAGCGACAACGCCGCGGCAACAATGCGCGGCCCGTCGTTGTGCCGCCGGACCGGAGCCGCCGCCGGCTACCGACACCGTCCCGGTCCATTACGTCCGCAGGGCGTTCTCGCATTGTGGCGAAACGTTCAAAAGAAGTATCCGCGCCGTCTCGTCTCGCTGAACGCGCACCGGTGTTCCGGACGTTGGCCGGCGCGCGCGGCCGAAAAGAGCGGACGGCGTTTGCGAGAGCGCCGGGCCGCGCGTGCACCGGATGCGCGTCGCGTCCCCGTCCCCGTACGTAACGTTACGGTACACGGTAACCGGGTACCCGGCGCGTCGCCGATGACCACTCGGCGCGCTCGCCTCCGCCTGCGCCGACACCACGTCGGCGGTATCGTCACTGTAGCGCTGGCCGTCTGACGCTGCCGCCCGACAGTAGTAGTATAACAATTATGATAATAATAATAATAATAATAATAATTATATTTTATAGGTATTATCGCAATTGAAATTACAATACGCGGACAAAAATGCAAACAAAATAAAATAAAACCGTTTTTTTTGTTTTCCGCACGATCGTACCACCGTGACGTGTTTTTCAGAATTATTACGCACAAAAACGAATTCCATAAGCGCGCGTTTCATACACACGCACACACACACACATACATACATACACACACACACACACACACACACACACACACATACATATACTTGCGCGAGCGCGCGTACATAATATTATTTTCCCCGTTTTTGAGAAATAAAATGAAAATGTGTATCAAATATTATGGCGTGTTACGGCGTCGACAGTAAAACGATACGAAACGATATTTCGTATCTCTTATTTTTATTACACATATTCCTGCTTGGTGTAACTTTATACGAGATATGCTAATTTTAACATACTCGTAATCATATACACAGAGTATATAGTATATATATATATATAGGTACACAAGTGGAGTCAATAACAGTTGGTACCTATATAAACTGATTTAATTTTTTTTTTTAATTTTTTTAAAAAAACCGTTATTAACACGTCAAAAATGTTTTCTGTAAAAAGTCCAAAGTTAGTTTTCGTATAGCCAGTTCGTCCATTTCAAAAGTCACTTGCCAAAAAAAAAAAAAAAAACCGGTCAGTTATTAGACACGTGTTTCTTAGCGTATACTTTTACGTTTTTCGAAAACATTTAGGCGTGTAAATCCGCACTCGTTCGATAACGAGTGCGACCCCGAAATAATTTTAACGGTAGCACCCGAATTGCGTTAATATTTTAAAAATAAATGAAATGCATTGTAACTACCGATTCGCGTCTGCGGTTTGTCCTCAATAACAGTAATATTACACAGACTTGTCGATATCAGCTCATCTGAGCTATTACCTATATCGTCAGAACCGTAACAATAAGGCTTATATAAGCGCCTCTTGCTACACAAAAATGTCCGCTCTCGTATAGCCTCTACCTCGATTCATTTTTGTTAAAATGTTTTATGTTTCTATTATGTGTGTATAAATTCTAGATTTTGCGCCATTTCCAGAGACACGCTCTTGGCCCGGGTCAGTCTTGCATGCTAAGCCTAACTTTACGACTATGACAGACTGGCCTACATTCAAAAATTGGCATACAGACAAAGATTTAAACATTTGAATTGTACATATTGATGGTTAAGCGCACATATGTGTTAAGTGCAAATTTTTAATGAAAATGTGTTGTGTACTAAAATCAACATTACACAGATTGAGTATGTTTTTGTGCACGAATGAGGTGAGTTTATGAAAATGCACCGTAAAACGCTTATTATTTCGGAAAGTATTAACTTTTTTCGGAATTTGCTTTTTGGAACATTTAAGAAATTAACAATTCTAAAATGTTATACAACTCTTTTTTTGTTGCCCTTATTGTAAGGGGTAAAAGCTACTTTTGATTTTCAAATAGCAACCAATATTAAAAATTCCATTAATAGACGGAGTATATTAGTATAAATACTAGGCGGGGAGAGAATGGCGTTATATATGCTGTATAATACTCTCTCTTCACCGAAACTAAAAAATGGAATATCTCGTCAACTGGTTGACGGAAATTAAAAATGTCGACACCAAAATTCATTTAAACTAATATTCCGTTTAATTAATGGAATCTTTAATAATATATAGGTTGCAGTTTGAATATCAAAAGTAGACAGCGGTTTCATCCCTAAAATAAGGGTGACGAAAAAGAGTAATTCAACATTTTAGAGCTACTGTAATTTTTTAAATGTCCAAAAAATCTAATTTTTAAAAAAAGTTGCAATACTTTCCGAGATAACGTGTGTCTTACGTTACGTTGTTCGCCTTGTATAATTTGTAATTATTATCGTGGGACGAGATTGGGATCTGCTATCAAGAACCCGGGACGCGATTCGAATCCGTTGTCGAAATCATTTTCATGAACTATCGTGAAAAAAACGCGGACGTTACAGGACCAAATGTCATTTTTCGACGTAGTATACGCTGATATCAACACATTACTCGATCGTACTCGTACGCTTTCTGTATGTAACGCGTGATAATATACACAATTGCGATTTTTCTTAAGTACTATAATATTATATTTTACACTCCTTAATACCCGGATAGTCGAACAATGCCATGGCGGTGCTAAATAATAATAATAATAATAATATCGTACGCTCGATTGAATTGGATAGTATTGGATGAAAATAATAAAAAAAAAAAAATCGTTAAGATTTTTACCTGCCACCCATACTCACGCATTTATACATTGACCTACAAAACCCGCCAGGCAATAATCCCAGATCGCATTCATCATTAACTAACATAACATATTTTATTATTATTATTTTATGCGGAATAATTACATATACGTTAAAAAAAAAAAAAAAAACAGTACTGAATACAGCTGCGCAGAGTACTTTATATACACAGAGTCTTGCAAATTTCACGTAACAGTCAAATTGTCCACGAAATGTTGTTTTTTTACGAAAAATAACTGATAATGTAAATATTCTTTGGAATCATATGTATATAATATATTCTAAAAACGTTACATTGTTCTTATTTTTTCCGCCCGTTGTATTTGTTTTTTTTTTTTTGTAGTTGAGAAACCACTATTCACTTTTGATTTTCAATCGGCAACCTGTATTGAAAACACTTTAAACACACGGCGTTTTAGTTCAAATACATTTTGATGTCGAAATCGTTAATTTTCGTCAACCCGTTGTCGAGATATTCCGCTTTTGAATTTGAGTAATACATAGAAGAACTGTAGTAGAATACTTGTTCAAATGCCGCGCTCAGTGTCACCACGCAAATGATGTTCCGTATTACTCTAACCCATACCCACATTTTAAAATGGAACGTCTCGTCAACGGGTCGACGGAAATTAAAAATGTCAACGCCAAAATGTATTTACAAAATTATTCACACGTTGTCTTTTTTTTTTTTTTTTCTAAAAATAAGTTAAGAAAATTAAGAATTGAAACGAATTGAAATCAACGGAATTCGACTACGTAACGTGAACAATTTGGAGACCACGTATATAGTAGTGGCCGGGCGCGATGAAACGAGAACCCGTCGTTCCAATTGTTTTAAAAGACAACCGGCTAGTAGTGACAAGGCAGTCTGGGTAACGCTGCAGTATATCGGATCGAGTTACCCGTGACGGATTATCTCTTTGGTTTTGGCGAATACGTATATATTATTATATTATTTTTTTTTTTTTCATCTAAGCACCCTATATATTATATTATACACCAACCAATAAGACTGGTTTTTCTGCGACGCGGAACGGAAACCCAACACGGCCGTAACCACCGCGACTCGAGACTGCGGGACCAGCTCTGTCGGACCGCGATTAACCATAAACCGGTAGTTTTGGAATAAAATACACCTATACGTATTATATATTATACTGTATGTGTAATTTTTTTTTTTTTTTTTTTTTTTCGACTCGAGTCGGAGACAAAAGATGTTTTAGGTAAAATTAGAATTAAGATAATAAAATTATAAAAAAAAAAAAAATTAAAAAAATACCGCCACGTCTAATACGATTAAGTTTTGAGTTTTCGAACAATATATTAATATTTATACGATATTATGCATGTACGGTCGCTCGGTCAACCGCGGTCGAAATTTATAATCTAATTCGTTTCTTTAGCGTACTCGGCAGATGCAACGCGATGGCACGTGCAGGTTACGTAATAAATAAGTATAAGTAAATTCAATTTTTTTTTTTTTTTTTTTCGAAACGTGCAGCGGTAAAAGTGTATTCTCGGTCACCGATAACAAGAGAGAGGATGCACCGAAACCAATTAAACAATATTATAAATCCTCACGCGGTCGATAGATGGGAACGCGTTATGTCGTCGCGCGGTCTTCTGGCGCACGGGGAACAGCGAAACGCGCGTTTAAGAGGCCGTCGTCAAAGTTGGAAAAAAAATCGACCGTAAAAAAACATGCACGTATGGAACGCACGCGAAAAACATTTTGTTCCTGAAGTGTCGTGAAGTGATTAATGACCAATTATGACTCGTATACTATTTGTATACGATTGTTTTTTATTTTGAATTTTATTATTTTCGCGTATAAAAATACTTATTTTTAATCTTAGAGGATATTTTAGAATATAAAATGATATTTTTTGCATATTTCATTATGATTTATAAAGAATATTTTCAATTTTTTTAGAATACATTAGCATATTATATTTGCTATATTTTAAGAGAATATTATTTTCCGGCCGGCCTCTAATTATGACTGTTGGTGGATTGAGTCGAAGTATACTGCAGGGTATGCAGACATTATTATAAATCGGATCACCCGTTTATATATTTTGAACGATGGCACCAACCCCGTAAGTCCGGGTAAAGAGGAGTGAGACGGGGGGGCCACGTTTACGGGGAGTCATTTTTCACACACGAGTACATAAAACATGTCCGTTAAAAATGTTTTTATACATAAATTTACATAAGATTTATATAAAAGGGTTTCGTTTTCAAGTTCTTAAAAGTCGGCCCTACTGGTTCCTTGACCCGGGCTTGACCTCACTGGTAAAGTTAGCAAAAGTACAAATAATAATAATACTTGAGATATTAAATATAATGTATAATATAAATTATGTCGACTGTCGAGATCCGTATAACAAATTTGAAATTAAATATTAAACAGTTATAACCGATATATTATAAATCATAAATTTAAACAAATGCAATCATATACCATAAAAACGTAAACCACGCTCTCCCTATACTTTTCAGGAGTGCCCTCCAGCTCTTACGAGCACGTTTAAGTATATTTGTCTCTGAATTTATTACATTTATATAGAGAACAATATGATATTTATGAGACGACCCGAAATGTGGAATTTTCAAAAAAAAAAAAAAAAATTACGAAAGTATAAGTAAGATTTTATACCTTCGATGCGGGGCTAATGTTCAAAAGTAGAAGGAGATAGGACGCTCTAATAGTTTAATACGCCTTTTCGTAGGTTTTCCGTAAGCCCGTCATCTATCTTGAGCAAAGGTAAATTTTGTTTTAGTGAATATCCACTGCGTGACCGCTCCTCTCGCATTAAAAAAAAACTCCACGAGCAGGTATACTTTACCGTCCGTTTGACTTTTGGACTTTTCCGAATCACCCTACCGGCAGGGAAGTATTTCCTACATAGAATATAATGTTTTGTCGCACGATCATTATTTGTTTTCTATATAGCGATCGGTGTAAGCGAAATCGATTTGGACACCGAAAACACCGTTCAAAAGAAAAAAAAAAAAATGCTCCGTTTGAACTTTGTACGCGACGTTTCACTTTTACCGTGACGCGGCCTCTCGAGCGGCAAATTTTCCGTTATCGTAACCGGCGAGACGACGCGACACGGCCACGACCACGACCGCGAGACGATCGTAAACCGCAGGGGCGCGAATTATACAAGCGAACCGTTTTCGTGTTCGTAACGACCCATAAAAATCTCGAGTGTTTCCAACACGTTTTGGCCATATCGCCCCGTCCGTTTTGTATACACGCATACACACCGTGATATTGTTATTGTACAGGCGTTCGTGATCGCCGTCTGCCTGCCGCGAAACGAAATAACACACGGCTGTACCGTAATATTTATCGACACGTGACCCGCCGCCGTTTACATCCGATGTTCATCAAATGCATAATGCGCGGACAACGACAATTGCGTTATGCAATCGAGTGGCCCGGCGCGAAAAAACCGCCGCCGCCGCGGACGTCGACCTCTCCGGGCGCAATAATTACACAACCCGATAAAAGTGTACACATCTTGCGGGTGTTTGCCTTTTTAACGCGCAGCATTTAACCTAACCTATATGTTAATTTATCGGGTGTAAAACTCGCGTGTGCATGCACGAGACCGCGAGACCGTGTAAATGTGTTACGCGCGTACGGCATTCGGAAAATCAATCGTGGAGCGTTTGTCCCGGGCGCGGCTATAGAGCGGCGGGTGGTGGCAGGTGTAAGGGTTGGACGGGGACGGGAAAATGGGCGAGGAATGGGACCCGACGGGGCGGCGTGAGCCAGTCTGACCTCAAAAGCGGCGGGGAACGGCACGGCCAGGAACCGCGCGTATACATACACCGCACAGGTATACGCGTGTGTATATATATATATATATATGCACGCACAATGCTTCCAATGATCAATACGACTTTCTAGCGCCCCATCCCCCGCGCTCCGCGGCCGGAACATTCGTCGTCGGTTAGGTATACACGTGTATATATATATATATATAGCAAGTACCTATATTATATATTGCACCGCGCACAAGTCGTACCCTATATATATATATATATATATATATATATATATATATGTGTGTGTGTGTGTGTGTGTGTGTATATATATATATACATACACATAATATAATGTATATAAATTGTTATACGGGCGAGACCGCGAACGGCACGCGATCCCTTTGTGCCGCCCGGCGACGCCCCATTGGTGCGGTGCGGTGCGCGCGCGCGCGCTCGCGCCCGACGTCGACTCCCTCCCTCTCGTCCCCGCAGCTCCCGGAACGGTTTTCCCCGTATATATATATACACACGATATATAATACAATATAATGTCACGGGCGACCCCGCGACGGTATACCGGAAAATCGTCAAAGCCCCCTCCGTCGGGGCTACTGTATATTATATACGTATATAATATATATTACACAGATATATACGTACGCGCATAATAATAATAACGAACCGCGTACATTACTTCGGGGGTGCATTTATATATACATATATATATATATATATATACACATTATACGCATTATATTATGTACGTAATGTTTTGCGTCGGCCGAGGGAATAATATCGCGTAGGTACGATATTGTAATATTATTATATGCACCTATTATACAAGGGTTTCGCGTATACCCACCCGGTTCGTATGCGTACCCGGGCACGTATAAAATATATTATGCGGGTTTATGGAAATTAAATTTACGGCGACGGCGCCCCGTTTTCGTTCACTCCTCTATCCGCGGCCGCCGCGCATTCGTTCGCCCCGCTACGTTATCATCGTTCTCCTTTTTCCCTCTCCCCGCCTTATTTCACGTGTACGCATAATACCACACGCCGCGCATAATGATTTTATACCCGCGCCCGTCCCCGTGTACCTTTAGCGCGGTAGTCGCCGAGACCCGCCGCCGCCGATTTCGTAATCTGGATAATGGGTGGGACGCCACGCCGCCGCCGGTACGGAACCTATAATTCAACCGACCGCGACGGCGACGACGGCGTTTTATACTATACACCCGGTAGATATATAGCCGGAACGGAAACGCGCGTTATTATAATATAATAGCATACGAACGAACGGCCAATATTATTCGGTACAAAGGTCCTGGTAATGTTCACAAGATAGAGACAGAAAAAAAAAAAAGGCGAAATTTCACGGGCGACAAATCAAGCGGAAGCGTATTACGCGTACTTTTGTTTTTTTTCTCGGAAAATAATGGTTAAAGGAATCGTGTATTGTTTTGTGTTTACGCGGGATGAACGCCGCAAAAGTGTTTCGTTGTTTTATTATTATTATTATTATTATTATATTTCACGCCGACGACGTGACGACGGGGAAACACGTCATTTTGTATCCGCACGCTAAATTTACACTATATACCCGATAGTAATATACACAGTAATACGGTATACAATAAATATATATATATATATATATACATACATATATTATACAGGTATACCCTTTGGCCTTTGCGAGCGTGTAACAAGAGGCTTTCGTGACTAGACGATTTCAATGACCAATATATAATAATAATAATAACAACAACTCTCGCGGTCGTTACCGCGAAAATCTTAAGTATTTCACAAATTGAGTCATTTTACAAACGGTTACGATGCGAAACAATACGCGATAAGTGCGGCGGTTGTACAGTGGCAGCGGCGGCAGAGACCCGCGATTCGATCGGTTTTCCCGTGCGAATTACGCGCGTGCGTACGCGGCCGCACTGATCGTGCCGCGCGCGGGCGACCGGGCGGACAACAGCATTTGTACGAGTTACCGATGACGTTGGACGCACGCGGGGGGAAAACTGCACCGACGCGTCACTGCGCTGTCGATTATTTTAATTTTCAGAGAAACATAATTAATTCGTCAACGAAGTTAAATTGTTTTTATTATTGTAAGTGCACACATACACGTGTACGCATAGCTATGATAATGGCCGTAAATTCCGAAACCGCCAGTTGGACGGTTATATTGTAATATATCGGGCACCCGCCCGCATACGGTATATTGTTATCGAATATATTTGCTCCGTCCGACAATGACAATGTCGTTTGTCGTTTGTAACGGCGGTCACACACTCTCTTTCTGAAAATCTAATTCGACGGTAATAACGTCCGGTACCCGTCGAGCGAAATACATTCGGTACACAATGATCGCGAGCGCGTCCTGAGATGAAATCGCCGTTAATACTGTGAGTTACTCGCGTCCCGGAGTCGTCCTAACGGTGTTTTTCGGCGAGGGGCCGTCGTAGACGACGGCCATCAGTGTCCGTAGTCTCGAGCGACTCGCGGCCCGCATTAGTACCGCGGGGCAATTTCACAAACAGATCGTGGATCGCATCAGCGTACGCGGCGAACGAATCGAAATGTCGAATTTATGGCTTGGAGTACCGAGACCGTGTTGAGAAATTCAACGTATAGCGGACGTACGACCGCGGAAAGTTTAACGCGTTTCAACAAAGGGACCCCCCCCCCCGTGACTGACGAGCGGCCGGAAAACGACATTGACGGTTCAAAGTAAATACAAAAAAAAAAAAAAAAAAAAAATACTTTGCATCTTACTGCCGTCTGGATATTCTATGGGTGACTTCGGGCAGTCCTGATCGCGAGTTACGATTTTGATGTGCGCACGGTGAAAAACGTCAAAATAAACTCGCAGCGAAAACTGGAAATACCGTTGTAACAAATATTACGATCAGGACATACGTTATGTATATAAATATGTAAACGTATTATTTTTTTATTTTTTTTTTTTTTCGAACGCTTCGTTCCATTCGTAATGACTCGAAAGTCCGATTGAAACGTAATAAATTATTTTGGACGAAGAACCCGCGCGTTCGAACTATTCAAGAACGGATTGAAACCAACACACTCGAATCGATTGCTGTTTATAACAAACGGGACGTCGTATACGTACGTAATGATAATTCTGCAAAAATATCGAAACAATAATATACGTATTATTATTGACGTCTAGATGTTTTCGCGTCACACACGTCTGGTACGCGAGTTTCGGTGTACCTATTATGTTTACGGCAATGGCCTTTGATCGCAACCGGTTGTTTTTCAGAACGGTCCGATAAAATGCGTGCGCATTTCGTCGCACACAAAGTGATAACGTTAATCCTTGTCGTAGGTATGCACGACGCCGTGACACGTGTGTACATTATTAACTCATATAGCGTACGGTTTTCGATCCAATAAAAATATTATTTTTTTCGCCACTAGGTACCCGCGCAACATAGATTACAACCGTTTGTAAGCGTTTTACGCGCGTCCGTGGAGTTTCGTGCGTTGAATTATGGTCGTAAAAACGGTTTTCCGAACACCGCGGCGACGGTCGCGATTAATAAAAACGTACGCGCGCAACAACGATAATACTCCGGTATAAAAGCGGCGCGAGACGCGGTCGTTACGCCGTATTATTATTGTTATTATTTTTTCTTCTTTTTTTTATTGCTCGTATATGTATGTATGAATATATATATAAAAAAAACACCCGCCGTACGCGCACGATAACAATTAGTGTACTTTCATCGTTGCGCAGTCTCCCTTATTTACGGCGGTCGAATTTTATATTGACTCGTGTTGCAGATCGCGAGGCTCATTCCGCGTTCCGCATTCCCTTTGATGCGCGCCGCCACAGCAACGGTCGACCGTTTCCAATTTAAACGGGGCCCGTTTAAGTCGTAATACTCATCAAATGTACAATATGCACAACGTTATGCGATACGCGTATACATATATATATACACACACGTACGTATGATATCACACACAACGCGTTTTTTTCGCGTCAGTAACATTATTATTATCGCGTACGAGTTTTCGGAATTAATGTTACGGCGGCATTCCGCGTGTTATCGCTTTATGATGAAAGTTTTTTTTTTCAATATATACATATAAAAAACGTATAACAGGCCGCACGTTAACAAAGTAACTTCGGGGCGAAGTAACAACTTTGTAGACAATTCAAATTTCGGAACACATAACGTTAGATATTTATGCGTTACGGTGTATAGGTATACAAGAGGTTTCACGAAGTTTCGATATTTTACCGAAGTTCGTTAGCTATTCCGTACACTATTTCTAGGGAATATACACTATATAGTGCGCCTATAGTCGATTAACGTTGGAATTTTTTTTTTTTTTTTTATTACCACTATACTTATATGAGACGCGTATACCTGTATTTAAAATCGACCGTATTTTTTTCTACTAGACGTTCCTGATTTGAAATTCTAAAAAACTTTCGTAGTTTTATACGTTGTTTACTTCTCCTACACGCGTCTACACGATATTATTATAAAGCGTTTTTTTTTTTTTTTTTTATTGCGTTGAATTCATATAATTATGAACAGTTTTTGGGAGAACGTACCCGCGGGGTTTCTTCAATTGAAATCTATATGTCAATCCATTTGTTAACCGATTACTCTACGCATTTCTCTACATTATCTATTCGTTATAGGTTCGCTAAAATTATAACAACAATTATTGGTTACGCGTATATCATATTATTATTCGAGAAACGACAAATCACATAAAATATATTATTTCACCTTCCGACCCCCAACTCCCAATCAATAAAATACATCATATCGTTAATGTATCGACCGCCTTCGATGGCCGTTAACGGTTTCGAATATTATCTCGCGAACGCTGCAGCATCGGGTGGCAATTAAAACGCATACGCGGTTTTAAATGCGATTTATTTACGCCGGGAATACAACGATGAAATTTAATCGTTGAACAAAAGCGAAAACTCTTGGCTCCTTTATTTTTGCATTTTTACCGTTGTCCATCAAGATAACATAATATATTATTATTTCAACGATAAATGAGTGGTTTGTTTTTTTTTTTTTGTCTACCTAACGCAGGACAACAAACCGAGAATACGTCATATCGCCGTAGTTAAAATAAGTGTACGGTTGTATTTTCGTGAATTTTCAAATACTAAATTATAATTGCGTGCGAAAATTATTTTTCCGTGTATACGAATTGTACAGACATACGAGGAAATTATTAATGAAAATCCGTAACTATATTGCGTTTACGGCGTGTACATTAATAAAAGCACCTTTAATAACATATCATTGTTATTAATGTTGAACTTGGCGTTTTATTCGTGTACGGTACCGATCGCTGTAATCATTCGGACGTTGTAATAAATTTCACGGCAAACCATTTGGCATTGCGTAATTATAAACAATGCCCGGGCAGCGTACCTACCTACACGTCTAATTACGAAGGGAAATTCACATTGCCGTCCCTGTATCGCATTGTTTTATCGTCGTGTATGCTATTATATAATACGATTAATAATCGCAATTTTTTTTTGAACAGTCAATAACGCGCGCGCGTTCCTTTTGTCTTCGAAACCGTTTTTCGCTCGTATGTACGCGAACACGCGCGGCGTATTACAATAAACGCGTATATATTTTATATTTTATTATTTTTTTTTTTTATAAAACAAAACGCAATCCGAGGTCTACTGAATTTTATCGTCTCGCGCATCCACGAGGTATGTGTTATATTACGCACCGCCGGATCCCTCGGACGCGCGGTAACAAGACACATTTTTAACCAATAAACGAATAATAATTATTTAAACGCTATCCGGGTAACCGGTAATGTTGTCACTGTGTGTGTGTGTGTGTGTGTGTGTGTTGCATTTTTTTCACACTCTGTGTTCGTAAACAACAGTTTCAGAGCATTATCTGTTCAGACTATCGCGGATTGCTGCAAAGACGTTGTTTTTTTATTTCCATCTATCTCTCATCTCTCTCTCTCTCTCTCTTTTTTTTTTATACACCTCGTACATAATATAATATACGTGGCTCCCAACGTTTCAGGTGTACACTTCTGCTGCTGCTGTTGCCGCCGCCGCCGTCGCCGATGCTGCCGGTGCGCAAGAACGGCGTGTGTGCTTTCTTTACCGCCCCTCCGCGGCGCACATCACCCGCCCTCCGCGTTGGCGAGATGAACTCGGCAGATACAGTAATTACCGGGCAACACCTTTGCAGCAAGTGTTTGCCGTAATTGATTTAAGGCGTGTTTATCGCGCGCGTATAATACGTACATGTGTGTGTGAATATACATATATATATATATATATATATACGTATATACGTATATGTGTGCGTATGTGTGTGAATATATATATACGTATATAGTATACACACACACACACACTATACCTGTAGAGTACCCGCGTACGGGATGCGAAAACTGGCTTCGTGGCTCGGGGGTATCGGTGTCCGACATCTGGGGCTGTTCTCGGTTCGTTTGGAGAGGAAAAAAAAAAAAACACGGACAGAAATAAAAAAAAAAATAAATAATAATAATACTAACAAGACGGCGGGGCGCGCGGAGGAGGCGAATGAGCGCGAGAATATATTATATTATACACCTATATAATAATAATAATAATAATAATAATAATTTATAAATGAGAATGGGAAAAAAAAAAAGAAAAGAAAAATAATAATAATAAATAAAAAAAAAAAACGCAATATCTTCAATCGGCGCGCACACGGTAGCGAACGACCGACGGCGGCGGGGGGGGGGTCGCCCTCTCCCAGCGGCGTATTATTATGCGCGTAATAAATCGTCCGGCGTATTTATGGTTGTTTAACGTTCGCCCCGTTATCGGATTTAATTTTTGCATCTGCAACCCGCGCCCCGGTCGCGCCCCGTTTTCCCGTGCGCTTGAACTTACGCTCGAGATACGTACCTCTGCGTACGTATTTATAAATTACGTGCGCGCGCGCGCGCGGTTCTCTAATCTAAATCTTCCCACGCATAATAAAACACGGCGACACACACACGCGCGCGCGCTTTTCTCCTCGTCGCCGGTCCGCCGCGTTCCTCCGTACACGTATTACTACCCGTACACACGTTACAGATCACAGACACCAAACGGTACGCGCGCGTGTGCGTGTGCGTGTACGTGTGTGTGTGTGTGTGCAGGTACACGTGCAAATATACGTACGGTATGCGCGCGTGTGCGCGGACCCGTACTCCGCATTGTTATAACGTGCTTTGCTGATGCTGCTGCTGCTGCTGCCGTTTATAAATACGTATGCAGACATGATTTCCCGCACTAAATGCCCGCGGAATACATTGCGCGACGGCGTGTACCTATGTGGCGCGGTGTCATTGCGCGCGTGCGACATTATAACGACGACGACGGCTACCGGACGGGACATCGAGAAAAAAAAAAAAAAATTCGAGAAAATTATATAGCGTGCGCGTTTGGCGCAATGTTGTGCGCTCGTAATGTCGGGCCTGCGAATTCGACACTTGGAAACGTTGTCCTAGAATGACGGGGACGGGTGCGGCCACTGTTGTGTAGGTGGGAAGTTGGGTAGGTAGGATATTGACGAGAATTTAATGTACAGATGTACGCAACGACAAACCATTGCCAACGGAAATACGATTCTGAACGGAGTTCGGTTGATAGCTCGTTTAACATTATACCTATTTCCTTGTTTTTCCACCGGTTTCTCCCATTCACTGGGAAATTAAAAAAATTACCTCCCTAAAGTACCTCCCCAGTCAGAGTTCCTTTTAGAAAAAGTGCTATTATTGTAAATCGGATCTAAATCGCTGGTAGAAAAGTTGTCCACAGAAACGACGATGAACCTTTACTAACGAAAAACGATTCGAAACGAAGTTTGGTTATACATGTATTAAAAGGCCGTAATATTTACGGTTTTAAACTCTTATATAAAAATAAATATGCTACTTTACACTCTTACACTCATTTTTTTTTTTTGAACTACTGAGTACAACCTATAATGAATAATGCAAATTTTCAAGTATTTCTGTTTAGTTTAACAATACTATTTTTCAAATAAAAATTACGCAAAAAAACTCGCAAAATAAAATGTATAATATATAAGTTGTCCCCAAAGCCTTTACACTAATGCAATATACATAAACTGCTCATGGGAGTTTTTTAAAATTGTAAGTGCTATTTTGGGGAGTAAAATGCTTTTTTAGTGTATTAAATTCATAACCTTAATTATAATATTATTGCATACTTACACTTCTAACAGCTAGGTTACAACGTGCACCCCTTAACGTTTTTGTCGATAAATAATATTGTATAATATTTAGACGGGTAAATTATAATGATTGATGTCACGAACAGTCCATGGTATTATATTGTATACATAAAAAATTTAGTCACAGGCAGCAATGTAAAATATTGTTTGACAAAAAAAAAAAAAAGTAAATAGTTTGCGGTTCAGTGATTTACTATATTTTAATTATTTAGCTATTTATTATTAGATTGTGCACAAGAATGCACCGCTATTTGTTTATGTCGTTATACCTTAAAATATGCGGATTTTTTGTTTGGGGATACTTTATTTGAAACTTTTTTCAAAATCCAACAGATTTTGTAAAGTTTCGAACAAATGAAGACACGTTGGTTTTATCTTTGTTGATTTTTAGGTTACCTTAACTAGCTACAATGGAAGAACACGATACTAATAATAGCATTATATTACTTTTTTTTTTCTAAAATATTGGCAAAATACTAAACCAAAATATTGTAAGCTATTTTCAAAAAATCAATAATCAATATGGCTATGATTCTTTTGTTTCATAATATTTTAGAGAAAAAAAAAAGGCACGTGTTAATACTCTCGAAATTTTTCTCCTGTTAAATATTGTTCCAAGTGTTTTAATTTTTATTTCAACCTTAACGCTACAATTTGAATTCCAAGTTATTTGCTCTTTAATCGAAATGAAAAAGTAAATATGGGATTACGTCCTCTTATAACAAGGGTAGGCAATAGGCGGGCCGTAGAAAGGCAATAAACGGAAAGCCAAAATTGTTTTACTTTAACGTTGGTTTTTTTGTTTTCATTATTTGTCTCTGTGTATAGATCCAGAATATCCAAGCGTCCGAATGTCGTCTATATATTTATGATGTATTTGGCATATTTGGTGTGTTGTTATACAATTGTGTATAAAATTATTAAATAATATAATAATAATTGTGGTTTTTATACAAAAATAAATAAATTTATTAACTTATAAATGTATAATAATTTTTCTGGAGGTGTTAAATAATACGGAACACTGAATAGGTATAGAGATGGAACTTTTTTTTTTTCTCCAAAAATACATGGCCCTCGAAATTTTTTTTTTTTAATTATCCGGACCCCCTCAGGAACTAATTGCCGACTCATGTCTTATAATATGATTTATATATTTTGTTCAAATTAAGCAAAATTTGTTCGATAAAATCTCTACAATTACATTTTTTAAAATTGTTTTGGTTTTTTCTATTAAATCCTAACCATAATACCGTGTCATACCATGTACATTACTTTTGATTTGAATAATAGGATATAACTCGATAAGGAAGTCACATATTATAGAAGCTTCTTTTATATTTTAAGTGCTATAATGCACGCACGGTGTAGTTTTTAATGCACCATTAAATGCGCTTAACTCGTTTATACGATGGGATACCATCTTATACTGGGCAAAACATTAGTAATTTTCTGAATTATTTTATATGGGTACCTACGTATATAGCTGTATAATTATTTCGTAAAATGGATTAAAAGTGTGTTGCAAACACAATTCAATTATTCGTCACAAGTTTTATTGTCTAATTTATAGCAAACTATTGACGGGAGTCCGTTTCCACTATATTATAGCTCAACCACACTGGAATTTCTGGTTTCAACAAATCGCATTCGTTTCGCTTCATACAACACCCAGATATACGTTTGCAAAATCAACAGTTGCTGTATTCTTTGCGCATTGACACTGGATAGTTGTCAGTAAAATGATGAATGGCCCTGAACAAACACAATGTTTCCCTCGCTCACACGTCCGTCCGTCTTGTTAACAGTGTTACGTTAAAAACTTACTACGGTCCTCATAATTTCATTACATTTGAAATCCACAGCAGTATTCACGATGTAAATTTAGCTTATGTAATATGTAATATGATGTTTATAAATGTATGAAGATGAATATTTATGAAACACGCGCACATCCTTTTTTCACAGTTTAAAACGTAAATAATATAACATTTATACATCACACATCCGTGGGCCATAACATACTAAAATGTTATTGTATTATTCATAGTTAAATATATACCCGTAAAAAGCTATAAATCGTATAAAAAATTACGAGCAGAACAAACGAGTCTCATCTGTATAAAATTATACCCGCGCGAACAATTAAAGAGGTGTGATATAAGAGCGTATTATATTCGACTATGCTCTGCAATTTTTTTGTTATCTTTGAACCCGGTTTTCATTATTTTATTTTTTTTATAGATATATTATTATTATTATAATTTTTTTTTCGTTAATTTTCTCGCGCACGTATTTTACCATTTGTACCGTACAGCAAGACGCCGGGTAAAAAAAAAAAAACCACGTACCGTAAAGAAATAATAATAATAAAAATATATATGTATACATTTTAATATTACGATAATATGATAATTAACACCTGATTATAAGATAATTAACGATATTATTATTATACCTATATGAAAGCGTAGGTAATATAAACGCCGCGGTGTGTAAGGTCGCATGCGAGCATATTATAATACTGTAACGATGTGCAGATGTACACCGCACAATGGGAAAAATAACGTAACATAGTTTTGCTTAATTGTTTAATTAATATACGCGTAAACGTGAGAGAATGATATTATTTTATGTGCACATTTAACATGCAGTACACCGAGCTCGTAAAAATTATAAACATTTCGAGCAAAAAGACCGCGTTAAATTGATCCCATTAAATAGTTTATCTGTGTTCGACGAGAGGGTATTTTATGATATTATTTATGGCGTGCCGGCAGCACCAGCAAATAACACCGTGAACAAACTGCTGCTAGGCGTAGTCGGGTGCAGACCGTCCAGCGTGTGAATGAACATTATTGTACATTGAATCATACTGAACAAGTGCGATATAACAAATTATTTCTAAACGAGGCTGAGCCGAGCCTATAACCTGACCTGACTAAATCCAAACCGTTTCTGTAATTTTTGTTCGTCTGCAGTGACGGCGTCGACGAGCGGTAGCGGTCGTTAATACTTTTTTTTTAATTCGAAAATTTCTACACAATGACGATTACGGAACAATATCGCTAATAAGCAGTAAGTACAATAATCTTGCTGAGGAGGCGATGCGACGGATTTGTACTATTTCTCATCGCGCCGATAGGATTTCTCTGTAGAAATATGTGTTCATGACAATTGTTACAAATGTAATTATATAACAAATGCATTGCCCCCCCTCCCCTCCCGGACCGTCTTTTGCTGCCCTAGTGCGTTCCTCGGAAGCCGGCAATTTTCGAATTAGTCGTTATATCGGGAAAAAAAAAAATAGTACACCGATATAAATGATAATTTGAATGTGGGTTGGTTATGGCGGTGATCGTACGATAATTTTTATAGAACGGTTATTTTTCTAATCCCCCCCCGAAGAATTTATTTAGCTACGGGCCCGCGTCAAGCACCCGTATCACTCGCATACGATGCGATTCGAATACACACTCCGCGTGACAACACATATCATAATAATTTCGTAGAAACCTAACTTCAAAACTATCGATACGGGCAGCTAGAACCGCCACTGAAATCGGTCTGTTGAATTGTTTTTGTGGTGTTGCTATATCGTTAAACACGCATCGCAACTGCCATCGAAACGCGAGTCCGTCGCCGACCATTCGTTTTCCACTGGCGAATCGACGGACGTGGGACTCGATTCACGTAAATCGAATCGGTTGTGTCGCGCGCAAATGACATTGACGGTAATTAACGGACACGGCGGTGTCGTCGCGCATCATCCGCAGCGATGATCGCGCACGGCTCCGGCGGCGAATGCCGGAAAGCCGGGTTAGTAGCGCAATGCACAGGTGTAAATCGGTCTCATTAGAACCGCGATCCCGGTCGCGTCGATTGTGTGCCGACAGGCCAACACGATAAACGATCGCACCGTGTTTTCGTATCGCCCGGTTCGTACCGTCTCTCGCGGCATAAAACCGTAAAAACCCATCGGTGTCGTTAACACCGCCGGGCGCGCCGCGAACGTTTCCGTAAAACATTTTCGCCGATATATAATGTAATATTATAGTACGCGCGCGCTTTTATAATGTTATACGGGACGGATTCTGTCGTTGACCATGGTCAAGGTCACGCGCGGTCCCGTCTAGTTTTCGAAAACTGGAACGTCGCGTGTAAAGTGTTTCGGTCACGTGTAAAGTGTTTCGGTCACGTCACGCGCGCGGCCTACGACGTCCGTCAGACACGCAGCCGAACAGCCGCCGCCGCCGCCGCCGCCGCGGCAATATTACACCCGCGACGACTGCCGAAGACGCGTACGCCACGTGCCGCGCGGGTACGCGGCAGAGTCGGCGGAAAACGAAAACAATACGCGCGCACAACGACATTGCGTTATTGACAGTGTTCAGCGACCGCCATCAAACCCGGACGCGGCGGAAATTAACGCACACGACACGGACGTCGGATTATGAGGCGGTGGCTTTCAACCGATCTGTTAACCGATTTTCGAACTTCCGAAGGGGTGGTCTTACAAAAGAAAACGAAAACATATTTGGCGGTCGCGATCCGTAAAAGGTCGAAAACCGCCGATGTGACACGGGCGCGAATCGGGTTTCGATTTTCGTCTCTCGGCTCTCCCGCAGAAAAGTCACAAAAGCAAAACGGACGCTTTTAAAGTGTAGTTTTTGGGAGTTTAATTAATTTTTTTTTTTTTTTAATTTCATTATTCGACAGCACCTCGGTTCCAACTCCCGGGGTTATGGGGTTTTCACATGGGTGGGGGGGGGGAGAGGCGTGCGTTGAAAAATATTTCGTTCCTCGGGTTGGCGATAACATTAAAACGGTTGAGAAACGCCGTTACAGATGCTATACACGCGACGCTGCAGTGCAATTATAACATTATGTTATGTCACCGTCATGTCCTTACCTTGGAAATAGCTCTTGGTACGGAGGTAGCTGACGGACAACCGCAATATGGACAGCCGGTCCAATTTGGACAGTATGTTGTGTTCGAACGGCAACAGGTTGGCCAGCGTGTCCAGCTCGGCGTTTAAACGTTCCCGGTGCCGCTTGCTAGGGTTGCTTTTGCCCACGCCCCCGTCTTTGGGCGTCGTCTTCACGCTAAAATCATTTTTACATTTTCCAACATTAGCCATCATTATAATAATTATCGTGTTACGACACGCATACACGCCTAAACGATATTTTATCGCGTAAAAACAAATACACGCATGCTTTACTGCCCATTTATTTATTTATTTTTTTCGTTTTAAACATTTTATCCCTATACACCAACACAAAACGTTCAGGCGTTATTTTCATACATTTTTAGCCGCAGCCGTATGAGACGATGATACATAATTCGTAATCATATATTTCTGTTTCAATAATTCAAATAAAATGATAAGTATTCCATACACAGCCCCGGTTTTTCGATCGGTAGAGTTCTTAAGATATTATTGTCGGCCAAACGTATTTAGCGATTAAACTTCTGAACAACGTATTTTTCTTTGTACAATTTTCTTCCAGATAACAACCTGGCGAATAAAGTTATTCGTGGTAGATAATATTGTAGCGACAGTAATCAATTTCATTATGAAATCCACATTATGACAAAACCAAGTGATATTATAAATAAAGTTATAATAACCAAAGTGGATTTACGCCTTGTAAATAACTTCGTTGAAAACCTAACCCAAACTTAACACGTCCATAATACCAATCTATATGTATCATAATTAAGTTAATTCAATAAAAGTGCACTTAAAAATTGTCAATACGTTATTCACAATTCACGAACCAAGACGGCTTAGAACAAACAATTTGTCTTTTGTTAAAAAATTCAAACACGCTTAACAAAACCTGTTTATTCTTGAAAAGAGTTCAAATGCGGAAAAACTTGAATAAGTAAGTAATTTGATTAAATTTGAAAAATATATAATTATTTTGCAGTAATATTGTGAAATATTCTATACTCTTATACCAGAAATACCAGTACGGCTATATCATCAGGAGGTAATAGAGCTAATTGTATTTATCTTTTACCATAATTACCCGTTGTTTTTTTTTCGCAATATATTATGCCCGTAGACGTCATAAATCCCCCTATACTGTTATTGGCCGCCGTCGGCGGTGATTATAATCACGTTGACTTCGTTGACCGCGCTTATATGCATGATACAATGGTCGTTATAAAAAAAAATCCATTCATAATTTCTCTCCGGACAAAGATCTACGTTTCTAGTTATTATTATAGAGTGGGCTTACGAGTTACGATTAATAATACATAATACGGTAAGTAAATAAGGATTCGATTTACTTGCAATTTTTTTTTTGTACATACATATTTTTACGGACCTATCGTGTAATAAAGAATTCAGATCACTATCAACAATATAGCACCCGCTGTTACTTTCAAGAAGTCGAGAAAATAAATACCATTTGTATTCCATTAAACGCTCGTTTATGCCGCGATGACGATCCCACCCACTTATTACGTATACATACTGGGCACCTAGCTAATATACAGTATTGTTGTATTTGTATCTTTATTTATACACACTTAACAAGTAAGTATATTATAAATATTCATTTAGAAAATGTCGTATACAATTATATATAGTTGTATGCCTGATTAACTTGATTAATTTAGTATATTTTATAGAAGTTGTCCAATGGATAATACATATTATGCTATAATTTTTTCGCAATAATTATTATATTTTCACTGTTTGTACATAACCTATAAAATACAACATTTTATAAAACAAAAGACGTATATCTTTACTATTTTCGTTATTTTTTTTTTCCGATAAAACTGGCATACATTCTCTTTAATCTATCTTAGAAAAATCTATACAAACTTCAGTAAACGTATTTGATAATTAATAATAATTGTATGTACAAGTCAAACATTATGAAACCGACTCTTTTAAGTTATGTATACAGCTATGGACTGCAGTGGTCAAAAACGAAGTAGCAAGTATGTATTACAGTCGATGTATAATTATATAGACGTAAAAGCAGGAAACCATCACTACCCCTGAAGAAAAAAAAAAGGAGCAATTACGTCTTATATATATATATATATGACCTTAATGTGTTTGTAACTGTCACCAGGATCGTATACTATACAGGGTTTAACTGGACTATTTGACATTTTCACATGCAACTACAATGTAAAAATATCAAATAATCCTGTTACACTCTGTATATTGTAATCCTGTAGCGATGAATAAAAGTGTATGTTCAATATATTAGTTATTATAAACACACAAAATACGCGCCTTCCATTAACTGCATTATTCTGCTGTCGAATAGCCATAAAATACCCGACACGTGTCAGCGGCTTAACCCTTTACACATAATATCCACCGTTTTATTGGCATTTTCTAGACACCCTGCATAGGGTTAACCGATGACAGCCTATAAACAATTTTTGAAACATTAATCGCCGAACCCCATGCAGGAAATTAAATATAATAGTCTGTATACCTATTAAAATACATTTAGTATACTATATTATACTTATATATATATCTCATTGATTTCAGGGAAGAATGGCTTAGGTCAATTTTGTTTAGTTTTCAATACAAACAAATAAAATGCGTATACATAAATGAAAATACATATACACTTATGCCATTCAGACCGAAAAATTACATAGGTAACACAAAATTAACAAAACAAAAATTCCAAAAATTAGATTAAACCTTTCTCAACTGAAACTAAAAATATATACATGCTGTCCCATGAAGATATACCCCTTGAGTATCTCCGGAAATAATAAAGATAATCAAATTCTGTTTTTATATTGCTCACAGAGCTGAGGGCTACAAATATTTATTTTTTAGTTAAATATTTTTTTTTTATTAAACACATTTAAAAAATTTAATTTTTTTTTTTTTTATTTTCGGCAGATATTTAAGATAACCATTCTGTAGAGTTTATTTTTCTGAAAATTTATCGCGTAACACGGTTATGATATTTTTTAGATGTTTTCACATGAATTAGTAGAATTTAAAACGGCTGTTACTTAGAAACTATTCATCAAGTATAAATGTGTGATACATTAAAATTTTCAGAAAATAATAAAATAAAAAGTTAATTTTTTAAATATTTAATAAAAAAAAAAATATTTGTAGTCCTAATCCCTGTGAGTAATATTAAAAATCAGAATTTGATTATCTTTATTATCTTCAGAGATATTCAAGGAGTATTTATTCGTTGGACAGCCTGTTTAAATATGTGTAGGGTAATTATTTTATGATGAACCATCAATTTTCTAGGAGGATTTTAAGTGAATTTTAAGTGATTTTGTTTAATTATTATGAAATTGTTTAAGCTTGTATACACTTTATATTCAATATTTTATCCTCACTCTTTATGCTTTAAATGCGTATCTACTCTGACTTTTTAAATAGCAATCCTCCTTTTAATCATATATTCTATTAGAGAATAATTGTCTAGAAAATTTGATGTACATAATACTAACATCAGATTAAGTAGTTTTGATTTATAACGGTTTGAAGTTTATTAATCGGAGAAGAGCAATAAATTACCTATCAATTTTTAAATAACAAATTGATTACTCTTAAGAAAATTATTCCGTACTTCTCAGGTCTAAATTTTAAGCTTAGAACTCATAAACGATATTCTGATAATAGTGTTATAAAATCAAAATTTCTAGAAAAATATTCTCTGTATAAATCCGTGATTAAAAGGGGGGTTCCTATTTAAAAATGAGCTTATACTCATTTCAGGTTTAAGAACTAGGGTTGAAAACTGAAAATAATGTTAAAATAAAACCTAAACGATCCTTAATGATTAAAAAAAAAAAAAAAAACAGTTAACAAACTCATTTAAAACCCTCCGAGAAAATCTATAGTTCGTGATAAAATAATTAGCCTGTCGTTAAATTGAAATATTATACGTACTTATACTTATTAGTCGCAGCAATAGACTCATATCAAATACTATAGAATAACATCACCATTGGTCATTTCGTGTTTTTTTTCCTGACACATGCAGTAAATGTACAGCTTAAAGAGACGAAGCCAACCAAATACTAATATGCTAATAATACGCGTTTAATATATGGGAGCCGGCAATACACAAGTCAAACCCTAACTGCATTCTATACCGTTTGTACTTAACGCATGTTCCGAACAAATAGTATTGTAATCCATAAGCACAAAACAGTTAGGTTCAATACGTGCGATACTATAATGCAATCTGTTTAATCTAAACTTAAAATACACCACCGCGATGTCCCGCTTGTATTATCTAACAATAATATTATACCTATTCGAAAAAAAATAAAGAATGATATTCTTGTGCTGCGCATTTTAGATTTGAGTGCAGCAAGTTATTAGTTCTATTTATCTTTTTATATTCTATTTATCTATTTGTCTTAGTTTTTTTTTTTTTTTAATCTGTTTACGCCTGTAAACAAATTTTCTACCAGAAATGTTGCTCCGGATTTCAATTTTAGCATCTTATTTGTAACATAATTTTGTCTTTAGTCGGTGCATTAGGAGGTCGTTTTTTGATTTATCGTTGTGTACAGATATAAATTAAACAACTGGATGTATCCTACGCTTCAAAACTTCAACACACCCATCAACAGTATCAGCTTTTTGTAAAATTATAATAATATAGATAATCGAATAATGTATATCACGTAGCGTAATTACGTTGTGAAAAAAAAATAAATATATTTCAGTTTTTTCAACTTTTTTTTTTAAAATCAGTGTCATTTTAAACGTCAGTGACATTCCTTAAAACATTTTTAACTGTATACAAAGCTAATTTGATTTTTTTCTTTTTACGAACCGTCATTACACTGTAACTAGTTTTGATAGATATATCTTTTTTACGAATATCAACCTAAAGTGTCGCAATATTTATCTGAGAATCTAACGCAGACATTATATCTTCGTTATATCAATTTTGAATGCGGAGTGTTTTATTATACTTGATGATTATTATTATTAATATTCTAAAATGTGCAGGTTGTATATAACCTATATCTAATTGTGATTATATTTTATAATCAATGACTTATATAATAGTTACATAATGTATTCTGATATACATCAAACGTATTATAAACCAAATAAAAAAATAGTGGAGTTTCGAAAAAAATGCGTGTATGCGCGTTTCGGGTTTTTATATTATATTATTAGATATTTTATTAACGGTTTTTTTTTTTTTTTTTTAACGAACTGCATTATTCATGTTATCATTGCTCGTTAAACCAAAATATTGAGCGTGTCGATTCCGTACTGTAGTGCGCTATACATATTATGTTCTGCAAACAGCGATAAATAATACATTGAATGTAATCGTTTTATTTAAGCTCGTGCAAATATTAGACTTTACACGTATAATCTAATTTGCTCGTACAGATTAGTGACGGCACAACCGAATACAGTTGCTGTCGAACTATTCGATAGATTGAAAACTATTCGAATAGTTTGCATTCGGTTGTGGAAAAAACCAATGCCGGAATTGTATAGGAATTATTTGTATATCCGGGGATAAACATACTATACGTCCTACGCTGTGTGTTTCCCCCGCCCGTTTAAACACTATAATATTTATATAAAATCCAAAACGTACACGTTTTCCATGTTACAGTCTCCTGAGATACTGAAAAATTAAATTAAATATTCATATCTATCCATCATATACACAATAAAAATACGCGGATAAGCACTTGACGATTTTATTACGCCCGAGGACCCCAGCTCGATCATGGAATAAAAATATTCGATATTATAATTTATCTAAACTAAAGTATTAATATATAGTATTTAATATTATTTGGATGTGTCCATCACCGTAGCGCATAGATTATTGTAATTAAAAAAAAAAAAAATTAAACGACAACTAAAAAAAAATAATAATAATAATGACCGCAGTTTTCTAATAATGTATACATTATATATTATTATATTATATTATAGCGTCAGTCGTGTGACACCATAATATAATATAACACCCGATCCGAACACCGGGATCGCATCATGTGTGTATTATGCATACAGTAATCACTAACCGGGTTAACCCGATCCTAGCAGTAGGACACGTTCGGTATATAATAATAATAATAATAATAATGTAATGTTAACGTGTCTTGAGATGTTTGCGAACCGGACCGTCGACGGCCCGTAATAAAACACCTCCACGGATATCGTTTATTCCGGATGGTTTAACGTCGCTGTATAATACTCGTCGGCCCGGCATAAATGTCCGGTTAAAAAAAAAAAAAACAAAACGACAAAAAATTAGTTAAAAAAAAAACTCCCCCGCTGGTAAATTGTAATTGTATCGTAAATACGTAGCTCTTAAAATAATAACGCGCATTTGTTTCGTAACCCGGGTATATTCGCAACTAAAACAGACATCGTTTCACTCGCAAGACTTCAAACAACTTTACCGTGTTTTCAATCGCTGTAATGGTAATACGTGGAAATCGCGATCACGTCTACATATTGTACGCCTACTTTGTATTATATTAGCTATATTTCCGACTACAGAAGAAAACTGTTCGGGACTCCAAAGCCTCGAAAGGTGTACTTGCTTGTAGTCGCCCGACAGATACTCTTAATAAAACATTTGATACAAGTTCCGAAGATAAAATTTTAAGCGACGAGCACGGGAATTTGGTTTTATGTAAGGCGTATTACATAATTATTTGGCGCCACTCGCGGAAGTAGGGGTTAAATGCACTTTTTCCTTACATTTCTCCAAATTTCACGATCGTATGTATTTTCAACAATACAATTTTCTTGCTTTAAAAACTTAAAAAAATTGACTCGAGCTATTATTCCCTTGGACCAAAAACGCAATGCATGAATTATTCGAACAAACAGTTATTAGTTATTACTCCATAAACTCTAGAAATACCGTGAAATCAAATCAGCGAGGAAAACAATTATCTATACTAACTATGCGAAATCGTGCGTTACTTTTGACTAAAGCCAAACATTTTTTGTATGAAGAAAATTTGCGGAACCCATTATAGGATTATAATATAAGAGGAGAAGCGTATATATTGTGTGGTATCGTGTGCGTCATCTTGGAAGATATTCAATTTTTACAGGGGCTTTTTTTTTGTGGTTGGGTATTGGATTATATATATATATATAAAAAATAACGCAATATAATATGAAATTTCATTAACTTTACACAGCTCCAAGCGAATTTAGACGTACTTTTATATTCTTTTACAAAATTATAGTTTTACATTGCTCGTTTAAAACCAAATAATTGTATAAAGAATGTTACGAATAAAAAAAAGAAAAAGAAATAATGTACACTATTACACTACTTATAGTAAAAGATTTTGCGAGTAAAAAAAAATAAAAAAAAAATACTACATATTATACACTACGGATATGTACGTCAACGGGCTGCAGACGATAATTTGCGTAATACATTTTTATGTGTGTACATAAAATAAGGTTTCACCTGTCAAGTGATTTACTCCACACACACACACACACACACACACGTACACTAGAACATACATCGAATGTACACTACTCGCGATGTATTCTTTTTTTTTTTTTACATTTGACTCTCACTACTATTATTATTATTACCTATTTTTTTATTTTTTTTTTTTTTACCCAGAACGCGGAAAAACGTCGGCAAATCGGAGAAAGGCCGCGTTGTACAACCCGGACAACCGTATAATTTAAATGTATTTTAGACGTCTTCCGACCCCGGCAATTACCTCAAATTATCCCTGTTGTATATAAGACTACAACGCGCGCGCACTCACAACGGGTTTGTTCTCGATTTTTTTTTTTCCATAGCGGGTATACGGGTCTGCGTATGTATATACAGGTATTATAGTTTGTTATTAAAAATCACTTTTGACGTTTCTATAGCGTTCTATTATACAGGTATAGTGTGTCTGTTTTTGTTGTTTACATCAATTTCAAAACCGTATATACACGCCTAAAATATGTGTGTGTGTGTGTGTGTGTGTGATGAGACCGATATAATATGTTACTGGAATCGCAGGACGCCGCGTCGGTGGTGTCCATTTCAAAAATTGATTACATAGCCGACATTATAATAATGTTAGATTATTATAATCGTACGGACGGACACTATTTTTTATTTTTTTTTTGTCTACATACTCGAACGAACGACATTAATGAAATAATAAAATAATCTGTATAATTCGTTTTATTATTGCATATATATTAAATAATATTATGTATAACAACGTTTATATGATCTCATTGCATACTAGCACTAGTTTACTATAATATACCGTGTATATAGGTGAATACGTCTATTTAATCAATTTTAGTGATTTGGTTTTCGATGTACCTACGTTTAATGTTATTACGCATACTTGAATTATTACGTATTTAGGCGACTACATTGTATATTTTATTAACGTAGCGTACTTATAAATAATAGGTTCAAGGGAATCGAGTAAAAATAAAACCAATTTTTTTTAAGTATATAACTAAATACGAATAGGTGGTAAGATTAACCAGAAAATAAAAAAAAAAGTGGTTATAAAATTATATTCTATTGAAATCGAATGCCATGCAGGTTTTAAGTATACTACAAGTAGGTATATCATTTTATGTACATCGTACATACTTTAGGTACATATTATGTAATAGTTTGTGTCAATAATGTGTATATACGTTTTTATATAGCTAGACTGTATAGTTTAATTTGCCTTATCAACTACCTATACCTAATAGAGAACGAGAAAATCTATAGATTAAAATGTGTTGTGCATACAAATAAAAGAATATTTAAATCCTTTTAACGATCGTGTACAATTACCGTACAATAAATACCAAAAAAATGTTAATTTCACTAAGTATAATTGTAACTCCAATTTTGATAAAATTGATCCATTAAATATGCATCAAATTTAATATAAATATATTGAATTTCCATAATTGTATTCTGTATGAAAACTTCATTAATAAACTAGTATTATGAATGTTTGAATCTTATACTTAGTTTTAAATATATTAATCTATATATTTGATTTGCTTTACTTAAGTTACATACTCTTGTTGATACAGCTCTTAAACTTGTATGCCACCTATATTGCTATCTATATTTGTTTATCTAAATTGTACATTTTTTTTCTAATTAGGTTCTAATTGATTATAATTATTTAATTTTTTGTGTAGCAAACCTTACTTCCTAAAAACTTAAAGAAATCATTGAACTCTTAACCCCGCAACAAGCATTAGCTTACAGGGGTTTAGTAACTTGTATGTAAAAGAATATGCTCATTGTATATATGTTTGATTACAATAAAAATATATTATTATCATTATATTACGAATATTTTAATCACTTGAAATATATTAGATATTTTATAATATTGTTATTGTTATATAATGAACAAAAGTCAATCGTATATCTGTTCGCCTATCAGGCGCGGCCAAACGGGGAGTGGCGACGTGGGAGATACATCGTCCCCAATGACTTTTTCCCCTTTAATGTTCATAATAATATATTGCATTACCCGTATATTTGTAAAAAAAAAAATAATAATAATGTTAAAATATTTTTTTTAAAAAATTATCGAAAATCAGCCTCGTCCTCTCGCATGACATTCGACCGCCACTGTCGCCTATATATCACCAAATATTCACCAAACAATTTTCCAAGTAAATTAGCATTTAAAATTATAAAATAATTTGTTCAACTCCGTTTTATTTTTTTTTGTTTTATCGTAATACTCGTAAGGTGGATTTACTCATTAATCATTATTATTTTTACGCGCGCGCGCTTGTGTGTATACAAATCGTTATTACGACGTATCTGACATATGTATTATTCATGTACCGGAAAATCAACGGTCAGAGAGTAAAATCACAGACATTAGAAAAGTGATATCGAAAAAGATTACGAGGTCAGTTCCCCCCGTACGCCCGGAAAAAATAAAATCATAGGACAAGCAATGTCGGAGTGTTTGAGATTTGGTCCTATAATTTTTTTTTCACGTTTCAGAATTGGATAGAAAATATCGGTCGATTTTTTTTTTTTCATGCAACGTCGGATAACAGGTCGGAAGGAAAAATGCGTTTTTGCTCTTTAAGAACGGAATTTTGATGCACCGAGATAACGCTTTCGGTATAGACAGTAGTTATCTATAGTCCGTTATATATATATACATAATACGATATTATACGCGTCTAAGTTGTCTGGCCATTTGGTTATTTTCCGGAAAATTACGGGGAGGGGCGGAGGCCTCTGTTTGGCCGTGATTTTCATTCGCGGAAGATTCGCCGGGAAAATCGAATTTATTTTCGCGTTTCTCGAAACCGCACTGTAAATGTAATTTTCCGGCAAACGTCTGTTACGAATTATTGCGAGTACACAATAATATAATACGCATAACATAATTTAATGAAAACGAGTGTGTATTTCGATATGATTCTCGATACGCGCGTACACGGATGCGGTACGAGAAGTGTAAAGAACTGGCGCGAGAACGTGCGCGCGGGCTGTGGCGGTAACGATCCCCCCGTAAGTCGTAAATCCCCGGGCTCGCACACGTGCGCGCGCGAGTTAAACCCGCGCGCGCACGCGGCGCAGGGTGCGACCGCACGCGGTAGGAATTGACCACTGATCATTACTTTTTCAAAGGGCGGACGCCGCGGGGACTCGGGTCCGACCGCGCGCAGACGGAAAACACGAGGGACGGCCGGCGGTCCTCCCGCGTGTATATACGTATGCATTACATCGGTATAGAACGCGCGCGCGGCCAGTGGCCCGCTTTTGGCGGCGTCGGCCGCGCCGGATTGCGTGATGGACAAACATTACATTACCGGTCCGGATCCACTGTGTGTTGTTCTTGCGTCGCCGTCGTCTTGTACGCGCACACACACACACACACACACACATATATATATATATATATATACACATATATATAATACATGGAAGTTACCGGTGTAACATAATCTTCGGTAATGGAGCCAGTGACGTCATACCGGGAGTACAAAATGCATCAATTACACAAACACACGCGGCGGCGGCGCCCGTCGTGTATTTATATGTACACAAATATTGTACGCGCATAAGGGTGTAAACGTTATATTACTGTTATTACTATTATGGACGCGCGGCCGATTTGTATCAATCAACATGTTATGATAAGTAGTATTATATGGATAAAAAAAAAAAAAAAAAAACAACAACAATAATATACGCGTGCGAGCGCAGCAGTTAAATTATACTTAGTGTTGAAAAAACCGCCTTAATAATAATAATATAACGTTTTGTTATTGCAGTACGCGTGTGTGTACGCCTCTACCTATAATGGCTAGGTGGAAATTATTGCACTTATTTCTGTACAGGCATACAGACGAACATTGCGCCCGGGTGGTAGAAAATGCCTCGGAACTCGCAGTATTGTTCTAAAAAGGCGACCCAAAAGATTATACACGATAATGTCCACATGATTTTATACACGATCACTACGTTAACAAAGCGCGTTTGATTCGTCACGATTCGATAAGACAAGGCTAACACAAAATTGGTCGTAAAGAAGACGTTGTACGCGCCTATATACTGACTCGGTTCAACTACCGGCCGATATGCAAAAACAATGCTTACGCAGAACAAGTAAAACTAGCTCAATTTTGAATTTAGAGTAAAAGAACCTGTTATGAAAGATAGTATAGTAATGTATAGAGAACATTATTGTGGAGGGAACGTCATTGGGTTTTTGTATAGTGTTTAAAATATACAGCTCGATATAATATAGAAACAATAACGTTTTTTTTTCTCTTTTTAAATAACTGTGACTATTTTAATAATTCATAATTCAAAAAACACGCATGACATTCCCTCCAAAAATATTGTTCTCTATACATTTCATAATAGGTGCTTTTAATCTAAAATCATAATCAAGCCAGGTTTACATACTCTGCGTAAGCATTGGTTTTGCATGTTACCCGGTAGTGGAACTGAGAAATTAAATGCGGATATAACATCTTCTTAATAGTTATTTTCCAAGTGATTTTGTATATTTCACAGTTTTATATTCCGAAATATCGGTGTTCGTGATTTTTTTATATTAAGTTTATTTCGCGGTTGGGTAATCGGATATATATATATCCAATAGGATTGTCTTTATTTTGCTAATTTCAATTCAGGACACCTGCCCGTATTTTGTGCCGTATAACAATAAAAAAAAAATATTCTCAAAGTTTGAGGCCAATTGGATAATATTTAGCAAAGGCGCACGACGTTTTAATATTTCATAAAAGAAAAAAATGTCATGAAATCAACGAAAATAGTGTACAAACGACCACAGATCGTTTAGAATTATTTTTTTTTTAATAAAACACAAAGGACTCATTTTAATCCTAAGATCTTAATGTCTATTTCGATACCATATGCACGGCGATTAGAGATCAGAAATCAACTGAAACCAACATTTCTTTATGGAATTACCGACTATTTTTTTTTAAAATTATAACCTAATTATAATACAACGCACTTTTTGATTGACCCTCGCAGTAACCCGCATTACTGTTATTACATACCTTTTGCCGTTGCGCCGTCGTCTCTTGGTCGCGTACACGGTGCTCAGCGGATTGACGGGCTGGACGGTCGGTGCCGTCACCGCGGCCACGGCCATCGCGCCGGCGGTGGCGCCGGACTGAACGCGCAACTGTCCGTTGGACGCGGCCACCAGCTGATGGTGTTGCTGCACGTGATTCTGGTGGTGTTCGATCAGTGGCTGATGGTATGGGGCTGGGGGGGCGCCGCATGGCCCCGTCCCCGTGACGTACTCCGTTTTGGGGGCGCCTCAAGCAACACGCGATGTCGGCGCCGCGCGCCCGTTGTCGCTCGTCCGCTGCGGCACGCCGATCGACACGGCCATCACATCGACAGCGAGTGTTACGAAAAATTGCAGTGTTATTAAAGCTGCGGCGACGAGTACCCGTCGTCGAAGTGTACCCTATACACGCAAAAAACAAAAATATGTAATGATAAGACTAATTTTGCACATGAAATAATATATTATGTCGTTATGTGAATGTTTCGATTGCCGATTACACGTGTAGCATCCAACGCAGCCGTGTGCGGAAAACCGATGATCCGAATTCAAATAGATTATGTTACACGAATTATAAACTTGATGATGAATTCCCGATGACGTATTATAACATTTTAGTGAGTTTATTGTAGAATATTATAAAATCTGCCTACGTATATAGGTACCTACGATCGGTTTCGATTAAAAAGAAAAACCTATCATTAGGTAATAGATGAACAACAAAGGCGAAAAAACAATACATGATTGAATATTAAGTACATAGGAGGAACACGTTGGAAAAAAAAACAATTTGTTTACACAAAGATTGTAAAACACGATAATATGACATAGATTCAATACGTTTTCTTTTGTTATCTAAAAAATATTGTTGTAGAATACTGTTTAAAAATATGTCTGTATATTCAAGATATTTTTAAACTTATTTTATAGAACTTTTACAATTATTCTATTGCACTATACTAGAATAATTGCATATGTAAATTAACTGTTTTTTTTTTTTTTATTAGTTAATTTTTTAAATATTTCCAACACGTGTACTCGCATATATACCATATTTTATTATTTTATAAAATTAATACCAGAGTCAATAAAGAAAACAATTGAAAAGTAACAAAAGTCCCGAAATGGCGACCTTTTTTATTTAAATTATCAAAAATGTATTTTATTGAATCCTGTATGTTATATATACAAACAAAATGTAAAAACCACAAACAAATTATCTAGTTTAAAGTTTTTATTAATATTGTCATATTATTCATTCGTTATTTTAATGTCCGAACCGACAACATTTATGCAGTTTTCTACTGCGATACTGCGTAGACTTTTTATAGCAAATAACTGACATGATATAAGTGCATATGAATATATTATATATAGTAATACAATAATAATAACATAATAGTACCTATAATAATATATTATTTTAATGTCATTCTAATTTCGTAATGATTTTAACATTTTTTCGGGCGTTGCGTGCAACCGAGTGTAATTTGTTTTTGACATCCCATAAAAATAATAGAAATAATAATAATAAAAAAAAAAAACCGAAAGTATACGACCGAGAGAATTCCTCGTCGTTTAAATTTCGCGTGATTTACGTTCCAGCAAAATACCTGCGCGCGTATATACATTTTGAGGAAAAATTGTATTTCTAATTGCTATATACATATTATAATACTGTAAATTTATTTTATTTCGTCATTTAAGAACCATACACATTACGTATATAAAACATTTGAATATAATAACGCAGGATAATTATTTTATAATGACCAAACTAACGTCTCGGAGAATTTTAAGAATAAATTTGATTTTTGGGGTTTTTCAATCAATGTGAAATTGCTATTTGAGCTTTATTTCAAAATTATTTTAAAATTTTAACCCCAGCTCTATATTTAACAAACCTTATAAATGAGTTTTGATTTAAAATGGCGGCCCTAATTCTCCTATTCAGTTGAAATTCGAAAAAAAATAAATATTTTTCTGAACATTTTCGTATTCGTAGCACTATAATGTTTGGACTTACTGTTTAAACGAGGTATACAAGTTTAGAATTTTGTCCGAAGAACTGAGAAATATAAATAGGGAATAAATTGATCATAAAAAATGATAATAACTAATGGATCATAACCAAATAATCACTTCTGTATAAAATATCATACATTTTCTGAAAACGAATATAAACGCAATATACATTCTTAATCAACAAACATTTCGTTTTCCTCTTCATTAAAATATACATATATATTATATTATATTATTCCACGATTCCGAATACTAAATAGAAAAAAATACATGTATTTGATACTATGAAGGACTTAAATCATCTTTTGGTGTCTTCATTTAGATTTTGAGTGGAACGAGGAATGTGTTAGTTTTATAATGGTGTTTATTTTTGAATTTTTTTTTTTCTGTGAACAACCTTTCTACCAAAAACTTTGCTCCCATTTTCAAATGTAATACTTTTTCAGTAAGAAAATTTGACTAGAGTGATACATTAGGAAGGTATTTTTTTTATTTTACTGGGGATTTTTATAACAAATGGGAAAATCCCAGGAAAAACAGGAAAATTTACAAAATTTATTATTTTCAAAATTCCGCTCAGAATTGTTTTTTGTTAGCAAAGATTAATCGTTTCATACGAATATACATTAAATTTCTCTTTTACTTTCCCAAATTCTCACCTACAATAGTGACCCATCCATCTTGCGAAATAGTCATGTCCTTTTTTTTTATACTTGTGTTTTATGTCATTTTTTTTTTTTTGTCTCAATTGCATAAATGTATAAATTTTCAAAATTAAATTTGCATGTATTGAAAATTGAATTAAGCCCTTTATTTCCTGTGACTAAATATTAGTATTTCATATTGTATTATTATAATTATTTTTTTATCGTTTAAAATGCATAAATATAATAGTTTCATGAGTTTTCCGTTTATCTAATATATAATATAATTTAAATACATTTTATTGGTTTGCTTCAGTAAATTACTATTTGGTTTTTAGTGCAGTTTAATAATATATAATATAGCTGGTATCTAATATAAAATATATGTGTATAGATATACACATATATTGTATATTTTTAAATAAAAAACGAAAATAATCATTACATAGATACATATTGTTTTACTTGTAATTTATTTCAAATATGTGTACTATATTAGGGTTCTCGCATGATAGTTCGACGTAAGATTAAACTTCATAATATATTTCCTTGACAGAGCTTACAGAAACTATTATGACCTGTATTATTATTATGACACAAATATTGCGCTATAACATAAAATATATTTAAGTATACAATAATGGGTTTTCTAAAAATACATTTTTGGTGAGAAAAGTTAGAGAGGTAATTTATTGGTTTGTTTTTCCTGATTATAACTACTTTTAAAAGTTGTGAACACAAATAAACATCATTTACTGAATACTATTTAATATTGTCACCGTTAATTATGAAAAAAAATATATACCTATAGTGACAAATTTTGAGTATCTATTAAATCATCAAATATTCCAGAGTAGGTATCGCTTCAAGTTTAAAATAATAATACTACTATATGCCCTATAACTTATTATTATTATAGTTTAATTAGATAAATAAATATATTGCAAAAGTACCCCACAGTTTCATCATATTATCCGGTTCGTACTTGTACTATTATACATATAGCATGAATATAATGTATTACATACTTATAGGTAAGTACTTTAAAATACACATATATATATATATATATATATAATTAACACAGATGGTATAATTGTTAATTTTAAAAAAAAAACTGAATGCTAAATGAATAATTGCCTTTTTAAAATAATTATTTAATAATATGTAAATATTTAAGTACGACGAATGGAGATATACGTCGTGAAAGTAGTATTACTGCAAATCAAGAGAATCTAGTCCAAATCACTTCTTATAGATTATTATATAAATAAAAAAAATATATTTGTAATCTTTATAGCCTACTAATTAACGTTCTGATTGTAAATACGTTAATTAACTGCATTTTTATTCTGATGCAAACGAGTTTTTGAACGATATCGTTTACAGGCGCGAGAACCGATTGATACGATATCCAACAGACACCTCTCGTGCGTAAAAAAAAAATAAAAAGATGTATCGAGAACAGTGAGGTCACGCGCTTCCGATCGATATTCTATGTGTGATTTTATATATGTATATACAAACAGTGTCCTACATGAATTTGCTATAAATAATTTAAATAAGTGTAGGTGAAGTAAAACTTATTATGTATACGTAGGTATGTGTTCAAATTGTATACTCAGAGCTGTCAGAGCATAACCAGATTTGTATTCATATATATTATTTTCGATTCTGAGCGTAGCGAGAAATATATTGGCCGGTTTACTATTATGTGCGCTTTTTTGTGCATATGTGGGCAACTTTTTTACCAAAAATCTTGTTCCGATCGAGAAATGATAAGTACCTTTTTTTGTTACATGCTGGTTCTACTTGATAGATTGAGGTTATTTTTTGATTTTCCAAGCTGTTTTGATAATAATTTTAAAAACTATTTATAAACGTACAGGAAAAATGGACAAATATAGGCAAAAATGAAGTTGAACGTAAAATTTTGCCATACGTGTAATTCATTCCGTTGTATTATAATATGCTATACGCAGTCTAAACGATGCTGAGTCACTATAATATACACGTGCATAAAAAAGATTAAATACCGTTCAATATCGATAAACTATATCGATTATATTATTAGTTTACTTTATAGTATTTTTGTGGGATCCAACTGGTAACGTTAAAATATACATTTACATACGTTTGAAAATTAATTGAAATATATAAGTACTTTAGGATATATAATTTTTTTAATAAATAACTAATTAAGTATTATATTTAAATAGAAAATGGTTTATTGTTTTATCAGTGCACAGGCACCATTTACAGTAATATGTATTATGACTATTGTATATGTATATGAGTATTTAGTATATCTATAGTATACTCATCATATTATTATGTTGTTTTATGAAAAATCTCTAATAAGATTAAAAAAAAATCTCGGAAATGTCAGATAGCCAAATATAAGTACATTGTAGTAAAAGTTAACCTAATCGAATTACAGTAAGGAAAAAATCAATATCGAAAATAATGAAAGCGTTATTATTGCCGTAAATTTCTTAGTTTTTTCCCGGTTTTTTACAATTGTTAATAAAACTAAAAAGAAAATCAAAATAAAAGACTTCTTAGTGCACCAACTAGGTAAAATTTTCTTTTTTAAAAAATGCTACACGCTGAAAATCAGAGCAAGATTTCTTGTAAAAAAGTTGATTACAGAATGCAGGAAAAAAAATGCTAAAAATAGCTGATACTAAATGCAGTTGGACGTGCTGCAGTTTTAGGAGAAAAGTTGGAAGAGGTGATATATCGAGTAATTGAATTTATATCTATATACCCTGATAAACCATTGCTAACGAAAAACGATTTTGATCAGAGTATTATTATTTAAAATTCGTATTTTTCCCCTTAACTGTCAAGGTATCTAAATCAGAAATTAACAACAACTGGTAGTTTTCCGATTTATTTAAAAAACTAAAAGGATAATCAAAAAAGTTACCTCCTTAATACACCAAAAGTTTTAATTCTCAATTCACTTAGAATTCAAAACTAATAGTGAACTCTATGCAAACTGTAGATGATGACGATGGTGTGATGTCTGTTGCAGTTGCATGTACAACTATGCGTGAACGTAAGGATTTGTTTATGTGCGTGCACTAAATGCATCATGGTTACAATATAAATTATTATCCCACGGTAATCTATCTATGTATACATATATTATTGTATAAGCACGAGGTCTCTAGTCACCATCCGTATAAGTATTCTTATATTACGATTTTAAATCAATTTCTGTTACGAGTAGAAAGTTTTTTCTTATATATCGATAGTAATAAAATATAATATTAAAAATTAAAATTATTGCTATTATAAGAGGACGCTTAATTATACCCGCATTTTTATTGTCTCAATCTAACTAATTGTGAGCAACATTAGTGAAATCACGGATTTTATACTTTTAGACCTAGCCAGGTTTAAATTGAAATTGAGGTTTAAGATAAAATTTTATCACGTCTAAAAAAAGTAAATATAAGTTTTTTGTTCAAATTTGTTCAAACTGAAATTAAAAATAATAAAAACATTATTATCGTAAATTTTCCCACTTTCCTATGTTTTTCCCAATCATTATGAAAACTGCTTATAAAATCAAAAAATTGACGTTCTTAATGTATCCCCAGATAAAATTTCATTTCAGAAAAACACTTGATAAATCGGAGTAAAATTTCTAGTAGAAAAGCTGTTTACAAAAAAAAAAATAAACTTCATTGTGAAACCAATAAGTTCTTCGCTTCGCTCAGAATCTAAAATGTTACCACGGAAATAATATAGTATTATAATACATTATAACACAGTTAATAAGTAAAAAGAACTATAGCCAATAAAGAAATTGCCAGTTTTTATTAAAAAAAAAGATTATACTCACTAATTTACAGATATTATCTGCAAATATCAATATTAATTATTACATTCACTGTATAATATTGTGTACAGGCATTTATTATTGTAAATTTATAAAATGATAACCTTATTGTAGTTTACGCACTTTAGACATTATAAAGTATTTTATATAGGTAGGTATAATGCAGAAATAATATATAGATTGATCGTTTTTAAGAAAAAAAAAAAACGTTTTTTGTCTATTTAATATAACTCTCGACTAAAATTATCAATGTAGATAAACCTATGTATATGTATAAAAAAGTTATTATATGGTCTGTAAAAAAAAAATTGAATTGTCTGACTATAATAATATAATATAATATATTGTCTACGATATAATTCAGACACTTTAAATAATTCTTAGGTAATTATATTGTATGATAGTAATTCCTAATAAACATATGTATACTTATTATTACAACAAATCTGAAAACCATCTACTTTGCATATACTTAGTAGAAATGATAAAATAATAATATCTACTGCAATAACCGTCAAATTAAATTAAAATATCACCGTCATTTTTGATTGTTATTCGACACTGGGTAATCTGACAGATTTACGTTGCACTCTATCGTGATTCACCGTTAGATAATTTATTACCTATACCTAATACTGATATTTCATGAGTATACCTATAATATTAACATTACTGAAAATCTAAAAATACTAACCGTAACAAACTATCGAAATTAAATTACATTATTTATAACAAATTACTGTGACTTATTAGAAGAACCTGGAGAATGCGCGAGGGAATAGATATTAAGAAGTAAGATGGGACAGATTGACTTTTATCCATAATTAGTGATGATAGTTTAAATAATAAATTATTAAAACAATTTTATGGACGAGTCAGAAAATTTTAGATAAGATTGTAATGATAGCTGACTAATGACATAATATTAGTGTTTTTAATTTTTCATCTTATAACGGGTCATTTCATCACAGCAGGTCATTGTTTTCACTATTTTATGATAAGACTAATTAAATTAATTCATTTTCGTCGTATACTGTTCTAACATAACATATTTACTTCTGTTATTTATTTGTGTGTAATGTTGTTAAATATTAATTAGGTATTTAAGAATATAAGTTCAATTGAACATAATTAGTTCTTGGGAGGTGGCGTTATGATAAAAATTATTATAAATAAAACGTATGTTGAAATATTTGAAATAATATAAGATGTCATTTTTTTTAAATACAAAAATTATATTTATGTATTTAAAATTTTAGGAATATTAGGTTTAATATAATACATAATTTAAGAGTTTGTTTAAAAAATTTAGTATAGTACTAGGAGTTAAAAAATATGTGCATCGTCTGACCCAACGGTCGCTATTATTTTATAAATAATCTTTTTCTAATAAAACGAAATTAAAAAATTAATACCCATATGAATTAAGATCCCTATCAAAACCAAATAACTACCTCTCACGACCGACAAGTATGGGCAAGCTATTTTTTTACACTCGTAATAAATAGTGATAGATATAAATATACATATACTGCTAATATCACTGTTGTAGCCATATTAGGTGAGAAGTTGGGAAACAAACTAGGAAAAAATTTCCTACAATAAAAATGAAATTAAAATTGGGAATAAGATTTCCGATAAAAAAAAATAATGACATTTTTAATGCCGTAAATTTGTCCTTTTTTCCTATTTACGTTTTTCCCTCCAAGTATAATGAAAAATGTTGAAAGCTACATAAAAAAAAATCACCTTCTTAATAGGACAACTAAATCTAAAATGCTACAAAAAAGATCTTTCATTGTTTTTTGATTGGAACAAGATTTCTAGAAGAAAAGTTATTTAAATACACAAAAAATCCAAATAACACACGTCAAAGTAAAACCAAAACATTGCTAATCGTTGTCCTTAAAATCTAAAATATAATAGAAATAGATACATTTTTCGTATATTATACAGAGTGGTCTATACATATATTTAAAAGTTGGAAGTATAGTTGTAGGTAGTAAGTTAGGAAGGTATATATAATAGAATAGTTTACATAATGCAGTATATAATGATAAATCTTTCCTGCAGACAAAACGATCCTAAGCAATGTTTGCGGTTAACATTTCTTGATAAATATTAATTGAAAATTGTATTAATTTGTAACTATAGGTAAAAATAAATTACAATTGCTCGTGTTTTTCACGAATTTGATCAACAATACATTTAAACTTAAAACACTCAGTTCAGTTGATTGTGATGCTTTTTCAACAATACATATGTCATTTTATAGTAAAATAATTAAATAGGCTTTATATATTTTCTTTAATAATATTTTTTTAATGTTGTACCGATTTTCTCAGTTTTCCCTGGTTTTTTACATTTGCTGGGAAGACTCCTGAAAAAATCGAAAAATAAGTACCTTTCCACACCGATTTCCTTTCAGAAAAGATGCTACACTTAAAAATCCGAGCAAATCTTCTGTTGAAAAAGTTGCTCACAGAAAAAAAAAATAAACATCTTTTTGAAACCAAAATCCATAAACCATAACCTTCCACTCAGAATCTAAAAAGCGTCTTATGCTCTCACACATGGAAAATATTTTTTCAACCAAATGCCCTCATTGTAATGACAATACCCCTCGCGCACTCTCCCGGGAACCACCAGTGTATCATATTTACTATATTACACATTTATCACGGGTTCACGTTCATTTTAACCTAATCAAATTAAGACTGACCATTATTTAAAAACATTTTCTTTTATTGATCACGGCATCACGGAATCGATTTTTTGGGTCAGAATATAAAAAAATTAGAGAAGCTAAACAAAAATATATTAATAAACATGTGGGGAGTTTCACAACATTTTCATTGAAATCTATAGAAATTCAACAATCAAATTCAACTGTAATTATTCATTATATATTAATAATATATTAAAATTGTGTACTATTTATTTTGCTTTTGACGGAAGGGGCGGCATTATATTTGCCGAATATTTCACGCGACGGGCCTGGTGATAATATTATTAAATATTACGATTGTACGTGTGACATATTGTTGAATTATCAGTAGTCGAATTTTGATCTGTATTAAACATAATTTTTGGGGGGCCTTTTTAAAAAATAGTTTTGTATTTTTATTAGTGTAGTAATTTATTATTAGTATTTAGTGTATTTAATCAACTGAATGGGAAACATTGTTCTAGATGCCCAATCAAGTTATAACGCTGAAATCAACATACAAAAATTTACGTCGTACGGTCGTTATAATAAATTACTTAGTTTTTAATATAAAAAAAATAAAAAAAAAAAATTAATGAGAAAAAAATTCGAAATGTTCGACTTTTTCCATTTAGAAATAACCGTTTTCGACGTTAAACAATACTGAACTAACGATTATTATTTATACTGCGACGAGTAATTTATATTTTTGAAAATCGTAAATCGTAATTTTTCTGAAGTTTTTCGCAATGATCGAAACGGAACGTTTTATGGATCGTGCGTATTATTTTTCTTACGGCGTGTATATATACATTTTTTTTAAAAACTTACGTTTTCGTACGCAGATTGTGTGGGTGACCGGTATGATAATATTATTATGATAGTGTTATGCGTTTATAGAAACAGTTGCTGCAGGATAACCACAATCAGACGTATATCGGGTACGCACTTGCCGTTCGTAAGGTTCGCGGAATCAAGGCGGCAAAAACGGGAACCTTTTCTGTGGGGGGGGGGCAATGGAAAAAAACCGCGAAAAACCCGCGGGTATGACACACACAAACACACTAGCGCGTACGGATAAAACACACTGGCACGCTCGCAAAAAAAACTCCGTTCGCGATGGCACGACAAGACGCACTGCCGTGTGGCGTGCGCGGTTTGTATTATTATTATTACGGTGTACGCGGACAAGAACAACGCGCGGCGGACAACCACGGTATACGCGTACGGACTGCGCGTCGTATCGCGTCCGTCGAGCTGGTCTCTGCGCGGGCGCGCGCGCGCGTGCTTCTCGTTCCCGCCGTACGGTTTTTTCGACGGCTGTGTTCGGCGAGCGGCAGTGGTAGTGGTGGTGGCAGGGCGGCAGCGGTTTTGTCGTATTATAGGTGGTAAATGCGACGGGCGACGAGTGTTTGTTTCCCCCTCCCCCCCCTCATTCGTCCCGTGCGTCGGCGGCGGAAGGCCGAGCGCGTCGTTTTCGGTGCGTTTTCCATTCCGCTTGGATTGGCGGCGGGCCCCCGACCAATGGCACGCCGACCGCGGCAATGGCTGACGACTACCGCGGCGGCCGCGTTTACGCGTTTTTCCCGTGCGCCCGGCGCCCGTCTCCGCGCGAGTTTTGGGTGCACGGTCGTGTCTTTGTGTGTACGCGCGCGTCCGTCCCGTGGGAGTCCGCCGCGGCGCCGCCGAGCCGCGAGCGATTGTTATTTTACCGCCGCCGCCAACGACTATAGCTACGCGTATTATTGCTGCATGCAGCGAAGCGCGCGCGCGCGCGCACACTCACGATCGACCCCGAGTGCCGACTATTATATTATTATTCTGTTGTTGTACACGTGTACCTGTGTACACTATAATAATATCGCGTTTACCGCCCCTGCGCCAGTCGTATATTATTATTGTTTACCGTTATTATTAAATTTATATTGTTACAAAACAGTGGCCGAACAAGGAGTGCACTCAATTATCTACCCCCTGGCGGTAAGAAAACGATAAAAAAAAAAAAAAATTCGAGATCTTAACTCCAAGCCCGATACCGGTTTTATGAAATTTTCGTCGTAAGAATTGTAAACGTAAAGGCCTGTTATGAAAACCGCTTGTAGAAAATCAAAAAATTACCTCCTCAATGCGCCAACAAAAAAGGTCTCTTATTGTCATTTATTGATCGAACAAAGATTTCTGGTAGTAAACTTGTTCACAGACAAAAAACTCACATAATTATTTCTCGCTTCGCTCACGGTTCAAAATAATAACTACACACGCAAAAACATAAATGCTTCAATATTTTCAATTTTCGAAAGATTATCAATAATCAATATTACCGGTGAAAATAATATAATTGGAACCTATAAGAAACCGTCACACTGGAGCTTATCTCAGATCACGAACAAAAATTAACCTTAGACTTAGGTATTAACCAAAGTCCTACCCAAAAACGTATGGTGTAATTTAACTATAACACAGTGAAACCGGCCTTATTAGTGGTTGAAAAACCACGTCTGGTGTAAACAAAGATAGGGATGAAAGGCAAAAACCATGTCGGGTAAATCACATTTTGAATTAGTAAAGTCGATCTTTTTGTCTATCATGGTCCATTTAGGGTCGCCAATCCGTTGGTATTAAATTCGAACCGACACTAAATTCGCATTATACTATTTGTTAATTTTTGTTTTGTGATTATACTTCGTATTATCCCCATGAGAAATGATATTTGCCCCCGTACAATATCAAATATGTTTCACTATGTTGTTTTTTTTTTTGTTGTGCATCGTTTAATTTTCAGTCCGTCGGTATACGCATTGTTGGCACATTGCCATTTACCTCACGGCAAAATATCGTATACCTATAACCTATACTACAGCATTTGCGTTTCAACATGTTATTTAACAATGGACATGGAATACAAAATTAGTAGCAGAACTCTGCAAAAAGATCAAATTGTTTATTTGTTAACTTTCAGTTAACCGATTTTCGTCATATACTGGACTACGTATTCGAAAATTGCAAAAGTATATAAATCGCTAAATGCAGAAAAGGCACATGTTCGAATTTTAAAATTGTTCAAGGAAGACGAAAAAACTCCTTAAGCAGCTGGAGTTTTATAATACTTCACAGAAAATGATTGTAATAAAAACGTATAAATAATATTTTAAAACATAATACGAATTACTTAACATGAAATTTATTTTTCAATTTCTTTCGGAGTTATTAAGTGTTTAAGTTTTTCTTGAAAAGTTTTAAAATTTGATCATGATGCCCTCGTTTTATATTTAGAAATTCACGTAATTCCACAAGCGAAATAACAGGTTTCGTTTTATAAAAATAACAGCGCATTATAATTATTATATCCGAAATAATTTTTGAGACTATACTTCGAGTGCCTATAATTATTTGTAAAATGAAAATTGAATTCTTAATTTAATTGATATTGTAGGTACCACCTATATATATATATATATATATATATATATATTTTAGGTATGCAAATTTATATTATTATTGAGTTTTCATAGTTTAACCGGAATTTCTTATGATATAAATTGTTTAACTGTTCGTTGTGCATATTGATGTGAAAATGTCGAACTGCGTATTTACCTACGATATATTGATAAAAGACAGACAACGGACAAACGATGACCGTTCTAAAATATAATATATTATAATAATTATCATTACTTATACTATAATATATTATATTATTAAGATAATAAAACGTATATTATTATTAATTTTTATAGGAATAGAGGTATAGCCAGGGACGTATTTCGGAAGCAATTTCCACGGGCATCACAAAACACGATTTTTTTGCTCATTACTATAAAATGTATATATGCCCATATGTCCCAAATGTTCAAATATGTAGTCAACACCTTGATATTGTTATCACCAGCTGAAATAGTTCACTGAATGTTACGCTATCGTTATTCTAAAAAAATATATTTTTTTAATATTTTCATTGTATTTATATACAAATTTTGTATATGAGGTATATTTAAAACAAATTTTAATAATAACAGGGGATGACTTTTTTTTTTATTTTTTGCTCTTCACCAAAGTTAGTGTTGTAAATCTTTAAACACAGTGCCCCGGGCGCAAAAAGTGTAAATACGTCTTTGAGTGTATTTGCACAATTTTCAAGGACTTAATATACATTTTAAATAACAATTATAGACAGGACGTGATTATGGATTATGATGGATTATGGGATGGTTGTGGTTTAGATTAGGTAGATAGCATAATCTAAAGACATAATAATCAACTGATGATTTTTTCGTAACTACTAACTATATAATTAAATATTAATTATCCTTTTTTTTTTAATGATACGTACCTATACTCATAATTTTTTTCACACAATTATAAAACGTGGGCTTGTGTGATGTGCGTTTTGTAGTGTTTCGTGTCGGTATTTTATTTATTTTTTAACGAACAATTCGATCTAAGATAAGCGCATAATGAGATAGTAGTAATAGTAAAGTATATTTCAATGTCTATTACCTATAATATAAGTTGATGTTTAACTATGTTAAGTATTAGTCTGTGAATAAAGGATTATATTTTATACACAATTATAATTTATAAACGTGGCAACTATATATGTATGCATGTATTCTTAGTTCTTGGTTCATGATTCGTACAAATTCGTTACTTTATAAATATATTTTTACGAACAAGACACATCACTATTGGTGTACATTCGTTATTCTTGATCCATTGATATCTTTGATATTTTAATTGTATCGCCCTCTGGAGCAACCGTGAATTTTTCGTAAACGGTTCTGTGCCTATTTTCGATTACGAACGAAAGATGATTAAGTTTTACACTCCATTCACGAACATCAATGAATATCGAACCACGAATCAAAAATCTATTTATCTATAGGTATTAATTATATACATGATGCAGGGTTTTCAAATATCATCTTAGGTATGTTTAAATTTTTTTTTTTAATTGAGATTGGGGATTAGGAAGTAATATTTTTTATTTTCATTCCGAAAAAACATATTATTTTCATGGCAAACCTATACTATATACCTAATTTAAAAAAATGGATAGCTTTCAGGGATTTTTATAATTTAGAGCGACTGTTTTTGCACCTTCAGCCAGAGCTAAATCAGGACTACTAACCTCTATTTTAATTACACCCCCAAAAACTTGATAGAAAAAACTACCGCAGGATCACTAACCAACTATTATTATAAATTATAACCTACAAGAAACTATGAAATACACATCATAATGACTTAAGATATTTTTATTTTTAGTGAAAAATATGTAAGAATACACTTATGTCATTTATAGATCAAAAAATAAAGAGGAAAAATGATATGATAGAATTTTTAAAAAAAATTCTAAAAATTAACATAAGCCCTGTTGTTGCCATTGGTAAATTCAGTGACACGCTTATAGGTAAGAACCGGATTTTGCATGTAATGCATATTCATATTATTATAAGCAGTAAATTGATTTTCATCAATCATGCTTAAATAAATAATATTGCACTTTTTTATTTTGCATATTTTCCATAAAAACGCACGTTTTTGTATATTTCGTATACATTTAAATTGTTTAATTAATTTGTTTAATTGTATATACAATTATTATAAATAAATTTGTTCCACAACACAAAAATTTAAAATATTATTAAAAATAATATAATATTACATTTCCGTAGATCATTAGTTGGTATGTAGGTACCTAATTCATTACATACTGGTTTTTTTATCGTATATTTCTATCTCATCTACTTTGTCTAATATTGTCGCCAATACCACAGAACACGGAATAACAGTTTGATGACTGTAGTTCGAAGTGTACATTCGATTAGTCAACGTATTATAAATGTGTCCATTTTATATAACAATGTTTGTGTTTGTTACTATACAATTCCAAAGTGTCCATGTCTTTTTTCAACATAAATGTTTTGATTTTATACTTTTACAATAAATAAATAGCTGTAATAGCCAAAAATTATTTTGCATATGTTGTGCTTTTTGTAAGTGTATATTTTAAACTTCGAAATGCATATAAATTCGAACTTTACTTACAGGACATAAAATATAAATATTACATCATCAAAAAGATTTCATAATATAGTAGGTATATATGTATATATATTAAGTACCTATATAACTATATTAATCTAGCCTAACCGGACACTGTTATAAAATATTGTAGGATATTTCATTAAATAGGTCATAATGT